TGAATAGGTATTTGTGTGGATGGTTAGGGAGCATGTATGCAGACTTGCATTTGTCGGTTGCATTTTTGTTGCAATATATGAGAAGGGCCCAAAGGGGGCTATAACATAATAGAACATCATATCCCTGCTGTCTTTCTCCATACCGTGGAAAGCAGCTGGCAATCTGATTGGCTCAAAGTCAACAAACCCTTTAGGCCAGCTCTCAGATCACTATAGCCCAAATATTGTTGCATGGGCACCCCTATTTATCAGTGCTCTGAGCCAGTGCTGAGTACCGTATTGGTAGAATCGGCCTCTACATATTATGTGTATTTAGCCACTTACAAATAGGAAAGTCAAGCTGAAACTCAATAGGGGTAATTAAGTATAAATAGATTCAATTCAGGTCAGGAACAGAAGATTATGAAATAAGGCAGAAATATAGGAGTAAACCATTTATTTAAACGAATAAAAGACATCATTGGTTAGACTATACTGTATTAGCTCTGTATAATCAAAGCTACTTTAACGTTGCCTTAAGTGAACACTTGAACAGCAATTTCAGATACAATTTGGGGATTTTGCCAGAGTTTAGCGATTAGCTAAATTAGGCCACACAACAGGTTATAGTTTTGAAACAGAGATAACAGACTTATTTTTCAATTAATGTATTTATCACTATGCATAACACGGCTGTAAAGAATAAATTCTGTCTCTTACCTCTCAAGTTGACAGCGGACCGTGAGTCTATCCACGTAGGTACTTCTGTCAAGAAATATATGTAAAATCACTAGATCCCATAAAAGAAAAAAAAAGGCTGCAAAGAGCACTTTTGTAAAATTAAAGGGGAAAAAAAAAAATACTCTTCACACAAGCATTTCTGCAAGATGAAATTTTTTAGGGTTTGAAGCATACCTTTAAAACTTCCAGGTTTAGTGAGTTCCAGTGTACGGATTACAGCTTTTAATTATAAAAAGGAACATTCCAATGATATTAATGCATTTATTTAGAATGTAGTGTTCTATAATTAATTTAAATTTCTAGACTCTCTGTTCCTGAAGAAGGAAAATTTAAATAAATTACAGACCATTAATCAAGGCAGTACCTTTAACACAACTCTGCCCTGCCCCTGGAAGATCATCATGTGTTAGGACCTGCTGGCTATCAATGCTTTTATATTCGAAGCGTTGGATTAATTGAGAATACACAAACAATGCTTCTCATACAGAATCATTGAACCCAATGCTTCCACTCGAGAATCCTCACATCCACTTTGAGAGGGGAGAAGTGCAATATAGGGGCACTCTTTATTTAATTTTTTTTTTACTAAAATTTGAACTTTTATAAAATGAGAAAAGAGGGGACCTCTACTGACCCTTAAAGTAGTTCAGCAAGCCAATGTGCTTCAGGGGTCGGGAGAGTTCCTGTAAACTGAAATGGGATTTTAATGGACTTAAAAGCAATCTATTTTTATTCTTACATTTCTCAAGTATTACAATAAACCATTCAGATATAAATATCTTCAGAAATTTGTCAAACATGTTCACCTTGCCAACTGCTGGACTTTTGCATATTTCTGTCAATGAATACTTGTCCAGCCAAAGAAACAGCGAGCGATTGGGAATGCGAAAGCAAGTGTGGGGCATATTGTGTCAACGCAGCTGTCTCTGCCAATAAAATCGCCTCGCATAGGAGGTTATGGAGTGACAGCTTTCCCGCTATCGAGTGCTAGGATGTGTCATGGTCATTTCATCTCAACGTTTCTGATAAAATCTACACACACCGTAAATCCAGACGCAAACAAAATACAGATAGACAGAGAAAGGTAATAAAATTCAAAAAGTACCAAACTAGAGGTTGGAAAATTAAAGCAGCAAAATACTTGAGTTTTGATAGCTCTACATAAAACGGAAGAATTAAGAGTCAAAATTGAATATATGCACACACACACATTATATATATATATATATATATATATATATACACACACACACACATACATACACACACACAATCATACAAAATACACAATCCAGCATACTCACTTATTCACAATGTCAAAGCTAAATAGGGTCCTGGAATGAGGCACCTGTGACAGAGAGGGGTGCAAAACAAAGGAGTGCAATACATGATCATATAATGTAACTAAACCCCCATTATTATTATTTTGCCAAGGTGAGGTGTTTAAAATAAAATTATATATTACAATCTGAGATTTGAAATCATTGTTTAGTGAATAAGCAAGTGCACTGGATTGTGTATTTTGTATGTTGTATATATTGGCCCCAGCAGCACCCTATAATGTATGCATGTACAGGTGAGTGCAGCCCTCTTGGTTTCATTTATATATTTGGGAGTCCGAGGCCAAATCCTCGGTTTTGCCCCCCTCCCTGTCACAGGTGCCTCATTCCAGGACCCTATTTATCCTTGACTTGCAGAGAGTCCCAGTAAGGAAGTATTTCCGAGGTAAGGGGATTAATCTCATAAAAGCAAGCATTAGGCTGCTAGGATAGGACCTGCCAAGAATGGGGCACACTGACGTTGTGGCAGGCTTATGCAATATATGATCATATAATGTAACTAAACTCCCATTATTTTTTTTTGCTTAGGTGAGGTGTTTTAAATAAAACTATTACAATCTCTAAGATTTGAAATCATTGTTTAGTGAATAAGCGAGTGCACTGGATTCTGTATTTTGTATATTTTGACCCCAGCAGCACCCTATAATGTATACATGTTCAGGTGAGTGCAGCCCTTTTGGTTTTATTTACACATATATACATTACATACATATAATTTTAGAGAAAGCGAGAGAAATATTAAATCTACTGCCATATTGTAATTAAAATTGGGCAAAAATTCTGCTACACTATTTGGTACGAAACTAAAACCTACTATTGGAGACCTGTAAAAACTTGGCAGTTCCGAAACTGGATGAGGGCAAGTTCACACACATTCATTTCACCCCTACCACCACGTGCTAGTCACAAATTTATAGTTACTGAACATTCTTCCTGCATTGCACTGTGGGAGATTCCTGTTTCAGCCATTTTTTATGATGCCACAATGTTTAGAGCACAATGTTTAGTACCCAACCATCAAAGTTTCTAACAGCAGAAAACATGCATGGAGTTTGCTCTTTTGCCTACTATCTTAATCAGAAGAGTACCCCCGTTGCTCAGTCCAACATATACTTCTATTATAGTCAGCCCAGCCCATATCATTTCAGTTGTAAGTGCTCCTATTTGACTTGCATTCAACACATTTTCCAGAGCAGCCGAAACTGCCACTGAGTTAAGCTCTATATTCTTATGGACGTAGCAAAAAGGGCTACTAAACTGGTTCATGGACTGCAGGGTAAAACTGACCAGGAAAGGTTAAAGGATCTTAACATGTATAGCTTGGAGGAAAGACGAGACGGCGGGATATGAGAAACATTTAAATACATAAAATTATCCTAATGGAGTCTTGTTCTGCAAAAAAGGCTTGGATTATCCCTTTACACATTACTTATTTACATAGTTATCAAAACAGTAGACACCCCAAAGAACTTTTCTAGCTGCATGTTATTTTACACAGTGACCTTTTTTATAATCTTGTTTCCACAGCATGCGCAGATCACCAGGTCCTATTTAAACAGAAGTGTTCTAGCTTCAGTCTGGTATATGGCATTGCTTCTAAGAATAGTTTAAATGAATTGGCTGAACGTAGGCAGGTAATAGATGCTATTAATGTCTCTATTGTAATACAAGCGAATATAAGTAGACTTTATCATGGATTCATGTGATATTCTATTCCCAAAAAAAAGCTAATCAATGCTGTCCAGGTCAGACAACATGGACTTACTGATAACGAAGAAGTGTTTATTTTGAAATGTGATGGAGATGTATATATAGTGTCTGGAAAGAGCACTGTTCTTTAGAATACTTTTTTAAAAGAACACTATAGGGTCAGGAACACAAACATGTATTCGTGACCCCATAGTGTTAAAATCACTACCTAGCTCCCCTGGTTACCCTATACCCTCCTAAATATAGTAAAATATTACCTTATTTCCAGTCTGCCAGTGCTGGCACTGCCCCCGATTCTCCACCTTGGCTGACACCACCAGAAATGATAATCTCAACCAATCACAATACTTTCCCATTGGAAAGCATTGGAATGGCGGGATTGTCAAGAAGGCAGGCCGGGAGCGGAGCTAAACACAGACCTGGCCAATCAGCATATCCTCATAGAGATGCATTTAATTACCACATTTCTATGGGGAAAAGTTCAGTGTCTCCAGCCGAGGAGTTGTCACTGGAGGTGTCCCTAGGGTGCAATGTAAACATGGTCTGAAAAGATAGTGTTTACTACAAAAAAGCCTGTACATTAAAAGGAAACCCCTTCTGTCACTTATCTGGATCCAGTGCCGATATCACCCGGTGCTGGCTCTGGTCCGCCTTACTGCGCTCACATCGGGATTTCCCCATAGGATAGCATTATACAATGCTTTCCTATCGGGTTTTGGGTGATGCTGGATGTCCCCATGCATAGCGGGAGGACGTCCAGCATCACCCAAGCGACCAAAAGTCGCACAATAGCCCCTCTAGTGGCTGTCTGGTAGACTGCCACGAGAGGTGGAATTAATCCTAAAAGGTAATTATAGCAGTGTCTTAAAGGCAATAATTACCTTTGCAGGATTAAGGGACGTTAGACAGCGCACCCAGACCACTTCAATGAGCTGAAGTGATCTGGGTGACTATAGAATCCCTTTAAGCTGTTCTTCTGGTGACTATAGTGTCCCTTTTACAGACAACAAAACCCCATAGGACATTAAACAAATTCTAGGCCACAGGACCACAAGGGTGAGCTGTAGTGACCTTGTGCCTTAGATGCCCCTTTAAAACAAAAATTCTTAGGTTAAGTTAAAATAAAGTGTAGGGACATTATCTATGTTCATATATAGTTTGGCTTGTCCATCTCTGGAGATATGCACACATTTTGAAATATAAAAAAAGTTTTAATGTACAGTGCATAAACAAATATATACAGTAACATTTAACAGCAAAATAAAAATAAAACCCAAAAAGAACTTTGGAAAAAACAAACAAATTTTATTGTTTTACACTTGAATCTGAACATGAACAAAGAGAGAGAGAGAGAGGACCCCCCTCCCTGCCAAAAAACAAACAAAAAAAAACAAAAAGCAAGTTGCATGAAAAAGGAAGAACCATATTCTAGGTTTCAGGAAAAATTGAGTGCGATTTGAAAGATACCAAATTCACATCACTACCATTTTACGTTCGGTAAAACTTTATAAATACCAAAACAGTCACACATTTGAGTGCTAAATAAATATCTATGTAAGACATTCTGAAATACTCTCCATTGATGAAGCCCAGATTAAAAAAAGAAAAGAAAAAGAAAAACAAAACAATATTAATAAAAAATATATATATATACTCACTTTATTCACTCAAGTAGTGTTGTTCAGGTAGAAAACGTATGGCCTTTTATTGGTCCCTGCCCGCCTCCCCCTTCCCATAGTTAACAGTCAACTGCTTATCAAAATAACTACACAAAATAGAAAAGTACATATGGAAAGATATGTTATCCTTAGATAAACAGAGGAAAACGATCAAACTATTCTAGTATTGTAAAACAGTGCGTTGCAAATCTGATATACATATAGAATTCTATAAAACATGTTTATGTGGTGTAGACCTGGTTTTGCAGTATTATTCTGCTTTCCCCTGAGTGCTGGATAGTAAGAGGAACTCATGTATGTCACACTTTTTGGACGTTTGAGTTACATTTGTAATTTGTTTGGAGATTCTGTTCAGCAGGACATTAAATTCCCTGAAAACGCAAATCCAGCTTTAGTATCAGATCCGAGACCTTTTTGAAGGTGGGAGAGGGGTCTGTGTTTTGCTGCAAGAGACCTCCAGCCCCAGTTTTTCGGCTTCGTTGGCGAAGAAAGACTGAAGCCTGACACCCGCTCTGGCTTCGTTGCTATTAAAGTGGTTGTACTCAAAACAGTTGGAAAACATCAGCTCGACATCTTCCACAAATTCGGCTGTATGGGAGAAACACATGCTTTTTGAATCATTTTAATGCATAGAATGAGAGAGGAATTTTTTTTTTAAAAATTAAAAATTGTATCTACACAACGCTTAATCTTAAAACGGTTCATCACACTTCTAACAATATAGTAAGAATAGCAAAACAGATAGGAACTGCAGCCTCCAACACGAAGACCATTCTGTCCAGACTGACAGCTAATAATGAGCATTTTCATAAATTCCTACTGAGTACTGAACACAATATAATAATCAATATTGATTTGAGAAATATTTTATCACTGATCTGTATATAAAATATATTTAAATAAAAAAATAAAAAATGGTAAAGTTGAAAAGCATAGATTTCTAGAAAAGATTTTGTTTTTTAAAGACTTTTTTTTTAAAGGGACTCACATGCAGATTTGTATTCACATTTGTTCACTTTCTCTCGGATGACATTTAGAGCAATGGGTTTCTGGATAATATCAAAGTAGTCGGGAACCTGTAAGGGAAGATTGTTTTTTTATTTTATTACCCCCAAATACACAAATTGAGATTTATACATAAAAAAAAAAAAAAAAACCTGCATTATATATGTTCAAACATAAGCTAAGGGATACAGTGATTTCAAATCTGCAAACGAGGCTCAGGTAAATTCAGTGGTGTGTAAATGCCACATAAACAATCCAATACAAAAAAAATGTATTGCTGACACTATAGTGCTGGTGTGGCTGTTTAGATCCCAGCCCCTCTGTCTGTGCATTGAAAGGTTTTTAATCACCTTCTCTCCTACATTGGTCTCACTGCGTCTGGCCCGCGCCTCCACGGCTAAGATCATTCTTGATTATCGCAGCCCTTTTAACATTTTCCCATTAGAAGGCTATTGCGCAGATGCAGCAAAAATGCTGCACTCTGCTAAACAGCATCTACTCTTAGAGATCTATTGTATTGACGCATCTATAGGGAATGTCCATCGACTCCATAAAGAGTGTGGAGATGCTCAACACCAGTACTGCACACATTGCAGCACGGAGATAGGAATATAAACTAAGAATTTACATTGAAAAGCCTGCAGGGATAGGTTGTAGGCACCAGAACCATTACATTAAGCTGTAGTTTTAAATGTAATAGTTTTTATAGTATTGTGACTATAATGCCCCTTTAAAGAACAGCTTTTGGGGCATAGATGCAGCCCCATCAGCCTGGCAGATGAACAATATCATTCCTGAGAAACCACACTGTTTATATTTTAGCACTAAGCATGCCACTAGTGGCTCTCAGATTGGATACAGTAATTATCATAGATGAGCAATGGATCAGTGTGTGGGGACAGCTTAAACACATTTGATTAGACAAACGTCAACAATCTTGATCACTTCACATTAAGAGGATCAGACAGCAGCGAGTAGTCTGTCTTCATGTTTGATTACAGGTATGTTTATGTTGATTTTGAAAGGATTTTGTGTTTTGGTTTGATAACTAGTAAATTAAAACATCTAACACACAGACACAGCCACCCACCAAACGATGATGTTGTAAGTACCGTTCCTTTAAACAATGTAGATAACACTAGTATAAATAAAATATTTTTTTTTTTAAAAAGAAACTTCGCAAACACCACCAGCACTGGATGTAAAAACAAATATTTTTCTTTACTACAGATTTTAAGTGCAAAAACTAACATTTCTGTAAATCTGACATTCTGGTCGCTGTTATCATGCACGGTACCTGAATTTTTGACACAAGTTTCATGAAAGGCCAGCTGTCGTCATGTCTCACTAACTCCACAACTAACTGCTCGCAAGCAGATAGCTCGTGCACACCTTGATTCCTGCCGGAGCTCCTCCTGTTTGCTTGATCTGCTGAAATGTGGTCTAAGAAACAAAAAACAGAATACATATGTTGTGTTGTTGGCCAATACACGCAAATGTCTTTTTACTGTAACAAAGCCACAAGGGGCACAAATAGGGTTAAATAAGAAATTATGCTAACCTTTAACCCCTTCCTGACCTTGGATGTACCTGGTACGTCCGATCCCAAATATCCACTTACCTGATCGCTTGCAAACCCCCACCGGCGATCGTAATGTGGGGGACTTGCCTGGCATTCCAGGCAGTCCCCCCTGCAGCTTTTCTGGACCCCCGGGCCACGTGATCGTAGGGTCCTCACGATCACATGGCCGGAAAAGCCGGCTTGTGCAGGGGGAGTGCCTGAGCTCTCAGGCTGTCCCCCCTCATGCCTGCAAAAAAGTGAAAAGTACTTTGATCCGGAGTTTAGAAATATCCAGTGTCCTTAGCTTTTTTTTTTTTTGTGTGGAAAGTGTTAGGGCAATAAGTACAATTAGGACATTCCTGTTTCAAAATATATATTTTTACAGTTATCAATAGTGACATTGTAACACCGTTATCTGTCATAAATCTCTGAATCACACCTCATATGTACATATTTTTCTAAAGTGGACAACCTAGGGTATACGATATGGAGTATGTCCAGTCTCTTTTTGTAGCCACAAACACTGGCCAAAGTTAGCGTTAATATTTGTTTGAGTGTGAAAAATGCACAAATCTAATTGGAATGTTAATTTTGCCCCGTGTTTGTGACAAAGTGGCTACTAAAAAATACTATATATAATTCAAGTACGTTTATATGCACATACACAATTCATTATTCTAAATGTATTTTAATGATATATATTATTAAAATACACTTAGAATGATTAGTACATATATATAAAAAAAATGTGATAACTGTTTAAATTTGTTTTTTTTTTTTTTCAAATTTGACAATTTTTATTGTTTTGTCATTCTTTAGGGATGAGGATACAGAAAAAAGAAGGGAGGGATGGGGAGGGGGGTAGTTGCAATTCCCTAAAGAGTGTGTACAAGTTAGTCATCATATACAGTCGCTGTAATTACATTGTTGGAGTACACATAATTACTGTTGAACCGTGCAAGGCAGTGACATTCGTGCATTGGCCTTTGGGATATATACTTTTCCCGTACCCTTGGAGTGGATGAGAGGGAGAGAACTAGGGCCTGACCCTATGCTTCAGTGGTATTGTTTGCCATAATTTCCCTGGGGACTAGATATGTGCTTGAAGTCATTTGAGGGTTATTTCGGTTGCTCTTCAAGTTTACCTTTGGACCTCTAGTGTTGTATGGAGTGGTCGTACTCCTTGTGGTCAGTTACTTTGGCATTCCCGTCTGGTGGGGTATGCTTTGGCAAGTATTCTGGCCTCGTGTGGGTCGAGGTCATTCACGACATCAGCTCACGATGGGAGGTTCCCTGTTGTGTCATTTTTGTATGTTTCCCACTTATCCCATGCTATTTCCCAGTATCTTCGGTACTGTTTGTGTGGTTTGTTGGGAGAAGTGGTTTGCCTTCTCATTGTGGTTTCAAAGTGGCCCGCGTGGCTTATTTGTTGTATGCACATGGGGATGGAGGGTATAGTTTGTGATAGCCAGTTTTGTGCTAGAGCGCCTAGGGCTACTATATTTATATGGAAGATGAGGTACCTATCTGGTTTAGGTAGCGACTCTGGGATATTGAAGAGCACATAGTTGTCCAAATTATGAGGTAGGGTGCATCCTGTACTGTGTGTGATGATTTTGGATATGTCTTTCCAGTATTGTTGCAGGTATGGGCAGGTCCACCATATGTGTGCCATTGTTCCTGTGCCTGATTTGCATCTCCAGCAGTGTGTTGGAAGGGATTGATTATATTTGTGTAGTCGTATGGGTGTAAGGTACCATCTATATAGGAGTTTTTTGGCAAGCTCTATGTGTTTTGAGCATAACGTGAAGGATTTGGGGGTTAGGATCATGCGTTCCCATTCCGGTTCAGTAAATTGTTTGTGGGTTTCTGTTTCCCACGCTTTGATAAATCTGTGTTCGTGCAGTTTGCATTTTGTGGGTAGTGTTGTATAGATAGAGGATATGACTTTCTGGGGCGGTGTGGGGCTAATATACATTTCCTCAAATTCTGTCATCTTTTGTGTCTGAGTGTTGATTGTTTTCTCCTGAATTTGTATGCGCAACCATGAGTCTAATTGGCGGTATGAATAATGTGCTATCGTTGGGAGCTTATGTGAGGCCTGTAATGAGGCGAAGGTTGCTAGTCCCGTATTGGTGAGTATCTGGTGTAGGAATTGTATGCCGTGTCTTTCCCATATTCTGTAGTTAAAATCCGGGATAATGTGTGCGATTGATTTAAGTGGCATGGCTTTGGAAAGGATTGAGTTATTTGTTAGGAGGGGACGGGCTCCGTCCCATATTTTTAGTGATAATGTTGTGGTTGGTAGGCAATCTTGTAGTTGCGGCCGGGTATGTTTCGGTATCCACATTAAGTTGTCAGTACTAATATTATTGGCCCATTCTGCTTCTAGATGTTTCCATTGAGGTGCTTGTGCGCCTGGTCGTGTTTGGATAATGCTGCTAAGTACGGTTGCATGGTAGTACTGTTTAAGATTTGGCAGATTCATACCCCCTTCTTTGAGCGGTAACTGCAGTACCTTTAGGGCTATACGTGCCCTTTTGTCATTCCAAACAAATCTGGATATCCAGCGTTGGATTGTGGTAAAGTAAGTGGCGGGTATATGTATCATAAGTGATCTGAAAAGGTATAACAACTTAGGGAGGATTATCATCTTGATCGCTACCATGCGTCCCGACCAGGATATGAATGATGTTTTCCATTCTTGTAGTTGTTTCTTTATTTCTATACTGAGTTTGCCATAATTGGCGTTAAATAATGCGGTGTGTGATTTTGTGAACCGTATACCTAGAAATGTAATGTAGTCAGTTCTCCAGTCGTATGTGTAGGTGTTTTTTAGGTTATAAGTGACCTCTGGGGGGAGACCTTTGCAAAGAGCTTGCGTCTTAGAAATATTTAGTTTGTAATAGGACATTTTACTATAGTTTTCTAGTGTAGAGTGGAAATGTGGTAGGGAGGCTTCGGGGTCTTGTAGCGTCAATAGTACATCGTCCGCGAATAGTGTAAGTTTATGTTCTTTGTTTTGTGTTTTGATGCCTAGGATTAATGGGTGTTGTCTAATGAGAGTCGTGAGAGGTTCTAACGCCAGTACGTATAAGAGGGGTGAGAGGGGGCATCCCTGTCTGGTCCCATTTGTGATCTCAAACGGATCCGACAGGAACCCTGCGTTGATGAGTCTAGCGGTGGGTTTGCTATATAAAGCCTGTATTGTGTTCATGAACTCTGGTGGGAATTCGAACTTCGTTAAGGTCGCTCTGAGAAAGTCCCAATTCAGCCTATCAAAAGCCTTTTCGGCATCAAGTGACAGGAATAGGCATCCCGTTTTCCGTTTGTGTATGCTGTATAGTATGTCTAAAACTTTCCTAGTACCGTCAGTGCCCTGCCTTCCCTTTATAAAGCCAACTTGGTCTTCATGGACCAAGTCTGGAAGCATTGCAGCTAGTCTATTCGAGTATATTTTCGCCAGCAGTTTAAGATCTGTGTTAAGAAGTGAGATTGGGCGTAAGTTCTGTCCTTTGTCTGGCAATTTCCCCGGTTTGGGTAGTGTGGCTACATGGGCTATGAGCATTTCCTGTGGGATCGTCCCCGTGTGTATTATGGATTGAAAGGTTTGTTTCATGTAAGGAACGAGTGTGGGTGCGAAAGTTTTGTAGTATTGATTCGTGAATCGGTCTGGGCCCGGGGATTTCCCTGTAGGTAGTCTGGCAATTGTGTCCGTCAGTTCAGTTATCGAGATCTGTTCCGATAGTTTGTGTTTTTGTTCTTCTGTCAGTGTTGGCAGTGGTATTTGTCGTAGGTATCCCTCAATGTCTGTGACAGTTGGTTGATATAGGGTTTCATCTGCTTTTAGATTGTAGAGGGTGTTATAGAAGGTCACTAATTCCCTATTCATGTCTTGTGGATTCCATAGTTTTTGGTTACTTTTTGAGAGAATGTATGGAATCTTGGAGTTAGATTGCTTTTTGCGTAGCATGTTGGCCAGCAGTTTGCTGGCCTTGTTCCCTTTTGCATAATGGTTCATTTTGAATTTTTTCAGAATGTATGCCGTTTTTTGGAATTGGTGGTCATTAATTTTGGAGGTGATGTTTTGGATTTCCGATAGGAGATCCTGTTTTTTTGTTTGGTAATAAGTTTGGGTCGTATCTCTTAATTGTATGAGCAGTTTCATCAGTGTTGCACGTCTTTGTTTATTGAGATATGATGCTCTGCGGATCAACAGTCCTCGTACGACTGATTTATGTGCTTGCCACAGAATCGGGGCCGTGGTCTGGGGGTTCTCGTTAGTAGTAAAGTATTGTTTAAGTTCTTGGTCTAGTGTGAGGGTGAAGTCTTGGTCGTGAAGCAGTGAGTTGTTTAGTCTCCATGAGCCTTTGCCTTTGTATGTGAATGCGTCAGTGAGTGTCAGTATCACTGGGGCGTGGTCCGACCATGTAATATCTCCATGTGTACATTGGTGCGTGTGTGGTAATCCTGTGCTGGTCATGAAAAAATGATCTATCCTAGAGTGGGTCTTGTGCACTTGGGAGTAGTAGGTGTAGTCCTTATCTCCTGGATGTAGTGTGCGCCACACATCGTATAAGTTAAATTGAATTAGCAGTTTATTAAGTTTGGCGCAGGCCGGTCTAAGAGATGCCAGTCTGGGTTTTTTTGCGTCCAGTGTAGTGTCCATTTCTGGGTCTAGGGTGTGGTTTAGGTCTCCACAGTATATTACTATGCCTTGTTGTACAGTACTTACTTTAGTCAGTATTTTATGTAGGAAGTGCCATTGATTGTCGTTTGGTGCGTAGATATTGACTATGGTGTATGTGATATCATTGAGGTTGCATATTAGGATGAGGTATCTCCCATTGGCGTCTTTAACTATTTTGAGTGGATCAAATGCCACTGATTTGTGTATTAGAATGCTAACTCCTCTAGATTTGTGGCTATGTGTGGAGTGGTATTGGTTTGGGAATTGTGAAGGGTCCAAGGAAGGAGATGTCTGCCTTTTGAAGTGAGTTTCTTGGAGGCAGATCACATCCGCGTTGTGGTTTTTCAGTTCTGTGCGCAATGTTTGGCGTTTTTGGGGGGTATTTAGGCCCCTTACATTATGTGAATATATTTTCATTATGGGGTTGGGCAGGTTGGAATTCTTCGTCTGTTGTTGAGTAGTTCAGTATAATGTTTAGTGATAGTCTGCCTCGGTATGCCAGCCATGGTGTGTGCCTGGTGATGAGCGACTTGCGGACTGTTTGCTTGATATGCATAGGTTTGGGTGTAGTGGGTTCTTGATCCTTCTCATGGTTTGCAACTAGGGATAAGGATAGGTGGGGTATAAACCTGAGTCTCGTAGAGAACTCAACTATGTACAACAATGCCCAGATGTAGGGCTCGGTACTCCTTGGTAGTACCTGGGGTGTGGTGAGCATGTACTTTCTGCTCACGAAGGAGGCTACCTGGGCTCCTTCATTGTTTAGGTATTATCGTATTCCCCGAAATTCATGCCAAGCTAGTATCCCTGATTATGGGTTTGGTGCCTTATCTTAGTATAGGTACCGAGGTCAGAGGGAGTGCAAGTGCTGTTTTTTTTTTTTATTTTTTTTTTATTTTATATATCACCCCGGCAATTGCTACAGTGTGTTGGGGAAAGCTGCCACAGCTTCTTGTACTAAGAATGCTAGTGCGTCTGTGCTGTGCTTCGTGTCGGGGTATTTCGGTTAGCGTGTCCCCACCTTCCCCCCGACCTCTTGCTCCGTTTGATTCTAATATACAGTAGTAGAGTAATACTAATATTAACTTTTTTTTTTTTTTTTTCAGTTGTACAATCTTAGATAGGCATTCAGGTTGTGGTGCAGCTAACTTTGCGTCTGCAATTCAGCTTCACTTCAATTCCAGCAGGTTGGGGTCAGTAGGTTATCCATAACCCTTTTGTCTTAGGTGTGGGTTGGTGGGTGTGCCTACTCAATTAGGTAGGGGGTAAATCTGATCTAGATTTGGTCTACTTTTGGCATTCGGGGTTCTAGTGTGCGTTGGCGTGCGTGTAGTTGTTGTCTGTGCCATGGAAATGTGCGGGTTGAGGTGTCACAAGGTTAACAAAATTAGCATAAGCAAACATAAACAATTGGATCATTATATACATTACCAGCCTCTACTCGTTATATCTTATTATCAGTCCAGATTGGCTGGTATAAGTCTATTGATACTATACTTTGCGCCATTCACGATGCAGCATGGCAGATTCTCTAGTCGGCTTGCTTGGTGTGGGTAAGTTCCATTCCTTGAGGAGCTTTTCACCGTCTTCTGGCGAGGCCAATATCTTCGTCGCGCCGTCTTTGGTGATGAGAAGCTTGAGGGGGTAACCCCACCGGTAAGCTATTTGGTGCTGCCTGAGGATGATAGTGATGGGTTGGAAGGCTTTCCTCCTTCTCAGCGTCGCTGCGGATAGGTCCGGGAATATCTTTATATCAGCGTATTTGCCAAGTGCATTTTTATTTGTTCTGCTCTGTTTTAAGATTATTTCTTTAATATGATGGTAGTGAGCGCACAGGATGACATCCCTTGGGACTGAGGGTGGTAGGTGTGAAGGTTTAGGTATTCTGTGTACTCTATCCAAGAGGAGCATGTCTGGCGGTGTGTCTGGCGAGAGCACATGGAAAAATTCGTGCACGTAGGCCTGGAGGTCCGCAGGGGCCACCGTTTCTGGTATGCCCCGCAGTCGTAGATTATTCCTCCTCGCCCTATCTTCAATATCCATGAGCTTGTTCTCCATTGTGGATACTGTGGCTTGCAGTGCGTTCACCTGGTCTATTAGGTGGTTGTGTGCCTCTTGTGTTTCCTCTATCCTCTCCTCCACGCGGGAGGTTCTCGCTCCCAGCTCCCCTATGTCTTTCTTCAGGCTTGATAGGCCTTTTTCCCAGCCAGCCATCATTTTGCTGGAGAACGCTCCCAGCTGTTCCAAAAGAAATTGCTTGGTGACCGGCTCTTCCATAGTCTGGTCGGCAGAGTCTGTAAGGAGGTTGCTGTCGTGTGTTTCCTCCCCGCCATCTTGTTGGTGCTGCTGGTTTGTATATTTGTTTTGCGCGGCAGTTTGACCAAAAAAGTTTTGTTTTTCGGTTTTGGAGGCTTGCCTTTTCTGCTTGGGTTGTGACATGTTCGTTTTTGGTTTGTCAGGGTCGTCTATTGCGGGTTTTGAGACGCCTTTTTCGGAGCCCATGTGCAGGAGCTAGAGATTACACGTCCATCTTGCTCCGCCGGTAGCCACGCCCCCCCGTTTAAATTTGTTTTAAAGGAGCACTAGTGTGTCAGGAACACAAACATATTCCTGACCATATAGTGTTTAACCCACCTCCCCCCGCCCCCCCCCTTAGCTCCCCTATAAAAGTTTAAAACTCACCTTATGTCCAGCGCTGCGCAGGTCTGCTGGTGACGGCTCTGCCCCTTTCGTGAGGGCAAAAGGGCAGATTTTCCCATAGGGAAAGCATTGAATTGGTTAGAAAAGGGCCAAATGCCTTTTTGGAAATCAGGACCTCCTCACAGAGCTGCACTGAAACAATGCATCTCAATTCTGCGTCTCTATGCAGAGCGTTGGGACGCTGAACAGCAGGGCTGATTAAGCTGTAGTAGTTCTGGTCACTATAGTGTCCCTTTAACTATTTAGATAATATACATATATTTAAATCATTTTGAATGAAGTTCATCTATCTACACACATATCTATCCATTATCTATCGATAGTTAATACAATGTTAAACAAAATCTGCACACCAGTCAAGCCATAAGACTTTCTTTTCCCACAGAAATCACAAATTTGCTGTGATGTTACTACTGCAAAGGATTCTGGGTGGGCATATGCAAATTAGTTTAAACAAAAATTTTTTTTTGCCTTATTCTATTTTAAACATGAATTCATTTGAGTCTGTGTTTTCTGTATGCAACAGCTTTGAAACAAAAGATGCAAAGCCAGTGAACCACTCATGGACTGCGGTTTCATTGTTAGTGCAAATCTCTCTATAAAAAATTTAAAAAAAATGATGTATGTACATATGTATTTAAATTCTACAATTAATAAGTCCTTTTATTAATTGCAATTTGAGGGACCTGCCTGACAACCCAGGCAGAAAGTCCAGAGAATTTGGTTCACAAGCCCTATATTTAACTATAACTTTCCAGGACACCATAAAACCTGTACATGGGGGCGTTACTGTTTTAATCGGGAGACTCCACTTGACATAAATGTTAGTGTTTCAAAACAGTAAAACATCACAATGATGAGATAGTCAGTGAAAGTGAAGTTTTTTGCATTTTTCACACACAAACTGCACTTTCACTGGTGATATTCACTGGTGATATTGTTGTGATACATTTTACTGTTTTGAAACACTAATATTTGTGTTCCGGAGTCTCGCGAGTAAAACCGAACACCCCCCCCCCCCACCTCCCCCAGTACAGGTTTTTTGGGGTTTTCAAAAGTTTCAGGGTCAAATATAAGGCTTGCATTTCCTTTTTTTCATATTGAATTTTGCCAGGTTGACACCGTATGGTAGCCCAGGAATAAGAATTTCCCCCATGATGGCATACCCATTTGCAAAAGTAGATAACTCAAGGTATTGCAAATGGGGTATGTCCAGTATTTTTTAGTAGCCACTTTGTCACAAACACGGGGCAAAATTAACGTTCAAATTAGTTTTTTTGCATTTTTCACACACAAAAATGAATGCTAACTTTGGCCAGTGTTTGTGACTAAGTGGCTACTAAAAAAGACTGGACATGCCCCATACTGAATACCCTGGGTTGTCCACTTTAGAAAAACATGTACATGTGAGGTGTGATTCAGAGATTTATGACATAACAGGGTTACAATGTCACCACTGATAATAAAAATATATATATATATATATATTTTGAAACAGTAATGTCCTACTTTTACTTATTGCCCTATAACTTTCCACAAAAAAAAAAAAAAGCTAAACAGGACAAAATCTAAAAAATATTTAGCACGGGTGTTTCTTGGCAGTTGTAGATGCACATGATTTTGGGGGTCAAGGTTAGAAAAGGTGTGTTTAAAAAAAAAAATTTTCATCAGATGTTATTTTTTTTATAGTAAATGATATGATGCAAATAATGGTATCTTTAGAAATACCATTTAATGGCGAGAAAAACGGTATAATAATAATATGTGTGGCTACAAATGAGTAAAATTACAGCTAAACAAACACCACAGAAATGTAAAAACAGTCCTGGTCCCCAAACGGTAAGAAAATTGAAAAACGATCTGGTCACTAAAGGGTTAACAGGTTTATAATGCCCCATCTAGTACGGTGAGAGCCCAGCTTTAAGCCCATAAGCATACAGTTTATATACACGGGTGGATACAGGGAGGACCTGTTGGTTCTCAGAGCAGTCTGAAATATCTGCAGTACAGATTTGACAAGGTGATTGAAACATTCCTTGCAGATGTTGGCCACCTCCTCCACACATTCATGGAGGTGAACCTCGAATACATCCTTATACCAAAATTGAACGGATTTATGCAAAGTTGTGCTTTGTAACATGGCACATTAATTTGCTTGAAAATAGAAAGACCCAAAAGCCATAAAGGGATAAACATGGTCAGCTACAATGTGTATGCACACAGCCACCCGTGAACAAAGTGATCTGTGTAGAAAAATATATCCAACACAAAAACTTAACTTATGGGTACACTGCTTCCCAAGGTTATTTCCCAGCTGATAACCATATGACAGAACTGTATAATTGATTGGATATTTTGGGATTCTACTAGTGTACCTACAATAGAGGATAAAACATAGTGCAAATATTGCTTTATACTATAAAAAAAATAAAAATCTGATTATTAATATGCACTCACATATTCCAAATTGGTAAAGCGTATTATGGGTGCCTCCCCACGATATAGATGGTTTTTTTTTTCTTTAAATATCCCTCCTCAAGTGATAGCCAATGGGGTATCAAGGTCAGCAAGGTGATCCAACAAACTGCAACCAAAAGAATACTTCAAAGGCGATTTATTCACTTCTTAAAATCAGGAGGTGTACAGGTAAAAATTATAAAAGCAAATATGAAAAAAAACACTGATCCTACGCGTTTCGTCCTTATACAAAAGGACTTCCTCAGGGACCTCTTTCAATAAAATACAATCACAAGTACAAAACCAAAAAGCATCCTAAAAACGCTACCAAACAAGCAATCTTATATATGGCTAATCCCTTCAAGTCATTGGTGGAATAGTCCGTGTCTTCTCATTTCTCAATTCCTATTCGTCCAAAGTTTCTTCTCCCCAGGTGCGATCACTTTGCCGGAAAAAATGCCGGGTTCTTTCGGTATTTGGCCACTTCCGCGTACGTCATACGTTACGCGTGCGTCATGTGTTCCGTTGCTCATCATGTGATCGTTGTGCGTTCCACATTTGGGAAACTACATGGCCGTGCGTTCCACGCCATAACAATAGCCTGAAAATCACTTCTCTTACACCTAGTGGTTATACACAAGGAACTAAAACAAAAGGACTATTAGGAATTATATTCAAAAGTAATAATAATAATAATATATCCTCTAAAAATTAGTAAATACTTTTATAATGAATGTAAAGCAACTTCCTATCTAAGTTGAGCATTCATAATATCTGTCACAATGCACCATTACAAAGGTGGTAGTTTATAAATTAATTTCAAATGTTAACAGTAATATGTATACTAACAGTGAACAAATCTTTAAAGAGACATGAGTGATTATATACTCAATTACATATCCATATTGTGCCTACCATAACTATTTTTTTTTCTCTTCTTCCTCAAAAAACCATAAAATATATATCTCTCTTGATTTAGTTCAAAAAACAAACTATGTCCATATCTACATTCAACCCCCTTGGGGTGAGAGTGCATACTCTATGAATCAAATATGACTCTCTTTGTGCTAATCGTTTCTCTTTATTGCCTCTCTCCAATGTGATTGAATTTGTTCTATCCCTATACAACGCAATCCTTTCAGGAAAAAAGGTGGACAACTATTACAATGAAGGGGAACCGAATGGGTATCTAATTTTTTCTTGATATTAATATGTTCCAAAAGTCTTACTTTTAAACATCTCTTTGTACGGCCAACATATTGGCTGCCGCACGGACACTGAAGCAAATACACCACACAGTCCGAGCGGCAACCAATCTCTGATTTAATGGAGAACTGTTTCCCTGTGACAGAGCTGCTATATGATGTAACCTTATCTGTGTTCACTTGCAAACAGGCTTTACAACCCCAAAAACCTTTAGTCCCTTTTTTATTTCTATATCCATTTTTTAAAGCATAACTTGTGCTAATAAATTCTTAAGATTTTGTTTTTTCCTATAAATAATCTTTGGCTTTTTTGACAAATGTTCCCCCAAAATGGAGTCCTCCAACAATATTGGCCAATATTTATATAAACTCCTTTTAATTTTTGGATGATCCACATTATATTGTGTAAAAAAAGCCTGTTTGAAATTTTCCCCTTTTCCTTTATTACTAGGGCCGTCCATTAAAAACGCATTCCTGCTTTTCTTAGACATATGAATTTCTCTTTATCTTTTTCTGGTTGGAACCTTTTTTGACTAATTTATCAGCTACATGTTGAGCCTGTCTACAAGTGAACACAGATAGAACCGCATCATATAGCAGCTCTGTCACAGGGAAACAGTTCTCCATTAAATCAGAGATTGGTTGCCGCTCGGACTGTGTGGTGTATTTGTTTCAGTGTCCGTGCGGCAGCTAATATGTTGGCCGTACAAAGATGTTTAAAAGTAAGACTTTTGGAACATATTAATATCAAGAAAAAATTAGATACCCATTCGGTTCCCCTTCATTGTAATAGTTGTCCACTTTTTTTCCTGAAAGGATTGCGTTGTATAGGGATAGAACAAATTCAATCACATTGGAGAGGGGGCAATAAAGAGAAACGATTAGCACAAAGAGAGTCATATTTGATTCATAGAGTATGCACTCTCACCCCAAGGGGGTTGAATGTAGATATGGACATAGTTTGTTTTTTGAACTAAATCAAGAGAGATATATATTTTATGGTTTTTTGAGGAAGAAGAGAAAAAAAAAATCGTTATGGTAGGCACAATATGGATATGTAATGGAGTATATAATCACTCATGTCACTTTAAAGATTTGTTCACTGTTAGTATACTAAATATTACTGTTAACATTTGAAATGAATTTATAAACTACCACCTTTGTAATAGATGGTGCATTGTGACAGATATTATGAATGTTCAACTTAGATAGGAAGTTGCTTTACATTCATTATAAGAAAGTATTTAGTTAATAATAATAATAATATATCCTCTAAAAATTATTATTATTATTACTTTTGAATATAATTCCTAATAGTTCTTTTGTTTTAGTTCCTTGTGTATAACCACTAGGTGTAATAGAAGTGATTTTCAGGCTATTGTTATGGCGTGGAACGCACGGCCATGTAGTTTCCCGAATGTGGAACGCACAACGATCACGTGATGAGCAACGGAACACATGACGCAAGCGTAACGTATGACATACGCGGAAGTGGCCAAGTACCGAAAGAACCCGGCATTTTTTCCGGCAAAGTGATCGCACCTGGGAGAAGAAACTTTGGACGAATAGGAATTGAGAAATGAGAAGACACCGACTATTCCACCAATGACTTGAAGGGATTAGCCCTATATAAGAATGCTTGTTTGGTAGCGTTTTTAGGATGCTTTTTGGTTTTGTGATTGTGATTGTATTTTATTGAAAGAGGTCCCTGAGGAAGTCCTTTTGTATAAGGACGAAACGCGTAGGACCAGTGTTTCTTTCATATTTGCTTTTATAATTTTTACCTGTACACCTCCTGATTTTAAGAAGTGAATAAATCGCCTTTGAAGTATTCTTTTGGTTGCAGTTTGTTGGATCACCTTGCTGATTGGCTATCACTTGAGGAAGGATATTTAAAGAAAAAAAAAAAAAAAACATCTACATCATGGGGAGGCACCCATAATACGCTTTACCAATTTGGAATATGTGAGTGCATATTAATCAGATTTTTGTTTTACAGTATAAAGCAATATTTGCACTGTTATCCTCTATTGTAGGTACACTAGCAGAATCCCAAAATATCCTATCAATTATACAATGTGTATGCAGCATTTAAACAATGCTTTAAGGATTACTTTAGTCACCAAAACTGCTTTAGCTTAAAGAAGCAGTTTTAGTGTATAGATGATGCCGCTAAAGTTTCACTGCCGTTTAAGAGTTAAATCACTTTTGTTCTATTTATGCAGCCGTAGTCACACCCCCTCTGGCCGTGAATGACACAGCCTGCATAAAAGCAAAATTGTTTCATTTTCAAATCAGATGTAACTTACTTTAAAAGTTTGTATCTCCTGCACTGTAAATTGAACTTTAATTACATAGAGAAGGCTCCTGCGGGGTCTAGCAAGCTATTAACTGAGTAGAAGATTAAAAAAAAGCTAAATTAAACAATTTGCAATAAAGGAAGTGTAAACATTAGATGACTCTTTACATGAAGTGTTTAGGAAGACTGTGCAAGTCACATGCAGGGAAATATGCACAGGGCAGCAGAAACAGTGATTTAACTCCTAAATGGCACAGAATGGAGTAGTGAGACTACAGGGGCATGATCTATACACCAAATCTGCTTCATTAAGCTACAGTGGTTTTGATGACTGTAAAAGGCCAGTCCACTGAGCTTATAGTGCAGTACCGTACAAAATGAGAAGGGTCATACCATAAAAATGTGGCCAATAGGAAGGCCCTAATTTGCAGTGTACATCATTTTGTGTAAACAAGACACAGATTAATAAAAGACATGTACACACCATTGAGCATGTGAGTGTTCCTGCAATAACAAACATGAATTTACCTGTAGACAAACGTTTCTTGCCTCGTCCTGAGGAGTGTATCTGTATAGTCATTGAATTCTTAGACTGTCCTCTCCCTCTTTGAGGTGTGTGATCAGGACTATCAAGACTGAATGGACGAAGGGCGAAAGGGCTTCCCACTGGAGTGTTATCAGCAGATTTCTGCATTCGACCACGTCCCCGGCCCCTACCTCTGCCACTTCCTCTGCCCCTACCAAGTCCTTTCCCACGGATGGAGACCAGCCCCACAAGAGAATTTCCAGGGGAATCTGTGTTTGCTTGTGTGTTCCGAGTAGATTGACGCAACGAGGTTTTATTTCCCAGAGGTGGAGCAGACCGTGTTTTTCGTCCTGTACCTCGCCCTCTACCTCTACCTCTACCTCGTGGAGAAGGTGAAAATGTTTTGGGAGTGCCTTGAAAAACTTTTGATGCTTTCCCACCTTTTTTCTGGGGTCCAGGTTTTCCAGCTATTCTTCCACTCTTCTTTAATGGAAAGTGGACTTTAGCCTTTCCTCTTTTCGGTGGGCTGGAAAGAGGTTGGCATAAAAAAAATGATGGGTTAGATTCTAAAATATACAGTTGACTAAACGTCCTAATTAATTTTTTTTAACCGGGCATATATTTAATTTCTCACCTATCTTCTTCAGAAAGTACACTCTGTTCTTCGTAGTCCTCCTCCTCCTCCGATACCTCCTCCGATTCCTCCTCCTCAGACTTTTCTTCTGCTGACTCCATCTCCTCTTCATCACTCTCCACTGAAGGTCTCTGCCTAGCAGGAGGTCTCTTCATGCGCTGCTTCGGTCGGCACTCAGGACAGAACCAGTCTCCCTCGGGAACATACTAAAGAAAAGATTAAGAAAGATTAAAAATGAATTAAAAAAAAAATACAAAAACAAAAAACAACTCTTCTGTTGCAGACTGTAGTTGCTATTCTACAAGTGAATATTAAAGACTTACTTTAAGTTTGGGTCGCACACAGTAGATATGGTGGCCTCTGTCACATCCATCACAAAGCAGCATGCATTCACTGTCCCCCTTTTTTCGACACACCTTGCAACGAGCATTCAGGATGGAGCGAGACCACAATATGCTGCGGTCCAGAGTAGATAAGTGAAGAAAGATTTGGGACAGGCTTCCAGACGACAACAACGATTCTCTCCATCGATCTAGCACCGTCCTCTGAGTACGACCACCATCACAGGCATCTACAAATGGAAGAATAAAATAAGGATGTTTATAAAGTATAGAACACTAAACAAAGCAACTAAAAACAGTTCACTCCGTAAATGGATCTCTGCCATTGCATGAACGTTAGGAAAAAAATTCAAATAAAAAAATGGGAAGAATTCTTAACTAGCTAACCATTTCAGAAAATCATTCTTGACATTGCCCTATCCGCTGTAGATCCCCTTTTCGAGAGATCAAGGTCTAACAAAAGAACTGCAGAAAAAAAAAATATTCTGTAGTAAGGAATGTGTTTTTTTCTGTTTTTTTTAAGAACATTGCAATATACTCATCAAGCACTACATGATGCTCAAATACGTAGGGATACGAGTTTTATTCTCAGAAATTGTTGTCCAAGACTAAGGAGGGGTAAAGAATGTCTAATTTTACTAGGATAACGCCTCTCCCGGTTAAAGTAACAATACGTGCCATCTTTTTCAGTTTGTTCTTCATCTTTCTTTTTTGCAGATTTTTTGTCCCTCTTCGTGTCCTCTGCGTCTCCTATCCAATACAGACAAATGTTAAAATGACACAGAAGGGCTTGTCATCAACTGACAAAACAAAGTACTGACGTTTATACTGAATGGATTTATGGAATTAGAAAACAATGTATATTAAAGTTGTGTCTATATTCAAAGACATACAAAAACCTTGATAAAGTGCAGCTTCCACAGATTTAAACCACCCCTGAATTTTAAGGACGAATAATAAAAAAGTGACAACTCATATACATTATGGGGCAAGCAAACCCTTAAAATAGAAAGCATACAAGTAAGAGACTCAGTCCTCAGAAATAAAATAACTCCCTCTCTCCATACAATATATACATATTTTAGAGGTTGCTCACCCAAGGTTGGCTTATATTTTTTTTATTTTGGGGTGTGGTGGTGGGGAGGTTACTATTCTATCAAATTAATAAATGCTTTTTGACTATTGCAAGGACCAATCTCTCCAGACATATAAGCATTACAATCTATTTGTTTTTGGGTGACTTGTCAAATTATACAAAGCAGTATTGAGGACTGTGTAGGATTAAAGCCACCTTGTTTGAAGGCATGCCTGCCAGTGTTACTGTCATACATAAAGCATTTTAATCTACTTACCCAAGGGAGCTTTCAAGAATCTGCGCTCCACGCCTTGCTCTATCTGGAGTAAAGCGCGAGCGAGGAAACGTAGAGTGTTATTGACTGGCTGAGGTGTGTTGGTGCTCGTGGACGTAGCACTAGGAGTTTCATTTTTCAATCCTTGCAGTCTGCAAACAGAATGGCAGTAAATAAAAAGCTATGTAGAGATACTTTAATCGAGCTTGAAAAAAATAAAAATATATAATAGAACACTACACATATCATGCCACTTAAGACTGATTGGGAGAAAAACACAAAAAAACACACACTCATAGGGTTGTGCTTTTGAAAATATATTCTCTTAACAATATTAGGGATAACACCATTACAGATGGCAATTTACTAAATTTATGCTAAAAATACAAAGGTTGACATTTTCTTTTTTTGGCTACCCCATTTTGAAAAAAGACTTTTCAAATCAGTTTGGTGAATAGACTTGCATCAACTGAGTTGCTTGTTAATACTATTTATTAAATATGCTTGGCCACGATGAAAAACACTAAGTAATAAAAAAATAATTTAAAAAAGAAAAACCACCCCTACAAATCTTAATTACACTTACAAACATCCCAGAAATGGAAAAAATACACTTTTTTTTACATGACAAATGTTTTGCTGTACACTGCAATCTCTATATGCAAGCAGCCATGAACTGCTGTTACACACCAAGCATTGCCAGGCAAGATATAATGATTTAATAAAACAGGACATGAAAACAAGGATGTTATACTATCGAAGCTAAATGTAAGCTTGCATTCAATACTCTTTTCAGGAGTCAAATATCACTAACATAATGAGGGGTGGTAAGTGAGGAAGTATAAAATGTTTATCCCCATAAAGTATCAAGCGTTTGGTGGATGACACGCCCATCCTCAGTGAAAATGCTCAGCAGTGGGTATCTCAACTAAGCAATGGGCATCGTCACAAAAAGGTTTGGTGTGCACAGAGGCTCAGCAAATAAAATGCTATACTGTACAATAATTTTTTTAAAATAAATTTTTATTTTTTAAAGAAACACCATGTGCATTGATATGCCAATAAAACAAATCCCTAGTGTTATAAATACACTTGTTTATAATGCTAAAGTGTAGTGGAGTTTACAGTGCCTGCTCCATGTATTCTTAAAGGGAAACCATGGTGCTAGGAATGCCCACCTTCCTCACGCCAACCCCGATGTCCCTTGGTGCTGGGGTCAGGCTCTGCCTCTTACCGGCAAAGGGGACCTAGGGCCCATAGGAAAGAATCGCTTAATGTTTTCCTATGGAATTTTAGCCGATGCAGGATATCCTCAAGCAAAGTGTGAGGACTTCCAGTCAGTCGCCTAACCACCCCGAAGTCTGGTGGACAGCTACTAGAGGTGGAGTTAATAACTGCAATAAAATGATTGCAGGGTTAAGGAGACAGGGACATTGCACCCAGACCACTTCAATCAGCTGAAGTGGTCTGGGTGCCTATAGAGTTCCTTTAAATAATTACCCCCCTCTGTCCATAATGTCTGCAGCTTGCCTTTCAAAAAAAGTGAATTACTTAATATTAACCTGAAGAGTGACAGTACAGTTTTAATTTTGCAGTTTTCTGAAGACTTAGAAAAAAAAAACAAAAAACAAAAACCCACACCTGTGTATTGAAGCGGTCATGGTGCACATACCATATAAATGTAGCATTTCAATATTAAACACTGTACATACTTAGATATCGAATGCTGCTGTCAAAGGTGTAACTTTGGCTCTGGCAGCGTCACTAGCCATCCCAAATTAAGTGATGGACTGCCTAATGTCAACTCTGTATATTCCTTGCACAGGCACTCATTCATTGGCTGACATCCTCAACCAATGAATTACTGGCAGGATCAGCATCCGACTTATACGACTCTGCAGTAGACAGATGCTATTCAGCCAGCATTGAGTGAGACTCCGTGCCTTGTGGAACCCATGTTATTTTCAAAATAGTTTGTCCCCTTACTGTGGAGTGTGCCAGGATACAGTGGGCTGTAGTACTAATGATGTTCTGAGTAACCCTATAAATGGCAAACATCAGGAACACATACTCATGACTATTAAAAGTGAAGTACCCATCTTATGAATATAATTATAGAATGATTGCAGTCTAAGCTTGATGGGTTTATGTTGATGTTGTGAAGCAGCAAGCAAGTTTGCAATGTTTTTTTCATGCACAGAAAATGTAGGTGGGTATGGAAAGCATCAGCGGAAGCTGTTAATGGTTCAGTAATGGAACATGCTAAGGATGCTGCTTACAGACTTAATTATGGAACCATAATTAATCTTCTGCAGTCCGCACAAGGAAAAACAAAAACATTTTATATTAGAAGAGATTGTAACCCCCTCTCCCCCATAATATACACACATTAGTATTGTCATAATTAAATGCAACCCTTTTCAGAGTATCTTGCACTCCAAACACATACATTTTACTTACCATCATTTATTTATTTTTCTGTTGGATTAGTGGCAGTACTTCCTACAAAGATTTTAGCAGTTTTTCCACAGGACAGGCAGAGTTTAAATGGAAGACTTTTTAAAAGCTCATCCTCCCACTATAAACCGACCCTCAAGACCCCAAGAAAGGACACGCATACGGAATGCATGCCAGAAAACTGTATTAATGAATGGAAGCTGACACTAAACGCAGGGAAATAAATTGTGGAAAGCAAATATTTATTTTTCACTAACAGAGGTAGTACAGGATGTTCATTAGACACAACTGCTTTAGATGCACAAGAAGTTGCAACAGCTCTAGTAGAATGGGCTTGAATAATACGAGGTAGAGATAGATTGGATGCCTTGTTTGCCAACAGAATGGCTGTTTAGAGTTTGAACATTAAAGGCTTAAGGCTCAACCAGCCACAACATTGCGAATTCAGGAGGCTGTCTTCCAATAAATTATTGCTTCTTTTCACACTATCATTTTGCCTGGTCTTCTGTGGCTCTCTGAGGGATTAGAAGTTACCCCATCAAGCATTACACTGAAGGCGATGAATGCAATTATTCTTCACCACTTCATGCACCCATCTGAGAGAGTGGAAATGTAGAAATGTAACGCACAACCACCGTACGTATCAAGCAGGACTAAAATACATAGGAAGCCAAAACAGAAACTGACTCTAGTAAAGTCATCAGATATGCCTGTCAAAAGAAGGCTTATAATTCAGTGGAATGTACAGACTATCCACTGGGAATATGGTAAGTAAAATTAAATTTTTACAGTTGGGGATGGGTGGGGACAAGGGGAAGGATGCAGGCATCATAAGCATTACTGGGGCACATTATTGCTATATAAAAATAAAATTACTTTCTATACAGAATACACATGAAATAAGTTTACAAATCCTATGCTGTGTTCAACAGTTTTGACAGTTTTCTGGCAGCTATACAAAAGGAATACAAATTAAAGTGGTCTCTCACCTGTCTTTAGTAATCGGCTTCGAGTCACCTTCCATTTCTTCGATGTCATTGCTTGACAGTTTTATTCCTCCATTCTCCTTTGCTTCATCACTCAATATTTCCATAACACATTTTTCAATAGATGCCCTCCATGCCTGTCTATCCGGTACCTACATCCAAAGAAATATATATTTTTCTACACTTTATTTATTTTAAATTATACAGATGTACAAAAAAAATGCAACATGATGGCAGTTTTCATTAAAAATGTGATAAAATAAAGAGGGATGTAAAATAAGCCATCAATGCCTTTATGCAAAAGTTTAAAAGGGCTTAGTCACTGTGCTGTCTGAAATTTTCAAATGAGCCATCAAGGTTTTGAAGAAACCTTCCAAACTAGGTGTGGAATGTGTGAATAAATGTCTTATCAAACACAATCACCATAGTTTGAGACAGTTAGTAGCCTGCTTTAAGATAATTTTCATACAATCTGATCTTGATACTTGTAACCATATTTATACCTTAACAGAGCCAAGTGTCCCCTGGTAAATTCTATCTTCAATATCCAAGAGTAGATCACACAACCGTAGTTGAAGTTGCTTCTCTGCTGAAACTTGAGTTGTATCAGGCACTTGCTGTGACCGTCCCCGACCAGGCTTAGAATCTATAGGCGGTGGGTTATCTAAAAAAGTAGATCACAAAATGACTTCAATATGTTTGGAACGGTCTGGTTTATATAGCATGCTTAGGAGAAATACTATTTTGATCCCTGCCCCCCAGCTCCCCCCTCCCACCCCAAAAAAATAAAAACATTTATTTATTGGCCTATATACCTAGTGTATGCCATTAGCATTCCTACGGTCAATCCATAGACAAACAGCAGTAGAGAGTCCCTCCCACTATGGGTTGTGATGCTGTTTCATAATGATTATGTGGTTCTGCAGTCAGCAGCTGTTTTATTCATCAGATCCAATAAGTGGAACGGCTGAATACGTTTTATGAATGGGGCCAAGCACAAGTTTTTACCTGCGTGCCACAGACTTGGATTTTGTAAGAGCTGGACAAAGATGGTAGGGCTTTGTTAAAGGGACACGATAGGCATCCAGACTACTTTACCTCGTTGAAGTGTGTTGGGTGCAGTGTCCCTGTTCCCTTAACCCTGCAAAACTGCAATGTTAAGACTGCCTCTAGTGGTGGTCTACCAGACAGCCACTAGAGGCACTTCCTGCAGTTTCATGGAGTTTGAATGAGAATGCCCAGCATTTTCAGAGTCCCCAAAAGAAAGCATTGAGTCACTGCTTCCCTATGGGGAAGACCTAATATGTGTTCAGTGTTTGTTGCAAAGGTGCATTAGGTTCCCCAGAACGGTGGACGTCGGCAGAGGAGCCTGACCCAGTAATGAGGGACATCACCAGTGGATTCAGGCAAGTGTTTAAAAAGTTAAAATTAAACGCTTACACTATTACTCATTACTGGCCAAGGACAGCCAAGCCAAAAAAAAAAAAAAAAATTCATATTATATTGTATAAGTACATGTCCCAAATAATAGGCGCAGGCATTACAAGAAACGGCATATCATTTGGCCGAATGTGTTGCACAGGAAATGTATTTTTATTTTAGTGAACGCTTACAGTGCAACAATTAGAGGCAAGTAGGGTAAAAAAAAAAAAAAAAAAACTAAAAAAACCCAAATACTACAATTTCTCTTGAAACTTCAGTTCTGGTCTCAAAGTAGTTTTGGTATTCTAAAACTGTACCTCCGTATTGCACTTAAGCCGTTCGGAATGTTACATTCTTTAAAAGGGACAATTTACTTTCCTCAAACCTTTTTTTTTTTTTTTTTTATGAGATTCCCATTACTTTATTCCCATTTTGATATTGTAGGGTAGTCGATTTTATATTTATAAACATGGTTATAACATATGTTATGTGCTAAACCCATAATACATGGCAGTAACAGTACCAGAAAGATGGAAGCGGTTGACAGGAAGATTAGTCAGCTTTTGGGAGATCTTGTTTTTTTCTTGAACAAGTATGTCTTTCAGTGAGGTCTCTCTGTATCCTCTGGTATTAAGGCATTCAATCAGCTCATCCAGTTGCTCAGTGGAGTAATAAAACCACCAACGGTTTGGCTTGGTCACAGGTTTGGGAAGCTCTTCATTTATGTTTCGATCAGGAGGTGCGTGGCAATTAATTGCAAGATTCAAGGCATCTCGATGAGAAATTGGCCGTGGTTGTAGCATGTCCTCAGTGAGCCCATAGTAGTCTTCCTCTACAAATAGTCCTGGCACAGAATAGAATGTCCAGAAACGCCTATACCAACGATCTCGACCAAGTGGGAAGATATTGGTGCAGGCTGTAGCCTCTTGTATCTTTTCTAACAACTCCTGCTCTTTTTTCTGTTGTTGCTGCCTCAAGGACTCTTGCTCTTCAGGAGTTAAAGCTCCTTTCTTTTCCATGGTTACCCCCATACTTAGGCCGCTATTCTTACCATATTTTAAGCCATTCTGGGTCTTGTTCCCTAGACACAAGATAGGACACAATTAAGCGTTTAATGATTGGTTAGGTTTGCATGTTTATATTGTGATTAGAGAAAAAAATAAAAATAAAAAAATATATATATTTATATAATCGAGAGAGAATAGTAATTATTTTGATTTCTCCTCCTCACTATATGCTGACCGGTACAAATGGAATCGCTTTAAAAAAAATAAAAAATAAATAAAAAAATCTGTTAGAGAGCCAAGATGGAAGCACACCACGGCAGAGGTAAATGTAGTGGAGATTTCCACATTTCATTTTCAGACATCATAAACACAGTTAAATATAGGGGAAAATTAAATCATTAAATAATTCTGGGAAGTGTTGGTTCCATTAAAATTTTAACAAACAGTGCTGGTGGTCAGACAAAATTGAGATAAACCAAGAAAAAAAATAAAAAAAATAAAATTAAAAATAAAATACAAAAATGTACCCATCGCCCCTCTTAACTGAAGCATGATAATGCCTTATTATAAATTTGTGTATGTAAATAAAGAGGCACATTTCAGCTATGTGTCTACCTTTTTGGCCAAATGATGTGTCTTCATCTTCTGAGTCTTGATCTTTTTGCTCTGGATCTTTGTTCTCTGAACTAGTATCTAAATCATCTTCATTTCTAAGAAACACAAAAACCAACATACAACAGGCTAAATACTCCGATAGCAAAACACAATCGCAGAGGAATAACGATATCACAGTAAAGCTTCATCAGAAGCAGATTATAAATCCTGTATGAGGAAGGCTTATCGAACGTCACTTACCCTGCACATCTACTACTCTCTTCTTCCTTCAATTTCTCATGCTTGTCTTTCATCTTCATCTCCTGTTCCTTCAGCTTATCCACTTTCCGTTTACGAATTCTAATAGAGAAAAATGATCACCATTTAAGTACCCCTCAGTTTCTTTCCAGTGGGTTTTAAAACCTTATATCAGAGATATTACTTGGAAAATGTTATTGGTTATTAAGATGGCATGCTTGGATCATTACTTCTGTACATTTGGACTACAGGATTATGTAATACAGTGTAGCATTACAGTGGAATGCTTCGAATTTGTAACCCTAGTATGACCAATGACAATCTCTGACATTTAGTTCTTAAAGTGACACTATATAGTCACCAAAACAACTGGAGCTGAATGTAGTTTTGAGAAGTATAGCCTGTCCCTGCAGTAATTTTAATGAAAAGGCAGCGTTTACATTGCTCCCTAGGGACACCTCCAGTGGCAGTCACTCAGACAGTCGCTAGAGGTGCTTCCTGGGTCAGTGCCGCACAACATGCAACACGGACATTCAGTGTCTCCATGCTCTGCGTGGAGGCGCTGAACTTTCCCCATAGAGAGGCATAGATTCAATGCATCTCTAAGAGGAGATGCTGATTGGTCAGCGTGCATCTGGCCAAAGCCCTGACCTCAGAATTATATTTAACACTATAGTGTCAGGAATACATACACAACAGAAGAGATTTTCACCAGTAGCTTACTATAATTTACCAATCTGACCTCAAATGATATTCACTTTGCTGGTATTTTGTATATAATTTATAACAAACAAAAAGTAAGACGAAATAACTAGTCAACTGATGCAAAGTTCTAAATTAGGTTTGCTGCCATTGCCACTGTGAGTTCCATTAACCAGAAGAGGATAGCAGCGGGAGGCAGGGGTAAACATTCTCTGCCCTTATGTTTCCAGAAGCACCATGCTAATCCTGGTCACAAAAAACAAAAAGCCAAGAATGGCAAGCGACCAACCTTAGTGGGGTGGGTGTGTGGACACACTTTTAGACAAATATATAAAAAAAAAAAAAAACTATTCTTAAAAGTGAGACACCAGGAAATGGAACGGCTTCCTAAAATTGAAATAGAACTAAGAAAGAGAGCCAGTTCAATAAGGACTATGAAACGGTCTATAAGTAGCGGAAATAAAAAGGATTAAACTTCTATAATCTAGTAAGAGGGAAATCTCCCTTTTTATAATAAGGCAGAGTGTATACTCAATTCACAGAAGAAAGTGTGAATAGGATACTTGGTAACAAAAACTAATTGCTCGAGCGTATATACAACGTGGTAATTTACGTAGGTCACCCTGAAAAGTTCGTAAGCAGAGCATTAATGTCTATATAAAAAAAAAAAAAAAAAAAAGCTAGTGAGCTAGATAGTACTCAAGCAGCAGAATGCAGTATGGTCTATGAATAGAAGTAGGTTGAAAGTTCTATATGCTTACAAAAAAATTAATTAAAAAGCAGTCAGAAGTACATTTCAATACCATTGTCACGGACCAATCAAGCACAGAGATCACAAACTGGCCACAAACTGAAGACATGCCTTTAGATTGCAACATCTGCAGTCTAGCTAGCCTCTGATTGAGCTATTATGTCAAGGCACAGGCAAAGGCTGGGGGATCTTGGCGCTGAGGACTTTTTTCTAAGGAGGAGGATTGGCTGGAAATTAGGACAGCACCAATTAAGGTTTTGCTGAAACTGATGATCTAGTTCCTGGCGAACTAAAGATCAACACAAACACAAGAAATATTTTTCACAATGACTACAAGTAGCCAGGTTTTTGATCAGATGTTAAGAAAATGGAAAAACACTGAAACCTGTAACTACCCATAATATACTGACCTGGCAGCAGCCCCCTCTCTCCCTCGCCGATTCTGTTCAGATTTCAGTTCTCTGAACTCTTGCTTTGCCTGGCGAAGCTCTTCAAAGTAATCTTCAATGTAGTCTCTGGTTGAGACCAATGTCAGCAACTTTCCACACAATGCATGAAGAATCATTAACTTTTCACCTACAAGGGGGGGAAAATTAATTTTAAAAAATGGAATCGCATCATTAGGTCTACATACCGTGTCTTCCATATGACAAGTTCAAATAATAATTGTAAAACGGGGCGAGAAAAGAGATGGACAGGTCTCAGTTGCAATTAAAACAGAGTACAGGTATACAGAATGCAAAACAACCTGGTAGGACATTAGAGAGATCCCTGAGGAGGATCAACCTTTACAGGCATAGTGAGGCCCTTGGTCTCTTTATTATTATATTATTTATATAGCGCCAACAAATTCCGTAGCGCTGTACAATGGGTGGACTAACAGACACATAATTGAGATCAGACCACTGACGTACAGGAACAGAGGGGGTTGAGGGCCCTGCTCGATGAGCTTACATGCTAGAGGGAGTGGGGTATAGTGACACAAAGGGTTAAAGTAGGGGAATTAAATAGTTTGTTACAGAAGGGTTTATTGAGTGCTTGGTAGGTCATTTTTGACAGGTAAAGGAACGGAGTCATGGGGTGGGGGATGAGAAACCTGCTGACAGTTTAATTGATACGCTTTAATGAAGAAGTTAGTTTTCAAAGATTTTTTGAAGGAATGGAGGCTGGGTGAAAGTCTGATTGAGGAGGGAAGGGAGTTCCACAGAATAGGTGCAGCCCTGGAGAAGTCTTGAAGGCGAGCATCAGAGGTGGGGATCCGGGCAGAGGATAGGAGTAGGTCTTGGGCTGAGCGCAGGGGTCTCGACGGGACATACTTGTGTATGAGGGAGGATAGGTATGTTGGAGCAGCATTATGTAGGGATTTGTAAGCAAGCGCCAGAATTTTGAATTGGGCCCTATATCTAACTGGAAGCCAATGCAGGGACTGACAGAGCGTGGAGGCGTGGGAGGTGCGACCGGACAGGAAAATAAGCCTCGCAGCCGTATTCATTATAGATTGCAGCGGTGCAAGCTGGGAACATGTAAGACCGGTGAAAAGGGGATTGCAATAGTCAAGGCGAGAGAGAACAGCATGAACCAGTACCTTAGCCGCGTCCGGCGTTAGATATGGGCGGATGCGCGCTATGTTCTTGAGTTGGAAGCGACAGGATTTGGCTATCGATTGAAAATGGGGAGTAAAAGAGATCAGAATCAAAAAGAACCCCTAGGCAGCGAGCCTGGGAGGTACAGGTGATAGTAGCGCCGTTGACTTGGATGGCGACAGACACAGGAGTAGCAGCACTTGAGGGAGGAAAAACTAGAAGTTCTGTTTTGGACAGGTTGAGTTTAAGGAAGTGAGCAGCCATCCAGTTAGAAATAGCAGAGAGGCAGTCAGAAACACGAGTCAGGGTGGGCGGAGAGAGATCAGGGGAGGACAGGTAGATTTGCGTGTCATCTGCATATAAATAGTATTGGACGCCAAAAGAGCTGATGAGTTTACCAAGGGAGGCAGTATAGATAGAGAACAATAGGGGGCCGAGGACAGAACCTTGGGGGACGCCGACAGGGAGGGGTTGGGGAGAAGAGGCAGAGCCAGAGAAAGAAACACTGAATGAGCGCTGGGAGAGAGCAGAATCCCGTAGACCAAAGTTACGGAGAATGTGAAGAAGCTGTTGATGATCAACAGTGTCAAAGGCGGCAGAAAGATCAAGGAGGATTAGGATAGAGTATTGGCCGTGAGATTTAGCAGCAATTAAATCGTTGGATACTTTGGTCACAGCAGTTTCGACAGAGTGACCAGCGCGGAATCCAGACTGAAGGGGGTCAAGCAGAGAGTTGGATTCAAGAAAGTCTGTCAATCTGGCGTAGACAACTCTCTCGAGGATCTTGGAGGCAAATGGCAGTAGCGAGATAGGGCGGTAGTTGGATGGGGAGTTGGGATCAAGGCTGGGCTTTTTCAGAATTGGGGTTACTTTAGCCTTGATATGCGAGTTATCAAGCACATTTGTGCCTAGTAGTATTCAGGGAACCATAATAAGAACAAATTAAGGGCATCTGCATCAAAAGTTATGTAAACATAGGGTCTGGATCTCAAGTCCCCATGAACTCAGAGAGCCAGGAGGAGAGAGGAATCACTTTTTGGTGAGTATCTCACTGCAGGTACTATCAAACAGAACCAAGCATACATATATTCCTTTTTAAAGACCAAGATCACTGATCAAATCCTATTCTAAGGGGTACTTGTATAAAAAAATAAAATAAAAAGGACAATCTTTCCTGTGTGGCAGTGTATTGTAAAAGTAAAGTATTTCTCACCAGGTGTCAAGGCATAAACAGACACAGAGGAGAGCTTTTTCAATATCGCAGGGTGGCTGAGACGGAGCTCCATACAGGCATCATCCGTAGCGTCAAATCCACCTTGTTTCTGGTATCTGTATTTGGCGCTAGCTGAATTTGCATCAGCACCCGATGATAATATATGGAGACGCAGAATCTCAGAAAGCGTGCAACTGTCCAAATCTAGATCCTTCAAACTGCAGCCTGCAAAACAAAGCAAGGCAGCAGATGCACATGTCAGTATTGTAAATATTTTTATACCATCTACAATTGATAATCGTCATCACAGGAAACAATCACACAAAAGATAGTAACACACCTTGGTGTAATTGTGGCCACGCAGCCGCCAGGGATGCTACTGCTGCATAGGCAGATTTAGTTAGGTCAGTAACCTCGTCCAATGCTTCTGTCAGATCTGTCAAAAACCACATTAAAAAAGGGGAGAGAATGCAAACATGAATATTACAGTGATTACACTTATTAAGCAAATCTACTCTCCATGACTTCTAGGCAAGATATGGGCATTGTTATATTACTTGTAAGTCAAATTATATATAGACTTTTCAGATTACCAGCCAGTTTGACGTGCATTAATTAATAGTGAACACATCTATTTGCATTATATTTTAAAATGATTAGGGAAACTCCAGTGCCAGGAAAACAATCAATCAGTTTTCCTGGCACTGCAGGTCCCCTCTCCCTCCCACCCACCAATCCCCTGTTGCTGAAGGGTTGAAAACCCAGTCATTGACTTACCAGAGGCAGCAACATGTCCCACGTCGCTGCTTCTCCTCCTCTGTATTACGTCTGCCGGTGGGCGGGACTGATCCCGCCCACCGCCCACCGGCCGGGGAGACCTAATGCGCATGCGCGGCAATGCTGCGCACGCGCATTAGAGCTCCCCATAGGAAATCATTGAAAATGCTTTCCTATGGGGAATTGAGCGACGCTGGAGGTCCTCACACAGCGCGAGGACATCCAGCGATGCTCTAGCACAGGTTTTCTGTGCTAAGAAGGAGGAAGTGCCCTCTAGTGGCTGTCTAGTAGACAGCCACTAGGAGGAGGAGTTAACTCTGCAAGGTAATTATTGCAGTTTATAAAAAAACTGCAATAATTACACTTGCAGGGTTAAGAGTAGTGGGAGTTGGCACCCAGACCACTCCAATGGGCAGAAGTGGTCTGGGTGCCTGGAGTGTCCCTTTAATTTACTAAATGACCATTTTGTAGTAATGCACAGAAAACTGGCAATTTGATTCAAGTGTTCTAATTTACAAAAAATTTATCCTTTTAAAATAATTAAAAGCGTGCATTTTACTTTTTAATATCATATTTAGATTTTCCATTATTTAAGGGAGGCACGTTTTCACAAATTGTGGGTGCGGAATTGTTCCATATTCACTACAAAATAGAAGACAAATCTAGCCACTTTAAATCCCTCCATTCTGCTGGTATTGTAATGAGCTGTTAATTGTCAAAAGCATTACTATACACTCAGTGTAACAAATATAAATATGCTGTGAACAATACTCATAATTCAAAGAGTTATTCAGCAGAGCTTAATAACAGAGAGGGGGTATCTGACAGCAAGTAACTGACATACAAAAATATTGACATCGACAAGAGGTGAATTAGAAAGCCTCAAACTAGCTTACAATTTTACGCATGATATACCGGTAACTTTTTTCCTGATAATTTGCATTTAGCTATTTTTTTGATAATGTTTGGCAAAACATACAACCTTTGGTCTCTGCCTCGATTATCTGGTCCTTTGCTACTTCTTCCTCTTCTTCAGTCATTGCCTGAAAAATAGCAGTCAGGAAAAAAAACAGCAACTCGCAGAGTGGACCCTCGGGGTTATTGCCGACCAGAGCCTCTTCCAGCATCTCTAAATGTCAACAAGGGATAGGAAAAACAGATTATTTTTACATAATAGGTGCAAACACTTCAGAATGATACACTGTTTATATCGGCCAACTCTACATGCATCACTGATATATGCATTGAGAAGAAAAAAAGAAAAAAAAAAGGGGAAAAAGGTTTAATAATTTGTTTACATATTTCTATTTTAAAGGAACACTAAAGGAACCCAGACCTGATGACAAAAAAAAACAACATGTTTTGAATGCAGGGTTAACACATCTCTAGTGTATCTTCAATAACAGAGTTATTTCATTCATTGAAAAAAAAGTTGTTATGGTGCCAGGAGTGCTCATAAATCTGCTACAAGTTTCTAATGTGTTCTCTTGTCACACAATTCTTATTACTCGCTTTTTCCCCCAAAAAACTGATCTATACAGCTATACAGCAAAACTAGCAAGGCACTAACAATATTTTGATGTATCCCTCACACAATTTTATAAAAAAATAAATAAAAAATAAAAAAAATTATATATATAAATAACTTATTTAACAATTGGTTACATATACATTCTTAATTCCATAAATATATCTACATTAGAAATGTAACAATGGATTGATCTCAGGATATGTAAGCCAAGAAAACAGATTGCCAAAAAAAAAAAAAAAAAGTGAACTATTAACAGCTACAAGCAAAATGTCTTGCAGAAAACAATATAACCCTCAAACAGAAGGAAAAAAATAAAATTATACAGGGAGTGCAGAATTATTAGGCAAGTTGTATTTTTGAGGATTAATTTTATTATTGAACAACAACCATGTTCTCAATGAACCCAAAAAACTCATTAATATCAAAGCTGAATATTTTTGGAAGTAGTTTTTAGTTTGTTTTTAGTTTTAGCTATGTTAGGGGGATATCTGTGTGTGCAGGTGACTATTACTGTGCATAATTATTAGGCAACTTAACAAAAAACAAATATATACCCATTTCAATTATTTATTATTACCAGTGAAACCAATATAACATCTCAACATTCACAAATATACATTTCTGACATTCAAAAACAAAACAAAAACAAATCAGTGACCAATATAGCCACCTTTCTTTGCAAGGACACTCAAAAGCCTGCCATCCATGGATTCTGTCAGTGTTTTGATCTGTTCACCATCAACATTGCGTGCAGCAGCAACCACAGCCTCCCAGACACTGTTCAGAGAGGTGTACTGTTTTCCCTCCTTGTAAATCTCACATTTGATGATGGACCACAGGTTCTCAATGGGGTTCAGATCAGGTGAACAAGGAGGCCATGTCATTAGATTTCCTTCTTTTATACCCTTTCTTGCCAGCCACGCTGTGGAGTACTTGGACGCGTGTGATGGAGCATTGTCCTGCATGAAAATCATGTTTTTCTTGAAGGATGCAGACTTCTTCCTGTACCACTGCTTGAAGAAGGTGTCTTCCAGGAACTGGCAGTAGGACTGGGAGTTGAGCTTGACTCCATCCTCAACCCGAAAAGGCCCCACAAGCTCATCTTTGATGATACCAGCCCAAACCAGTACTCCACCTCCACCTTGCTGGCGTCTGAGTCGGACTGGAGCTCTCTGCCCTTTACCAATCCAGCCACGGGCCCATCCATCTGGCCCATCAAGACTCACTCTCATTTCATCAGTCCATAAAACCTTAGAAAAATCAGTCTTGAGATATTTCTTGGCCCAGTCTTGACGTTTCAGCTTGTGTGTCTTGTTCAGTGGTGGTCGTCTTTCAGCCTTTCTTACCTTGGCCATGTCTCTGAGTATTGCACACCTTGTGCTTTTGGGCACTCCAGTGATGTTGCAGCTCTGAAATATGGCCAAACTGGTGGCAAGTGGCATCGTGGCAGCTGCACGCTTGACTTTTCTCAGTTCATGGGCAGTTATTTTGCGCCTTGGTTTTTCCACACGCTTCTTGCGACCCTGTTGACTATTTTGAATGAAACGCTTGATTGTTCGATGATCACGCTTCAGAAGCTTTGCAATTTTAAGAGTGCTGCATCCCTCTGCAAGATATCTCACTATTTTTGACTTTTCTGAGCCTGTCAAGTCCTTCTTTTGACCCATTTTGCCAAAGGAAAGGAAGTTGCCTAATAATTATGCACACCTGATATAGGGTGTTGATGTCATTAGACCACACCCCTTCTCATTACAGAGATGCACATCACCTAATATGCTTAATTGGTAGTAGGCTTTCGAGCCTATATAGCTTGGAGTAAGACCACATGCATAAAGAGGATAATGTGGTCAAAATACTCATTTGCCTAATAATTCTGCACTCCCTGTATATAATTACTTCTATTTATTTGTTATTTATTTTTTTACATATGCCAGTTACACCAACAGACAGATACACATACCAAAGGTCATGCCATCAGGAAACTCGTCTACGAGATCAAACAGGTCACCAAAAGCATGGAGGAACTCTAAAACCATAATAGCATCACCAAAACATTCAGGAGGGATCCTAGTCTTCACAGATGTGGGCAGCGGCAGCTCCTACATCACAAATGGTTTAAGAAGGCCGAAAAGGAAATAAAAAAATAAAAAAATCTTGATCATTCCGATAGTGTGTGTGGACACAAAGTTAATCATAGTCCACCAAACATTTATATTGTTTTCTCTAAACCCATATCATGTAACCAGTACTTCTTTCTTAATATTGTTTTAATTAAAAAACTAAATCTTTTATTAAAAAGTACTTGAAAATATATAAGTAAGGAAGAAATGTTATAATTAGGAGAGGGAGTGTGATCCAGTTGAATTAGTAATTAATAGTGGCCTCTGCAAAAAGAAATAAATGCAATGTGCACCTTGAGATCATCACACTCCATGTCTTCCCGCGGCTTACTCCATAGTTTCAGATGTTCTGCATATTTCCGCTTTTCCTCACGGATTTTCTCTCTTTCCTAGAAGAGGAATATGTATTTAAAGGTTTGAATTCAGCAGAAGTTAGTATTACAGGTCACTAGTAACGGACTGTAAGGCAGAATCAAACAAACAATGAGAACAGTAAAAAAAATAAGCAACTCCCAAAAAAAAAAAAAAAAGTTAAAGAATTTTTTTTTTTTTAAATCACACAAACCCAAGTACCTTGTTGCAGCTCAATCCCAAATTACAGCTGTAGAAAATTAAAATGAACAAACAACAGAAGTTCCCTTAAAAAGTAAGATGTCTGAAGAATGTAAACCTGTGACATTTAAAGAAACGCCGCACACACCCATTGAGTCCCTCTGAGCATATAGCTACAATAACACGTATTTTCTATTTCAACATAATATATGGTTTGTACTGGCAGTGTTTCATAATAGCTCTCACCCCATGGGACTCAGGGCAGTTTTTCCAAATGGGCACGCTGAGCAGTTGCCCGGGGGCCCCACAATACACATCTGCCTGGCCGACAGGGGAGATCGAAGAAAGGAAGAAGCTGGCAAATGGAGAGCCAGTCCTGTTTTCTTTCCGTGGGCCCTCTCAGGCCAGTGGGGAGATCAAAGAGCTCCCTTTAACAGCCCAAAGGCCGTTCGAGAGAAGGGAGAGACGGCGCGAGGACCCTGAGGAACAGTGCTCCTCATGCAACCTGGCTGCTCATTGCCGTGGCAACACTCCACACTATGTCCTACACGGGAGGACAGGAGACCAGAGCCTGCAGCCAGAGGAGAACAGAACTCCCCACCGGACCAACAGGGCTGGCTGTGTCCTCACCTCCGTCACCAAAGGTGGGGACAAATAATTGATTAATAATTATAAAAAAACAAAACAAAAAAAACAACAACATTTGCTCCCTGCTAACCCTCCTACCCCCAAAAGTAAAACACCAATCATGTGATCAGAGGGGGGAAGGTACTTTGACAGACAAACTCTCTGACAGACAAACTCTCTGACAGACAAACTCTCTGACAGACAAACTCTCTGACAGACAAACTCTCTGACAGACATACACATTTATATTTTTAATTTTAATCCACCCCGCCTCCCTACCACTGGTAGAGCTGAGTGGACTTTCCTTGGGGTCCAGTGGGGCTGATATTCTTGTGCGCGAGGGATCAGTCTTCCTGCAGCTCTTGTCTGCAGTGATGCCGGGCCTGAATGACATATTCCGGCTCCGGGCATCATTACACAGCACGAGGGAGCATAGAGGAACTGCAGGAAGACTTCTCTCGCTGTAGTCCGAGGCATAGCAATACAACGCTGGAAAGAAGACCATCATAAACGGTTTAATCCCTAATGGTAGGCCTGCAGCAGGGACCTCCTGGCATCATAGTTGTTCTAGTGCCTTGAGTGCTTCCATAAACTCCATTAAAATAAATAAAATTTAAAAACTTAAGGAAAAAAACATTTTTGGAAGTCTTATGTCTGCTGATTTGTTTAATGACTACTGGCAAATATCGCTGAAAAATAATCATAGACAGAGAAAGCAAATCAAAAATGTTAGGTTTACAGTGGATAAAAAGTAAAATGACAAGCATCCACAATCGTTATTTAATAATTTGATGTAAAAACTTGAGAAATCAAAAACAAACAATTGGGAAACATGAAAAATAATTGTATATAAAAAAAAAATAATAATAATAATCTGAAAACCACAAACACAACAGATCCATTATGAGACCTTTGGAAGAAGTGGATGCATCCATTACCTTCTCTTTTTCTAATTTATTCCGCTCAATTTCTTCTTTCCTCCTGAGTCTTTCCTCCTCAATCATCTTTTTCTGTTCTTCTCTTTCCCAGTCTTTGCATTGCCTTTCTCGAACCTTGTTTTTTTCCATTTCTCCTCGTTCCCTCCGCATTCTAGCCTTTTCCATTTCTGTTAAGAACCGAAGAAAATCAGGTGTCCAGGTTAATTTTTCTTATAAAAAAGGAATCAGGCAGACCTACTCAAATCTAAACAAATAGGTAAACTTAAGTATCACATGGTTTAAAATGGATTGGTTATCCACAGTGTTGGAATAGTAGAGGACCCTTCAGATAACTAATGTGCTGGTTAAATAGTAAAATTAGCATAGATTTAAAACGATTCTTGCTAGAAGGTTGACCTCTGATGTGCGCAGTAGAATTCACAACACACAATAAGTTTTCCATTGATTGTATTTGGGAGGCTTGATAACAGAGTGGGCACCTTAGGTACCCAACTTCTGTTTTTAAGATGCCCGCTTTTTGGAAATAATTGAATATGCAGAAGGAATTATCCATACTAAATTTTGCATTGCTGTGCCAGAGTACCTTGTTCCATCAACTGAACATTTACAAATGACCAGCCAGAAGCCAAACAATTGTTATAACGCAAATAGGATTTAAAATATATATTTTTTTACCCATGGCTTTCAACTCATTTTTGTGCTTTAGAATTCTCTCCTGTTCTCTTGCAGCTTTCATTTTTTTCTCCCTTGACAAATTACTGGCCTAAAAAAAAAAAAAAAACAAAAAAAAGAAAAAACCAAAAAGGAAAAAAAAAAGTTTAAAAAAAGAAATAAATAAAAAAAAAGTTGGAATGAAATATTTATGAAAAATTTAACTCACGCTTTTTAAATGTTTGTTGGTGGAGGGTCTTCCAGTTTGGATTTTGTTTGTTGGAGTGCGCTGAAAACTTGGGGGGTCGTCTGGGAAATACTGAAAGAAGTTTTTCTCTGAAACTTCATGCTTTGTAAGTGAAATTGCCTAAAAAAAAAAAAAATATTATAAACAAAATTACACACATACTAAATGAAGTAGCATTTTACCTACAGATACATATGGGAATACTGAACAAAATCTCAGAATATTGAAAATGCTATCACTCCAAATAGGAAAAAAGGGGGAGGAGAGAACACACCAATTTAGACCGCAATCTGAAATTCTAAATCAGCTCCAGAGAAACACCCAACTGTAATAGAATTATTGCTAGATTTTCAGCATTTTTTTTTTTTTTTTTTTTTAAGACCCTCCTCTCGTTATTAATGGAAATCTGATGTGGACATACATGCAATTAGCGATGATATCTCAGAGCAAGGCAAGCATAGAAATAGCTTGGAGTGGAGAATAAATAAAATTGGAATGGGTCATAACATTAAGTTGGTAGGGTGAAAATTCCGGAATTTGAGGAAATAGAATGTTTAAAGCACCAAGAACAGTCTCAATCGTGGTGTAACCAAAATATAGTGGAAGAGGTCAAGGAGAATGTTGATGGCCACTGTACTGAGCACTAACTAAATTCCAGAACTGTGGTTTTCGTTCCAAAATTGGACCACCAATTGGGCTTTTTGTCCCCCATTGTCAAAATCCGTTTTAAGATGGGAAATGCAGATATCATTTTGGACATTTACATAAAACATGGAGGATTATTCCCACATGATATAGCCTTCAGTCAGTACTGCAAATTTAAAATATTCATAAATGTAACCAGCCATAAATAAAGGTAATACCTTAGGCTTTATAATTCCATTCTGTGATTCACAATGCAGCTTCAGAAAAAGTTTCAATCGCTCTTGAGAAAACAGAGATGGTGTTCGACTACAGAAAAGCAGAGAAAAAAAAAAAAAAGTAATGGGCATGCAATGAAGTCAACATAAATGTCACTTATGAAATGTATTTTACATTATTACACTGATCAACCACAACATTAAAACCATCAGCCCAATATAATGGAGGACCCACTTGTGCTGCCAAAACAGCTCTGATGTGTTAAGGCAGGCTTCCCCAAACTCCAGCCCTACAACTCCCATGATTCTCAGCCTACTTCATTCAAAGAATCATGGGAGTTGTAGTTCAGCAACATCTGGAGGGCCGGAGTTTGGGGAAGCCTGTGTTAAGGCTTGAACTCCACAAGAACCCTGAATGTGTCCTGTGTTTTCTGGCATCCAGACATTAACATCAGACCCTTTAAATCCTGTGAGATGCAAAGTGGGCCTCATGGTTAAGATTAGTTGTTCCAGCACATCCTACAGATACTCTATCGGATTGCGATTTTAGCTGGGTGCAGAGAGTTTTGCAGTTATCAGGTAAATATGGCCTGAAATAAATATAATTAAAAAAGAGTGCAATCACGTTAGTAGTATATAAATGTATTGATGTCAATATAAAAAAATAAGAAACCAGTTGTGAAACTAGCCGACATTCTAGATAAATTTTTCTTCCTTTGTAGCAGAGTCTGATGATGGAAGTGTGAATGGTGTATTAAAATATTTTTTTCAACAATGAGCTTTTTTTTTTTTTTTAAACAAAATAAAGAGACTATCCAGAGATCTCCCTGAGTCACCAGACTTCCTCCCTGAACAAAATATATTGTTTCTTGATGATTTGGGCATTTATGTCCCTGTATTCCGCTGTGATTAGCTCACTGCCACCTTAACACAAGGCATTATTATTCTTCAAGTTCAACTCTGCAAGATTTGCTCAGTGACATCAACAAGGAGTTCCAGAGAATTTGTCTTTCCAGACATTTCAATTTGTTTATTGTGGTTGTTCTATTGGGACACATTATTGGTAACTGCAAGTGTGACCATTCACACTAGCACAGGCATATAAATCTCACCAGGTAACCTCTTCATTTCAAAGAACTACAGTCATTGTGTTAGATGGTTTATGTAATTTTTACTCTGGATTATATTTTTTGAAGCGTCATTTTTATTTTTAGATAGACCCTTTTCCCAACAAACGCATTAAAAGTCACAGCTGAAGAGCTGGAGGTTGACTCCTGTTTGTCAATATAGACAAGCTCTATTATACAATTAAACAAAAACACATACTGCAGTTGCAGTTTTGCCTGCAGCAATGTAACCAGTTGTATAACAATGCCTTATTTTATATATTGTAAAAATCAAAGGACGAATGGTTGAACCAATAAAAGCAAATTGCAAAATGCACTTTAACAATACAATTATTTAGTATGGGAAGGGAAAAGTGATCTGCACAATATGAATGCTGTGAAATGAATTTGTGAACAAACTTGGCAAAAACGTGCCATGTCATTAAGCAGTTGCCTAGGTCAGTAATACTTTACTGCAATAAATAAATAAATAAATAAATAAATAAATTGGGTATTGACAAGAACAGACAGTAATTTCACCTCTTATAAATGAATCCATTTTAAAGAAGTATATTATGGAGCAAATGTTTTTTTTGAAAATGCAGAAGTAGGTCAAGAAATTGTTAACAGTAATGGAACACTTTATGAATAAAGAGTAGAAAAGTTGAACTTGTTTATTAAAGGGGAAAACAAAAACATAACCACAAATCAAAAAATAAACCTCAGAAAGGATATGATAACATACAAATATACACAGGTCCAATACGAACAACCATCTATATGAATCTCTTCTTTGGTAGAACCATAGAAAGGTCAAGAAGTTGACTGATATAAACTTGAGAAAATAGTGGTTTTCCCTCCACAATAAGAACAATACAAATTTGAATTTATCTGCCTAATGAAGTTGTATTTGCTGTTCAGCCAGGTTCTGTGCAGAGTCTGAGAAATGGCATATTCAAGAATAGTTTGTTGATCCAAGTAGGAATCTGAGAGCCTGTTTGGCTGGAAGTATTGTTTTCTCCCAATATTGTAGGAAAACTGCTTTACATTTAGTTTTGTCATTTACTTTTGGACGAACAGCAGTGTGAAAAGATAAACTGACCTTTTCCATTCTAGACTATTTACCCAAACAAAGTTCATTTACAAAAAAAAAAACCACACCCCCCCCCCTCCAAAAAACACCACATACCTGAGTTGAGATGACTTGACAGTAACAGATTCATATAACTCCTTTTTAATAGGTTTAACCTTGTACTTCAGCAAAGAAGGATCTATAGGCTCTTTTTTAGTCCTAAAAAAAATAAATAAATAAAAGAGATAAATAAAGTCATCTTTAAAATACCCGGTTCTAATAGTTTAAGGGGGTTTACTGGGTGACATACCTTCCAAATTCTAAAATCGTTTCTCAGTCTATTGTTAATAGAAACAAAATCTGTTCAAAGAGGTTTTTTCCCTCAATTGATTTCACTTACCCATTCTGCGGAGAAGCTTTAGAAGACTCATCATCGCTATCACTGATGACGATGGTGTCTTCATTGTGGGTGCTGTGGCCATTTGCAATTCCATTTTGCAGTGGAGGTAGTTTAACTTCCAGAACTTTGCACTCCAATCTGACAAATAATGATTGAAAGAACAAGTAAGAATCTACTCTGGTTATAGGCAAGTCGGTACATGTAGGCACTGCTAGAAATCATACATTCAAAAGCAAAGCACTGACAACTAATACTTTTTACATCACACCTCATTGTTTTAGCTTTTATTTCTTAACATTCTGAATTTCAGAGGAAAATAAAGCTTTTGACTTATTCTTCAAAGCATAATTTCTGATTTCAGACTAATTAGATTTGTCTAATTCACAATGGGACCTCCGACGTAACAGAAGGTAGCTTTTGAAAGATTACACATTAAAAATAATTATCTATGAAGACTAAATAATAAAGATGAGCAATTTCTGCAGTGAGCACTCCCTAAGCTAGGAGGTAGGTGAAAGCTCCCAGCACACCGTTTAACACTGTGCACCAATGAATGATAACAGGAGGACGTGGATGATAAAGAATAAAAAGTGAAAAAAACAACAACAACAAAAACTGATATAAAAAGAATGGAATGTTTAACAATTATGTACTTCTGATGTGTGAAAAATAAAATTACATATAGACATCCATATTTTGTTCATGCAGCTGGGTGCCTACATCTTATAAACTCTGCTTTTTAATTGGCAGACAGTACAGGGAAAGCACCAAGAGAACAGAATTGTAATGTTTCTAGTTCTCCTTTTCATTTGCAGTGTTTTCCCTGGCGTTGCCTTGTCTAAACTGGATGATGATATAATGTGCTAAATATTTAAAGTAACACTAAAGTCACCACAACAATTACAGCTTATTGTATTTGTTCTGGTGAGTATAATCAGCCCCTTCAGGCTTTTTGCAGTAAACACTGTCTTTTCAGAGAAAATGCAGTGTTTACATTACAGCCTAGGGATAACTTCACTGGCAACTCCTCAGATGGCTATAAGAGATTCTTCCTGGGGTAGTGCTGCACAATGTGCATGGAGACACTGAACTTTCCTCATAGAGATGCATTGATTAAATGTATCTATACAAGGAGATGCTGATTGGCCAGGGCTGTGTTGGCTTGTGCTGGTTCTGCCTCCTTGACAGTCTCAGCCATTCCATTGTGATTGGCTCAGACAACTTCTGATGTCAGCCAAGCAGGCAGACCAGGAGCAGAGCCAGCAGCTGCAAACTGCAATAAAAGTAAGATTGTGTTTTTAACACTATAGGGTTAGGAATACATGTTTGTATTACTGACCATATAGTGTTCCTTTAATAGACAAACCAGAGCATTTCATGGGGAAGAGGGGAGGGTTAAAGAGACTCTATAGGCACCCAGACCACTTCAGCTCATTTTAGTGGTCTGGATGCACTGTCCCTGTCAGTTTAACCTTGCAATTGTAATTATTGCAGTTATGGAGAAACAGCAATAATTACATTGCAGGGTTAACTTCACTTCTAGTAGCTGTCTACCAGACAGCCAGTAGAGACGCTCCGGGTGGTTAGACGCTGGACATGCTCACTCTTCTGCGTCAGCTAAAACCCCATATGAAAAAGCCCCAATGTGAGTGTGGTGCTGTGCATTAGGTCCGACATCAACGGAGGAGCAGAGCCTTACCCAGTGCCGAGGCACATCAGCACTGGATTCAGGTAAGTGACTAAAGGGGTTTTTAACCCTTTCTGCAGAAACAATTTTGTATTCCTAGAACTCTAGTTTCCCTTTAACACAAGATATAGGGGATTTTCATTGTTTTATTCCATAATGTAAAATTCCAGAAAAGTGAAACACACCCTAAAAAACAAATTTAAAAAAAAAAAACCCACATAATGCAGTAGTAATTACAGGTTTCACACATGCACAACATTATAAATATACAGAAAATCTAGGTATGCAAAAGGATTTAACACTGGCTGACACTTCATACTCTTCAAGGTGTTCAGTTCTCACAGCAGTGCATGATGGAAGATGTAGTTCAGCAAGAAAAACCTAGACCTGGCCTTTATTTAAACTACAAGATTTACCTTGCACCGCTATTTCTCACGACATTCACAGTTTCACCAACAAAGAATCTGTTTTTAACATATCCAAAGGTGTCTTCACACAAGTCTGTTACACGGTGGTGGCGGGAAAGCGAAGCGAGATGTAAGATGGGTACGATTAAGGGTTGAGGGAAAGTCTGCAAGCTTTGTCTAATTTTCTTTTCCGATTCAAGTGCTTCTGGATATGTAAGTTCGCTTTTTCCAGTAAGGGAGCAGCTCCAAACCAGGCTGTTGCATAAGATAGTGCGCTCAAAAAACTCACTGCATGGAAAAAACAAACAAAACATTATTATTGGTATTTATATAGCGCCAACTTATTCCGCAGCGCTTTACAATATTATGAACAGGGGGGGCAAATTTAACAATAAATGAGATTTACAAAATGATACAGGAATAATAGGAAGAGGAGGACCCTGCTTAAACGAGCTTACATGAACAAGGAATCTTGGATTTTTCATTTATGTGACAATTTGAATGCAGAAAAGTTCAAGAGTAAATCTGCAATAAATGCCGTTTAAACAGTTCCCATTTCAGTTAAATACATTTCCATGGTCTCTTCCTATCTACCTCTACTATGTAAGAGTTGTGTGCGCAAGTGTGTGATGGAAGTCATGTGCATTTGGCTGTCACCTATTATACCACTAGTCCATAAGTGAAGCTATAGATTGCCTCATTTGAGCCAGTGCTCCATACAAAATTATTCTTTCGCCTTAGTATCAGTCCTATATCAACATTTCTGGACACCGGTATTACCAAAGCCTGGTAAGGTGTAATCTTACCAGACTGTACTTGTTTAGATTATCCCAGCAAACAGCCACTCCTGACAGACAGTCAAGCACAGAGGCTTTAGACATTTCTGGACTCTGCCAATATCACCCAGGGAGATGCAGAGGTAAATTTATATGGAAGATATAGAGACTAGACAGAGAAACAGAGATATTCAGATGAGTTTTACTTTTTTTTTTTAAACCTTTTAGAACAGCACAAATAGCTAGTTGCGTGAAACTTGGAAATTAGAACTATTCTCTCAGTTTTTAGCTTCACACATGAAAGAGCAACATATAGATTGGTTAGTTAGATGTGTGTGAAAGAGCTTTTACATTGCTGCATGGAGGCTTTGTCCCATAAAGACTTTAATAAATAAAAAACGGGGCCCTGGGATTGGCTGAGAAAATGTATCGACTTTTTGATCTCTTCAGCATCTGCATTAACTAATGGACATCTTATTTTATGTACACATTATCTTTATAATGCATTAAGAAATGGTTATCACTAATTTTCCTATTTCCATCATTCCTGGAATGATGACCCCTACTAACATTCATAGTTTAAAAATAAATACCGACACATGGAAGTTTTATTGATGTAATAACCCACATGACAGATAGAATAAAAACAGATGAATTTTATATCCTTTTAAAGTTGTGCTCATCTCTGACATGGCAGCATCACAGGAAGTAAGAAAGGATACAGTTAACTCGTGGGAAATAATTTTGGTGTTACAAGGGGCAGGGGTGAAACATAGCTAAACAAGAATATTGCTATAAAAAAAATAAAAAATAAAATAAAAAAAAATCAAGTCACCACCCAACAGAGATCTACATATCTGAGGGGCAGGTAGCCATGGCAACACATAAATGGGACCTGGTGATAACTTGTCAATTGACAGTGCAGAAACAGAAACTGCTTCCTACATGTGAGGGCATTAACCGCAAGTACTTCTACCAATCTATTACCTGAATAGCACCTACAGCTCAGGTACGCTGCTACCTACCTACCTCTCTCTATGTTTTGGCCTTGGTGCCCAGTATCTATAGAAATGTCTCCAGACTTCTTATCCCATCTCAAAGCACACTCATAATAAACAAGCAACAGGTGCAAATTTTGTTATAACAAAACGCCATTCTCTGTCTTAAGCAAAAAAGTAAATATGAACAAGTATTAACACGTCCCATATGAACTGGCTAGTACTCCCAATTTCTAACTTATAACTAAACTAAAAATAATTTGAAGTGCAATAATAGAGGAGGTTCACATCAACAGGTTGGAGCATGTGTTAATATATATGTACAACTGCAAAGCACACAACACTGGGCTGAGTGAGGAGGTTAATCAAAGCTGAACCATGTTGCTTACACTTACTAGTCAGAGATCACAAAACACACAGCTAGGTCTACCTGAATGTTAATAAGACCCTCTTTAAACACACAAAATAAACAGCACTCACATGCACACAGACATAACACACAACAATCATTACTAAACACAGACCAAGAAAATAAACTAGTTATAGTCAAGATTTTCACTGTGTCCTGTCTGATGCTCCCTCTTTAGAGGCAGAAACATGCATTGCACGTTTTTTTTAGTTAAAGAAACGGCAGACGGGAAAGGAGGTCTTTTTTTTCAAGCTCAAACAAAAGCAGTTGAACACAAAAGAGAAGAAAGAAATAGGGTAAAAAAGAAAGAAAGATGAACTGTGAAATAACAAAATGACTGAAATATTTTAAACACATACAACCAGGCAGAAATTTTCTTCCAACTCACAGTGAGATTAAATAGTTATAGTCTGAAGACGAACGTAAAACAAGAACGAACAAGAGTTCCAAAACAAAAGAGTGATCAACCACATGTCTTTTCTGTGTGTCGCGTGTGCTTTCAAACTAAACTCTGCTTCTCGTCTAGGGGTCAAAAAGCGACAAATACATTGGCTTTCTATAGATCTATTGTTAACTTTAACAGAGGCTAAACTCAGAAAAATAATTTTAGCTAGTACACAACAGGACATGGGGTAGTGCTGTATAAAGAAAACACTTAAAATAAATCAACAAGAATATATGTTGAAAGGAAGGTCTGTGAATATGAACAGATGGAAAAAATAAATAAATAAAAGCATATGGGCAAGATACAGACAATCTTATCAAGAACTTTCATGGACGTACTTATAACCCATTTGCACTGACGGAAAAAGGATCATGTGAAACTGGCCATCCTTTATTATTTACAATATAACGGAGTACGTTGTATTATAGCTATTATGGCAGTTGTCTTACTTTGGACAACAAAGGAATCCCGTGTGTAAGAGAAAAGAATAATAGAAGTTGTGGATGTTACCGATAGTGAATGGCCTTGCAATGAATTATATCCTTATATTGTATTACAATCATCACCAAGTTCTTGAATTCCAGCATGTGTGGAGTATATTATGAAACCATAAGGACTAAATGAGCATCATGGAAACTTGTCTAAGATTTATAACAAGACAGATATGGTTGAATTTTACCGACTACAAAACTACAGCATTTCAAATTTTAGCAACTGACTTAAAGCTTGGCTGGCAAGTAGGTTATTTGGAAACCAGTGAATATCTTATGGATTACAGAAAAGAAAATGCTAAATATTTAAAAAAAAGAGTGTATGGGGTTCCGTGTCTTGTTCAGCCACCAGGGTCTGTCTCAGTATTTTGAGAGATACACATTAAACAATGTCCTAGTCCAGATGTTACTGTATTACCGAGGATGCTCTGTCTGCAATGCAGCTCAGAAACATCTGGAGTTGTCATAACTGTCCATCACTGGAACTTCTACTGTTTATAAAGTGGAGGACCATGTGGATAGAGATGTGGATGAGGTGAGGTTTACAGAGAGGACTGGTCAGAGTTTGGGTGGGGGGTGCTGAGGAGGACAGAGTTTGGGGAGGGGGGGTGCTGGGAGGACAGAGTTTGGGGAGGGGGGGTGCTGAGGAGGACAGAGTTTGGGGAGGGGAGTGCTGAGAAGGACAGAGATGGGGGATTGACAGAGCTGGCTGAGGGCGGCAGAGCCGGCTGAGGGTGATAGAGATGGGGGACAGAGCCGGCTGAGGGTGATAGAGATGGGGGACAGAGCCGGCTGAGGGTGATAGAGATGGGGGACAGAGCCGGGCTGAGGGTGATAGAGATGGGGACAGAGCTGGCTGGGAGGGGACAGAGCCGGGGCTGAGGGTGATAGGAGATGGGGGCAGAGCTGGCTGAGGGTGACAGAGCTGGCTGAGGTGACAGAGATGGGGGCAGAGCTGGCTGAGGGTGACAGAGATGGGGGGCAGAGCTGGCTGAGGTGACAGAGCTGGCTGAGGGGTGACAGAGCTGGCTGAGGGGGTGACAGAGCTGGCTGAGGGTGACAGAGCTGGCTGCTGAGGGCGACAGAGCTGGCTGAGGGTGACAGAGATGGGGCAGAGCTGGCTGAGGGTGACAGAGCTGGCTGAGGGTGACAGAGCTGGCTGAGGGTGACAGAGCCGGGCTGAGGGGGGCAGAGCTGGCTGAGGGGGCAGAGCTGGCTGAGGGGCGTGGTGAGCTGGCTGAGGGGGGCAGAGCTGGCTGAGGGGGCAGAGCTGGCTGAGGGGGGCAGAGCTACGAGGGGGGGTACGGCTGAGGGCAGAGCTGGCTGAGGGTGACAGAGCTGGCTGAGGGTGACAGAGATGGGGGGCAGAGCTGGCTGAGGGTGACAGAGCTGGCTGAGGGTGACAGAGATGGGGGGCAGAGCTGGCTGAGGGTGATCTTACTCGTAGTCCCTGAAGATCTCGTTGGTGACCCGGCAGTAGAAGAGGCGCTCGGTGGGCTGCAGGTCGGGGGGCGGCCGTTGCCGGATGAAGGGTTTCCTGTGCAGTAGCGGCATGTCCTCGTCCTCACTGCCGGACACTCAGCGCTGACACCGGGACACGGAGAGCGGCCCACACTACAAACAGCACCCCCGGGACACCGGCTGCATCCTCACCGGGAAACACTGACCGGGAAACACACACTGACCGGGAAACACACACACCGGGCACCCGCGAGCTGTGAAACGCGCCCTCCGGCACACGGTGAGGGCAGCTCGGACTGGCGGGCTGCTGACACCGGGGCTGGCGGGAGAGGGAAGTGAGAGCAGCGCTGCCGGATCCTCCCCTATTGTGTGCCGAGCTCACCATGCGCCGGCCTGAGTGGGTGACAGACACAGCCAGCCAATCGGCGCGCTCCACAGTCACAGCCAGCCAATCGGCGCGCTCCACAGTCACAGCCAGCCAATCGGCGCGCTCCTCAGTTACAGCAAGCCAATCAGCGCTCTCCTCGGGCCTAGGCAGGCATTCGGCGCCCTCTATAGCCTCAGCTAACCACTCAGCAAGTGCCCTGGATTCAGGGAGCCTATCAGCGTTCTCTCCGGACCCAGGCAACCAATCAGCTCTTACTGAAATATCCTCATCCCATTGGCTAATACAGGGCACCTCACACAGGTACAGCTCACATGTGAAGGAGCACATTGCCCTCAGTGTCCCACACAGAGCTCTGCCTTACTGGAGTCTGAAATTGCAGTGACAGTGAGGGCAAACAAAGTACAAACACAAATTAATATGTTTTAAAAGTAAAGGTGTCCCAGTAATATCTATTCTTTACCAGTCAAAAACTTTATTGACCACAACTGATTTTTATTATTTATAGAGCGCCAACAAGTTCCATAGCGCTGTACAATAGGTAGACTAATAGACAATTATTTGCAACGAGACGCGTTGGACGCACAGGAAGAGAGGGTCCTGCTGCAACTAGTTTACATATGATAATCTCAGGACAAAAAAAAATAAATACAAATTATGAACACTAAGGCTTTTATAGGAACCCACTAAGCACCATAATCACTACAATATATACTACAAATGCAAATGGCACAGTAAGTGACTATAATAGCTCAAACACCCGTGTGGTATCCCCTATACCAACACAAAAGTACATACAATACAAACACAATGGATGGAGCAATTTTGTTCTTTCCTCTTCTCCAATATATTGCTGCAGAGATAGAGAAATATGCAAAATAGTATAGACAGTTTACAATATATATTAAAGTGCAATAAGTGCAAGGAAACACTCACAAAATCAGAGCCAAGGAACTGGCTCTGGTATGGATGACTTCTGGATCTATTGTGGGGTGATCCTAACCCTTCTGTAGTTGGTATGGTCTCCAATAAGTAGAAGAGGATCCAGAGGATGGAATAATAAAAATCTACTTTATTACAAAAATATATACATAAGATAAATAAAATATGGAAGAATAAAATATAAGTACTAAGTGATAAGCCAATACGCGTTTCGCCAATTGTGGCTTCCTCAGTCAGCTTTCAACAATACAGTCCAAATAATGTCCTTATATAAGTCCTCAATACCTTGTATTTTGTGGGAAAATCCATTGTGGAACGCATTCATGCGTTCCATACCTCCGTTTACATTCATTTCCTGCTTCCGGCGGCATCCATGCTGTGGCGTCGCTTCCGCATTCTGACGTCACTTCCGGGGTTTCTCTCCGAGTGGAACGCATAGTGCGTTCCACTTGTTCTGCTGTCTCCGGCTCTCACAACAGGGAACTCCAATGGAACGCATATATGCGTTCTAAAGCTCCCACTAGTCTCCCTTCACATCACAATGCTTCATACATTTTCGGTTCCCACAATAAGGCACAAATATATGTTCCCACTCTTCTTAGTCTCTCTCCACACACCATATCTCATGTACATAAGGACAAGAGTATATTTAAATTCATTTTAAAATATAATATATTCATATGTCTCTATGGGTAATTATAATGTCTCTGTAAGTAATCATAATAAGAACCAATTAGTCATCTTGGCATATTGATTCAACTGGAATGTAAACAATCACAGTAAATACCAATGTATCAATACAATCATATATTTAAACTCTCGGTTCTTAAAGTGACCATGCTTATTTTATAAGAACAGTGAATTTAAAAAGACAGTGAATTTTAAAAAAACTGTGAATTTTTTATAAAGTGACCATGCAGATATTACCAAAGTGCATATATATGTGATAAAATACCTACAATAATTTAATATCTTCCTAATATCCTAAAATATAATGAAACTATCAATCTATTTATAAGAAGTGACATAACTCAAAATCTTGGTTGAGTCCATTTGGAATTAATGTTTTTAAGTTATAAATACACTTCATCTCCTCTTCCCCAATTTTTTTATTAAAATCGCCCCCCCTCCAATCTCTATGTACTGCTTTTATTGCACAAAAGGACATCTTTTTTGGATCTTTATTATGATATAAGTTAAAATGATTGGAAACACTATGTGTTTCCAATCCTTTTTTTATATTTCTGATATGCTCTTCGATCCTTATATGTACATTTCTAATTGTTCTTCCCACATATATGAGGTCACAAGGACATTTTAAAATATAAATAACATTTTTAGAAAAATATGTTAACTGGTTTCTTATCATGAATGTTTTATCTTTTTGGTACTGAAAGGAGGTGATGTGTCTTTTCTTTTGGTTGGTTTCCCTACAGGCTAGACAAGAACCGCATCCATAAAAACCTTTATTTTTATTTAAAAAATGTTCTTTATGTTTAGTAGTAAAACTGCTTTTCACAACTATTTGCTTTAAATTTTTACACCCTCTATATACTACCATTGGTTTGGAAGGTAAGATTTGTTTTAAAATAGGATCATCTTGTAATATAGACCAATGTTTATGGATAATTCTTCTTATCTTTGTATTATTTCCACTATGATTACATATAAAGGGAATTTTTGATTGCCCAGTATTTCTTTTCTTTTTTGTTATGTTCCCTTTATATCTAATGAGGTCTTTTCTTTTTGTTAGTTTGACCTCTTCCATGCATGTTGTTAGCTTTATTGGATTGTATCCTTTTTCTATAAATTGTTCTTTGATTTTTTCGGCTTGTGTAATGTAGTCATTATCCTGGGTGCAATTGCGTCTTATTCTTAAAAATTGGCTTTTAGGGGCGTTGTCTAACCAGGGGGTATGATGACAACTATTCTTATCGATATAACTATTCGCGTCTACTTCTTTAAAATGATTTCTTGTATGTAACTTAGATTCTGCTAAAAAAAATTCTAAATCTAAAAAATTTATTAGGTTATTACTATACGTGGATGTTAAAATAATTCCCCACTCATTTTGATTTAGAAATGTACATATAAGGATCGAAGAGCATATCAGAAATATAAAAAAAGGATTGGAAACACATAGTGTTTCCAATCATTTTAACTTATATCATAATAAAGATCCAAAAAAGATGTCCTTTTGTGCAATAAAAGCAGTACATAGAGATTGGAGGGGGGGCGATTTTAATAAAAAAATTGGGGAAGAGGAGATGAAGTGTATTTATAACTTAAAAACATTAATTCCAAATGGACTCAACCAAGATTTTGAGTTATGTCACTTCTTATAAATAGATTGATAGTTTCATTATATTTTAGGATATTAGGAAGATATTAAATTATTGTAGGTATTTTATCACATATATATGCACTTTGGTAATATCTGCATGGTCACTTTATAAAAAATTCACAGTTTTTTTAAAATTCACTGTCTTTTTAAATTCACTGTTCTTATAAAATAAGCATGGTCACTTTAAGAACCGAGAGTTTAAATATATGATTGTATTGATACATTGGTATTTACTGTGATTGTTTACATTCCAGTTGAATCAATATGCCAAGATGACTAATTGGTTCTTATTATGATTACTTACAGAGACATTATAATTACCCATAGAGACATATGAATATATTATATTTTAAAATGAATTTAAATATACTCTTGTCCTTATGTACATGAGATATGGTGTGTGGAGAGAGACTAAGAAGAGTGGGAACATATATTTGTGCCTTATTGTGGGAACCGAAAATGTATGAAGCATTGTGATGTGAAGGGAGACTAGTGGGAGCTTTAGAACGCATATATGCGTTCCATTGGAGTTCCCTGTTGTGAGAGCCGGAGACAGCAGAACAAGTGGAACGCACTCGGAGAGAAACCCCGGAAGTGACGTCAGAATGCGGAAGCGACGCCACAGCATGGATGCCGCCGGAAGCAGGAAATGAATGTAAACGGAGGTATGGAACGCATGAATGCGTTCCACAACGGATTTTCCCGCAAAATACAAGGTATTGAGGACTTATATAAGGACATTATTTGGACTGTATTGTTGAAAGCTGACTGAGGAAGCCACAATTGGCGAAACGCATATTGGCTTATCACTTAGTACTTATATTTTATTCTTCCATATTTTATTTATTATCTTATGTATATATTTTTGTAATAAAGTAGATTTTTATTATTCCATCCTCTGGATCCTCTTCTACTTATTGGAGACCATACCAACTACAGAAGGGTTAGGATCACCCCACAATAGATCCAGAAGTCATCCATACCAGAGCCAGTTCCTTGGCTCTGATTTTGTGAGTGTTTCCTTGCACTTATTGCACTTTAATATATATTGTAAACTGTCTATACTATTTTGCATATTTCTCTATCTCTGCAGCAATATATTGGAGAAGAGGAAAGAACAAAATTGCTCCATCCATTGTGTTTGTACCATAATCACTACAGCCCACCGCCATAGTGGTGCCAGCATGCCCGTGGCAGTGTCCTATAATTCTGTACCAATCCATTTTTGAGCAGGTTCACACCAACCGGTGGTCTGTTTGGCCAGGGCCCTCACTTGGTATATTGCCATTTTAGAAGTTATACATTGGCATCAGCAGTATCGATGTTGCCAAATTTGCGTGGCATTCATTGGCCGAGTACTCACGTCTGTGTTTTTCATATAGACTGCACTGAATTTCCAGGACAATAACGCAGGGACAACTTTGTGTTATTTATGATGCGATTTTTTTTTTAGAAAATTGTGAGAAATCACTTCTGCTCGCCTCGCCACACTGATGCGGCTCCAGGCAGTTTTATCTCCCAGGAGCTGAAGATAGATAAATTGACTAAAATGCCAGATTCCTGAAAGGGAACATGAATCAATCATAAAAAAAAATCATATCAGTGAAAAAATATATTCCTTTATTAATTAATACTAATAATAATTTTTTTAAAGTGTGCAACAGTGGAAACACAGAGAAAGGGGGAAGTAGTATTTGTGCTTTATCATAGTTCATCATCAGCTCACTGGAGTGTGGAGATGGAACCCGAAACACAGGATGTATTGATAAACAGCAATATAAATAACTACAGGACCCACAAGACGATTTAGAACATAGCGTTTATTAGAGAGGTCTTTAAATGTGTATATACACTTTTTTCCCCTTAGGGCTATATAACGCTGTATAACACATGTCCAACGTTAATAAAAAAAATTTGAAAAGCCCACAAATTTAAATTTAACCGCAGTCTATCAGTAAAATCAATCTCACAGAATGGCAAAACAGACCTTGTGGACAGACGAAAACAAAATGGCTGCACCAATGTATTTAGATCCAGCACAAAGAAGAAAAGATGATAAATATAAATAAAGCCAAGTGGCAAAGGAAGGAGTCCAATCATTCAGATACAAGGAGCATAAGTAAAGGAAAGGTAAAATAAAAGTTACAGGGCTGCTTTACATCTTAGGCTACCGGGCATGTTTACCTTACTCACCAACAAAAATGGCTGGTAAGGGAGGATCAGCCATGGCGGACAGTCCGCCCGTCCGCTGAGGAGTGTCTCTAAACCAGGGAAGGCTGACGTGTAGTAGGCTCCAGATCTGCTTTGTCAGCTTTACGGTATAAAACTAAAGGTATCTATTGATGCAGGACGTCCCCCAGAAATATGTGGGGTCGTTTGGATCTGGATGGCTCCCACCACGTGACATATTTGGCGAGTTAGGCAGGAGTGATCAGATATGGCGTCTTTTCGGTCTCGCTGGCAAGCTCCTCACCAGCATTTCACTTTTAATCCATGTTGAGTTGGCAGTGTGTTTTCAGATGGTAGAGTCTATTATTGTAGTTGGTGAGAGTCGGAACTCGGTGGTCTGTTTATGTGTGAAGATGTGTTTTGTTTTGTGTGTCAATGCAGGGCTATAATTATGTTTACCTAAAAAATATTACTTGTGTTTTAAAACGTTTACTATCTTCCTTGAGTTACACAAAATCTAATAAACATCAGGGTGTTGGATCTGAATGCAATTTTCTCAGCAGATAATACTTTAAAGGGACACTCCACTGACCAAATACAAAATAAAGATCGCCAATTAGAAGATATACCCCAAATGATTGGTGGGTATATCTAGAATAAAAATGAACTTAGTAAATGACTCCAGAGACTGAAATTGCAGTCTCAAACATGTAATGCAATTTGTGTGGCATTTAAAGAAATAAGTTACATTGTAATCTAGGTTGAAAAAAAAAGCTGAGTCCACCCTTTTAAACACATCTTTGTATGATGTTGAACCAAAATAAGGCAAAACACCCACATTTTAAGCAATAGCCAATTATGCCACAAAAAACAGGGGAGGGGGGTGATGCTGATTGACTCCATAGTAATTATATCCTTGAATATTCTAGTTTAAAAAGTATTTTTTTTAATTTTTGTAAATCATCCAAGCCTTTTTTGAAAATAATATCTCTCTTTGATTAAAGAATTCCACATCTGTCAGTTTGGGCTAAACTCAGGAGGCAGCGATTGTTCAGAGTACCTGCCTGCAAAAATTTCTCATTGAGCTGCACTGGGAAGTCTGTGATTGGACAGCCACATAAAGTCTAGGCAGTAGAAGAAAGGGAGGGCTTGCAAAGGCTTCAGACAACAGATATGCAACTTTTGAAAACGTTTTTTTTTTATATGTTATATATAAGCGCTGTGGAAACAAATGCATAAGTAAATGCATTCATGTTTTCTATGTGGGTACATCTAATAAACAGAAATATATATTTTTTTTGTATTTGGGAAGTGGAATGTCCCTTTAAAGACTTTGAGGGTTAATCACAAAATTGGTAATTTAATTGAATCCACCACAGAATTGCAAACTGTAGGACAAAATAGCTGAGCTTGAAACATGGCTGACTTGGACAACTTCTCTGGTTTGACTATTTTGGCTTAAAACCTTCAATTACCAGGTTAATTCCCACTTTAATGAATAAGCATGTTTTCTGCTGGTCACTGTTAATCCAGGCTTAACATTTGCAACAAACCACCAGAGTGAGAACTAACTGTCAATATGAGTAAGTTGCACCTAGAACTGTAAGAAGATTTGCAATAAAACTTCCCACTACTCAAAAACTTGTTGGTTTTGCTGTTTTTTTTTATATTCCTGAGAGTTGTAGTGTGTCCTTAGCTTCTCCAGTAAGGAGTCTATTGAGTATTTATTTCACTGAATATATGGGCTGAGTCCCAAAGCCAGTGGTGCCCAACAGACGCCTGGCATAGACAAGTACAAGAGCCAAGCTTGTTTAAATTCATGCGATGGGCCAGGTGAGTCACGGTTTGTTCTCATAGCAATTCCCAGTAGATCTATACTGCTATTTAAACATCAGACCACAACCTGGTGCAAATTCAGTTTCATTCACAAGACTTTATTGCAGAAAAAATGCCAGATCACATTAAACTCTTCTTTCCTGTTATACAATCTTAGCGAGTGGAAGAGGCCCCCAATTTTTAAGTTGTAGCCTGGAAAACAGTCCCCGTTATCCACTAGAGTGCAGACTGCTTGTCTGGAAAATCCCGAGCACCACCAAACTTAAAATGCTTGGCCAAACTATTTTGCACCTTGTTTTCAAATGCATGTCTCTAAAAAGGGGAAAACAATTATATTGTAGGATTTAGAAAAATTACAATAATACATGATTTGCCATGCATTTTATTTAAACTCAATTCCGGGTAGTGTATTTTTTGCGAGTAAAACATTAACCAAACACTGTGTATTTTGAGTAAAATCTGCCTGCATTGTATATGTGAATTTGATGCTAAATAGTTGCTACGGGGAATATGTTTTGGCTTAAAAATGTAATTTCAGGGGCACTTGGTTTACGTAAACCTGATAGTAGTGGCGGTCAGCTGTAAAAGGTTGAGAAGTCCTAAAGTTGGATACACAGCCCCATGTAAATAAATAATATATAATGTCCCTGAGGCTTACTGTATTTCTAAATTGACCAAACTGGCCCAAACAAAAAACCCAGCTACATTAGAACTACTGCTATCGGACGGCGTAGAGATGAATGTCATTCAGTGCTTGCTGATCAATTTCTTCTCCTAAATAGACGTTTGTGTGCAAATCAATTTCTTCCACCCAATGACCTATATCAATATTCATCTGGAAATTAAACACAGTAAAGACAGTGTGAATATCATAGGTAGAAAATTGTTCTTTATACTTCACTATTATTGTTCAGTTGTACTAGTCTTTTTTACAGGTCCCGCCCACGCTCTGTCCCCTTGGCTGAGATCATCAACATTGATGATCTCAGCCAATCCATTGCTTTCCCATAGGAAATCATTGGGGGGGTATCGCACCAATAAGCATCTCCTCATAGCGATGCATCGAATCAATGTAGAGAGTGGAGACGCTGAACGTCAATGCTGCACGTTGTGCAGTACTGACTCAGGAAGCACCTCTAGCGGCCATCTGAGTGGCTGTCACTAGAGGTGTTACTAGGCAGTAATGTGAACATTGGCTTTTCTCTGAAAATGCAGTGTTTACATTCAAATGTCTGCAGGGACATACTATACACACCAGAACAACTACTTACAGTTGTAGTTGCTCTGCTGACTATAATGTCCCTTTAATTTAAAATGTAAATCTCCCACAAATGACAGATTATCAATTCAATATCATAAGACAGGGACAGTGGAGCTTCCTAAACCATTAAGAATCAAATAAGCTTACATATTAAAAAAGAAGTACAGCACAGAAGAATTGCCAATTTTATTATGCAAACAAAAAATAAAATGACATCTGTTTACAGGCCAAATTATACCATTACACACCTTTAGCTTTCCCAGAGATTCCTTCAAGCTTGGTACAGTCACTAAAAGGGTTCCTCTCTTCCTTAAGTTCTCATTCAGAAAAGCCCATGCTCTTAAAAAAAAAAAAAAAAAGTATTAATAAATTAGAAATATCAAAATATAAAGTTTTAAGGGCAAAACCTACGCCCGATCTCACTGTTAAATACAGACATAAAAATAATTGCTAAAATATACGCAAATAGACTAGCTAACATTCTCCCGGCGATTATCCACCAGGACCAGGTGGGGTTTATCAAGGGGAGGCAAGGCGCCGACAGAACGCGCAAGGTAATCAACCTAATACAGAGCCTACGGGGGAGGGAGCATGGTGTATTTCTCTCACTTGACGCCGAAAAAGCGTTTGACAGACTGCACTGGCCCTTCCTCCTGGCGGTCCTGCAGAAATATGGATTCCCGGATACGTTTATCTCAATAGTAAAAACCCTATACAGCAACCCGACCGCTAAAGTGGTGGGAGGAGGGTTCACATCCACTCCGTTTGAGATCTCGAACGGCTCCAGGCAGGGGTGCCCCCTTTCCCCGATGCTATATGTCTTGGCGCTAGAGCCACTTACGGCACTAATCAGGGAAAACCCAGACATCCATGGGGTTCAAATTGGACCGCGTGAGTACAAACTCACGCTGTTCGCAGATGATATTCTGCTCACACTTACTACCCCCCACAGCTCTATCCCCACATTTCTTCAACTACTACAGGAATATAGCAGGTGCTCCTATTATAAACTCAACCTAACCAAGACACAAGCCTTAAGCCTAAACACACCCCAACATACACCTCTAACCAAACAATACAACTTTGAGTGGAGATCAGACAATCTCACCTTCATAGGACTGACCATCACACCCACCGCCCTAGGCCTATATAAAAGTAACTACCAAAAACTCCTAAAGGAAACCCGAACCATATTAACAAGCTGGCGGAAAAAATACCTCTCGTGGACCGACAGACTAGCTGCCATAAAAATGATAATCATCCCCAAATTCCAATACCTGTTCAGAACCTTACCTATCCACCTCCCAACCACATATTTCAAGGAAGCACAAAAACTACTCAACCAATTCACTTGGGACCATAAGATGCCAAGAGTAAGTGCTCGCATCCTTTACCAAAAAACCCCCGAAGGCGGAATGAACGCACCCAATCTCCAAACATACTATCAGGCAGCCATCCTAAATAGCACGATACTACTTCACGGTCAAAACCTACCCCCCCAATGGGTAACAATAGAAAGAGACGCGGTCAAACCACATGCTCTTATGGCACTAATATGGGCCCCCAAACAAAGCAAGCTACAACACACTACACTACTACCGACCACCGAGGCGACACTACGAGTGTGGGAAAAAAACAAACATATATGTTGCTCACAAAGCCCACATTCTAGAGCAATGCCACTATCTGCCATACGCTCCATAATACCGAACTTTAACCACAAAATATGGGAACGACATGGTATACATTACATACATCAACTGTACCAAGAGAACCGCCTCCTAACATTCACAGAGGTACAAAACCTCCATGGACTTCCTACAGCAGCCCACTTCTCCCACAGGCAATTTCACTCGTGGGTAACAAAACACCAAAGCGAAGTAAAGATTACGCCCAACGAACCTCCACTAACATGCTTTGAGAAAACCATACTCAAACTGATACCAACACAAAAAACCTTCTCAATGCTATACACCAACATATTACAGCATGATACCACATTTAGATACCCCTTCGTCATAGCATGGGAAAAAGACCTAGGACAAACCCTCCCCGAAGCAATGTGGAGGAAGATATTCATTACCCCCAAAACCCTCACACTCAGTGCCAACCATACTGAATTATCCAGAAAAATCCTATATAGATGGTACTTACTGCCCACACGCCTCAAACAGATGTACCCGGAGGCCTCTGACAAATGTTGGCGTTGCGCCTCGACAGCCGGATCAATGATCCACATATGGTGGACATGCCCAGTACTACAACCCTATTGGTCCGCACTGACAGATCTAATCCTAGCCAGCACAGGCATCCGCATACCGCAAACCCCAGACTGCCTACTACTCCACAACTACCCACCAAAACTCCCTAAAACAATCAGATACCTGATCTACCAAATCAATATAGCAGCCCTAACTCTAATAGGCAGGTCATGGAAAAAAGCCGAAGCACCAACCATGCCGCTGTTGTAGTTGATTTACTGCAAACCAATTAGTTTGAATGACTATCTGTTCCTGTCCAAATTAAAGATAATAAAGTTGCGTGCACGCAGAAGTAAATTCACACTGAGACACAGAGTTCAGGTTAATGAAAGAACTTCGGAGAAGTTTAATGGCTTCTGAATAAAAAGCAGGCTCGCAGGCCCTTTTAAAGGCATTATTACATCATTGAAGAAAATCAAGATATAGACAAATAGACATTGTTAATTGGCTTAGGTGCTAAGTAGTTAGAAAAATGCCCTCCCTATGGGGTGTACCATCCTAGGTCACTATCCTCGTCATGATTATCTCCTCCAGGTTTTAGCGCCATTTTGCTAACATGAGGAGCTCACTCGACGGGAGGGGCCTTTTGGCAGCTATCCATTTAGAGTGTAGCTGGCACTGTTAGTTTCTCAAGGTTAGGTTTCAAGGCTTTTAGTAAATACACATTTTATCAAAGCTATTTCTTGCTGACATGCAAATTCTATGTTCTATAGACAAAGCTTTCTTGTAAAACCATGGGGCCTCTTAGAGGTATAGCAAGAGGATTTAAAGGGGCCTTACAGATTTATAGAGGCATAATAATTCTACAACACCGCAATGTACACAAATCATAAACGCCACTAAACTCTATGAAATAGCAAGCAGAACAGCTTTCTCTACCAAAGCAACCTTTTGGAAAACAGCCTGGCAAATCTGGGAGACCTACGAAGCCACCCTCCCCACCGCACCATAGCACACAATCCGAAAACTCACCACCCGAGATAACTATTATAGCGACAGACACTATGCCACCTGCACGATCACAGGTAGCAACAATAAAAATATAACAAATTACTGGGTGACAAAATACCCCACAAAGCGAATCCTTCAAGACTCCAAACTCCTTCCTCCCTCCTACCTAACCAAAAGAATGCAAATACTAAACAACTCAGACTTGGACTCTCAACCCCTGTACAACCCCCCCCCTCCCCTTCTACCCCTACCCTTTCTCCCCAGTTGATATACCATTAAAAACTGTTTTAAGTGAACACTATGTTAAACATGTATGTAACCCAGCAAGATGACAATGTATCTCTGTACACATGACAACAACTTGATTTACAGACTGTACAAGGAAATGTTCACTGTAAACTTGAAAATTGCTTAATAAAAAAAAAAATATATATATATAAAGTTTAAAGGAAAATGTCCTGCATTTTACTATTAACTCAGAGTGAATTGGGTCATAAAAAAAAGAGCTGAGTGCAGGTGTAAAGAAAAATCATAGAAATACATTTTGAAAGTTAACGTGCACAAAGTGGTCCTCGTCATGTTTTATAAGCTAGTATACTATTTCTGTGCCACAAATCACTGGCTATTGAGCCACCTGCAATAACATCTGTTTAAACCAGGAAGTGGGTGAGATACATCAGTCAGTCCCAGACCTCCCATTTTCTTTCTACTGGAGAATCTTTGAGCGTACACATGTGCAGTAATTTAAAATACAAAAATGAATGAGGCCTACACGCACGCACACTATATAACTGCCGGCAGCTCTTCACAGCTCTGATTCATTTTTAACCAACTAAATGTACAGGTCCTTTTATTTGTATGGTTCACATACATTCAGCTACAGGTTCACGAGAAATCTAACACTGCATCCTAAAAGATAATTTCTATTTACAGTAGCTCACATGTTCCCAACAAATACAAACACGGATTACTTATACAGATATTCATCCATCAGTACTAACACATAGTAAGTATTTTATGTGCGAATAGTTAATTGAGGGGAAATGATGCACTAATTGCAAAATTTAGACAAAATGAAAACAAGTGGGTACATTATTTTTACCAGGATGTCCTGTCAATACACTACAAATGACTGTTTATTCGCAATGCCTGTAATCATATAATAAACACTGATTAATGTGCAATAATACCTCTCTCTGTACTACGTGTTTCAAAAACTGTAACGTGGAAAAATAAATAAATATTTGAATAAATGAAATAGATCATCTCAAAATTATTGAACCATTACATGCTCCTGACCTAAGTTTGCAGGGGACAAATCTTCATTAACATATCATAGATATAAAAATAGTGAAAATTACTTCAATTGGTTTTCTTTCCCGAGAAAATATTCAAACACATTATTTAAGACAACCACATCTGCATCTTGAAGAAGGGACTTCTGACTACATATGTCCGACTGGTATACCTGTGGGGGGGACATAGAAGAGAAAACCGATTATTATTATTATTTATAAATTGCCGAGAAATTCAGCAGCCACTACAATGGTGGCAGTATAGAACTGAAAGTGTGAGAGAATAACTAAGAAAATAATTATGCTTGTTTTTTTTGTTTTTTTTAATATGCTGGTATGAAGTCCTACTTGTTTAAAGTGATAAATATTTTTGCCTTTGCAATGAGAGATACAGTGGGTATATCTTATTAATGACTTTCTTGTGACACCTTAGAACGACACCAACATAGAACGTATTTTTATAATAAAGGTGAGCCTGGGATAGAAATTCAGCCCTGATCTTGGGGTTATAAACCAATTACAGAGAATGTTTGTGATAATATTTACATTTTTACTATATTTCTCAAATACATTATCAACATTCACTCTATTAAGTTAATTTATTTACCAAGATGCCCGACAAGCGTATCTATATCAATGATTGTTTTTGTTGAACTATTACCTTGATTCTGTCCGAAAACTGATATTTCTGTATTGTTTTCTCTTGCAGATCACAAAATTCTGCATTAATTTCCACTCCATATAAATGATTGGCTGAGCTATACACATAACCCTAAAAATACAACAAACAAACACAACAATGTACCTCAACTGCAACAAAACCACAACGGAGATAGGAGTCCATGCTTTTGTCATATCTGTAAAAAATGGCACGCAGAGATGAGGTATTTATAGGACATGATGAGTAATATGTGGTTATTTTGTATCGTGTGTAGTAGATCGGATGGCACAAAAATGGCTTTGGTTTGACAGAAACAGAACTCGAAAAGGTATAACAGGACCCAAGGTTTGGAAAATAACCCCGACAAATGCTTCAGATGATAATGGTATTTTTATTAGTCAAGGAAATGTGGGATTTTCTAGTTAAAAGGACACTCTAACCACCAAAATAACTTTAGCATATCGAAGTTGTTTTTTGTGTGTTTAGATTATGCCCCATGCAGTCTCACCATTTAATTCTCTATTTATGCGTCCCTAGCCACAACATACCTGGCTGTGACTCACACATCTTTCCTACACACTTCCAGAAAAAAAAAAAGATCTAATTTTTAAACTTCCCTTACTGCACAGTGTGATTAATTTTGAATTTTTTATTTCCTGATCTGTTGATAGCCTGCAACAGCCTCCTTTGTGTGATTAAAATTCAATAAGCAGAGCTGGAGCTAAGAATGTCTGAAATGAACACTCTTTGCTGTAAGATCAGACTGGGGAGGAAAAACAACAGCTTTTTTTCCCTGTGGAGGCTGTGTGGGCCAGTAGAGGTGTGACTCTGGCTGAATGAATGCACAAATTCAACTTCTAAATGGCAGAGAATTGAGCATCGACCGTGCGGGGCATGATCTCTAAACCGCTTCATTAAGCTAGAGTTGTTTTGGCGCTTACAGTATCTTTTTAACTAGTTCACAGAGTAGGTTTCTCCCTAAATACTGCATGAGATCTAATGTTCAATGCTTAGTACCATGTGGATATGCTGAATAGTTTAAAGGGTGCCTTACGTAAGGATTGCCCATATTTACCAGCTGGTGGCATTAGAAGGTAGCTGGCTCAATGTCTAAGTACAAGTGTATTATGGTTGAATACACAATAGCAGAACAACAATAAGCTGAGATCAATAGAGATGTACGGTAGTCCCAATATCATCAGTGGGAACAAAGTATGAAATACGTGAGTTATAGCCTAGCCTGATGTACAGTGAAAGAACACAGCTAAGAGAGATATTTAAAGAACTAGAAAGGTCTAAATTCTTCATAACATGCAAAGAACAGTGTCAATTTGTTTCTAAATCCTCAATTTAGAAATCAGAACCAAACCAAACTGTATTAGGAACATGTCATTGGCCAGGTAGGATGGGTGCAGGGAAAAGATAAATATAGAAGTCACAATTTTTTACCGCATACAGGACAGCACCAAGTCTTGATCCAACATCTATTAATGTCTTCCCAGTCAAGTCAGGTAACACATGTTGGAAAAGAAACTTGAGCTCCAGGAGAGAAAAAGAATGGGACAAAAAATCTATATATAAAAAAGAAGTTAGAGATGTAGTACTAATATGTTCAGCAAGACCAAAAAGGTATTTAGGTTTTGTTTAAAGTAAAAAAAAAAAAAGAATAGTATGTAGCCTAAAAACTAGTCATTTGAAAGTGAATCAAAAAGGTAAAGTGGCTATTTATCTATAACAATATAAACTATATTAATAATTAATGGTATAACGGACAGACTGGGTTAATATGAATGGGCGTCTGTAACATACATTAACTTACCAATGGGTGCAGTATGTCTAGAACCGCAAGATAAACAATAGTTACGACTCATCTTCCCCTCGTTGCACAAGGTATCAACAGTCTCATCGTCATAAAGGAAAGCATCGACGTGAAGCGTTGGCTGCTTGAGATTCTGAATCTGAAATGAAATACGGTGAAGTAAAGTGAATTGGGACGCCGTGCAAAGGATGGTCAGAGGCAGGCACGAAGTGGGGATGCATACTTACACAGACAAATATTAACCAACATTAAAGGGAAACTCAAAACACCATATCCCTTGACACCGTCTCTGCAAACGTACCTTTTCATTCCTTTGTCTGCTCTATTTTCATGTAAATCTGCAGCTCCCACTTGACCCTTCATTCATGACACCCAGATATATCTCTCCTCCCCGGGCCTCTCCCCTGCCGTTCTGCAACGTGTCACTGCTTGCCTTTCTTCCATCTCTGACTGGATGTCCTCACGCTTTCTGAAACTCAATCTCTCTAAAACTGAACTCCTTGTCTTTCTTCCTCCTAATACTGATCCTCCTCTCTCGCTCTCCCTTCAGTGATATCCACATAAGTCCATCCTTGCAAGCACGCTGTCTTGGCATCATACTTGACTCTGGCCTCACCTTTGAGCCTCATATCCAGTTTGTTGCCAAATCCTGTAGGTTCCAACTCAAAAACATAGCCCGCATCCGCTCCTTTCTTACGCAAGATGCGACCAAAGAGCTTGTCCATGCTCTAGTAATTTCCCGCATGGATTACTGTAACCCTCTCCTGATTGGTCTCCCCAAAAGCCGTATTGCCCCGCTACAGTCTGTAATGAATGCTGCAGCTAGACTGATTTTCCTCTCTAGTCGGTCCACTCACACATCAGCCCTCTGCCAGTCCTTACATTGGCTCCCTGTATCCTATAGGAGTCAATTCAAAGTACTAACCCATACATTTAAAGCACTGAACAATTCTAGCCCTTCTTATATCTCCTCAATGATCCATAGGTATACCCCTCCTCGTTCCCTCCGCTCTGCCCGTGACCACCTCCTGACCGCTGCTTGCACTCGTACGGCCAACTCGCGCTTGCTGGACCTCTCGCGGGTGGCTCCTTTCCTATGGAATGCCTACCGCCATCAGACTCTCCCCTAGTCTTCAATCATTTAAGAAGAGCCTTAAAACCCATCTCTTCAGGAAAGCTTATGGCCTCCCAGAGTAACCTCTACCTTACATACCTGTCTCTTGCTCTCTCTTATAGGGCGGTGCTTTACTCTCTCCTCCAGCTCTGCTTCACTCGCACCCTATTTGATTGATATTTCCAGTCCTAACGTGTCTTATACCCCAACACCTATAAACTGTAAGCTCGTTTGAGCAGGATCCTCTTCAACCTATTGTTCCTGTAAGTTTTCTTGTAATTGTCCTATTTATAGTTACATCCCCCTCTCATAATATTGTAAAGCGCTACGGAATCTGTTGGCGCTATATAAATGGCAATAATAATAATAATATAGGGAAATGTGTAGGACAGTATTCTAGGACTTTTACGGTTAGTGATAGTGGTTATAATGCTCAGTCCTGAATGTCCAATTAGAGGAACACTCCAAGTCCTCTAAAAACTACAGCCAGTTATTGTGGTTATGGTGCCTGGGTTACACTGGTAGCGTCCTCATTGCAAGTAGTGAAACAAATTTGCGATATGTTTGGCTAGGGTATGCCAGGCTCCAATAACCTCTTCCTCTGTACCGCAGAATGTCAGGGGAGCTAACAGGCGCCAGGGGAAGAGTTTACTGCCACCCAGCAGACCTCAGGTAGATTGTCAAACCATTCGCACTGGGAGGAGGCCAGAGTACTCCTGGCACGATAACCATTTCAGCAGGAGTGATCCTTTATGAATACTATGGGGAACTGAAGAAATAGAAGAATTGGACAATGATTCATATGAAAAAATAAATAAAAATAAAAACATATAAAGAGGCAGTGTAAATAGATACGTTCAAATATGGTTTTAAAATGGACTGGTTTCTTAAAAAAATGATTTCTACGTTTGAAAAAATATCTCACAGTTTGAATTGCTTGACTCTCTGAGCTAACCATCGCATGCACAGGTAAGCTGCTTCGTAAGTCCTCTGAAATACTTCTCAGTATTACATCATTGTTGCTAATGATGAAGTCTTCAAAGTCACCTGCAAAAATTAAAAAGTTCAGATATATTACACATGCCTATTACAAACAACATATAATACTAACAATTGAACAGTACAGCCCACTGATTATTATAATGTCAGGAGTACCTGGCCTGGTTCCCCAGTAAGGGGCAAACCATATATCAATGGTTTACCCTCATACCTGGGGTGCTGCTAGGCTCTGAGGTTCCTTTTAGTGCTGGTGGCCCGCTTCCAATTTCTGCAGAACTGCAGAAGCCGATCCAATCTGAGAGCAATCATGAAAATTTGTACAGAATTGACAAGAGTTCCAGGCCGGCTAATAACCCCCCAATCAGACCGCTGGAGGTGGAGTTACACCTCCGTCAGCAAATAGGTTAAAATCCATTTGTGCGGTGCTTCATCCAGAAGTACTGCATATACAGACTCCAATCACCATCACAACTTCAAATCACTGAGGAGGTCATGGTGCTTGGAGCCTGAAGAATAAGATTTAGGCTTGGAGTTTATACATTACAAGAATGAAAGGGACACTCCAGCTTACTGTAGTGATTATGGTACTAAGAGTTCTAGATATTTTTCATACAACTGCAGATGACACAATAAGGAAGTTAAAAAGCTTTGCCCATGCTGTATAGTTGGACAACTAATACAGGTTATCTGCAATGAGAGGCTTTGAGCTTGTGGACCGATCGAATGCTTCTCCTAGATAAGCATTGGGGACCTAATGCGCATGGAGCTGTGAGTGCTGCATGCACTCAAGCTTCCTCGTAGAAAAACAGCCACTGGAGGTGGACTTAACCCTGCAATGAAAACATATTTATTTCTAAAAATAAAAATACAGTGTTTTTCATTGCAGGGTTAAAAAGACAGGGCCACATTGAGATCAAGTGGTCTGAGTGACTGTAGTGTCCCTGTAAAGCAGACATTTTGCAGAGACCCCTAGAAATAACATGTCCACTTGGTGTGCAGTAGCCTGGGGGTAGAAGACTAAGGAAGCTTTCGATGGAGAGTCCTGCTATCCTTCATTCGGTTCTTTCTTTAACTTCCCCCACTTCATTTGTCAGGAGCTAGCATTATTGTTGTACTCTCGCGCATGCACAAGACTACAACACAGTGGTCTAAGTGAGATCCTGCATGATCCTCCATATAAGTATGAGGGATGCACCGAAATTTCGGCTGAAAATGGGCCTATCCCGTTTCGGCCAAAAACGGGTTAAATTTGTTTTGAAAAATATATATATTTTTTTTATTTGTAGTTCATAGCTTAACAGACATGCTTGCATTAACAATTCAGATCATTATATATCACAATGGAAGATAGTAATGATTACATGAAAAGAACACTATGGGACAGGGGAGGGGGGGAAAGAACACTATAGGACGGGGGGGGAAGAACACTATGGGACTGGGGAGGGGAAAGAACACTATGGGACAGGAGGGGGGGAGATAAGAACACTAATGGGAGAGGGGAGAGAAAAGAACACCATGGGACGGGAAGAAAACACAATGGCACAGGGGGGGGAAAGAACACTGGGGAGGGGAGGGGAGAGAAGAGCACTATGGGAAAGGAGGAGAACAGAGCACAATTGGACAGGGGAGAAAAGAGCACCATGGGACAGGGTGGGACAGGGGGGGGGAGCACCATGGGACAGGGGAGGGGGGAACACTATGGAACTGGGGAGGAGGAGGAAAAGAACATTATGGGACTGGGGGGGGGAGATAAGAACACTATGGAGCAGGGGAGAGGGGAGAAAAGAACACTATGGGACGGGGGAAGAACACAATGGCACAGGGGAGGGGGGAAAGAACACTGGGACAGGGGAGGAGAGAGAAGAGCACTATGGGAAAGGGGAGAACAGAGCACAATTGGACAGGGGAGAAAAGAGCACTATGGGACAGGGTAGGGGGGGAGCACTATGGGACAGGGGAGGGGGGGAACACTATGGGACAGGGGAGGGGGGGAACACTATGGAACTGGGGAGGAGGAGGGAAAAGAACACTATGGGACTGGGGAGGAGGGAGGAAAGAACACTAAAAAAGAGGGAGGGGAGAGGTGAACATTAAGCGGGGGGACAACTAAAAGAGATGGGAAGTTTTTCATAGAAGATTAAATTCATTAAAAAGTCTAATATTAATAAATATAGGGAAAAAAAACCTTTTTGTAAATCATTTGGGGGAAAAAGTCATTTTCGGCCAAGGGCATCCTGAATTTTCGGTTTCGGCCCAGAATTTTCATTTCGGTGCATCCTTAATAAGTATTCATCCAACGTCAACAGGACAGCTTAATTGCCAGTGCATCACTGTTATAACAGAATGTCATATATTAATTACCCTGTGCTATACTTCTCTATCAAAATGTTCTTGCCAGAGGGATATCACATGTATTGTAATTGCTTCAATGGAGACCAGAAGAATGTCTGGAAGAGTGTTTTCCTGTTCTCACCATTGAATTGTTGGCGAACAGGGCACCAGCACAACCACTATGTGCAGAAATAACAGGCTAAGAGGGATTATAATTGCAACCTTTTTTCCCCTCCTATATTCTATTCTCTACATTCTCTGGCAGAACAACATACAGGTGGAATTTTGTGTAGTAAAATCTTATTTAAGCATAACTGGCACAGTTTAATTTTGCAATGTTTTGACAAATTTAGAGCTTGCCAACTATAATATCAATTATTTATTTCTAAGACATGTAAATGAACATGTAAATAGAATAAGATATATATTAGGAAAACAATTAATAGAATGCTTTAAATGCAAAAAAAAATATTATCATACAGCAGGTCTTATTAGATCTCCCATCTGCACAAACAAATAAAATGAGACATGCTATTATAGCTTACTGCTTGCTCTCATCCAATGGATAATTTTAGGTAAAGCGTCCGCAGACACGTTTCCCAAAAGTCCGAGGATAGCATTCTGGGCTTCAGTAAAGTCCATCTCATGTACCAAAAACGCACAGCTCTCATCACAAACTCTCTGTGTGTACAGATAGGGATTGTTTTTTTTTTTTTTTGGGGGTGTACAAAGATGGCGGAGCTACCATAGAGATCCGGGTGGATAGAACTAACCTAACGCACGCTCTATGGTATGATATACACACACCGGAAGTAGAAACCATCTGAAGGTCAAAGGTTGCCTGTATGTGGTGACGTTTCACATAGAGCGGAAGTTGTGAGCTTGTTTTTTTGGATCTCACCGGTCCCTTCGTTACGCTGGGGGTTTATTCGGTGTCTGATTCCCTGGGACTCCTCCAATAGCAGGAAAGCAGAGCCAGCAGCGGGGAAGCTCCCTGGAGACCGTGGGAAGGCCATAGGATCCCCCAGCTGGGGGCTGATTTCACAAGGGGTACTATAACCACTGCACACCACACTGTAACAGGGCCAGGCTCTAATGGGGGAGGCTCTCAGGAACTCAAACCTTTCATTGATTTATTTCTAAACCCAAAATAACCACACACAAAAAAAAAAAAAAAATGTTGGACCATGTTTACAATTTTGCCTTAAAATTTAGAAAATTGACTTAGAATTTTTTGTATTACTGTATTTGTAAAACGCAAACAAATTCCGTAGTGCTGTACAATAGGTGGACGAACAGACATGTAGGATTTTTTTGTATTACTGTATTTGTAAAACGCCAACAAATTCCGTAGCGCTGTACAATAGGTGGACGAACAGACATGTAGGATTTTTTTGTATTACTGTATTTGTAAAACGCCAACAAATTCCGTAGTGCTGTACAATAGGTGGACTAACAGACAGGTAGAATTTCTTTGTATTACTGTATTTGGAAAACGCCAACAAATTCCGTAGCGCTGTACAATAGGTGGACTAACAGACAGGTAGAATTTCTTTGTATTACTGTATTTGGAAAACGCCAACAAATTCCGTAGCGCTGTACAATAGGTGGACTAACAGACAGGTAGAATTTCTTTGTATTACTGTATTTGGAAAACGCCAACAAATTCCGTAGCGCTGTACAATAGGTGGACTAACAGACAGGTAGAATTTCTTTGTATTACTGTATTTGGAAAACGCCAACAAATTCCGTAGCGCTGTACAATAGGTGGACTAACAGACATGTAGAATTTCTTTGTATTACTGTATTTGGAAAACGCCAACAAATTCCGTAGCGCTGTACAATAGGTGGACTAACAGACATGTATTCACAATGAGATGAGTTGGATACACGGAAACGGGTGTTGAGGGTCCTGATCAAACAAGCTTTATATGCTAGAGGGCGTGGGGGTAAAGGGGCACAAGAGGTAAGGGTAGGATAGAAACATAGAATGTGACGGCAGATAACTATTCGGCCCATCTAGTCTGCCCAAATTTTCTAAATACTTTTATTAGTCCCTGGCCTTATCTTATAGTTAGGATAGCCTTATGCCTATCCCACGCATGCTTAAACTCCTTTACTGTGTTAACCTCTACCACTTCAGCTGAAAGGCTATTCCATGCATCCACAACCGTTGGTAAAGTATTTTGTGTACGGAAAAAAGTAGATTGGAATGGTTTACAGTTGTGGGGTTTGTCGTTTAGATGATACGTTTAGCAGAGGTGCGGGTAAGGAAAGCTTTTAACAGTTTAATTGAATTCTCCATGATTCACACTTTAGTGAATAAACCTTATTATTCTCAAATGTCTTATTGGTTAACGCCTCAAAACCTCCTGCTATATTGTCCCTTTTACTTACCATATGTCTACACTTTTCAATATTTACTCTGCTGTTGTAATGGAAAAATAGATGAAGCTATTGGGTTTTATTCCAGCTAATTAAGGTTATTTCTTACAAAATAGTAAGTGCGTATACTAAGTGGATTTATAGAACATTTTTGAGACCTGTGGAATATGTTGGTAGTTTATGCTTCAGGGAAAATTGTATATTTATTTACTCACATTTTTAACAAATATACATTTGGTGAAAAATAGACTTAAAGGGGCATTCTGATTGTTAAAAATAAATTTTTGCAATACTAGAGCCTGCCTTATTTAACTTTTAGATCTGGGGTGTATCTTTTACATAAGTGGAAAAAGAAATTGTTTTTAAAAGCAGTTAAACTTGACTATGAACCAGCTGTGATGCTGTTGCTCATCCCTCTATAAGATCATGAATTATGATTTCTATCCAATTTTCTGCCTAGAAAATTTACAATGCATTCGTAGGGGACCTTCAACACGTGCGCACCAATCACCCTTTTCCAACAATCCATTGGTTCCCCTAGAGAAGAATTTAATCCAATATTTTGCATAGAGAAGCTGTAGAGAGTGTGTGATGATGCCACAGGTCTTAAGGAGGAAGTGCCTCTAGTGACTGCCGCCAGAGGGTTGTTCTTGGACAGATGTAAACATTGCCTTTTGTCAGCAACAGTATTTTTTTTATTGCCTAAAAAAGGGACAGAATTCACGTACAAAAAATAATATATTAACATGGAGTAATTTTGTTACTAGACGCACCCCTTTAAAATGTAGAAATCCACACTCTCTTATCCTGCAACTTGGCTCCTTGTCAATCCTTATCATGATCTCTGACCTGTTTACCTGGTCGTCAGCGTAAAGAAAGTATACGGAAAAGAGGAGAAATTAAAAACTGTTTCTAGTTCTTCTCTACATTTGCATTGATTGCCCTGCCTAAATTGAACTGGATTGTAATTTGCCTTATATTCTTAGTTATGTTCCCTTATCTCCAATTACATTAATCCATTCCTATAATCTGGTGCCCCTGCTATTTTCCCTCATTGCCTCCCAGTCTCATAACCAACTCACTACAACCCCTGAATCCCCTCAACAATATCCAGCCCTATAAATCCCAGCACCAATTGCATTACCTCATATTTCTCATCATTAACCCATTACATTACCTCATATTTCTCATCATTAACCCATTACATTACCTCATTACTGTAGCCCCAGTCAATGCCTCAACATCATACTTGTAATCTCCTCATCAAGAATGAAATGGTAAATTTATGACATCATCTCCCTGTTTGCTCCCTCATCAAGTACAGCATGGCACTGTGATGGAGCAGTGTCAGACTGTGTACCAGAAAATGCACCCAGCCTGTCTGTCATTGCTTCCTTGCTATACAACTACAAAGGGACTGTGACAGCTCATGTGGGTTCACAGAAAGGGACTTTTGGAAGATCCTAGTGAGCAGTCTCTCAGTACACTTATTTGTGCCTCAACACTAGTATTAGTTGACTTGGAGGTAGGTCTGAATATTTTTTTTTTCTCTTTACCTTCGGTTGATTGAGATGAGGCAGTCTCTAGAAGCAACATGGGGCATAAAAGTATATAGTGTACAGAGGAAAGACCAATGTATTTTAGTTTTTTTATTTGTATATGTGAAATTCATTGTCAAGACTTTTTTGATTCTATCTATCTATCGATCATGATACTTTGGAGAGAGTTCAGAGAAGGGCTACTAAACTGGTTCATGGATTGGAGGATAAAACTTACCAGGAAAAGTTAAAGGAACTTTACATGTATAGCTTGGAGGGATAGGATAGAAACGTTTAAATACATAAAGCACAATAAAGGAGGAGACTATATTTAAAAGAAGAAAAACTACCACACCAAGACCGTCTTAAATTAGGGCACAGGTTTAAAAATTGCAGGAGGTATTACTTTACTGAGAGTGTTGTGGATGCATGGAATAACCTTCCAGTGGTAGAGGTTAACACATTGTAGGAGTTTAAAGGACCACTATAGTGCCAGGAAAACATACTCGTTTTCCTGGCACTATAGAGCCCTGAGGGTGCCCCCACCCTCAGGGTCCCCGTCCCGCCGGGCTCTGGAGAGAGGAAGGGGTTAAAATCTTACCTTTCTCCAGCGCCGGGCGGGGAGCTTTCCTCCTCCTCCTCTCCTCCTTCCTAGCGATGTCATCGGCTGAATGCGCATGCGCGGCAGGAGTCGCACGCACATTCAGCCAGTTCATAGGAAAGCATTTCACAGTGAGAAGCACGCAAGCGCCTCTAGCGGCTGTCAATGAGATAGCCACTAGAGGCTGGATTAACCCTCAGTGTAAACATAGGAGTTTCTCTGAAACTATGTTTATAAAAAAATAAAATAAATTAAACTGAAGTGGTCTGGGTGCCTGTAGTGGTCCTTTTAGCCAAATGGTTCTTATCTGCCGTCACATCCTATGTTTCTATCATCTTTTGTATATGTCATGCTTGTTGTTGCGATAACTGATTACAGATTCTCTATATGTACCCCATTAATCATGTTCTCTTGTTATTCACTAACTAGCACAGACTTTGCTTTGAGTCTTCGGAGTAAAATGGAAATACATATAGCAGACACTTCAACTACATGTTTTTTTGTTGTTGTTACAGGTTGAGTGAAACTATAGGCGTTCAAGATGGTTTTGGCAGATTTAGGAAGAAAAATCACATCAGCACTGCGCTCATTGAGCAATGCTACAATCATTAATGAAGAGGTAAGGTGATATGTTAGAGTATTCCTTGAAGTGTTCAGATTCACGCCTCCCTATCATACATGGATATATAGTAAGCAGCAACAAACCGTTTATTTCAGGCCATCATTGTTTACTCCTTTAATCCAAATGTAATTTCACCTGCTGTTCACACTGTCCAATATTGATTTTGACATTTTTTATTTCTTTTACACATATTTCTTGCTTAGTAAATCACTGTAGCTTTAATCATCGTATCCTCGTGTGTCTTTTATTTATGTTTTTACACATGGCACCATAGGTTAGCCATAATTCTTTGACATGTAAAGAAAAGGCATAATATATCAAGGCCTTTTCAAATGTGTGTATGTTTTAGGTTCTCGGTGCTATGCTGAAAGAAGTCTGTGCGGCTCTACTAGAAGCTGATGTGAACATTAAACTTGTAAAGCAGCTAAGAGAAAATGTCAAGTAAGTTAAATATTAAAATAACATTTATTTAGTAAGTTGGTTACTTACACTGGATTATTGTTTATATTGGATTTTGAAGGGTAACTTTTACCAAAATCACTGATCATAATAGCAGAGTTTCACTCTGTTACAGCAGAAGCACCTCTAGTGGTGTCAGTATGTGCATGGTAATCCTTCAAAGTAAATCTTGAATGTTTTACATTGAGTTAAAACTACATGGCCACTGCACCCCAACCACTTCATTGAGATGAAATGGTCTGGGTGCATTCAGCTTGTCTTTAATATAAAATAAAAAAGTAGATAGAAAGATCAGATGTAGCTAATATTATTGCAAATGGTAAGCGATCAAAGTTAATTCCCTATGAAAATGTGTTGAGATGGAGATATATATATATATATATATATATATATATATATATGTATATGTGTTACAGTTAAAGTGATAAATCTGTCAATGTGCACATTGCCTAGTTAATCTGCAGATTAACTGATTTGCCCCGTTAAAGTGCGGAATCAAGAGTTTTCCGCACTTTACCAAGGTAATGTGCACATTAAATGCTTCCGTATAGTTAAAGTGCAAAATGTTTGTTTCTTTCCCTCTGTAAAGAGGAAATTATTTATTCCAAAAATGTCTCGCAGAACCTGTTTCACCCTTTAAGTGCAGTCTCTGCAGAGTCGTTCACTTCTCGTCTGAAGGCGGAACGATTCTGTGTGAACCTGTCTCGATTCTTTTTGTGAGCAAGTTCCTTTCAATGCCCTCCACCATCAAATTCTCAAAGCATAGACGCATGGTTTGTTGCTTCTCAGAGGGGGCTGGCTACTAACAATGCTGCTGTGTAAGTCTGAGAAATACTTCTCTCATTGAGGAGAATGAGACCAAGGAGAGGTCTGCTCATGGACCACTGATTCCGACAGTCTTCCAATATAAGATGATATTGAGAACAGTAGCGAGCATCTGCTGGGATAATTTCAGGGTGTTGCTGCATAATGTGTAGGAAGCTCTCGCTCTCTTGTGGTGGTTGGGGCTCCTCGTTTCTTACCAGTTCGGGGTAACTGTTTTAAGAAGTATGTGACTGTGGTCCAGACAAGAACAGAACTGCTGCATGTGCACACCATGGTGTCCTCCAGAGCTGTGAGCCCCTCAAAGATGGAGGACAGTATGATTTTTTTTTTTTGCACTTTAACGAGCGTCTAGTAGGTAATGTGCAGATTATCTAGGTAATGTGAGAAATATTTGAGAAACAAAATCATTTTCTGCACTTTAACAGATCGCCCCAGGTAATGTGCACATTAACTGATTTCTGCACTTTAACTGTAACATTTATTTATTTATTTATTATAAAGTCTTGTTTTGGAAGCTCTGTGCTCTCCCCATCCCAGTTATTTATATATACACCAACGGGTTTCTAGATGCTTTCGGAGTTGGATCTGCTACAGGTGTCAGAAAAGACAGTGTTTGGATTACTGAGACTGCAGGGACAGTCTCCACACCATACTACAAACTGTAGTTGTTCGGGTGTTTTGAGTGTCCTTTGAATACAATAAAATGTTAAAATAAAACTTTATACAATGTATCTTCAACAGTCTGTTAGACTCATCCTGAAATATAAGCATGGGGAAGTTATAGATGAAAATGCTAGTAACCTAGCTTGACCGTTATTCAGCACTGCAAGGCCAGTGTCCATTGTACACTAACCAGATTAAATGAGATAAAGTGGTTTAGGTGCTTATAGTGTCCCTTTAATCTACAACCCCTCATATACATTATGAGCACTCGTTAAAAAAGGTTGTTTGCCATCATTTATTTTGCCTCAATATATATTCTTTTAAATATTTTATTTATTTAGTTAGTTTAGGAAATGCCCTATTTGTTTTCCATTTTATTTCTAAAGAGTTTTTTTTTTTTTTTTCTTTTGTGTAGGTCTGCTATTGATCTGGAAGAAATGGCGTCTGGTTTGAATAAGCGCAAGATGATCCAGCATGCTGTCTTCAAAGAACTTGTCAAGGTAAACGACAAGTTTAAAATAATGTATATATTCTTGAGGAATCCTGTTGGCCTTCTTTTTAATTTAAAGTATGCAAGTTTCTTCACTCCTACATAAGATAACGGTCTTGTCAATTGTTGACTTTTTGACTCTGATATGAGTTATTCATTTTTTTTTATAGGTATCTTACAATGTGTGTGTGTATATATATGTATATTTCTACAGTAAGCCTTGTTAAGAATAAATCTCCTCTGTATATACTTCAAACATGGAGTGGCCAACAGGAATGTATGTTCACGGCGTTCAATATGCTAAATACCAGTTGGTAGGAGGGGATCCCGCAGTAAATCTGCACCTTTACATTAGCTTTATTGGCTGTCAATCTGAAGGAACGCTATCCATCTGTGGTTAAACTACAAGTCCAAGATGTTCAGCAATCCTCCTAAAAGTAAAGGAGTAATTCTATGGCCGGCTGGACATCACTGGAGTTGGTGTTCCACAGCAATTGAGGAGCTATATTTTGGCTTCCAGTGATCTGCAGGTGTTTTTATTAAAGGTAAAGTGCAGCTGTAGTATTATGTTAGATGTTGTGTACCCCTTTTAAGGCCATGTTTGTCAAACTTTGATATCTGCTGTTTCTCGTGCTTGATCAGTTAATGTAGAGTTCTCCATAGATGACCATGTTTGTCAAACTTTGATATCGGCTGTTTCTTGTGCCCGATCAGTTAATGTAGAGTTCTTCATAGATGACCATGTTGTAAAATTTCCATATGAGAATATTTGTGCCCCATAACTGGTTTATTATTCTCCACAGCTAGTTGATCCTGGGGTTAAAGCATGGACTCCAACTAAAGGAAAACCAAATGTCATAATGTTTGTGGGTTTACAAGGAAGTGGAAAAACAACCACATGTTCAAAGGTAAGTGAAGAACAAGATGGACCAAACGCTAGATTAATCTTTATTATGGTATTTGTTTTTGCTTTTTATCACTCATCAACTGCATAACAAAATAAATTCAAGGTTTCTAGTCCGTTAGTCGTGTATATGTAAAAGTACCATTTTCTTTTGTCCCCTTACAGTAAAAAGACTTGCAGACATTTCCAGTCCTGCTTACATCAAATCTGAGCAAACTTTTTCTCTGAACTAATATTTTTCAGACCTAGTTCTGAGATTTCCAGGTTAATTTGAGTTCATCTAATGGATCTGTTGTAAATTTTGTCTTACAGTTGGCATATTACTATCAGAGGAAAGGTTGGAAGACATGTTTGATATGTGCGGACACATTCAGAGCAGGTTAGTTTTCAATCTTTTGTTTTACTTTATTTTATGTAACACTGACGCCTGCTGAGATTGGATTTTCAGTTTGAGACATTTAAAGGGTGAATAGTGTACATTTTTGTGAAAGATGTCCTGGTTTAAACCTGCAATGTGTGGAATACTTTTAACTAAGTTTTGAAGTAAACACATTTGTAAGTATAGGGATTAAAATAATATCTGTCTTCTTTAATCTGTCAGGATTTGATTTTGATTTGTTTATTATTCTCAAAAAAGGAAACATTTATTAGCTGCTGCCATTTGTCTCTCCTTCCAATAAATATAATTTGTCATCAAATTTTCATCTTTCTTTTTTGCAAGTTTATCACATTTAAGGAAAGTTTATTTTAAATTACAATGTATTTTAATTTTTATGGAACTGAGCAGCCATGTTGGGAGACACTATTGTTATCTGACCAACTGCTGCGCAGCCTAGCTTGCTTGCTGCTGCAATTTCACGTAGAACAATCACAGCAGCAGGTAAGGTAGGTGGAGCAGCAGTTGGTCAGATAAGAGTCTGACTGAACATGGCTGATCAGCCAGATGGAAAGTGAAATTGTATTAAATCAATATACATCATGTAAAAATCATTAAGTTTCATTCAATGGAATACACTTAAAAAAAAAAAAGAAAAGTGATTTGAAAATTGAGATAGCCTTTAGCCTTCATTAACAGGTGTCCTAAAAACCATTATACCAGAATGAAACTTGCTTAAAATGTGTATATATTGTACCTGGTTTTCTTAAGAATATTCCCAGTGCTTAATGAATGGGTTACAACTTGTTTTTGTAGGAGCCTTTGATCAGCTGAAACAGAATGCAACCAAAGCTAGAATCCCCTTCTACGGAAGGTAAGTCGAGACCTGTGCGATTGGCTTCAAATGCTCAAACATGTGGTGACTGTGTGTCTTCTTTTAGTAACCAGAAAGACAGAGCATCTGCTCGATAACGATAGCTTATAGAACTTTCTACTCGATAATATATACATTTACAGAGTTGTTTACTAAAGTGAATTTCAAATACAAGGTCCAAGTAGCCAAACTGACAATCTTTTCTAAGTACGCTATGTTTCGTGTGTGTGTGTGTGTGTGTGTATGTGTATATATATATATATATATATATATATATATATATATATATATATATATATATGTATGTGTATATATATATATATTGTGGTCTTAAATTTGAAATTAAAATAGAATTACTTTGGATTCTCACTTTAGTAAGTAATCCTGTCAAATTTGCTTAGTTTCAGCAATATGTTTGGTTATATAATAATATATAATTTATCACATTGGTTATTGTACATTTTGGCACATTTATCTATCTGCATAACTGATTTAATTTGTATATTTTGTATAAACCTTATAATTTCTCTGTTTCATATTATTTATACTCTTTTTAAATTCTTTTTCATGTTTAAGACCATTGACTGGCATGTCAGTAGTGATTAACGCTGTGTTTATTCACAGCTAGGTTTTGAAGGGGAAAATATAGGTTTATCACTTACCAGCGCCAATGTCTCTCAGCTCTAGCTCAGGCTCTGCCTTCGCTCCTCCTCTTCCGTCAGCTGGCGGGGCACCTAATATGCATGCGCAGTGATTGTATAATGCTTTCCTATAGGGTTTTGAGTGACGCTGGAGGTCCAGCGTCCGTAATGCGACCATAAATTGCCTAGCCACCTGGAAGACCCTCTACAGGCTGTTTGGTAGACACAGCCACTAGAGGTGGAGTTATCCCTGCAAGGTCATTATTGCAGTTTATCAAAATGAATTACAATTACAGCATTAAACGGCCTAGGACACTGTACCCAGACTACTTCCATGAGTTGAAGGGATCTGCGTGCCTATAGTGTCCCTCCTCACATTATAACTACTACAGTGGGCTGTAGTGGTTATGATGCTTAAGGTACATTTTTAATGCATTATGGCATCAGTCAATATTTGTACACTGAAACAACATTCTCTCTCCGTCCAGTTACACAGAAATGGATCCTGTCAATATTGCATATGAAGGTGTGGAGAAATTTAAAAATGAGAATTTTGAGATTATCATTGTGGACACAAGTGGGCGACACAAACAAGAAGATTCTCTGTTTGAAGAAATGTTACAAGTTTCCAATGCTGTGGTAAGTTTGTTGTGAAAGGGCAAAAAATAGATAATCCGTTAAATTTGGGGAATCTAGAAAGCAGTAAAGGTTAGTCTCAATGATAAAGAATGTTAAATCTCATGATAAACTCCGTTATACATCCCTAACCAGAATTTAGTAAATACTGTTTACCAGTCATGGCTTCATACAAGCACCATGGTGCGGCATAAAATATTTTATTAAATTTTATCTGTATGCAGTTAGACCTCATATTGTAATTTTTTTTTTATGGCTGGCATCCATTTTTGGTAGATTCCACTAAATGTCATTGATTGAGGGTTTGTGGGATCCTTGACTCCACATCGCCCGGTGATAGGCTGAGCGAGCTCAGCTGTCCGTTTTGGGTTATCACTTTCTCCCAGCAATGCAGAAACGATAGCCAGAGCAGCAAAGAGGATGCAGAACAAGGTTGGCTGGAGACACTCATTCAGTGTCAACTAGTTCAAAAACAGCCAGGTACCATAAGCACTTCATTATGAATAAGGCTGTGTTGCCTGGAGTATCATTTTTCTTTTTTTCTTTTTTTTTCATTTGACAATTTTTATTTTCTTGGTCAACCATGGGGTACAGAAGACAGAGAGGGAGGGTTAGGGGTTACTTTCATTACTTCATAGCTTTGATTATTACATTGCAATTATGATACATGTCTATTTGCCAGTATGTTCTGCATCTGGAGAGGACATATTACTAACACAACTTTCGTTCAGTTGCGACCATGTTCGCACCTACTGCCTCTACCGTCTGCCTGAGACTCTGTTATGTGAGTCTTCTTTCTCTTGAATGGGTTAGTAATAAATTAGGGGGGTATATGGGGTAGGGTTACAGAATGAAAAGAGGGGGGGGGGGTATATAACAAGTTTCACGCTAAACCACAGAGATTGCTTCCTACCATGCCACCCCTGTTGTTCGGCCTTGCTCGTTCCTGTTATATTTCTTATTTTGTGTTGTGAGATATTTTGTAGCCATGTCTGAGTGGCTTGTGATTGGTCTTGGTGTCTTCCTGTGGTAGCGCTTGGTGTCTAACGACACAACTATGTACATTGTGGGTGTCCACTTCTCTGTCCCACTCCCATACGGGCTATTGTCGTGAGCTTTTGAACTTGGTCCAGTTGCACCTCTCTCGCCCTGTGTTGGTCTGGTAGCCTACTTATGCGACTTACAGTGCTTCACTACTTCCCGGTTCCCCTCCTCTGCCTTCTAAGAATATTTCCCACCCTTGTTTGGCTACAGTTTTGTGATCTTGTATCTTATGTCCTGCATGTATTCTTGTCTCATATTCTAGATTCGTAGTGACTTGTCTGATCTCTGTCTCTATACCCGGGGTTTCAGTCTGTTTCCACGCCTTTGCAATGTGTAGGTTCGTTGCTATTAATATGTGGAACATTAAAAATGCTTGGGTTTTGGTGAATTGTTCTAGGGTCATGAAAAGGAGTCCGCACTCGGGTTCAAGCTTCACTGTTTGGTGTATAGTATTTGAGATTATGTTGCCTACTCCTGCCCAATAAGCGGCGATGCGGGGTCAAGTCCACCATATGTGGTACATCGTGCCCTTCCCCTTCCCACACCTACAACAGCTCGTAGATGTTTTGAGGATATATAGTTGCTAGCCTAGCTGGTACCATGTACCACCTATACTGTATTTTGCGCATCAGCTCTAAGTGGGAAGCGCATCTGGATCTGCCCTTGTGTGCTATGAATGCATTCTGCCATAGTTCTGTTTGCAATGTCTTCCCTATGTCTACTTGCCATGCCTCCTGGAACCTCTCCTGTTCCCTGTCAAGTGGGTCATTCAGTAACCTGCATAGGCAAGAGATCATTTTTTTCGATATTGTTCTGGCTACGCATTTTCGTTCTATGTTCCTTGCTTTCCTGGGTGTAACTTCTCCTGTGTCATTCTTTAGGAGTGATTTGAGTTGTAGATACAAGAATATTGAGTAAGGTGGCAGACTGTACCGGCTCTGGAGGTCCGGAAATTGCATTAGGGTGTCGTTATGGTATAGGTGTTTGATCAGTGTGCAGCCTCCTCTTTCCCATGGCCTGTAGTCGAATGTAGGGTTGGTAATGTGTATGCTCTGTATTGGGGCCACTAGGGACCATGATTTAGTGTAGCCCAGTTGGGGTTTGGCTGCGTCCCACGTTCTCAACAATAGAGACGTGGTGTCAGGCATTCCTATTATTTTAGGGCGTAATTGTGAGGTATCCAGAATAGATGGTGTAGGCCTTTCGGGCATGTCTACATCGATTCTATGTCTACCCATCGTGGTCTGTCCTCCCCCTTATGAGCTAGCACCGCCGTGGCCAAAAGGGTCACTTTGTAATATGTGCCCATTTAGGTAGTCCTAGTCCCCCTTCTGTCACCGGTCTGCTCAGTATTTTCGTTGTTACTCATATTTTACGATTCGCCTATATGAATCTGTTCAGGGTTTGTTGGAGTTTTTGTAGGAATATTTTGGGTATATGGATCTGTAATGTGCGTAATAGGTATTGGAGTTTGGGCATCACTATAATTTTGACGGCTGCTATCCTTCCCACCCAGGACAGGTATTTGTCCTCCCATGTTTGTAAAGTGTCAGCTATGTCTCTCATTAGTCTTCTGTAATTGTGTTCATGGAGACCGGCTATGGTCTTAGTTATCCGCAGGCCCAGGAAGGTGAGGTAGTCATCCCTCCAATCCAGGGGGAATGTGGCTCTCAGTTGGGCTATTGTGTGGCCTGGCACTCCTACTCCCATTGCCTGCGTCTTTGCGACATTCAGCTTATAATATGACTGGTCACCATACAAGCGGATTTTGCTCAAGAGGTTTGGCAGCGACATTTGGGGTTGTGCAAGTGTGAGCAGAATGTCGTCCGCAAAAAGATTAGCTTTATATTCTTTTCCACTCACTCGCACGCCGTGAATGGAAGTGTTCACTCTGATTTTAATTGCTAGGGGCTCCAGTGCCAACACATAGAATAAGGGGGAGAGGGGGCATCCCTGTCTTGTCCCATTGGTGAGTTTAAAGGGGCTTGACAGGATCCCAGAGTTCAACACCTGTACCGTTGGTGCGCTGTATAAGGCCTTTATCACTGCCACTATCGTGTCTGGGATTCTGAACCTCCCCAGAACCGCCTGTAGGAATCCCCAGTGCAGACGGTCGAAGGCCTTTTCTGCATCTAGGGAAACCAATATCCCCCCCCCCCCACCTTGTGTGTGTATCCTATGTGTGCCAATAAGATTTCCTTGGGGAGAGACTGGGTGGCTATTGCTTCGTTAAAGGTTTTGACCAGGTGAGGTGCCAGGGCCTCCCTAAATTTTTTTATAGTATGTGTTGTTGAGGCCATCTGGGACCGGGGACTTCCCGTTTGGCAGTGAGTTTATCGTGTCTATCATTTCCTGGGCTTTTATCAGGTTATTAAGTGTGTCTTGTTGCGTTTGCGTCCGTGTTGGAAGCTGAACTCCGTCCAGGTAATCTGCTATTCCCTTTTCGTCTGGTTGCCTAGTGGTAGTGTCGTCTTTGAGGTTGTACAGATCTGAGTAATATCGGGCAAATACGTCGCTAATGTCTTTTGGGGTTGAAGCCTTTGTCCCCGTGTGATCTATTAAGTGTGGTATTTTTTGGTTAGCCTGTTTAAGTTTTAGGCGGTGTGCTAGTAGCTTGCTGGCTTTGTTGCCCTGTACATAGTGTGTTGCTTTTAGTTTGGTCATGTGCATGTTAACCTGATCTAAAGCTTGCTGGTGTATAAGTCTTGTTAGTTGGATTATGCGGTGTTTCGCTGTTGTTGTCGGTGAGATTTGGTTTTGCATATTTAAATCATATAGTTCACGTTGCAATTCCTTAAGTTTTGTTTGTGTGGTCTTTTTAAGAACGCTGCTCTCCTAATCAGTAGGCCTCTTATCACTGCCTTATGGGCTTGTCACTCCGTGGTTGCCGTCACTTCCCCTGTGTCATTGCTTCTGAAGTATGCTCTCAACTGTGCTCTGAGTTCCTCTGTAAAGCTCTTATCATGTAGCAGGGAGTCATTTATTTTCCAAGGGCTACGGTGTCTAAAAATTGTAAATGTCCTTAAGCTCTAGTAGCACTGGTGCGTGGTCTGACCATGTTATTTGGCCGATTTCACATGAGTGTAATTGGTTCAGATGGAAGCCCGATATTACGAGGCTGTCTATCCTGGAGTAGGAGTTGTGCACTGATGAGTAATGTGTGTACGCTCTTTCGCTAGGGTGTGTAATGCTCCATGTGTCATAAAAGTGATACGTGTGTAGGAGTTTTTGTATGGTTTTGCTTTGTCTTTTCAAGGGGCGGTGTCTGCGGCTTTGTTGGGGCAGTGTAGTGTCAAGTTTAGGGTCTAGGACGTGGTTAAAGTCCCCGCAGAGTACTGTAATGCCTTGCTGTATATTCGCTATTTTTTTGGAGGATTTTATGTAGGAAATTCCTTTGGTTAGTGTTGGGCGAGTATATGTTTGCTATCACAATGACATATCTGCCGTTAGTGTCTATGTCTTGGGAATGGAGTGAGAATTTGACATCTCTGCTTATTAGGATGGAAGCTCCTTTTGATTTCGTGCAAGAGGTGTAGTGGAATTGGTGTGGGAAGTCGCTAAGCAGTATCTTGGAAAAAGTCGTCTGTCCGGTAGTGGGTCTCTTGTAGTCAAAGTATGTCAGTGCGTGAGGCAGGTCTCGGGCGAGAAGGTGCCTCTTTGCAGGGACGTTCAGTCCCCTCACGTTATATGTACATATCTTCACGGTGGTTGTCGTGTGCGAATTTACGTGTGTGTCATTGAATTACATACTGATGCGACGGCCCCTGCTCTTCCCAGCCGCGTCAAGCCGAGCAGTGGATTCCTCAGTACTCTTGTAGACTGTCCCTTGAGTGTGGTGGGAGGGTGTGTATATTGTCTAGTGTTTTCCTTTTGTAACTTGCTGTATATAAGTGGTATGGGGCCACCCACATGCCCCGTTATGTGTTCTTCAACATCCTTGCAATAAACATAACATTTAATACATAACCAAAAATATACTCTAATGAAAGTATTTACATTAACTATTACTATGGTTGCCAAAAGTATGGCTAGGCACTGCTTGTATATGCCGTGGGGGTTGAGGTTTTGCCTCACATCCTGGGGGAGCTCTCTCCCTCGAGTGCTTCCTAAGTATTGTCTGATGATTTTAATCCTTCTATTTTAGTCTCTATCTTCATAGTCTACTGGCTTCTCTTGTGTGCTTTGGTACTCGCTATTTAAGCCCTGATTCAGGTTTTTTGTTTCCCAGTGTGTATTTGTTCTCATGGGCCTAGGAGGTTTTCCTGCCTGTCCCTTTTTCACCTGGATCCCCCCAATTTTCCCCTCCTGCCCCTCCCGCTGGAGCCCCATATCTTGGGTTGTTTTTTTAAGTGACTTTTATGCGGGTTTTGCATGGTGATGCGGTACTTGGGGCGATAGGTCTCACCGTTGGTTAAGGCCGCCTGGGGAAGGGGTCTCTCTTATGGTTGACTTATTATCCCTAGGTACATTTTTACACACGCCTTCCCGTTATCATAACGGTACATTACCCAACCGGTGTTTCCATCTTTTTAGATCTGCTGTTTTAGGGCTTTTTGTCTTGGTAGCTTGTGCTTGTTAGCGTCTCTCTTTTATCTTTTTTTAATTTTTCTCTATTTCGGGGCGATTCTGGCCACAACGTTGTCTGCGTTCGGGTTGGGTGGTGGTACAATGTCCCAGGATTTCAGAATCCGTTCCCCTTCTTCTGGCGTGGCAATCACCGTCGTCTTTCCTCCCCTTGTTACCAGTATTTTTGTGGGGTATCCCCAGCGATACGGCAGTCTGTGGTCCCGCAGTGCTGTCGTGATGGGTCTAAAATCTCTCCTCCGCTTGAGGGTGTAGGCTGAGATGTTCGCAAATATGGTGTGGCTTTTATATTCTGTTTTCCTGATCTGTTCGCCGACAGAATTGCCTCTTTTGCATGAAAGTAGTGGAGTCGGAGGAGAACATCACGCAGCATTTCAGGAGGTAGGAATTGGGGCCGTGCCGTGCGGTGGATCCTGTCTAAGAGGAGCGTTTCCAAGGTCAGGTCAGGAGCCAGCTGCCTGAATAGGCCTGTGACATGTGCTGCAAGGTCCGCAGTGCTTACTGTCTCAGGAATGCCCCTTATGCGCAGGTTATTCCTGCGTGTGCGGTCCTCCATGTCCGCTATCTTGATGTCTTGGGCGATCACTCTCCATTTTGTCCGCCAGGATATTGTGAACTTCCGAAATTTCCTCCATTTTGTCCTCTATATGGGACGTTCTGTTTCCCAGGTCCTGCATATCTTTTCTGAGATCCCTCAGTGCAGTGTCTAATTTGTGGAGAATTTTCTCTGACATCCATTTAGTAGGCCTTTCATCATACTGTGTAAGTGTAGGCTCTGCCTCTGGGGGCTGTGTAGCTGCCTCGTGGTCACTCTCAGTGCCATCTTGGGCCTGTTCTGGCGGCTGCCAGTTCTTGCCGTGGCCAGCTCTGGATGCAAAAAAAATTGTTTTTTCGCTCTTCTCCGCCGCTCTCTTGTCCTTAGGCTGTGACATATTGGTGCTGGATGGCGTTTTCTGTCCGTTTTACAGGGGTTAATTGCTCATAGGAAGCTGTCTCGAGCGGAGCTCTCAACACATGCGACCGATGCGATCATTGTCTAGGACACGCCCCCTGGAGTATCACTTTTTTAAAGAACAAATCAAAGTTTAGTAGCTCTTTAAGACCAAATTAAAGGGATCCTATAATGCCAGGAAAACAAACACGTTTTCCTGGCACTATAGGGTTAATAGGTTTTTTATAGGGCAGGGCAGCTTTAACCAACACCTCCAATCTCATCTCATTGATTGGACTCCAGTTGGCTGACATCTCACTCCAATTAGCTCTTGGAGATGTCATTAGTCTAGGGGTTCACATACTTTTTCCACCTGCACTGTGAATGTTTACATGGTGTGTTCAATAAAAACATGGCAACATTTCATTCTTTGTGTGTTATTAGTTTAAGCAGACTGTGATTGTCTATTGTTGTGACTTAGATGATGATCAGATCACATTTTATGACCAATTTGTGCAGAAATCCATATCATTCCAAAGGGTTCACATACTTTTTCTTGCAACTGTATATAATTCATATGTTGTCCAATATCTAAAATGAATAGGTGACATTTAAATGCATTCTGTATGTTTTGTTCTAAATAATTTTTACTTCTGAAATCAATACGATTACCACAGTAGATGTGTGCATATATTCTGTGTGTGTGTGTGTGTGTGTGTCAGTGTCACCAAGAAGAGCAGGCATGTATGCTCACACCTAGTTTGTTTGAGGTTTAAGACAACTCCAGGTCCGTATCATTTGGCAGTGCTAGCAGAATGTAACAACGAATACCTACCCAAAGCAGAGCTTCTAAACTTCATATTTAAGGCATGATCAATTAAAAACCTATTTTGGCATCTGCAGGCTTTCTAAAAAATGTAGCAAATACAATTTTGCCCGCATATATTTAAATGCTGTAAATCTATCAGTATGCAAATTAATCCAAAATGTAATTTATTTATTTGCATTTCAGCAACCTGACAACATTGTGTATGTTATGGATGCCTCCATTGGACAGGCCTGTGAATCCCAAGCCAAAGCCTTCAAAGACAAAGTGGATGTGGCCTCCGTTATCGTAACCAAGCTAGACGGTCATGCTAAAGGAGGTGGAGCACTCAGTGCGTAAGTATGAGAATTCTTTCTACTTTAAAAAGAAGATTTTTCTTTTTAGTGATACAGCTAGTCTATCATGGAGTTGCCTGCTATATGTGTGTTAAAGATTTCCATTCTGTTTCCCTACTACAGTCTTTTTATTGGTTTTTACTCCACAGTGTTGCTGCCACAAAGAGTCCAATCATTTTCATTGGAACTGGAGAACACATAGATGATTTTGAACCTTTCAAAACACAGCCTTTCATTAGCAAACTCCTTGGTAAGCAATATGTATGCGGTTTTTTTTTTTTCTCGCTCTCGCTCTCTCGCGCTCTCTCTCTCTCTCTCATATATTTTGGGCATATGGGCAAATGGCAACTGTGTGGAAAAAGTGCTAAAAGTAGAATATTCAAGGACAGCAGTGTTGTGACAATAACATGTAGCACTTTGACAAGGACGTTAAGTGAACGGTCTGTTGAAAAGGTTTTGTTTTGAACAATTTTTAGTAGCTCTACCCAGAAGAAAATTTGCATGTATTTATTTTTTTCTGCATGAATATTTTTTATTTTTTTAAGGGTATGTAAGGGGAAAAACAGCTTGCCAAAGATGCCAACCTGTTTCCTGCAGCCTTTGCAAACCCTCTTCTATCACACATGCACAGACTGAGAGTTTGCGCTGGGAAATACACCAATTAGAGGCTTCTCATTGAGAAGCTTCTGTGCTGCTTTGAAGTGCACACACATGCGATTTTAGCTTTCCTATGTTTCTCAATGAGCTGTAGTACAGCTTAGTCAGAAGGAAGAAGGGGGTAGTTTCAATCTCAATGATCTCTGCCAATCTAATGCTTTCCCATAGGAAAGCACTGGGAGTGTTACGCATGCGCTGCAATACTCTGGGCTGCGCCAATCGGCGTCTCCACTTCACTAGAAAGCACCTCTAGTGGCTGTCTGAGTGACTTCCACTAGAGGTGTTTTTACGCAGCAATGTAAACACTGCCAGTGTTTTACAATACTAAGACTGTAAGGGCGTGCTACAGTCCCCAGAACCACTACATTAAGTTGTAGTGGTGCTGGTAATATTTTTTTTTATTTTTATTTTTTTAATTCTAGAACAGTGGAGGGCAATTGCAACACACTAAAGATTTTAAGAGAAATCCCATGATATTGTGCATGCAAGTTATTATATAAGTATTATAAGCTTCTTCGAATTCTTTAACAATTGGTCTGAAAACCGTTGGAGACATTGAGTGGTGGAGAGGATTAGACCAAACTGGTCTTTAGACTTTCCGTTTTTAATTTGATTCTCCTGCCACACAACTATGTAGAATCTGCAACTGTGTATTTGTTTGCAGTCAGTTTTCCATGTAAAGGGTCTTCTTCTATTGTTTTTTTTGTGTAAGTGCTATCTCATAGGCATGTTACATAAACATCTGCCTAACACCCACAAGGTTACTCTAGTTACCATACCAGTGATCCTATTCTTTTTATGTATTTGTGTCCGTTTATGAATAGCGTCTGATATGGTCACAAGAAAACGTTGAGGCAACGTGGGGACTTGTGTGACCTGTTTTTTTTGTTTTGTTTTTGGGCGGTAGGCTTATAGCTGCAAAAATCATAGATTATGTTGTTTGAAAGATCTCTTTAATGAAAAAGCTAATGTTTTAAAAAAATAAATAAAAAAAATTCTAGTAATGGCAGCATATACAAAGCGTTTGGGCAATTTGAGGATTTTCATCATGCAGTCCCTCCCATTACTTGGAAGTCAAGTTGCTCATGTGCTACATTATATTTTACCTGTTGGGTGAGCCAGCTGGGTCATGTTGCATCATTTTAGATAGTTTAGGTGAGATATTCAGCTTTCTTCATTTGCAGTTTGAGATGAATAGAACTTTAACCCTTTTTTGTTTTGTTTCTCAGGTATGGGTGACATTGAGGGTCTGATAGACAAGGTAAATGAATTAAAGCTGGACGACAATGAAGCCCTCATAGAGAAACTGAAACATGGTAAGTCGATCTCCCAAAACATTCTTCACAAAAGGTGCTTCAATGGGCTAAGAAAAAAAATGGTGGTATTGGTTAGCATCATGCAATTTAAATGAAATAACTTGTTCATGAGCATAGCTTTAACCCCTTAAGGACACATGACATGTCATCATTCCCTTTTATTCCAGAAGTTTGGTCCTTAAGGGGTTAACCATTAGGTTCCAAATGATAATAGCATAGTACACTATTTGGCACTGTTGCATGCTTGGTAACTAGGAAAACCTATCTGAAATGGAATATTCAGATCTCTTCTATAGCATAGCATACATAGAGGAACGTGCTGTCCCAGTGTTTACATACATTGGAATAGTTCTGCAATTGCATCTGATTTGGAATATGCATTTTAAAACCCCACCAATAATTGTACCCATAATCTTATTGACTGTTCTATTGATGGCCAACCTAAGTTTCCTAAATTATTATTCGACTATATTTCTGTTCACAATCTTGGATGTTGATGATGGGAGTAAGGGTGCCACATTTTTAGACTATGGCATTTCTGTTTGACATTTCGTTGGCTTGCTTGCAGCCTGCTGTTCATCATGTTTACTGTAATATTGATTTTTAAAATATTCTTTCCTTTTCCTTTAGGTCAGTTCACACTGCGAGATATGTATGAACAGTTTCAAAACATCATGAAAATGGGTCCATTTAGCCAGATCTTGGTAAGTGCTTGGAATATCTAAACTGGGCTTTGTTTTGTCTAGTTTTCATTAACAAATTAGATTATTACTGCAGGGAGAGCATAACATATAGTCTTAATGCTGAAAATAAAGGAACACTCCTCTAACCAAATACAATCTTTGGCTGTCACATTTATAGATTTTAAGGGTATGATATTGCCCAATAGCATAGAGTCAGAAGGTGATTTAAAAAATGCAAAACCTAGAATTTATTCTTTAACTTGATACAGTGTCACACCTGCGTCACTGATACAGTAAGGTAATTTGTTAGTAAAATGATTGCGGTGTCTGTGTTCACAGGGAATGATTCCTGGATTTGGGCAGGATTTTATGAGCAAAGGGAACGAACAGGAATCCATGGCTCGACTGAAGAAACTCATGACCATAATGGACAGTATGAATGACCAAGGTAAATTCTTACAGAATATATTTATTTATAGAACTTGGCCTGAGACTAACTGATAGGGATCCTGCTGTCAGTGGGATAACAACCTTTTATGAGGTTATTGAATGTTCTTTTGTTTGACACACATTTTTCTTTAGAAGGAGTTAATTATAAAAAAAAAAATAAAAAAAAAAAAGAAGCCAAGTAATGTGTATCTATATCACACAAGCCACTTCTCTGACTTTTGCATTGCATGTAATGACGGAGTACGAAACATATGAAATACATTTGTAGGCATCAGAAATGTTTATTTCAACCATCACAATGCTCATCTTATGTTAAAGGACCACTATAGTGCCAGGAAAACATACTATAGGGTCTCTAGGTCACCCCCACCCTCAGGGACCCCTTCCCGCCGGGCTCTAGGGAGTGGAAGGGGTTAAATCTTACCTGTTTTCCCCTGCCAGGCTCCCTCGGCGCGGGGAAATTTTCCTCCTCCTTTTTGCTGTCATCGACTGAATGCGCATGCGCATTCAGCCAGTCTATAGGAAAGCATTCTCAATGCTTTCCTATGGACGCTGGCGTCTTGTCACTGTGAAAATCACAGTGAGAAGCGCGGAAGCGCCTCTAGCGGCTGTCCATGAGACAGCCACTAGAGACTGGATTAACCCATAGGTAAACATAGCAGTTTCTGTGAAACTGCTATGTTTACAGCAGAAAGGGTTAATCCTAGATGGTCCTGGCACCCAGACCACTTCATTAAGCTGAAGTGGTCTGGGTGCCTATAGTGGTCCTTTAATTAATTTGTCATTTAGAAGAATCCTGTAAAAACAAAATAAATAAAAAGTTTTAGATATGAACAGTGAAGATGCTTTTTTTTGCAGAGGACATACTGTATCATCAGACACCTCAAAATTGGATTTATTCTCAGAATTCTGTGAATTAATCAACCCCTCTAGTTTTAATCATATGCTTGACATTGCGTGAGTTGAAGAGGTTGTATTTTTATTTATTTTTTAATAATAAATCCAGTAGAAAGCACAGTTTAAGATTACGACCTTTTTGTTTCTGTTCAGAACTTGACAACACGGATGGAGCCAAACTTTTCAGCAAACAGCCTGGAAGAATACAGCGAGTAGCCAGGGGATCTGGGGTATCTACACGAGACGTCCAGGAACTGCTGGCACAGTATACAAAGTTTGCTCAGATGGTTAAAAAGATGGGAGGAATCAAGGGACTCTTCAAAGGTGAAAATAATTGTCTCTTCAGTATAACACAGTGCTGTAAGGCTTTCTTGGTTGTATGGTAATATCTGTGGATAAAAGGCTAAATAACGTTTCCCATCTGTGATTCCTGCAGGAACCATTAGATTAATTTTGGGTCTGTAGACTATGCTCCATTTTATTGTCTGTAAAATAATTTCTGAGTTCATAAGCAATCTACATAGTCTGCAGTGTTGAAAAGTTACTAATCCCATGTAGCTATAATAAGAAGCTCCACCTCACCGACTATCAATGTTTGTAATGTATTGCTGGCAGGGCTGAAAGCACATGTTACCTGACAAAGGACAGCTGCAAACACTTACTTAATTCTATTAATTTTTTTTTTTCTCATTCACAATGTTGCAGTTTAGGTGGCTGATTTGTTTACATGGACGTGAGAATGTGTGTTGCTTGTTCAGTAACTAGTCTGTCACAATTCAGTCATAACATTATTTTGCTTTATTCTTTGAAATTGTAGCCCTGTCATCATCGCTCCCCCCACCATAGCTGACTTGGAGAATTTTTCCAGTTCAGCTCATTTGGTCTGAAATGTAAATCTTTAAATTCCCAACAATTGTCATTATACTCTATAATCTTGTAAGTGTTCTAAAACGGGCCTTTAATTGTTAATGTGATGTTATTTAAAATATCGCCGACTTGTTCAACAAGTATAATTTAAACCCACTGTAAGGTTAAGAATGTTTTTTTTTTTTTTAAATCCTAAATTTCCAAACATTTGGGGAATCCAGGTTGTGTGACACAATAGTCCACAAAATATCTAAATGTAGAACTTTTTCATTTGTAGGAGGTGATATGTCGAAAAATGTAAATCCATCACAAATGGCCAAACTGAACCAGCAAATGGCTAAAATGATGGACCCCAGAGTATTGCAGCACATGGGTAAGTGTTACATTGTAGGATGGAGTCCCCCACCCCCCCACCACCCCTATTTTTTTTTTCTTCTTTTATGTACTGTATAGTTAATGCATTCAAATATGCAATAAATAAGTTCTAAAAAGGTTTTGGGGTTTCCTGTAAACTCCTGGGAATTTCTGTTTCTGCAGCAGACTTTGCAAATCCTGTTGCTCCAATAAAAGTGCTAAGCATATCATGTAAATCCTCTCACTATAGAGGTTTATGGCCGTTTTAGTTCAGTTGTCACTTTTCTCACAAAGTTGTAGACGCTGTAGTTTTCTTCATTTATTTAATAAAATAAACTCTAAACATGAAAGGGTGTAAGACATGGAGTGTAAGACTGTTTGTTTTTTTTGTTTTTTTTATAATCTAATTTCGAGATGTAAAACTTCCGTCACAAATATGCCTGGTGACATTCAACTCCCAGAGTCCCCTGCTTTGTGGCATCTCCACCTCATCATCATAAACCTAACATTATCTATTCTCTATTGCTGCTGCAATGCATTAACTTGGCTCTCCCCAAGCTAAAAGGGTAGTCAGACTGGGAGGGCTATAACTCTCTGCCAAGGCCAAAACGATCATCCCGGTTTGCTGCATCTCTCATGCAGAGAGAACTTGGCAGCATTTCGCTTCTGGACTGCTCTTATGGGTGGGGTCAGTGTGATCTAGCTTTACTCTGTAATGGCACACGTGAGCAAAAACTAGACCTGAGTGGAGATTTACCGAAGGGAAAGCTATTGAATTTCTCTAAGCTTTTGTCCTTTCGCATATTTTTTTACAATATGCACCTAACATGTTTGTGCCTGGAGTAACCCTTTAATGGGGATTTATTGTGGATCTACTTGCACTAGATAGACACCACCCTTTCACACAGTAGTTTGCATACTGTTTATTTTCCGGTCTCTGAGCAAAGCTAGGATATGGGACCATGTAGGGAGAATTAAGTTCCTGTAATAAGGGGTCTTTCCATGATAGAAGAATGTATTCTGTGCAAATAACCAATGTCAATCTAAAATACATTTAATGAAGTCATCTAAACAAAACATTTTTGTAATGATTATATAGAACTTGAGTCCGTATAAGTGTCACTGATCTCTTATTGGAATAAGGAGGGATTTCAGTTTAAAGGATCACTATAGGGTCAGGAACATAAACAGAGGGAAAGCATTGGATTGGCTAAAATCGGCATGGAGCGTTGGGCCAAATGCTGTTTTGGCCAATCAGGACCTCTTCATAGATATGCATTGAATCAGTGCATTGAATGGCAGGGCTGCTTACTGTGCAGCCCTGAGCCAGGAAGCCCCTCCGTGGCCATCTAAGGAGTGGCCACTTGGAGGTGTCCCTAGGGGCAATGTAAACAATGCCTCTGAAAAGGCAGTGTTTACATGAAAATGCCTGAAGGGAGCTATTATACTCACCAGAACAACTACATTAAGCTGTAGTTGTTCTGGTTACTATAGTGTCCCTTTAATTTAAATGTTACAATCTTTATAACACTTTTTTTTTTTTTTTCTCCCTCTGCTCTACCTAGAGTTTGAAATCCTTTAATTTGCATGCCTAGCCTAAGATTAAAATTGCAATCCATTCACAAACCACAGCTTTTCATTTCATCCAACCCACCAACTAACCTTTCTATGTTCTAGGTGGCATGGCCGGCCTTCAGTCAATGATGAGACAATTTCAGCAAGGAGCTGCTGGTAACATGAAAGGCATGATGGGATTTAATAACATGTGAAGAACACTTTCTAACCTTGCGGATACTTCATGCCACCCCTGCCCCACAGCAGGGAGTCTGAACTGCAAAACCTCCTTTGGCAGGAATGTAGCCTGATTTCTGGAAGAACTGTCTTGTGAAATAAATGCAAAAGGAGACTAAAATTTGGTTATTTTAAAATTGTACCTTAAGTTTACCCTTCACTTTTTAATATTCACATCGTGCAATTCAATATCATATATTATTATTTTTTCTCCCTTCTGCTCCTTTTTCTTCTTTAAGGACATGCTAGCACTAATGATCTGCTTTAACTTATGGAACAAATTATATTGTGAATGCAAAACTGCACCCATACCATGACTAGAAAGGAGACATTTTGGTTTAAATGGACTTCCAGCAGTATTGGCTATTTACTACTAATCGGTCTCCTATAAAATAAATTTATAAATGGTTGTAATTTTCTTTTTCTTTTGACACAGTGCTCTTAAGTCAGGAAAAAAAATATTTTAATTTTCAGTACTGTGGAATACTATTGCAATGATTTAATATGAATCACATGGAATGACTGGAAAGTGCATTCACTCCTCTAAAGGCTATAAAAGGACTATCCATTCTGTCGTAACCGAGGTTGCTCAGGCCAGGTATTCTGTGAAAAATTACCTCCTTGATGGATTCCTTTCAAATCAATCTCTGTAGAGGCTTATGTAGTTGAAAAATTTTGAGTATGTTTGCTTTATCAAGAGAAAGAAACAACAACTTGATTTTATTTATTTATGCTATGCTTGTGATCTCTCTCTCGTAGGCACTCCTCTAGATTTTTGCTACAAAAGTTACATATAAACTTCTACAAAATGTCCATGTTTTACAAAAGTAGGATCAATGCAGAATGTATAAACCGTTTAACCCCAAAGTTGTGAAGACCGTGTCTATACACTCTGCCCTTAGATCTATACTGAGAGAGCCTTGGACATCGCTCTTGTGCAGGATGCAGATGTTCATAGTCTTCACAACTTTGGAGTTAAACCATTCGTAAACTATTTAACCACTTAAGGTAAGACTGCCTTGTACCATAACTTCATTAAAAATTAAGTTGTGGTGCCCAGAGTGTTATTTAAATGCTAATCCTACATGTATCATGAGAAGCCTAGAATCCAGTGTTTATTCTTCATTATGTAAAAATGCTATATCATTTATACCTGCAAAAGGATCTGTCACTTCTTTAGATTTTTAATATTATGTATAAATAGCTCTATATTTAACAAATATGTATTTGTGAGGTATGAAAAATAAAATGTAATCCAGAAATCTACACAAACTGGGTGACTTCATGTTGGCTCCCTGTCAATCAATGTTATAAGCTCTCTTTTTCACCTAGCTGTATATATACAGAAGGCCTTGCCTTATCTGAACTCGATTGTAATGTTGTTTGTCAAATATTTAATATGAATTTAAAAGAAATCACAGCATCTCGTGGAAAAAAAGTAAACGCAGGTTATAGATGATTTTCACTGATCAATGGTGTAAATTCTACAGAAGTGACAGTACCCCTTTTCAGTCTCTCCTTCTATATATGTTATTAATCTGTGGATTAAATCCACTAGGATCCTGGCTACAGATCAAAGTGCCATTACCCAATGTCTGGTCAGTAATATGGAAAAATTAATAAAACCGTGTTATGGTGATACATAACCATAAAGTAGAAATATGAATAATGTAACAGTGTGGTTGTCCATGACATGTTTTCCCAATGTTAAGTGTTAACTTATTTATTTAGATTCAGCCACCCTGCCCTTAAATGGTTAAATTGGTTTTACTTGCCTTATATCCTTTGCTGAAATCCTTGCCATGTCCTCCCCTGGCTGAGATCATCATTGCAGATGATCTCCGCCAATCCAATCTTTTAACATAGACAATCATTGGGGGTTAGTGCGCGTGTAAGGCAATCATTGCACTGCTCCCATCAGCACTTCCTCATAAAGATGCATTTGCGTAAAGCAGATCTACATGCAGAAAGTGAAGACACAGAAAGTCTCTGTCCTGCAAAGATTACAGAACCACTCCAGGAAGCCCCTCTAGTGGCTCTGAGTAGTGACCACTATAGGTGGTCTTAAGGACAAAACAAAACATTGCTTCTTCTTAGAAGTCAGTGTTAACAAAAGTCAGCTTGTAGGGACAGACTTTTTGCACCAGACTAATTACGTTGAACAGAAGTGGTTTTGGTGCTTAGTGTCCCTTTTATTCGGTCACCTCAAGCACTAAAACATTAAAGCGGTTCTGTTACCTTCTAGGGTCTTTGCATATTTTGCAAAGATGGTGACTGCTCTGCTTGCATTCTGGTGCCTGTCAGATGTAGGTTTTTATATACCTGAACCTCTCCCTCACGGCTGCCTCCATAGTCTTCTGCAAGGTCTTCTTCAGCTCCTGGCGCTTTATCTGCCAGGAGCCGACATCAGCGCTGTACAATGATCTGTATGCAAGACCCTCAAAAGAAAGCCTTTTTCCTCTGAGGTCTTGACAGGAGTAGCCTCCACCTTTTTGTTAAGTGTAGGAAAATACGTAAGACAAAGTAATGCATATTTTGTCTTATAAACAATATTTTCTTTGGCTGCAAGTTCAGTTTTAATGAACATTTCCGTAAGATTTTTATTCACCAATTTTCTTCATGGATGTGTTTACAGTGCCATTTTAATGAAGTGATTTTAGTGCACAGACCCAGTTCTTTGTCTGACAACGCAAAATATTTCTAAAAATGGCAGTGGTTAGTTACATTTGCCTTAAAACAGATCTCTAGCTGAAGTTAGACAAACAGCCACCAAATCCCCTTCTTCCCTGAAGGCTTCTAATTTTTTTAAGTTCTTTACATGTAGTGTCCTCACGCAAGGCATGATGATGCTGATACCTTGTTCTTCAATTAAATGAGCATTCTTGTGACCAAACACCCCCCTTCATTTCACCCATTACCATGGATATAGTGTATTTAAAAAAATAAATAAAAAAAATTCAAGAAAAATAATTTTTGATATAGAAGCAAAGACCTACAGCTATTACACTTAATTGTGCTATTCACACACTGTATAGGTTGCACAAGCTGATGTCTAACCCCATCTTTCCACCAGCAATAGCAACTGGCACCTGATGGGAGAAGACTGTTTGTATGGGGGTTTTTTTTTTTTGCCAAAAACTGTAATTTAACACAAGAGACACATTTCATCTCAGACATCTCTACTGCCTGGGCTGGAATGTAAGTCAAAATACGAGCTTGATAAATATTATATCTTTGTGAAAATCTCAAAACTGACAGAGCAGCTTTATCCAGACTGACCCCCAGCCCTCATTCAACAAGCAAGGTAGCACGTCATGTGACCTGCATGAACGCTGTGTAATATCGCGCTTCCTGTTTGCGTTCCAAGCCTCGTTGTGGTATCTTAGACTCTATTATGTCACGTGCTGTGAGAGCGAGGCGTGACACGCTAGCGCTGTCAACAATCGTCCCACCCACCACAGAGGCTAGCGGGTGATTTCCGGTCTGCGTGGTTGCCGAGCAGCAGTCGGGAGCGGCCAGTGAGAGCTTTGCGGGTTTTGTTGTTTTGAAATCGCTGTAGGATCATGGCGGCTGGCGAGGTGAGATTTCTGGCTACTTCCTTATGGCCCGCCATTCTTGGCTAGCAACAGATTCTGTCACTGGTCCATGCTGCCATTACTGGGCTACCTGTTACTGGGCTACCTGTTACTGGGAGTGGGACTACCTGTTACTGGACTACCTGTTACTGGGAGTGGGGCTACCTGTTACTGGGAGTGGGACTACCTGTTACTGGACTACCTGTTACTGGGAGTGGGGCTACCTGTTACTGGACTACCTGTTACTGGGAATGGGGCTACCTGTTACTGGGAGTGGGGCCCACTGGGAGTGGGGCTACCTGTTGGGGGACCTGACTACTCTGTTGGGGACTACCTGTTACTGGGAATGGGGCTACCTGTTACTGGGAGTGGGGCTACCTGTTACTGGGAGTGGGACTACCTGTTACTGGGAGTGGGGCTACCTGTTACTGGGAGTGGGACTACCTGTTACTGGACTACCTGTTACTGGGAATGGGACTACCTGTTACTGGGCTACCTGTTACTGGGAGTGGGAATGGGGCTACCTGTTACTGGGCATGGGACTACCTGTTACTGGACTACCTGTTACTGGGAATGGGACTACCTGTTACTGGGCTACCTGTTACTGGGAGTGGGAATGGGGCTACCTGTTACTGGGCTACCTGTTACTGGGAGTGGGAATGGGACTACCTGTTACTGGGCTACCTGTTACTGGGAGTGGGAATGGGGCTACCTGTTACTGGGCATGGGACTACCTGTTACTGGACTACCTGTTACTGGGAATGGGACTACCTGTTACTGGGCTACCTGTTACTGGGAGTGGGAATGGGGCTACCTGTTACTGGGCATGGGACTACCTGTTACTGGGCATGGGGCTACCTGTTACTGGGAATGGGGCTACCGGTTACTGGGCATGGGGCTACCTGTTACTGGGAATGGGACTACCGGTTACTGGGCTACCTGTTACAGGGCTACCTGTTACTGGGAATGGGACTACCGGTTACTGGACTACCTGTTACTGGGAATGGGACTACCGGTTACTGGACTACCTGTTACTGGGAATGGGACTACCGGTTACTGGGCTACCTGTTACTGGGAATGGGACTACCGGTTACTGGGCTACCTGTTACTGGGAATGGGACTACCGGTTACTGGGCTACCTGTTACTGGAAATGTGGCTACCTGTTACTGGGCATGGGGCTACCTTTTACTGGGCTACCTGTTACTGGGAATGGGGCTACCTGTTACTTGGCATAGGGTAGCCATGGTTTCTGGCCATGTAAGACATCAGCTCAGTAATTAAAGTAGGATTCTTGCAGGCTGTGAACCTTTATCCTAGGGCAGCCCTTTTCATACACTGTGTGTCCAGGAATATATGGCTGGGCTGGCAACACTGTCTGAAGAGCTAAACTGCCCAGTAATGATAGCTGTCACTCTTAATATTGAGACCTGGCTACAAAAAGTAGTCTTCTAAATTACAATCCAGAGTCCTGGAAGTCCCTTACTTGTAATTAAAGTTAGACTAAACTTATTCATGTGTTCAGTTAGATTTATGTCGCTCACCTTCTGCTTCTATTACGTGGCAGCTGGTAATTATTTTTCACTTAATATAGTCTGTTTACCATGTTCCTGTGAGTGCATGTGCTCAACACATTTTTATATAAGGAACATTTCATGTAGGGTCTGTTCTGCAGGAGTTTGCCTGTTGGTATCACACAGTGGAGAGATGGGCGCTGTATTCAATATGATGGCTGTATTCAATGTGTTTAGTTGAACTATCCAGTCCAATAATAAATTCGGGAAACTAATTTGTAAAAAATATATATATATATTGTATTCCTCAACCACCCCCCCCACGCCCCCCTTTTGTTTAGTTGTTTGTTTGTTTTTTTGGCTAAATTAAACACAAACTTACAGGAACACTCCAAACACCATAACTTCTGCAGCTCAATGTAATGTTAATGGTGTCATTCCATCGTAATCTCGTAACTCCCAAGTGTCCCTATTTGAGGGCAATGCTTATTTTGGATCCAAATCCTAATGTCCCTCATTCTTAGGAGCTCCATATTCTTTGTTTCTAAATTTAGAACAAAACTCCACAGCAATTATACTCCAGATAATGTTTTTTAAACTGCAATAAATGTGTTTAGAAATCAGTATGTTTAAGTAAGATAAATAGTTCTTGTTCTAAATTATATTTTAGTTGCATAAATTATTAGTAGGTCGGTTAAAACTTCTCAGAACAACCTGTTGATGTTGGAATAGAGGTACATTAACTATTATTTACAGGATTAAACGGAGACTCCCTAACACTCCAGCATTATAAATGTATTTTTGATGCTGGAATATTCCTTTAACATAGATTTCCAAGTCTACAGCCATAAGTTCTACCTTGTCATATACTAAAAAAATAAAATATATATTTCTGCCTTGTCTTGATCCTTGTAATTCAAAGAGCCAACACTTATTCTTGAGTTCTTTAGCACTTTAAAAATGATCCACAAAACATTTTTGAGCAGGTATTGCGTTTACATTTAGAGATTGTGTATATAGTCTAAGCACTAAAATGAACACTCTAAGCACCATAACCACTACGGAGCGCTGTAATTGTTATGGTTCTTGGAGTGCTTAAGGTCTCTCCTATTACAAGATGTTAAAGAGTTTAACTTTCTTACCTGGTGTCTGCAGGGTACCACTCCTATTGCTAAAGAGCCAGAAGTTTCTAAGCAAGATTTCGGTCTCCTTAGTGAAGTCCTGTCAGCCAATGTGCAGGTCTTTGGTCAGGAGAGCTAACAGAAGTTTCTTTTTAGTAACCTCCAGCTCTCTGACAGTGGTAGGTGAGGCATCCTGTGGACCCCAAGTAAGGGACTCAAACCATTCAAAAATAACTTAACTTCTTACATGGGAGAGGGCCCTTTTGTCACCATAACTAGTACAGTGAACTGTAGTAGTTATGGTGGTTGGGGTGTTCCTTTAAAAGTAATGAATAAAATGGCTGTAAGCAGACCCGCTACATCACTCATGTGGGTATCAGTTCTCTACTCACATGGTTTAGGTTAGGTTATACTATCGTGTTTTGTGGTCACTAAGTGTTCCCTTGATGAACAACATTATTCCTTGCTGAGCCTCTAGTCTCTCTGTCCCAGTCAATGTCTGGATGATTTAAACAAAAATGATTACGTTGCACATGGTTTCCCCTTTAAATCCAGTCTATTGATGTTGGAGTGAATGGATTGGCGAGAATGACATGTAACCAATGGTTTGTGTTGCTCGACCCAGAAGATGGATGCAGGCTCTCACACCTCTTGTTGGAGTGAGATATTCAGCATGCTTTCTGCAAGAGTTATTTAGCTTTTATTAGCCATCTTGCTGGGAAGTATTGAAGCGTGTCTTACCAGCTCTAGTAAACAGAATTTATAGTTGCCTTTGAGAGAATCATTACCTTAGACGGTTACATCACTTAGTGACGCAGTATGAGCCCCAGGGTGTTTGGAATGGATTCCCATTATTTATGTTGTAGAATACATTGCTCTCATCATTTTATTCTAAAACAAATCTATGATGGCGATTTCAGAATGCTTTGCTACAGTTAATGTAAGACTCCATGCATCATATCTGTCTATGTAGTTATAGTCTATAGCAGAAATGGCTGCAGTTAAAATCCCACCCTATTGTTTGTATACATTAAAACGGAAAGCAGGATGGTTTCATAGCCTTATATGAAAGAGCGTATGGTGAATAAAACACAAAAAGAGACAATTAAAAGATAATAGTAGCCACGCTGTTCCTTCTGTACTTTGCAAGATTAAGATTTCACTGGGCCCTCAACAGATTACCAGTCCCTCCCTCTCCCCTCCCCCATGATAGATGTTGTAAATTAGGTCAAGCAAATTCATGTTTCCTAGGGCCCTGTTTAACTTCTAAGTCCTAGGCGGCTGTCTAGGGTTATCATCTTGCTCTGTGCATGACTGGTTCATTCATGGATTTCATGGATGAAACTACTGCTAAGTATTGCTTGAAATAATCCACACTGGGATTTATAAACCTATCGAATCTACATTTTGCCATTTAGCCATCAATTTTCATAAATATGTGTTGGCTTCTGGAATGATGTTCTCGCTGTGGATAGTTGTATTTTTCAGAACTAAAAAAATATACAGTGTTTAATCTAGATACCAGCAGTATGAACAATGTTAATTAGTTTACTTGCTAACAATAAAACAATATCTTGACAGGATTCAGTGCAATAAATCAAGAAAGGTGGGTGGTTGCAAAGCCCACATATCCTCCTCCATTGCTATAATCTAGAGCATCTCAACACCGTGTAATGTTTGACTTCTTGTTCCCAGGTTATGGTCAGCGGTAACCGCGACTTTGAAAGCGTGGAGTTAGGAGATGTACACAAGAAAAAAATCCCCCGGAGGATTATTCACTTTGCCAGCGGTGAAACCATGGAGGAATACAGTACAGACGAGGAAGAGGAATTGCAGGAGAAGAAGGATCTCTTGCCAGCTGCTGACCCAGTATGTCCAACGTTTATTAACCCATTATTTCATAGATATGTCTTGCAAAAATGGTTCCAGCACATCTACATTCCATGCCTTCTGTCGCTCTCTTCCCAGAGTAATGTACATGTCCCATAAAACGTTGCTGTACAAAACCTATCCCGCTCCATATCTCCCACCACCTTTCAGTGGAAGAGTGCATAGCTTTGTACCCACTGGACACTTTCCATTCATTAATAAAATCTATAAAACGAGTGAATGGAAGCAGTCTGTCAGATGCTTGTCATTCCTGTGTGTGGGTGATTTCATTTCTGTATTGTTTTGGTTTTTATCAAAGGAACCCACGGGTCAGGTTATGTGTCCTTGCATTGCTGTACAGTATTCTCACGTGGGTGGAAAGGGATTGGCTGAGAGATACAGAGCCAGCAGATCCTGATGGTTTATTGTAAATAAGGAAACTGCGTTTTTTAGTTAGTTTGCTCACGTAATGTTTTATTCTATGTATGCATTCCATACAATCTGTGCTGATATGATTCCACTTGTCACATGAGGCTTTTGTACCCATTTTGCTTTCAAATGTATCCTGATCTGTGAAATTAAAGGACCACTCCATATACAATTGCATCAACACCTTCAGCTTGCTGTGAAGTATTTTCTGTGTATGGAACATCCTATTTTAATAGCGCTTTAAAAGAAAATGCGGAATCAACACTTTTTTTTTTTATAATTTAAAGAACACCGTCCTGTCCATCAAGCAAGCGTCTATGGAGTTTTTTTTTTTTTTTTTTCTTCCTTCCATTCACTCCATTGAGCTACTGGAAGTGGCAGGTGTCCTCTGCTATAACGCACCTTCCTTCTCCCATGAGTCACTGTGAATGCGTGCAGTAGAATGTGGAGTGCAGGGAGAGACCTAAATGGAGATGGCATTAGAAAGGTATTGAATAGAAGGGAGATTTAAAGGGACATTATAGGCACTACAAAGTGGTCTGGGTGCAATGTCCCTGTCCCCTTTAGTCTTGCATCAATCATTGCAGTTTTAGAGAAACTGCAGGACTAAGACGGTCTCTAGTGGCGGTCAATAAGACCATTGGGTGAGTAAGTGAAGTGTTTTAGTTTTTTGTTGTTGTTTTTTCAACTCTTTATGCATTGCAAGGACCAGAGGTCACTATAGTGTTTAGGAATATAAAGTTGTGTTCCTAACCCGATAGCATCCCTTTAAATGAAGCCGTTTAGTTGTATAGATTATGTCTCTACAGTCTCACTGATCAATTCTCTGCCATTTAGGAGTTAAATTGACTGCCTTCAGCCAATCACGGCCTATTCAGGTATAAATCAGTATGGCTAGCATTAAGTGTGTAATCGCTGCCTGCACAGAGCAATACCTCCAGTAGGGGCAGGGCTATTGAAAGCCAGGGACCCTTATTTAGTTTTAAGCTGCTCAAAAATGATTTAAGAGTGAATGGGAAGACCGCACTATGGGACTCTAGGCACTGTAGCCAATTCAAAGAGAGGGGTACACAATAAGGACGTGGAATGTTCTGCCTGAAGAGGTGGTTTTTCAGTCTATACAGATGTTTAAACAGCAATTGGATAAATGTTTGTGTGTTTTTGTTAGGAAAAAATAAGGGAGTTGTTTATTATATTGCATTGTTCAAATTTAAAAAAAACATGCATTTAAACTTGTTTCTGTGGATTTGCTATAAAGATTTGCTACATTGTACTAAGGTGCACTTTAAGCAGATCATTAAAGGGTATTAGTTTTGTGGGTGTGTAACAATGGAGAGTTGGTTACAATAGAAACACAAGCTGCAGATTCATGCTAAGGAACCTAGAATACTTCTTGAATTTCTAATGCTTACTAAACATTAGAGATAATTGGAAACTAATGCTATTGATGTCCCCAGCTGTGAATAAAGGGCATGTATTGAAAAGCAGTGATCAGGTTTCATTGTCCTATACGATGTTTAACAGGTTTGACACCTGACTTCAGAGCCTTACAGAACCACAGTGTGTGACTAGCATGACATCGCAAACACACAGACTTCAGATTGAGACACATCAACCCCGCGCTGGGTCTCTGTTAGCCGGATTAGCCCCGCGCTGGGTCTCTGTTACCCAGATTAGCCCCGCGCTGGGCCTCTGTTAGCCGGATTAGCCCCGCGCTGGGAATACTTTAGAATAGAATTTCTAGGTACACTTACGATACTATAACCATTTGTCCCCAATTTCATTCATGCAAAAACAGCCAAACTGAAAGACTTGTGAAATGTTAATTTGCTTAATATTTGCCCTGAATTCCTGACAATTCACGCTTTACTCCCTAACTGTCAATGGGTTTTATATTTTCTATGGTTCCCGATGTAGTAGAATCCTTTACAAATGTACAGCTGGAACACCCAACAGGAAACAAGCTGTTTATTGCAGCCCCAAGCTATATATAGACAAAGAAACCAGTACAATGATTTACTGATAAGAATATAGAAATATACTAACTGAGTAATCTTTACAGTTACTGGAAAGGAACCTGGCAATGCTGGTTTAGGCTGTAGGGGTTATAGGAAATACTATATAATGGTAAACCATTATTAATGGAAAATTGACATTTCTTTATTATTGGTGAAAATAAGATATGTGATTTAGTCTCATTGTGAATTATTTTATATTAAATACATTTCAGTTGATAATTCTCACTTATCTGCACTTTTAAAGGTCTGAACTTGTAATTGTGTGTGCGCCAAGGTTACATATGATGCGCGATCCAGGCATCAGAACCAATTCAACTCATTAAAGTGGTTATGGTGTCTAGAGTGTCCCTTTTAAGAGCTGTTGGGAAAAATCTATCTTCCTGCATGATGCCTAATAGAAGCCTGTGATATTCCACTGCCCATGAGGATCTTTGGCGGGTCTAGTAGGACCTCCTGTAGACTCCTGTTTTGTAATCTAACCCTTGCAAGAGAATGTTAAAATGGTGCAGATTCCAGCAACCTCATCTGAGAAGAGTTTGTTTGGAAGATAGTGCACAAAGCGTAACACTACAGCCTTAGGTATGCAAATCCCTATCCCTTGTTATATATAGGTGTCTACATCCCCACCCTCTATAAAATAAAAGTTTCACTCACCTTTTTCCTGAGCCAAGGAAGCCACTCACCAATCCAGTACTCCTCATAGACTAATATTGGGGCACTGATGCGCATGCGTGTCGATTCCTGTGCATGCATCCAGTGCTTCTCGTTGAAAAGCATTGAATCCAATGCTTTCCTAGGAGCTCCTGCTTTAGGTGACAGTTTTACTCGATCAGTGTAGCCCAAGCGCTAGTTGCTGCATTGTGGGCTCAACGTGTACCTCTGTTGCAGTTCAGCTGTCAACGTTCTACAGAAGGAACACAGCTGGTCTGCAACTTCCAGAGACTTTTGATGTGCGGCCTCTCTGCATATTAGAGCAATAAGAGATAACAACATCACAGGTAGAAGTGATTTTATATTACAGCTGTATTATTAGAACAATAAAAGTAAAACTGCACATCGGGAAGGATGATCAGACAATGAGAAAGAAATAACAGACTAAACCTATATACACTGTACCAGACATGTCCCTTTTTAAATAAACCTCATTGAAATCTAAACTGAACTTCTTGTTACAGACGAAGCTGACCTGGGGCCCATACCTCTGGTTCTACATGCTACGAGTGGCCACTTCGACACTTTCAGGTATTTCTTTCTTTGATTTCTAATTTAAACATAAGTAATTTACATAAAACTGCAAATTGGGGAAATTAAACAAATGTAGAATGTAGCTCTAAATATTTTGCACATTTGAATTTTTATCCTGATTTGTATATATTAAACACTATTTAAAACCAAGTTTTTCCAATCAATAGACTGGTAGAGATCTGCTTTCCGGATATCTCCAAATATATTGGCTAATGAGCAGTATCAACAAATCTATGTCTTGCTCCAAGGCTCATATGGTAACAGTAATGGACCTGGGCTATTCAAACGTTTAAAATGTATAGAGCACCAATAATATACAAATAGGAGAAAAACTAAATTTGATAACAAACACATTCAGATAGTCCTATTTCAAGATTGTATGATGCGCTATATAAAAAAAATATTGACCTAGTCTTATCAATTCTTATGATCAGGTGATGTTTTTCTGATTATTTTCTAGCATTTAAAATATGGGAATACACTGATCAGCCACAACATTAAACCACCTGCCTAATATCATGTAAATCCCCCTCGTGTCCTGTGCTATCTGGCACCAAGACATTAGCAGCAGATAATTTAAGTCCTGCGAGTTGCGGGGTGGGGCCTTCATGGATCGAATTTGTTCCAGCAAATGCCACCGATGCTCAATCTGATTGAGATCAGGGAAATTTGGAGGCCAGGTGTTGCACCTTGAACTCTTTGTTGTGTTCCTCAAACATTCCTGAACAATTGTTTCCGTGTGGAATGGTTCATGATCCTGCTGAAAGAGGTCAGTGCTATCAGAGAACACCATTCCCATGAAGGGGTGTACGTGGTCAGCAACAACTTATAGGTAGGTGGTACGTGTCAAAGTAACATCCACATAAATGCAAGGACTAAAGGTTTCCCAGGAGAACATTGCCCACACTGTGTCCACTAGACTGCCTTCTTCCCATACTGCATCCTGCTTCCATCTCTTCCCCACGTAAAGACACACATGCACCTGGCCATCCACCTGATCTAATAAAAAATAAAAAAATAACCTGATTCATTAGACCAGTCAACCTTCTTCCATTTCTCCATGGTCCAGTTCTGAAGCTCATGTCCCCATTGAAGGTGCTTTTGACAGTTGACAGGAGTCACGATTGGCACTCTGGTCTACGGTTAGTCAGCCCCATATGCAGCAAACTACAATGCACTGACACCTTTCTATGATGGCCAACATTACATTTCTCAGCAAGTTCAGCTACAGTAGCTCTTCTTAGTGATCGGACTAGATGGATAGTATTCACTCCCCACTTGCATCAATGAGCCTTGAGCACCCATAACCATTACGCCGGTTCACTGGTTGTCCTTTCTTAACCCACTTTTGGTAGGTACTAACCACTGCACACCGGGAACACTCCACAAGACTTGCCATTTTGGAAATGTTTTGATGCACTATTTGGCCCTTGTCAAAGTCACTTATATCTTTTTTGTTTGCACATTTTTTCCTCTGCCAACATATTAAATTCAAGAACTGAGTGTTCACTTGCAGCCTAATATATCCCACCCCTTGACAGGTGTCATTTTAACGATAAAATCAATGTTATTCACTTCACCCTGTGTTGTGGCTGATCAGTGTATAGGATGCGTGAAATACGTTCTTTTAAAAAGATGGGTTATATTTCCCAGATACTTGTATGTAAGCATCTTGTGGAATACAAATATTGGGCTTGGCCTTTAAGTAATAATTACCTGTCTTTTCAGTTTGTGACTTTTTAGGTGAGAAGGTAGCGTCAGTTCTGGGCGTTAGTACACCCAAATACCAGTATGCCATTGATGAATATTACCGGATGCAAAAAGAGGTTAGTGATCTTTGCTATAATGACTGTCTTGTTCGTGGGCCTTTTTTTGTGTTCAAACAATAAGCATTTGTCATTTGGAGCACTATAAATTTGTACATGTTTATGTTATTCTGAAAACCTTTTCTCTGATAGGTCCATGAACTAATTTTCCTACAAATTTCCTCTGTTTACATTGCTTTAGCTACAACTGAGGATTCTGGATCTGAATGTCCAAGTGAGGCTTACAATGGCTTTAAATCCTGTACCCATTTGATACGAGCCATTTGTGTGCTGTTTTAAAATGGCTGTTTAAATAAATCCTATGTTAGAGGGTGTATTTCTGGAGAATACGTTCCTGTACAAACTGTTAGTTTCTTATTGGGAATTTTTGGCCTGTGGTTGGTTCAGAGCGATGAGTTCATACCTTTCCCAAAACACTTACCTGTAAACCCTCCAAAAACACACAGCAAGGATTGCATTCAGCCTTCTACAGCTCTGAGTCCGGGTATTCACGGCACACTTTTGAAGTGGCTTGAGGCACATGCTGTGTACAACAGCACAGTAGTTGAAACCCAATACTGTTGTGTATAATTTGTGTTAAACTGAACTTTTTTTTACAAAAGTGGTCTGAGTATATTATTATTTCCTGTTCTATCGATGGCTGTTGCAAAAACTTCTATTCTGGTGTTCTTTTAGATGTATCATATATGGACCATAGTATAGGAACACCTGACATGTACACCAACAGGGTCTTTTATGAACTCGCATTCTAAATACATTGATATGTAGTTGGTCCCCCCTTTCCAGCTAGAACGGCTTCCACTCTACTGTGAAGGCATTCCCACAAGCGTTTTCGGCTGGAGTTTTTGCCCATTAATCCAATAGAGCATTTGTGTGGTCAGCTGAGAATATCTTGCTCTAAATCTTTGTTCCAGTTCATCCCAAAGGTCGTCGATGGGTTTGAGGCACTGTACTTGGTGATATAAGGCTGCTCGAACATAAAAACCCATTCCAATTGTGCTGATATTAAGGCCAGTGAAAGTTTGGAGCTTTTCTGCTATGGTATCACCAATGTGTTGGCGACTTTTATGCACCATGTGCCTCTGTGACCCTTTACGTGGTCTTTCACTCATGGCTGAGTTGCTGCTGTTCCTAAACGCTTCTACTTTCCAATAATACCCCTTACAATTGACCGTGGAATATGTAGCAGGGATGACATTTCACAAAATGACTTATTGCAAAGCTGGCAGCCTATCACAGTACCACGCTTGAATTCACTGAGCTCTTCAGAACAACCAATTCGTTTTCACAAATCTTTGTAAATTCAGACTGCATGGCTCAGTGCTTGATTTTATACACCTGTGGGTGGGTCGGATTTGAAACCCCTGAATTCAATAATCAAGCGTTGTGTCCCAATACTTTTGTCCATATAGTGTAGCTATATGCAATTCTTTTATTTAAACAATGAAGTAATTTATTTTATCCAAGAGCCATTTCTAAGTGATTGATTGTGATCTGTATATGCAGGTGGAAGAGGAGGAGGTAGAGAATGAAATGTCTGAAAAGGCCGAGCAGCAGTTCCAGGAGCAGCGAATTCATAAGCAAGACGACGGTGATGCTCAGACGCAGCAGCCAGAGGCATCCAGCTCGTTTGTAAACATTAGTTTTGTGATGGAAGGAGAGGACGCGGTTAGTACATCAAAGAAACAGGAACTGGCAGCTGTCCCTACCTAGGAAACCTTGCATTAAACGCTGAGATTGAATAAAATACCGCTCCTGCCAAATTTAGTATGGTGCCTTCCTAAACGACAAGCACACCTGATGTAAAGGTGCTGTCCAGAATGATAAATCTGAATATAACAGAACCAACTGGGTTCTAGAACTCTTAAATGGCGATATAACTCGCGATCCCCTTGTATAGCACTTGTTATTGTCACCTGCTTCGAGTTCTGAAAACATGTCTCTTGGTTATAGTGCCTTGAGCCTCCTGGTGCCAAACTTTCATTCAGTGTAACACCATTTTTTAACGTTTAATACTAAACGAGGGTCCCTGGCCCCTGCTGGAAATTGCACACTTCCTTTTAGCCATACCACCAATTAGCACTACGTCAGGCTGGGAGCAGTCAGCTAAAACTGTCAGCCAATCACCTTAGCCCATTGCTCCGCAGACTTTGGGTCCCTAGAGCCTGTCGTTTAGTAATAAACAATTCAAAAAGGTTTTAGCACTGAATACAAGGTCTGTGCCAGTGGGCTCAAGAAACTATAACCACTTTGATGAGATGAAGCAATTCTAGTGCCTAGACTGCCCCGTTATTTTGGTTAAAACAGGTTGTTTGTTTTTCTTTGTGTATGTGTAAACAATATTAATATACCAACCAACTGTTGAAATATGGAACAATAAGAATTTATCATAAGCAAGAAATATTCAAACTTTTAGCAGTTCCAGAAATGACACAGATGTTTTGGGTTTTTTTCTGTATATACCATATGACACTATTAAATTATTACATTCTAAAGAATGAGGCTATTCGTTCTGGTCTTAATTGGGATAGAAACTGCATACATGGCCTTGTTCTGTATTTCCTGCTTTTTCTTCTGACTGTTCATAAAAAATTAGATTGTTTGTTTTTAACACCAGTGGGCATAAATGTCTAAAATCTCTTGGACACTTTCATTTTTAAAGAACTTTTTTTTATATATTTTCAAATGCATATATGGAAAATAAGTAAAACAAAGCGAGACCTTTGAAATAAGCAGTGGGGGGATGCCAGAGCACTCTAGTGATTATGGCACCTTTTAGGGTTCCTTTAAACAACCCAATATTTTGGAGGCTAGGTCCAAAAAAAATGACCATCTTGCTCTTTAACCTTCAGGCGTTTTGGGCCATAATCTGTTTTTATGCCATTCCTTAGCTACTTACCGACTGTGCTGCACTAAGGACAAGATAAATCTCAATGTATCCATCCTAGTAAAATATTTTATAAATAAATAGATCCCCAGGGGGAGATCGAAACATTTGTAGTTCTACCTGCAGACAGACACACGAGATGTAAATCTGACCTGGATTATTTGCATACCATGAAACACAATGAGAAATGTTGAACAGAGAGAATTTAATTCACACTGCTGTTTTATAATAAACATACAAAGAGTGGAGAGCAGAATCAATGAAAATGTATTTATACTTCCATATTTATACTTTATACTTCCAGTAATATTACCCATGGCAGCATTTACCTATGGCTTAGCTCCTTCCTGCAGCTGATAAGACAGGGAGTTAATTGCCATAAATACCCATTTCCTAAATCCTCAGCCTTGTTGCAAGCCAACGGGAAGAACAAATAAATGGTGAGAACTTAATTCTGCCATTAAAGAGAATTAAATAAACTTTCTTATTCTTGCCCAACCATAGCAGCATTCAACCTGTGTGTAATACCCAGGCTATCATCACCACCGGGAGCTAATATTGAACTGAAGATGAGGATTTAGGGAAGGGGGTTGTGCTTATAATTCTTACTTGGTTTCCTGTTCTGTTTGAGGAATGAGCTAACCCAGAGATAAATGGTGCTATGGTAAGCCAGGAAATCCATAACATGGCTAATGGGAAAAAATAACTGCATGCCTCTCAGCTAAAGTAATAAAGGACAAGAGGATTCAAACCTTACTTGCCATTCCCTGCAGTCTCGAATTGTCTGGGTTGATTGCAGCTATGGTCTGGTTACAATAAGACCCTGTTATATGGTGTGGGTGGGAAACAAAACAAGCTATTCATATAGTCATCTCCTAACATAACCCCCTGGACATGAATGCTATTTTATTCTTAGTTTACAGGCTTTCCTTTTCCTCATTGTTTGCAGTAGGGACGGAATGTGCTTTGTCCATCTGCATCAATTCACCTTGTGTCTACATATCTCACAATGCAGGCAAAGCATCAAGGGAGATGTAGTCCATAACTGGAGTCCCTACCCCTGATATAGAATTGTGTATATTGAGAGGATATTCTATTATGGTTAGTTAGCTGTGTGTTTTAGAATACAGGTTCACATAATTGAATCTGAAATTATATATTCTGAGCATACTCCAGCATTCTAACTCCAACAATATTGAAATCTGGTATGAGTTGGTATGGTAGTGTAAAAGTATGAACTTCCTCTCTGCCAGATCAGAATGACCATGGGTGTCAGAAAGGGAACTGTCAAACATTTGTAAGATGTGCCGTTAAAGTACCTGGAGTGCCTCTGTGTCCCTCCTACTATAAGATGTCAAACAGTTTGCCAATATTTTGATGTATGTTACCTGGGGTCCCATAGGTGCTGTGACGAAATGAACCTCGTCACTGGTTCTTGGAGGAGCCTGCTGTAAGTTTGTGTCCCTGTCACGAACAAGGTCCATGTGGGCATACACCTTGCTTGGAGACTTGCATAAAAGGCCAGTGTGGCTCCCATTGAAGAGCCAAGACTTCATGAAGGGGTAAAGTAATCTCATGTTTGGGGGGGGATTGGAGAACTACATACACTCTAGGGATTGCTATATCACAATACTCCCCTGAGTATAAGTATTAGCTCTTCTAAGAGCTGTTCCTGCTACGCTTTCTGGACTAGGAGAGGTCTACCCACTGGAAGCTGTGTCTGTGGAGGACAGCGAGACCCCAACCAAGCTGCAGCTGTTCGTGGGGTTTGCGGTGGTTATGGTGCTCCAGTACAGTGCTTATGGTACTCTTAAGTACTAGGAAGCAGCTATTGACGGGGTGCCAGGGGGTCAGTCACAGGCGCCAGTCACCTCCCCCCCAGTGCACTGTAGTTGTTATGGTACGTGTAGTGTTCCTTAAATTTTAAACAGGTTTATAGATATTTGGTTATCTGTAGATGGATTCTTAACCCAATTTTTAGGGCCAATTAAATGTCCAAGTTTTGTCAATATACCCATTGGTTGAAATTGGAAATCCTGGAGTATTGGTGTGCTTTGAGTACAGCGTTGGGATACAGTGAGAAATGGTTTTATGCTAAAATTGTCTGTATTCTTTTAGAAGACTTATTTATATCTTTCGTATCCCCAGTGCATGTTCGACCATTAATGGTAAACTTTGTGCTGAATGCTTTTTGGGTTCCAGTTCCCAACATAACTAGTTATGGATTTAAATTAGGAACAATGGTGCAGATATTCTGACTGGGAGAATAAACTGACAACCGTGAATCCTTTTTTTTTTTTGGTAATGTTAGTTGGCATACATAGAAAATTTGACTATTTAAGTTACTTGATTCAAGGCTGAACTTTTCACTTAGCACTAGTACAGTGAGTAACTTTATCTTGTTTAATTTTCTTTTTCCCCTGACTTTGGATCATAAATCTATTCTACAATTGCTACAGAAATGCATTTTTTTGTAACAAGGGAAACACATGGCTATCTGATCTTAGCCATTGCTATAGTCAATATTCCTAAGGTTAAATAACCAAGATGACTAATATGCTTTTAGAACAAACCTATAATCATTTCACTTACGCAAGCTGTAGATTTTTTTTTTTTTTTTTGTGTTCAGCATGTGAAGTTTAACAAGGGTTTAATTCCAGCATAATGGGTTTATAATGGCATATTGCAGAGCACTAGGTTTGATAAAGACTTCATGGTCCCGTAATGACTGTGTATCTGCAGGTTAATACTCCATTCAAACACTTGTATAAAGTTTTGTTCTACAAGAAGGGCTACTAAACTGGTTCATGGATTGCAGGATAAAACTTACCAGGAAAGGTTAAAGGATATTAACATGTATAGCTTGGAGGAAAGACGAGACAGGGGGGATATGATAGAAACATTTAAATATATAAAGGGAATCAACACAGTAAAGGAGGAGACTATATTTAAAAGAAGAAAAACTACCACAACAAGAGGACATAGTCTTAAATTAGAGAGACAAAGGTTTAAAAATAATATCAGGAAGTATTACTTTACTGAGAGGGTAGTGGATGCATGGAATAGCCTTCCAGCTGAAGTGGTAGAGGTTAACACAGTAAAGGAGTTTAAGCATGCATGGGATAGGCATAAGGCTATCCTAACTATAAGATAAGGCTAGGGACTAATGAAAGTATTTAGAAAATTGGGCAGACTAGATGGGCCGAATGGTTCTTATCTGCCGTCACATTCTATGTATGTTTCTATAATGTCATCTTTGATTTATCAAGTGTGCTTTTATCGTGTGTCTCAGCTAGAGCTGTTGAGACTTGGGTCCTCTGCTGTTAATCTACAACTCTTAGAACGCTCTGTCAGCCAGAATACTGGCAAAGCATCATGAGAGCAGTAGTTTTGAAACAGCTGAAAATCTCTACATTTAGTCAAACTTGACCAAGCCCTCTTATTCAAACAGCAAAATAAACTGTATTGCAAACTTTAACAAGAAGTGATTGGGCACAGCGTTGCGGTTAGTCTTTATTTCCTGTGAATTAGTTTTTATTTGAACACAGTTCACTAGTTGAAGAATAAACCAAGGATGCACTAAAACACAAGTTTTAAATATTAGCATCCTGTAGCCGAACTGGAAGATATCTCACTCTTAGATTTGTTTGTCTATCTTGTCCTAAAACTTGAACTTCAGTTTGAATTCCTGACAATTTGCATATTAGTGAACAGCCTGAGTGTTTAAATAGTACAAATATGGTCATGACAAGACAAAAGCAAATGTACAGAGTATAAAGGAGGGTCTGTAACTGCTCATTTGTTACATTGGTTTTATTCACTGTAAAAAATATATATTTATATTATATTTACACAAAAATAAACCGAAAAATTTATGGATAAGGAGACTGTGCAAAGGCACTTGGAAGTTCCTATGACATATCATCAATATCGGCAGGATTCTCTCCATCATTCGCTACGAGCACTTCCCTGTTCTCGTACGTCCAGAATCCATTAAGATCAATGAGAATACTGCAAACTGTGTCACCCTGGCTACTCTGAATCAGGTCCTGGAGGGTAATAGACAGAGGGTCCTTTGGCTTAACCATGTCAAATATTTCATCCTAGGATTTAAAAAATAAATAATAATTTTACCTCATATTCCAAGTTCTCTATTTTTTTTTAAATCAATGAAATCTTTAACTATGCAGTAGTAGTGTGGAATAGAATTGCTATCACTGCAGGAACAAAGGGGACGATTACAGTTTTCATAATACTGTAGGTAACCGTTAAACGTCTTTTAGAAAACTACAGGTGCTGATTTTACTATGCCATCTCTGCAAGATTAAACAGTCCTATCATATGAAGTAAGCACAGTGGCGCCCTAGGGAAGGGCATAGCCAAGATCATATGTGCGTGTACACCTCTAAGTCAATACCTGATCATCATCTGAGGCTAGAACTTGTGCAGAGGTAAGTTTAAAAATGTTTTAAGAAAATTGCATCCAATGCACTCCTCACCCAAGTAAACGCTTCAGTAATGAGTACTGAGGTGAAAGTAACAGTTCCTTTTTAAAATATCAGATATTAAATTAACTACTACCCTCACCTTTCTTAAAAGGTGCTTACATGTGTCACACCTAAGGACAATGCGAACAATAAGTGAATTATTGATGTTCTTTTGCGGTCACGTGTTTACCTTTACATCCTGAAAGGAGACCGGTTCCTGGCCGTGAACTTTCACTTGTTCCTGGATTGCCTGGCATTCAAAAAAAGACAATCATGGGTTGGTCAAGGAAGAAAACACGCTGTTCGCTTTTCTGCTTTGTAATGCATAGTTAATGACTAAACCTTTACTCTTCATATGAAAAGCAGCATTGACATTTACATGAATTTATTTCAAGATAACTTTTTCACAAATCCTTAAATGTCACTGCACAATCGTTTTTCAAAATTCAGCATGAGGGTGCGGTCTGTACAGCAGGCATCTCAAACTCTGCTCCATAGATGCTAAAGTTCTACAACTCCCATCATTCTTTGAATGTAATGGATCCTAGTACAGCATCATCTGGGGTTGGATTTGCCTGCTGTAGAGGCCTCATTATGCATGTATTAAGGTGGGAGCAATGTCAGAGTGTGGCACATGACACACCATTTCATGTCTCCCTCTATAGGAATTAAATTTAAGCTGAAACTGTGCAGCTGCTGCTCCTTTATGGTGAACACGCTCAGTTATGAGCATACTTTTTACAAATAACTTTTAAAATAAATTTGGAACATATTTAGCATGTGCCCTTACGCAAAGTTCAACTGCTTTACATAACATTCTAGACCAGGGGTTCCTAAAAGGTAGATCTCCAGATGTTGTAACCCCTTAATGACAACTTCTGGAATAAAAGGGAATCATAACGGAATATTTCTGTCATGTGTCCTTAAGGGGTTCTATGATGCGTTGCCATTCTAAAGGCATGCAAACCATCAAGGGAGTTGTAGTTCTGCAACATCTGGTGATCTACCTATTGGGCACCCTGTTCTAGCATGTTATGCAGAGCAGTTGAATTTTGCACAGGGGCACATACTAAAATATGTTCTAAACTCTTTTTTTTTATTTTAAAAGTTCTTCATAAAAAGTATGCTCATAACTGGGCATACGCCAGCCTTTACATTAAGTATGGATGTAGTCTTCTACTTTTCTTAAATAGCTGTTTGCTGTAGCTAAATCTTCATCACATACAGGATTCTTGTAATTTTCTTTGTTCCTTATCCATGTAAGCTGCACTAAATTTAAAGTTCTGCAATCCACTCTACACACTTAAATTAGAATGGGCATTCAGGGTGGAGGTGAACATTAAAGTGATACTATAGTGCCAGGAATACAAAGCTGTATTCCTGGCACCATAGCTCCCTCTGCCTCCTCCCAACCTTTGTGCCCCCCCTCGCCTGGGTAAATAAAGGGTTGAAACACCCATTATTTACTCACCTTTTTCCAGCGGCGATGACCCTCAGTGCTGGGTCCTCCAGCGGCCTGCAACAAGCAGGCGCTAATGTGCATGCGTGGCAAATGCATTAGATCTCCCCATAGATAAGCATTGAATCAATGCTTTCCCATGGGGAAAAAAATCTGACGCTGGAGGTCCTTATGCAGAGCGTGAGGACGTCCAGCGTCAGATACCGGACCAAAGGTCTGTTGCGATCCAGGAAGCCCTCTAGTGGCGATCTGGTAGACATAGAGCTGCAGTGTAAACATTGCAGTTTCTCTGGAACATCAAGATGATGACATGACACACAGGCGCATGGGGACTTACTCGGAAGAAGTAATTGAGAGAGAAGACATTCAGGCAGCCTTTGTTCCCAATGTCTAGAAGCTTAAATATATACTGCAGTGCTGCTGGCTCCTTCCTGTTCTCTAAAGCCAGAACAAAATCCAAGTATGTCTTGTAATCCTAAAATAAATACAAATATTGGCATTACAACAGTCCATATCATAAACACTAGCCATTCCGTAACTTACAACACCTGATTTAGTGACATCAGCACAGATTTTTGCATCACCAATATCAAGGCAGGTGTGTAAGTAACCTGTGAAGCTGTAGACTGTCAGAATAGGTATGCATGAAGTTTATACTATCAACACATTGTATGGTTAGCATTACAGGGACACTCCACTGCTCAAAAAAAAAATATATAAATCACTGTTTAGTAGATATATCCCCCAAAGAAAACAAAAATGCATTTAGTTATGTATTTTTTCATTGGGGTAGCTCTAAAAACAGCTTGCAAAAGCTGCAACCTTTGCAAGGCCCTCCCTTCTAACCCTGCTCAGACTTAACTATCTGTGGCTGTCCAATGCAGCTCAATGAGAAGTCTTAGGCAGCAATTGCCCATGGCACCTGACTTACAATCAAGTTTAACTCCACTGCGATAAACAACCAGGAAGTTGCAGGGCCTGTAGTGTGCTTGAAAACAGGGGGGCTGTAACCCCATGTTAATATATAAAAGTGCAAATTTCTATTGTAAGCAGCACTTCTAAAATGAAAAAAAGAGGACACACTCTTTACACAAATCATTTCAGCAAGCTAAAAAGTGCTTTAGGGGTCCACAGTGTCCATTTATGGAATAATAGGAATCATTTTTGTTGGTGTAAAAAAAAGGAATAAATCGGAAATGACCGGATTCACAAACACTTCTCTCATGCAATGAAATTCAATTTAAGTGTACCAGACAGACACACACCCAGACAGACAGACAGACACAGAGAGACACACACACTCTCTCTCACTAGAAATAATGTCTACATTGTTGTTGCAGAACTGCTAGCTAATGTATAGATTGTAAAGGTTCCCTATTTGCCACCTGTCAGTCAATTTTTACAGGGCATAGCCAGCATTGTGACTAGAAAAAAAAAAATCAAAATATCCCTCCTGTAAATGGTTCTCCTGCTCTTAATCAGGCTTGCTGGGTGGGATATAGCACTTTCTGTTGCCACATTGAACCCAACATGCACAATAGATGCTTTCCCTGCTTGGAGTGACCCCAAACAGGGCACATTTGCATCAGAGGGTGGTTGTAACAAAGGTGTAACACCATAGTCCTCTGAGACTGGTGATATCAGATTAAGGACAGGAGGTAAGGGAGAATAACAGTCCTACAGCATGATGTAGAACAGTTTGATTTCTTACCTCGGGTCCACTTGAAGCCGCACTTTGTCTCCACCGCTGCCTCCATAGCGCCAGAAGCTCTGTCCAAACCAAGGACTACCATGCAGGTCTAGCAAAGTGGCTGAGAGCATCAGCTGATCACTCCCAACTAATGATGTTAGCCCTGTTCCCCTGAGCTTAGATCAGATAAAGAGCTTCTGGCTCTCTGATGGCTGGTGTGGAGGCAAGGAGTGACTCAGCATAGTGCATTATTGTTATGGGGCAATTTGTCCTAAATGTTCTATATAAAAACCCCACAGCTCCCAGGTTAGTGAAGGTACATACTGCTCAGAAATGTCACAGTTTTAATCTAAATTGGCTGGTAAAAATGTCCAATAGAAAGCCTAGGAATCCTAAAAATAATCAGATCATCATGCTGAAAGCTTACCATCTCCCCATCGTACGTCAGGCACTCCTGGAAGACACGATCTAAAAACACGCTGGTCAGGGTTCCTGTACCGTAGCGAGAAAGTTCTTCTTTGCTCAGCATTCCATTGTGATCCTTATCCAGATTTAAGTACTGTCCTTTATATCCACAAGGGGGAAAATAAAGAATGCAAAAAGCTGAGTAATAGACCAAGCTGTACATCAGGATATCCAACTAAAGGGGATCATTAAATCATGACTTACACACATCATAACCATCTAAAATCGGTCTTTAATATTCATATTGTGGTTCTGTTACCAGACTTGACAAAAGAGCTCTGCAGACAGACAGTGTCTCGATCAATGTACGTCACATACAAAAATAAATTGCCATTCTAACTAGCATTTGCTCTGCACACCCATCCTATATAATATACAGAATTTAACTCCTCCCAGGTCTGTACATCTGCTCCTGACACCCTGTCTCTGGCTTACTTTACAGCGTGATCTTACAGTTCTTTAACCATGCTAACTCATACCATTTACCAGTCCCAGATTTGGCTGTACTCTTCCTATTTCAATGTCGTATCTCAAGTTAGTTCCCTAATGCTCCAAATCTGTGGACACCAGGGAGTATCTCCACAAAGCACAGCATGAGCGTCACTCAAGTTTATAAACACCCAATGCATTATCATAACCACTACATAATGCTGTAGTTATGGTACCAGAAATGCCCTGGTGCATGGTCACTGGATGGCATGCTAGGGGGACGCCTTACCCTCATTCCCCCAACAGTACATTCTCACTGGGGGTTGGAGAGGTTACCCTGCATATGCTTAGTGGTGTCCATTGTCGTTAAAATAAATTAGAACTCTGATGTCCCGGCTTCCCACCATTTTAAAGCACAATGGAGAGATGTATTTGACTAGTGCAGCCTTAATCTAATGCTCGATTAGCTATTTTGGCCTTGGATGTGCATTTCCCAAAACACCCATTTTAGATATTTCACAGAGGATCACACACAAGAAAGGTCACACAATGATATTCATGTCATCCTATACATGAACAAGAGTCTTGATGCCATAGAGAGGGAGGAAGAAAAGATTAACCATTGCATACCATACACCCTTAGTGCAGACGGAGCAGAGAACCAGTTTGATTCTTGACTCTCCTTTGAAAGCTCTTCGTCCCGCAGCTGTAAGAATAAAAACCATGTTCAATCAATTTAAAATGCACTGAATTTCCAATAGTTCTCACTTTAGTGAATAACACTCAGGTGGGTCTTTGTGGCTCACCATTTGTGGACTCCACCACACACAAACTTTATTATTTCAGCTTTAGTCTGCAAAGCTATCTGCGCACTAATAACCTAACTTATTGAACGGAGCTAATCTAGAACCCATCTGCAACACTTTGGTGTGATAAAATACGGTCTAAACAAGGTCTAAAATACTCCCAATGTACTGAAGTGTATGTGTGTGTCCTCCCGGACTGGCTGAATCATATCCCCCAGAATATTATGTATTAATCATGCACAGAATTCTGGTTTTTTTTTTCCATGTGACAGATTGGGAAAAAGACTACATCGAGCCTACACTCACCTCAAGTAAATCATCCAGGAAGCTGCAAGCCAAAATATCTTGAATCTTTATCTTTCCTAAAAACAGAACAACACTATTTAGTTTCCACTACAATATACACAAACACACACTATTTAGTTTTGGGAAAATTGCAAATAAAAGGAAAATGCATTCTTTATGGTACCAGAAATGCCCGCGTGCCATCCCAAAGTCATCTGCCAAATTGTTACTGAATTATTGTTCTGTCAGGTACTAGCACTCAGCCAATGAATATAGCCCAAAGCAGACATGCATCGGTATGCTTATGCAGTAGTATGAATGGTCGCTATAGGATAGCAGTGCAGACCAGAGGGACCACAGGCACCTGACAGGGCCAGCTAAATGTCAAACGGTACATAAATGGTCTGACAGCTTAAGGTAGGATGGTGCCAGTGAACGCCTACAGCACTGTGTAGTGGGTATGGTGCTTTAATACATTTTAGGCATACTTTTTTACCCCTTTAATACATTTTAGGCATACATTTTTACATGTGGTCAGAGAACAATTATCAGTATAAAGGCCTAATACAATGGACATGCACATCAAAAGCCAAAAATCATGCAACTTGGAAGGAATCAATGAGATCTATATATACACATATTGGCAATATGAATTTCAGGTGAGGAACACGCTCTGGGCAATATGCCGTTACCTGTTCTCAGGGGATCCAGGAAGAAGAAGAACTTACGCACAGCCGTGCACACATAGAAAGAGTAGAAAGATTTTTCCAATCCGTCAAGTTGAGGCAGAGTGGGGATAAGTTCTAGGATATAATTCTCTAAATCCTATAAAATAGAGAAGTATTATTTTACCAATCAAATCTCATCTCTCGACTTTGTTACAGTGGACTTCTATGATAACAACCGATTGACTGGTGAGTGGGAAATATTAAAATCGATTTTTACACCGCCTGCCTATTTACCAGAACAACGTACGTAAGATGATTTCGCATGTACCGCCATTTCAGTTAATGTTTTGTGACAGGAACACTTTAATAACCTTAAATACTTATGCAATTGAAATTGAACACAGATGTGAGGGTAACAAAAAAGTCACTGGAAATGACATCACTTCCACCGAGAGCACAAATGAAACTTGGTACATACCGATTCCCGAAGGTATCCTTGCCCAGCGACATCATACAAACTCAGTCCTATCCTGGTCTGGTGCAGCCATACTATCACGGAAGAAGCAATGTTACATTAGATGTTGGCAGGAATCTCTGCTCACAGGAACACAATTTATATAGTAGAAGCCACTTACAGAACAGCTTTGCCTTCTACAGCATTCTTCACATCAAATCTAATGCCGTTCATTCAAAATCTTTATTTTCACTTTAGCGACATTTATAGAACAACATTTTTTATATTATCATTTGGTCCCTGTAGACTGTGTGCCATTATAAAATGATCTACTTATATAGCATCTACAGCGCTATACACTCCTGACATCATTAAATGAATGGGATCTTTAAAGACTAGATAAAGAAGGGATTAATAGCTTTCTTGTTTTACACATAATACCAGTGACAGCAGTATTTATCTCTCTATGTGTAATGGATTAATACGCACACACCAAGTCTGTTCACAGGCACCAGACTCTATTTTAAGAATGCTCTGTCAATTGTCTCTGCTAGTTGTGTCTGTCAGGGAGTGAAGATTGACATACACCTATTTGCTGTAGAAGGGTGGAAACAACAAATGTGGATAAAAAAATTAAAAAAAAAAGATAATTGGACTGTGGATCTAAGAGCAGCTTTAGAACTCAATAGTCTTAATCTATTTATATCTTCCTGGGGAAGATTTATACATTACTAGGCAATATATCCATAATCTGTATGGGATATTTTATTTGTAGCCATCTCTATAAACCAGCGATGGCCAAACTTGACGCCCAACATGCTCCTCTGCCAGAAGGCCAAATTAGCATCTTGGATAAAATAGTGCACAGATATTATGAGCATTTAAGGGAGGAAAGGCTTGCCCCCCACTGATTTAAAACACTACACTTCCAGGCGTACAATAATTTAATGAAAGATTTTAATTTTTTTTTTTAATTTTTTTTTACAGTTTGCATCAACTTCACAATAAACGATGATAAAGCTACGGTTTTCAATATCAAAGTTTTTGTGAGCATATCAGCAAAAACTAATCATACAAGAAAATCAGATAAGACCATCAATTTATTTTGCCATCAAAAGCATGGATGGGCTTATGTTACAAAACAGTTAATCAGAAACAAGAGAACACAATTGCTGGGACCTTAAAGAGCTCAACTGTCAAACTAAGATTTCCTATCAAGATGTATGTTATTTGTCTCCATTGATCTTAAACTGTCCCGATAGAGCTGTGCCATACACTGTATGACGAATGACACGAAAATAGCAAGTACTAAATTACTCCACATTTTCCAATCCATCTGGATATACGTAACAGGAAAACGGTTTCTAATTATTAAAAAAAATTGTTTCCCTAATAAATTTTTTTATTTATGTGTGACTTTGTAAGTATTTTTTTTAATCATTTACATTCAAGTTCAATTTCATCGCAACTCTTTAATTTTTCCAAATGGAGCGGTATAATTTAAAGTGATCTTCGGGCAATAGCAACATGTGTTTAATGAATATCCTTTGTCTGACTGCTGTGTGTTCACAGTGTAATGATGTTACGGTCATCACCTAAAGGGCAATTAAAACCTGGGTCAGTTTGTTCTCCCAGAAATGTTCATGAGGCAATAATAATAATAATAATAATAATAATAATAATAATAATAATAATAATTGTAGCTACTCAGATCTACTACAGTTTCTAAGAATCGCAAACTAACATCTGTTTGTACTTCTATCTGTAAAAGTGCTGACTACTGAAATAATTGGAACATGGAAAACCCACAGCAGCCGGGCAACGCAGCGTGAGCTTTGGTCAGATAAGTGCGGCTTCTGACCTAAGATCACTTAAAATGTCAATGACTCTTGGGAAGAGGGTCACAAAGAAATTCTGAGTGAACTTGAATACAGACACTTAAAGAAACGCAAAGTCATAAATTAAGAAAACCTTTTTATTAAAACAAAACCTGAATATTATTGGCAGTTTTCCCATAATAAAATGCTCCATATATTTACACCCTGAACTTACCTTTTCTCATAACATAATTGAAAAATTGCATGATGGATATTCTGCCAAAAGGATCATTGTGAATAAGTTTACCGAAGACTTTGGAGGTGAAAAAAGATCTATGGACGAGAGAGAGAGAAAAAAAAAAAAAAAAACTAAAGAGCAAGAATAACTAATAACTATTTTTACTAAAATCCCCCGTCTTTGTAAAGCTTAATACAGCATACAATAATTATACAGGTTCTTGGATTATTTTTGTAGAGTTCAGCAGTAAGGCCTCAATTTAATAAGCTTTCCAAATGATTCAATGCCATTGATTCGATCTAGAAAAATCCCCATAGAGTTTAATGTTGACTTCGTAGCTAAATCACTTTGAAACTTTTCAAACCGTATTGAATCATTAGGAAAGCTTATTAAAAAATCAACATTAAATTCTAAAATAGGGCTGAGATCCTGACTAGCGTCACACATGCACAACAGGCCAAACATCAGAAAATCATGATTGTTTAGATTGTTTCCAATGTTACTGCGACATTAAACCGGCCAGCTGCTACTCGATAAAATGTCTTCATATGTCTCCTCGTTTCCATAAGTGTGTAGAAGCTGTTCAATAACTGCCAAATTTCACCAGTAGTGACGGGGATTTTACCGTCTGCCGCTACTTAAAGCCAATCACAAAGCAGGGGCTACCCGCTCCCATTATGCTCTATGGGAGCCGCTAACTGCTCCTGAGCAACTAAATTCTTAGACATCCTATAGGAAAAACACATGTTAGATATCAAACAGAAACCCTAAAGCACATGGTGTTTCATTGTCTTTGTATGTACACTGCACAGGGATAATAAAGTTGAATCTGAACATAAATATTAAACCGTATCAAATTGTACAATAAGAAGCCAGACACACGATATAACACATTTACAGGGTTATCCACTAAACTGCGCCATGCTGCAATGCAATGTGTAGCTGTACTTACTTGCATTTAATTCCAGCTTTTTCACCAACAGTCTGGAAGTTTTCATAGTTGATCATGGCTTCCTCTCCAAACAGAGGGGGGGACTGATGCTTATCCAAAAGGAACCACAGATTCTTAAGCAGTGAATGGAAAAGATAACTTTAATTCCTACAGAATATCACCCTGTGTCTAACATCTTTCTGTATACGCAGGACCTCTCACGGGCAGTTCCCTTCCTATGGAATAGCCTGCCTACCGCCATCAGACTCTCCCCTAGTCTTCAATCATTTAAGAAGGGCCTTAAAACCCATCTCTTTAAGAAAGGCCTCCCAGAGTAACCTCTACCTCACATACCTGTCTCTTGCTCTCTCCTAAAGGGCAGCACTTTACTCTCTCCTCCAGCTCTGCTTCACTCCCACCCTATTTGATTGCTATTTCCTGTCCTAATGTGTCTTACACCCCACCTCCTATAGACTGTAAGTTCGTTTGAGCAGGGTCCTCTTCAACCTATCGTTCCTGTAAGTTTTCTTGTAATTGTCCTAGTTATAGTTACATCCCGCCTATCATAATATTGTAAAGCGCCACGAAATATAAATGGCAATAATAATAATAATAATAATAATATACAGCAGAAAGCCGAGAAACCAATGGCAATGTCTATACCTACCTGTAACTCCTCGTTGTCTAAAAGTTCTCTGCTTTTCCTCTGCAGAAAGACAGCCCGGGATTCTTCTCTCAGTTTCTGCTGCAGCACCTCATCATCAGCAGGCAACTGTGTTTGGAAGAAATAGTAATTAAAGCAAGCATGATTTGAGTCTGAATAGTATTATTGAGCCAACAGATATCCTGAAACCCTCCATCATAAAAGTACCGGCCTCTTAAAAAGTGTGTTAATTAAATGTTCCCGCACAGCCTATACCCCTATATCATAATCTGGAGAAAATGTTTTCCTAGCACTATAGCACCCTATAGTGGCACCCCCCTTGTAGACAGCTACTAGAGGTGGAGTTAACCCTGCAATGTGATTATTGCAGTTTTTCAAAAACAGTAATAATTACAATTGCAGGGTTAAGGGACTTGGGACACTGCACCCAGACCACTTTAATGAGCTGAAGTGGTCTGAGTGCCTATAGTGTCCCTTTAAATCCAGTCATTTTTGCAGTAGTCAAAACACTTACCACTCACTTCTGATGTGCAAATTTTTTCAAAACCTGTATTTTGGTGATACTGTATGTAGATCTGACACTACATGATTACTTTACCTAGCTGCAGGGAGACAAATTACGTGCATTTTTAGGCCTAACATGGCCTTGTGCCGATTAAGGGCCAGGTCAGAAAGTGTTTTGAGTCATGTTATAGTGCCCCGTCTCTACGCCTCAACGAAGGGACGCAAGAAGTTTAGGCCCCCGTTTATGTCCGTGGTGGTTACAGCATTTTTTTAAAGGGCTACTATAACCCCTTTGAGAGGAGGTACCTTTATGGTATAATTTACCCTATTGGGCACTTTGGAAAAGGTCCCCCATCAATTTGCAGTAATACCTGCACATAAAATGTTTTAGTTACCTTAAAATGCTCTTCTACTACCCCCTCCAAAATCATTGGGGACGTGCACGAGCGCAGAGCACATGCGCGTGTTCCAGGCCAGCAAGGGGAGGAAAGTTTAAAAAAAAATTAATGCGCACGGAGGGTGGATGGAGCACAATATGGAAGGGAGGGGAGAGCTAGCTCTGCCTGCAAGAGGAAGATTTATAGGGCTGTTAGTGTGCACTGACAGCAGACGTATTTTATGCACAGAACTGGCATTAGGCAGTTGGTTTAACTAGCCACAAGCACACACTTAACAATATCTCTGTATGTGCAGAAACACTGCACATACCGACTCTTACCACCATGACCACCTAAATCACTAAAGCAGTCATGGTGGTTGGAGTAACCCTCTAACACCGTACACAATGGGAATACAGAAATTCAACAGTTAACAGAACTCACTCTGTAATAGAATCGAGGGATGTTCACAGAGTTTGGTCCCTTCAAACCTCCTTTCCAGTCTGTGTAAAACTTTGTAAAAAGCATCATTTCATCTTCTTTCGTCTCCTGTTCACTTCTTCTTACTGATAAACAGATAAATTCACAGTTATGTCCAGACTTTCAATTAAAACAAAAGGATCCCAGGATAATCTCATGTTAAGAAGTATTGTTGAAATGAACAGAACTGGGATCTTTATTATTCTTAAAGCTGAACAAATATGTACAACGGCAACTAGACATTTCGTTGTGTAAGCCTGCAGTAGGATATATTACAATCCCACCATTTCCGCATTAAGAGCTTTAAAGGGACTGGGGAACAAGGCGCATGTGTGGCAATCACTGCCGCTACACAAATAATGCTTCTCACAGAAAAGCACAGAAACCAATACTTCGCTGCGGGAAGTACTTAATTAAAATAGTTGAAAGCGAGTGAAACAAGAAATCCTCCCAGCTGCCTCTTTGTTATCCAGGTGTTACTGAGGAGATTTATAAAAGTGGTGATTTCTCTTAATAGGTGTTCTTTTGATGTTGTTGTTTTCTCCATGTTCAACTACCGGTATATATTTTTACAGATTTTTGCACTATCCCCTTAGCCACATCTTCTTTTTAATATGAACACTTCCTGATTGCAAATACAAAAAGTATGTTCTCTGCACAGACAATAAGAGCTGCATGTGAGCTGAGTTCATCCTACATGTACTATCCTATTATTACGCGCCCTATTTCCCCTAAGCATGTCTTTGAAATATTATACAGAGAGAACAGTTATTGGCTGTGGAGGAGACTAATTTCAGCAGCTCCGCTCACACAGATCTCACATTGGCTGAGCTACATCCAATTTGGAAGAGATTTTGTGAAAAGGTGGTAGCTAAAAACCGGACTACGTTTCTAAGTTTATAATAGTTGGATATCTATAAGTGATCAAACTGACCACTCATCCAAGAAATACACCTGTCTTAGACTTTGCAACTACTCTCTCCAATAAAACCCAGTTTTGATTGAAAGATGGGCAAGAGATTTTTTTTTTCTTAATTATAGACTCCAGTGTATATGGCCAGAGTTTAAATGCAGACTGAGCAACAGAACGACTAAAGCTCACTGTAGAGATTATAGCGTTTACAGCAATGGTGCCTATAGACCAATCGTGATCTACCAGTCGATTACAAAGATGATGCTGTTAGATTGTGGCAGGCTCTTTATTGAGACACGGCGGCCTCTCAGCCGCCTAAGCAGAGCATCACATCATAGGCAGTGTTATGATCCAGTCGTTTGGTCTGGCTGTCCCAAAACACGGCAGGTAACTATTGGACATTGATTGGTTGCCAGTGAGCGAGACAGTTCATATTTTTCATACTTATACATTAAAAATCCAAGCTTCACCTCTTTTTCTCCTATTTCATTCTACTCTCATCCACATTATCAGCTCTATCCCTTACACACACACACACACACACACCGTACTAATGTCTCTTTTTTTTTTTGTCTATCCTGCACAATTCTCCAACTCGTCCTCTGCTTCCATAATACCAGAGTATATTATTTACAGACAGAAGGTTGTGAAAAATATAAAAGGCAACTACTAAACCCTCTGCTTATTTACGGATACATTTTCTGCTTAGCTATCCCCCTGAAAGGCTTTCATTACGTTAACACATAAGAAAGCCATTTCACCTTATCACGGTTTTGCTCCCAGTCTCTCTAACCTTTGTTATCTTGCTTCAGTTTATCCGCGAGGCTTTTTTTCCAGTCCATCTTGGTTTATTGTTGAACTGTGAAAGATAAAAAAATAAAAGACACTATAAACAACACATTCCTGGCCCAACATTTTAACATTTACAAATCTGACAGTGACTGACCCTGCTAATGATACATTATTTTCCACAGCTCACCCCATGCTGCTAGTATATGTTTCTCTGCCATGTAATATGGCAATGTAATCCTCCACCACCCCAAAAACCAAAAAGTCTTATTTACCAGACCCTTTATTCAGCAGATATTGGGTTAGGATAACCCACAATGGCATCTCTTCTTCCAATGCCCTCTTCTTGGTAAGATACTATGTTGCCAGTTGGTTTCTGAGCATGAGTTCTGATTCACTTCATTCCAAACTCTGTATGAATTTCTGAGTTACTAAGGAACAGCCAAACATGGGCTTCCTCTCTTAGTCGCACTGTTTATACGTCACACCCCTTCCCTGTGATCAGTTGCTATCCCTGAGCTTCTGCACTACTGCTGCTTGAAAAAGATTGGCCACTAGAGGCTCCCGTTAGCAAACGCGTTTTGCGTCATCACGTAAGCGTCGAGATACATTAAGCAGGCTCACACTAGGAGAGAGGGCTAAAGCGAGGCTTGGAACGCAAACAGTGCCTATGATTGGTTGCTGCGCATTATAACCCGGAAGTATAACTTCTCATCCTTGAAGGTACCCTGGGCATTACCCAATCACAATACAGAATGCTCTGATGTGTGACACAAACGATTGCTCTGATTGGCTGGTGAGTAATGGCACCCGGAAATGGTTGATCCTTGTCAAAGCCATGTGAGTCTGTGAAGAGATATTGGCAGGTAGTGGGATTTCATGGAGAATAGAATAAAAAAAAAAAAAAAGAGTTAACATTGTAACCAGATTTGATGGTTATTATTATTTTGTATGTTTCATGTGTTGGAGCAGTCATGCCCTTTAATATCATAATGTGCATGTGATTCTTTTTTTTTAATTTGTAGCTATTTTTTGTTTTGCATGTTTTTTATTTATTTATTTATTTTTTATATTTTTTTTTGTTCTGCATGTAATTTTTATAGAAGTGACTGAAAGGACGAGGCCAGTGACTGCCAAACCATGCAGTCAATTCAGTCATTTTGCAGGACTTTGCACAGCCAGGTCTTTTTAAGAAAATCGTTGATGTGTCAGAGTACCGTTCTTTTTCTGGGCTACAAAAATCCAGCTGCAGGTTATAAGTCTGCCCAGAGCATAAACACATCTTCAAGGGCAAATTCTTATGTCGATAAGGATCGTCCATTGCCAAAATATTCAAAGGTTTCCAAAAACAAGGGTAAGGGCAAAGGCCCAATGATGAATTCCTTCACAGTGTTTTCTGCAGGTGCATCAAAGAAAAGAGCGGACATGCAGTATAAACCAGAGACATTGGATGACCAGGAATCGACTCCTAGAAGTGCGAAATTCTCAATCCCATCTAGCCCATTGCCAATCAAGGAATGGAGTAGCTTGAAATCGGAATTTATTGGAGTAAAAGGATTTGAGGAATATATGATGGCAAAATGTATTTCAAACAATAGTGACATTGATATTGCCAAATCACTCTTGAATTTTGCAGCGAAAGAAGAACACGGCATCAGTTACGAGCTACTTCTGAAATATTTAGCTCTATGTGTGAAAAAAAATGAAATTTCAGAGGTTTGTGATGTTTATGATATAATGAGAATCAAATTCAAGTCTTTTGAAACTGGAGCCTGCAGCTTGTTTATTAAGGCATTTAGCCAAACTGATCGCTGGAGAGAATCGGTTAGTATGTTGGAAACTATTAGGAAAACGGTTTGTCCTTCCTCCGGAAACTACAGAGATTGTATTAAAGGAGCTGCTTCACATGGAGAGGAAATGTTAGCATTGACCCTCTATCGTGAAATGCTACAAAGTGAACTGATTCCCTCTGATGATACCATCCAGGCTCTGTTTGATGCTGGTAGGATCATCCAAAATAAGACCTATGACAATGAACTAATCAGCATATTGAATTATTTTAGAGACAACCAGATCTATCCGGGGGAACCTCTTATGGAAAGTATCAAGTCATGGTTTGAAAGGTAATTTTATTTTCTGTTACTGCAGTTTGTGACACCTGTTTGAAAACATAGATTTAGCGAATGGTGTTTAATATTTTAATTCTCACTCTTCAATGGGCCTCCTCACCAAAGTCTGTAATTGTGAATAGATGGAGAAAAGGGTGTAAAATGGTCAGACTAGGTTACAGCTCACCCTATAATCAAAAAGTTTGCACATCAGAAACTTTTTACACCCAAAGCCATGATAAAACCTATGTACATCTAGTGTACTGTTACACGCAATCATTTTTAAGTCACCGTTAAGCAGTTGGACTTTGGTATACACATGCTTTAAACTAATTAATTTATCACGGAGATATACATTTGATCCTATCATCAAAGAGGTTTTGTATTTCCATAAATAATCTTCATGGAAATATTGCTTAGTATGTTTACCATGGTGGGTGAAAAATAATAAACCTTATAATTTAGCGTGCAAACTACAATTTCCTCATAAGGCTTCATTCATGTCATGTACCTTGTAGCCAGATAGCGGTTGCATACACTTTCTGGAATAAAGATCAATCATCCAATATAATCAGTGTAAAATCTTCTTAAATCCACAATGACGCAATACATAGAAGGAAATAAAAAAAAACCTATTAAACAAAGTGGCAAAAGAGGGCATTGTGAAGATCTGTAAGTGCTGTTGAGAAAGTGTCAAAGCAGCTCAAAATGCATCAGTCCATAAAATCCCACCTTTCTGCCATTTTTTTTTTGATGGGGTTGCTTTTAGATTTTCTTTTGCTGTTATGCTTTGCACCATTGCGGAATAAAAAATACTTAACACTGATTATGGCTTTTCAAATGATTTACCTACAGGAGTCTAATGTAAAAGAGTAATGGTATAAGGCACTCCAAGGTATCCCAAGTGTTGGTGCTTGTGCTGCAGGGCCAGGTTCCTGTTCCGCGGAACCCCCTAATATAGCATCAATCAAAACCAATTCTCAACACTGGTGGTTTAGTGTGTCATCATACATGAAAAAGGCAATGTTTCGACACTTGATGTGTCTTTCTCAAGCTTAAGTAATTAAGTAAAACTTCATTTTTATATTTTATTTTTTTTTGCTCGGGGTGGGGGACCTATTTAGAGCTAAAGAGAGGGAAACTATAGCATATTTGTATTCCTAATGGTATGGTGTTCCTTTAAAGTTTATGGGAATCTTTGTAGGTAAATCATTTGGAAAGTTGTTTTTTTTTCTCTAACAGTATCGAATAATTTCGAAAATCTAATAAATAGAGGCCTGTGTTAGATGATTTTTATTCCAGTAAGTGTTTGTATGTATTATTTTTTGTAGGTTGTGAATGAAATCTGAATTTGTATTAGAGTGATTCATTTCTAGGTTTAGTCCCTCCCACCTCTCTTACTTGTCTGTTTTCAGCTGAAAAGAGTCAATCTGAAACATTTGCACTCTTTATTTTCCAGTTTACCCAATGAAAGTTGGAGAGGGAGTCTTGGCAGCATTTCCCGTAGGTAAGTACCCATTCACTGCAATATATATTGAAACTTTGTTCCACCATTTTCGTATCCCTTAGTAAATGCCACAGAATGCACATTCATGGCACTCACCATACTTTCAAATGACTGGTTTAGGTTTAATTGTTCCAAACTTTTTGATCTTTCTTTTAAAGGAATACTATATGGTCAGGATCACAAACATGTATTCCCCTATGGTTTTTAAAATCACCATCTAGCCACCCTGGCCCCCCTCCATGCCCCTTTAAATATAGTAAAATCTTACTTTTATTCAAGTCTGCAGCTGCTGGCTCTGCCCCTGATCTGCCTGCTTGGCTGACAACATCAGAGGTGTTGAACAAAAGCCAATCACAATGCTTTCCCATAGGATTGGAAGAGACTGTCAAGGAGACGGATCAGGGGCAGGGTCAGCACAAGCCAAACACAGCCCTGGCCAATCAGCATCTCCTCATTGAAGGGAATTAGAGCGCTGGAAGCGATCATGATCGCTTCTAACAGCTCTAACGGTTTGGCCGGGACCCCAGTGATCACTCCCCCAGAGCTATCACTTCCGGGTTTCCCCACGTGGAAAATATATATATATACACACACACTTTTATTTCCTATATATGTATAATGTGTTATGATTAAAGCATTTTATAATATATTCTACATATATAATGCATCTATATGATTTCATTATAAGTGTATTTTCAGATATGTGTATATATCTCAAAGTACACTTGTAATTAAATTATATATGTATAATATAAAATGCCTTAATTATTTTATAATATATTATACATATATAGGAAATAAGTGTGTGTATTTTATTTATATATATATATATATATATATATATATACATACGTAACGTGTGTGTGTGTGTGTGTGTGTGTGTGTGTGTGTGTGTGTATATATATATATATATATATATACACACACAAACCGATGTGTTCATTATCTCACTGTACATGCCAGATCATAAGTACCTCCTCCATATGACTTCTCCCCTCCTTTCTTCAAAATTTCAAGCATCCACTTTTCTTACACTTCACATGCCTGTAGGTACCCAAAATAATCAGAATTACACGTTTTACACATATTCGTCTCACCGTAATACCAGTGATCACCTACAAATTTACATTACAAAGCTGAAAAATATATACAATGGTGTAGATACAAGGATGGAGGATGGACTGAGTGGAGGACTTGGGCATCACAAGGTGTGTGTCTGTCTGTCGCCATTGGCTATCTGTCACCAGCATGCTGTGCACACTGATGACAGATGACTGCTATGCACAGAATTGGCATTAGCCATCCTGGAACTCTTGTTGTGAACTTGCTAGTGATGCCCTAATGACACTGCAAATGTGGGGTAACGTCTCCAGCAACAAAGAGCATTTTCTCTGCATATGCAGAATTTCATAGTGAAACGCTGCATGTACAGACTCCAAGCTACATGCCCACTTCAAACCAGTGAAGTTGTTGTTGTGCTTGGAGCAACCATTTAAGTGTGTTTGGATTGTAGAATTACAACTATACAATGCATTTAGCGCAAAAAACTATTAAACGTTCTGTAAATGTTCAATAGATTTTAAGATCCGATGAATGGTGTTTTTGTAGCTATGGAATAATTTGCTATATAGGGCTTATTCACTAAATGGTAAATATATAAAACATTTTCCCCATTTATTTTTAGTTTATGTTTATTTTTTGAATACTTAGTTGGCTAAAGTAAAGTGCATTTTTTTAATTTCCTTTAGTGGTCATTGCCAGGTTTGCCAAGAACAAATGGAGTCCATTTATATGAAGCCTGAAGAGTATGGTGCATTGAAGGACATTTTTCTTAATAGCGTTATCAAAGGAACAGATACCTTCCGGAAGACCACACCACAGGTAACTAATTCATCAATCTGGCTGCACTATAATTATGGAGATAGGAACTCCATCACTGAAATTCCTTGACTGCTCACTTACAATAACAGAGCAATCTGTGATCAATACCACACTGTATCGTAAACCTACTTCAACTAACACCATGCTGCGATGGGACAGTTATCATCCAACCTCCCTTAAAGGGACTCTCCAGTGCCAGGAAAACAAATCCGTTTTCCTGGCACTGCAGGACCCTGCAGTGCCCCCTCCAAACCCCCAGTCCATGTTGCTGAAGGGGTTAAAACCTTTTCAGTGACCTACCTGAATCCAGCGTCGATGTCCCTCGGCGCTGGGTCAGGTTCCGCCCACGCTCCTCCCATGCCGACGTTTGCCGGCGGGGTAGATCTAATGCGCATGCAAAGCAATGGCCGGGCGCATTAGACATCCTCATAGGAAAGCATTATTTAATGCTTTACTATGGGGAATCCGGCGACACTTTTTTCGTGTTTTAAGAACACGGAAGTCCCTCTAGTGCTGTCTGATAGACAGCCACTAGAGGAGGACGTAACCCTTCAAGGTAATTATTGCATTTTATAAAAACTGCACTAATTACACTTGCAGGGTTAAGTGTGATGGGAGTTGGCACCCAGACGACTCCAATGGGCAGAAGTGGTCTGGGTGCCTGGAGTGTCCCTTTAAGAGCGGCATTCCAGTAAGGCAATACCGTAGGCTCAGAAGAAATTTCTCCTCTTCTGAAGACTTTGAACTAAAGGCAAAACAGCTTAAGCAAAAATTAAAAGAAAGGGGGTATCCTAACAGATACCTGAAGAGAGCATCTGTATGCGAACATGAAATATTGCTAAGCGACACGGCGAAGTTAAATACTAACCTATACAGATTAGGTGTATAGTCCATTTTGACTCCGGTTGGGATGTTGCCAAAAAAATTCTGGGAATATTCTGGTCACTCCTAACTCAAGACCCGCATCTGTCACAAGTAGTGATGTCCCGAACGGTTCGCCACGGACGGCAAACATATGCGCTGTTCGGTCCGCCCCTTATTCATCATCATTGAGTAAACTTTGACCCTGTACCTCACAGTCAGCAGACACATTCCAGCCAATCAGCAGCAGACCCTCCCTCCCAGACCCTCCCACCTCCTGGACAGCATCCATTTTACATTCATTGTGAAGCTGCATTCTTAGTGAGCTGTCCAGGAGGTGGGAGGGTCTGGGAGGGAGGGTCTGCTGCTGATTGGCTGGAATGTGTCTGCTGACTGTGAGGTACAGGGTCAAAGTTTACTCAATGATGACGAATAGGGGGCGGACCGAACAGCGTATCTTTTGACATGTGAGTGTGGCCTTAATTATGTGGGCAAAACCATACGTCCATTCAAAAGAAGTGTTATGGAACATATCCACTCAGTGACAACGTTTATGGACACCCCTGTCGCTAGACATGTCAGACTACATCATAAAGTCTCCCACAGAGGGATGAAATTCGCAGGAATTGGAAAAAGTCCATTTGGGCAAAAGGGGGGCGGGAGGGATCTGGATTTAGCCCTCAAAAAAAGAGACTGTTTCTGGATCTACAAGTTTGATTCCCTGGCATCAAATGGGCTAAATAAGGGATTTACACTTACACCTTTCATTGGCACATAGGAACAATATGGTCAAATACTAAATTAACATGAGATATCAATATATTGTTAATATTATAATTTACATTCTGTTTATTGGGGATATTTAATATTAACAGTTTCATATGTCTAATATTGTATAGAGTTGCTGTTCACTAATCTTTTCAGTGATTAGAATAATCACAACTTTGACCACAATGGGTTAAATATTGACATCTATCCTATAAACTTCAGCTGGGGACCTAATTAGACGTGAATTAGGACGCACACCCCCACCTCCCATTGGTCATGGGGATACCAACCCCTTTTGCTTTCTCATTTAAAAAGCAGCACAGGACGATGAACTGTTCAGTGCCTCAGCCGAAGGTGCTGCAGTAGCGCTGAAACGCGCATCAGGCTCATGCTCAACTTTTTCATTAACTGCACGTTTTTTTCATCACTATGGATAGTTTATGAGGGTTTTTGAATAATACCTATGAGGGGAAACTCTCTTTAATGGGGTGTAGTTAAGGAATATTTTCTAGCCAGCATGTAGGGCTAAGCTTTTCCTTATCAGGGTTTTTTTCCTTTATTTTTCATTTAGTAGCTTTCAGCCTTCATTTTAGTAATTTTTTCAGACCGCAACCTTAAAGTCGATTTATTTTTAGTAAGTTTATATGAAGGCTTAGCTGCTCTTCTCACCTACAGTGACTATTTCCGTAGGATTCCTTTCAGGTGGGGGGTTATTGATTTTAAATCATTGTCGTTAGACCTCAAACGTTTCATACTGTTCAGTAACTTACATTCAGTTGGTTAACCCTTTGTGAGTAAAATATATCCTAGGGATTCCTCTTAGGTGGGGGGTTACTGATTTCAATATATTGTCGTTTTGTATCATAGGTCCTCTAGTCACTTTGATTTCACCTTGAATTATCACTTTAGTAGATATCTCTGTACATCTCTGAGCCATGTATCTAATTATGCCTTGGCTTACTTAACTATAATATGGCTTTAGATGTAACACAACAGTGTGAAGTTATTTAGCTAATCATACATGTATGCTTCTTCGAGTTTATATACAGGAAGGTAAATTGTGTATTATGAGAAAATGTCATCAAGGGTCATTATTCAGTCTTGTGGATTATTATAATGTCTTTACATTACATTATACATTATAGCCTTGTTTTAACAAGCTTTCCAAATGATTCACTACTGTTGACATTTTTATCCAAATTATTTATCTATAGAACTCCCCATTAAAAGAACACTCCGGACACCATAACAACTTAATGGAAATTAATTTGTTATGGTTCGAGTAGGTCCCTGGCTCTTCCTTACCTTTTAGTGCTTAAACTGTTCACGATTGGCTCTGAATTCATCAGCAGCTACTCATATATAAAGAAGTTGCATGTCTTTTTTATGAATGGGGATCTACTGATTGACTTAGTGCATCAGTTCATTTCAATTAAGTTATGGTGCCCATTGTGTTCCTTTAAAGTCTATGGGAATTATTGTAGATTAATCATTTGGATTGTTTTTCTAACAGTATTAGAAAGCTTAATGAATTGACGCCTGTAGACTTGGATTAGGGTTAAGGTTAGGGTTGATGTTCGAGAACGACAAGAATTAACATTGCAGCAGCTGCTGCTCGGATGCTTAACTCCTACTACTCTTGTGTGTGTTTGTCTGTATCCGTCTGTAAGCCTTACAGGCTTCCACATGTCATTAACCTGCTGTGATAAGCGTTACTTAGAAATACCTTGCTTTTTCCTTTACCTAGAGATAAAAAGTTCCCTTTTATGTTTAAATAAATATTTCCTTACAGTTAACCTTTACCATGAAATGCCACACTTTTATCTTGTTATGATTGTATGTAAAAGATCACATTCAGGGCCGGTGCAAGGATTTTTGCCGCCCTAGGCAAAAGTAAAGTTTGCCGCCCCTCCCCCCCCCCATGTGACATCACAATGCCCCACCCATATGATCTGCCATGTTAACTAACGCCAGTGCTGCAGTGCCGCCGTGTTTACATTAAAAGGCCTGCAGGGACAGGCTATGGACACCAGAACCACTACATTAAGCTGAAGTGGTTCTGGGGACTAGAGATTAGTGCCACGAATAATATACTAGATTGCCTACTTACAACCAGATGAGGATGATGATGGGCTCTAGCTGCAGTCTGGCTCCACTGGTCTGGTGTAGAACAGGCTCCCTGGAGGCTGTTTGTAACTGTGGTCACAAAAATCAATGTTCTGGGAGAATGGGAAGCAGCTCCATTTTTTAAGGCCCTTTATTTTTTTTTTGAATCTGTGTTTGTATGTGTAAGGGCTGCAAGGTGTGTTTCTGTGTATGTACGGGATGCATTGAGTGTGTGCATCTGTAAGGGGTGCATTGAGTGTGTGTAAGGAATGCATTGTGTGTTTCTGTGTGTGTAAGGGATGCACTGTGTGTAAGGGTTGCATTGCTTGTGTGTGTGTGTGTGTCTGTGTGTGTAATGCATTGTGAGTTTTTCTGTGTGCAAGGGGTGCATTGTGTGTGTGTGTGTGATGGATGTCAATCTCTTCTCCCCCCTCTCCCTCCCTTGTCCCCCTCTTCTCCACCCCTTGTCCCTCTCTTCTCCCCCCCCTCCCTTGTCACTCTCTTCTCACCTGCTTGTCCCTCTCTTCTCCCCCCTCCCTTGTCACTCTTCTCCCCCCTCCCTTGTCACTCTCTTCTCCCCTCCCCACTATCATTCCCCCATCAATTACCCTCCCTGTCAATTTCTTCCCCCCCTCCCTGTCAATTTCCCCCCTCCCCTGTCAATTCACCCCCTCCCTGTCAATTCACCCCCTGTCAATTTTCCCCTCCTGTCAATTTTCCCCTCCCTGTCAATTTTCCCTCCCTGTCAATTTCCCTCCTGTCAATTTTCCCCCTCCTGTCAATTTTCCTCCTGTCAATTCTTATGTCAATTTGTTCACCCCCGTCAATTCACCCCCCTGTCAATTTCCCCCTGTCAATTTCCCCCCTGTCCAATTTCCCCCACTCCCTGTCAATTTCCATCAATTTCCCCCTGTCAATTTCCCCCCCCCTCACAATCAATTTCACACCCTCCCTGTCAATTTCCACCCCCTCCTGTCAATTTCACACCCCTCCCTGTCAATTTCACACCCCCCCTCCCCTGTCAATTTCACCCCCCTCCCTGTCAGTTGCCTCTGTCATTTTACCCCCCCACCTGTCCATTTTCCCCCTCCCCTGTCCATTCCCCATGTCAATTTCTCCCTACCTCTCTGTAGCGTGGCCGAGCCCTCTATGGTATGGTCCGCGGGTACAGGGAGCTTTTGTTTCCTGTACCTGGCCGGACTAACAGGAAGTAGACACTGAGTGTGCACTTCCTGTTAGTCCGGCCGGGTACAGGAGACAAAAGCTCCCTGTACCCGCGGACCATACCATAGAGGGCTCGGCCACACTACAGGGAGGGAGTGACAGGAGGGAGCGCTGAGCGCTTCCCTCCTGTCAGCCCCTCTCCTCAGGCTGCGCCCTCATGGACGCACCGCCCGGGCAAAGCTGCAGCCGCCTGAGGCTCTCTACAGAGCGCTCGGGCGGCTGCAGCATGAGGGGGGCCGGCGCTCCTACCTCCTTACAGGTAGCGCCGGCCCTGATCACATTCCATCTTCCTCATTCTTCAAATCTACCTTAAAGGACTTATGTTGAATATCCTTGTACTCTGGTTTACCAGTTGCATATTTGTTTAAATATTATTATTATTATTACACCACAAGTTACACACCTAAACATGTGTTTATATATTTCACAATAAGTTTTTCTTTCTTTTTTTTTTTTGTTGTTGCTCGGAACATGCTGTTCCGGGCACCGGGCAGGAAGATTTTTTTTTTATTATTCTTTTAGCTCTTTAGCCTTGGGTGGAGTTGGTGCCAGGCAGGGAGTGCCTCTACCGCACTAGTCCACCCGGAAACATGTACCAGGATGCCGTAACCCTGTTGCAGCTTACAGGGAAGTATGAAGAGCGGCATCAGCCAACTACTTCTTGTGATTCTCGGGTCCCAAGGCAGCCCGGATTCAGCGTGACGTCATATCCCGGCAGCCCTACGTGCTGAAAAGTACAGAGACAGCTTGGGACAGGATGCGCCTCATAATCTATGCTGTGTGTGTGTCAGAGAATATGTCGTGTGTGTCAATGTGTTAGTGTATGTGTGTTTTTAGTGTATCACAACCACAGCCAGCACATACAGCCACTGTGCACACACATCATACAGACAGCACATACAATCATAATATACAGCCAGCACATACACACATCGTATATAGCCAGAAAATACATACATAACATACAGCCATCATGCACACATACCACATACAGACAGTGCCTACATTCATAACATACAGCCAGCACGCACACACATCGTATGTAGCCAGAACATACATACATAACATACAGCCATCATGCACGCACATCACATCACATACAGACAGCACATACATTCATAACATACAGCCACCAAACACGCATGCACACACATCACATACAGCTAGCACATACATTCATAACATACAGCCACCATGCACATACATAACTTACAGCCAGCTGTGATAAAGTGAAGGCAGATAGGCCTTTTAACCCCAGGGGGAGTATGTGTAGTTTGTGTTTTGCACAACACAACGCATTGTTTAGTTATGGGCCCCTGGGGTGGAGCATTTGGAGAGAAGGGTGGGCCAATGCTCCACTCCACAGTTTAGTGGTTTTCTTGGGAGACATAGATCCAGGCCAGGGTTTTTTGGACTGTCTCCAACCCACTGCACAGCTGCAGTTAATGAGCTGTTGCAGTGGGAATAAACTCCTCCCTGCTAGACAGGTAGAGAGGGATTGCTGGCTTCCTCCCAGGAAGCAGGTAGGAGAGAGGCTGATCTCTCCAGATAGAGTCAAAGAGACTAGGCACTGGGAGTGCAGAAAGGAAGCAGTCAAGGCTTGCTTGGAGGCACTGGGAGTGCGGAAAGGAAAGCAGTCAGGGCAAGGCTGGCTTGGAGCACTGGGAGTGCAGAAAGGAAAGCAGTCAGGGCAAGGCTGGCTTGGAGCACTGGGAGTGCAGAAAGGAAAGCAACAGGTTAGATAGCAGAGTGTTGCTATCTAAAAGGTTGGTGCAATATTGTTTAGTGTAACCCTGAGAGATAGGGAAACTTATGTCAGTTAGTGCTCAGACGAGCTAGGTTTTTGTTTATAGGGTTTTCTGTTACATATGGTGGAGAATGCGGGCAGCCACGTAAGCCTGAGGGTAGAAGTCATTTAAAGCTCAACATGGAGGATGTCATCAAGGCTCTGATCCAATCCACCTCTGTGCAACAGGAGACTAACAGGAGAGCTGCAGAAAACAGTGCAGCCCTGCAGCAACTGGTGCTGGCCCAGGCAGAGTGTGCTAAAGTCCTGGCCAAAACACAAATGGAGTGCACTGAGTCCTTGGTGAAACAGCTTGTTGTGACACAAGCGGAGATGTTTAAAGTAGCCCGTGAGGAGCAGCAAAAAGTCACCCAGGGACTACAACAGGAAATCCAAGCTATCTCTGAAAAACTGAATGGAGACCCTGATGGAAGATACCAGGGGCCAAAGGTGATTCGGGCGAGCCACTATCTTCAGAAAATGACCGCATCAGATGATGTTGAGGCGTACCTTCTGGCATTTGAGCGCACTGCTGAGAGGGAGAAAAAGACAGCTAGGAGAGATTGTGTTTATGGCAAAGACATTGCTTTTGTTTGGAAAATTGGTAAGTGGGAAAGCCACCCAATTGCAGATAGCAATTATTGTCTAGTAAGAGCTCAAGTAAGAGCAAGGGATTTTGTTTGTTTTTGTTATTATTTAAAGTACCTGCTTTCTTACTGAATAAAAAGGAAAACTGAGCTGAAGGTGTCCTGGACTTTGTATACCCTAGAAGGCTGTGGTTACTGCAAGATCGGTGACAATCCTACCTGTAAAAGAGGTGGTTTGTTACACAGCATACACCACAGATCACATACAGCCAGCACACACCACAGATCACATACAGCCAGCACATACATTCATAACATACAGCAACACAATATGTGCTGGCACTCAATTACGTAAGGTGCAGGTATTCGAGGTTTAACCCCACAACAACCTCCTAATCTCAATCATAAACAAATATGAATACCGCACTCAAAAGATTGCAATGAAACCTAATCCTGCATTCAATATCAAAATATTTATTGTAATGATTTTAGATAAATTCATAAAGTTAATAGTATTTTATCATAGTGACACTCATTTCATCCTATATACATAAACTATTTACATATATATATATACACGCAGAATCCTCCCTCATCCGTGTTGAAGTTCATGATCTATGTATCTATTTACAGTAGGTAATGATCCAAAAAATAGAAAAAATGCAATGAAAAAAATAATAAAAAATGGAAAAATGGAATGAAAAAAAATAAAAAGAAAAGAAAAAATGATAATACAGTCCTGATGACTAACAGTCCAAAATATAGTGCACTATATAATTCATTGTATATGGGTGGATCTCACCAATGTAGAAGTTGCTTTAGGGTATACACAGTAGGAGGATGCTGAAGTCTGTAGATGGTATGTGATAGATGGGGATGAAAGCAATTGCTGTTTAGTGAAGAAACAATCAATCATCAACTCTCTGTCTAATCTGGTCGGTATAGCAGGTCACTCGGTAATCCTTAAAGTAGGCAATCCTTGAAGTGGGCTGCGCGCTCGGGACGTTCCTGTCCCTTCGATGGCCCCTGTTCCTCTCCGTCCATAACATACAGCCACCATGCACATACATAACTTACAGCCAGCATACACCACAGATCACATACATTCATAACATACAGCCACCATGCACATACATAACTTACAGCCAGCATACACCACAGATCACATACATTCATAACATACAGCCACCACGCGCACACATCACATACAGCCAGCACACACCACAGATCACATACAGCCAGCACATACATTCATAACATACAGCCACCATGCACACACATCACATATAGCCAGCACACACCACAGATCACATACAGCCAGCACATACATTCATAACATACAGCCACCACGCACACACATCACATACATTCATAACATACAGCCACCACGCGCACACATCACATACAGCCAGCACATACATTCATAACATACAGCCACAACACACACATCACATACATTCATAACATACAGCCACCACGCACACACACATCACATACAGCCAGCACACCACAAAAAATAATTTCAAAAAAGGTTTGTGCTGTAGTCTCATCTTTATTTCTTCCCTCGTCTTGACCATTTGCTCCTATCTCTTGTCAGTTTCCACTTTTTCTTTCCTGTATTTGTCAGCTTCCGTCCTGTAATGACCAGTAGGATGCAGTATTGGTAGCAGAGAAAGATAGATCTGTAGGCTTTTAAATTACACTTCAATCTGTATCGTGATGTTGTGGGAAATATATTAAACTATAATTAGATGGGTTTTCTTTATCTGTCGGGGGATGTCCATGGGATTTATTCTGAAGCAGGCTGGTGGAGATTTGTTGACTATAAATAGACATCTTTTCGAATTGATAAAGCTGAAATTTCTCATGTTTATAAATGAACGTCATCAAGCATGAAAACGTGGTTGGTTGTTGAGGTGTTTGTATGGTGGATAAACATTTTTAAGATAGAAGTAAGAAAGAGTTTAAGAAATTTCTGGACATCTGGAACATTCTGAGACTTCAGCACAAACCTTTTTTCTTTTTTTTTTTTTTTTTTATCCAACCCAAAAATCTGGAAATGGAAGACACAATGAAACTTATAACAGAGCAGGTATCAAACATGTCACTAACTGGGAAAATCCCAGTCTCATTCAGGTTCCCCAGTGCTGTTAAATCCTACTTTCACGTACTTTCCATGCTTTTTTTGCTAATTTTTATTCTTGGCCCCACCCAAACCCTTCTATCAGTGCACCTGTTTTTTCTGTCTCTACATCTGTATCACCTAGCCCAGAGATAGGCCACCTTCGGCACTCCAGATGTTTTGGACTACATCCCCTATAATGCTCTTACACCCGTAATGCTGGCAAAGCATCATGGGAGGTGTAGTCCAAAACAAATGGAGTGCCGAAGGTTGCCTATGCCTGGTCTAGCCAGACACACACTCCCCTTTTGTTCATTCTATTACCCATAGAGACACACTCACACACTGTGTTCTATGTGCTCCACACTAACTGAATTAGTTCATCTAAAGATTTTCACTATTCTAAAGAAATCCAACCTCCAAGATTTATTGATCGATTCCATACGTAATCTGTAAATTCGTATTGACATTTTCACGCTGTTACAATTTGATCTTCAGTTAAAAAAAAAATAAGTCCCAACTCCCATTCCACTTGTTTTGAGTGCGCAGGTGCAGTATTGGATAAAGGGATGTCCTCCGTGATTCACAACCTTTTTCAGGACCAAGAAACCTTAGTGAGAGTATCTTTTCCAAGGCACACCGACTTTTTGTTTTCATTATAATCAGCAGCTTTTAAATGTCACATTTACTTACATTCTTACTACACAGATTTGTATATTCTAGCTACATGTTCTTAAAAGTTTTATGAACGGGGAATTCCTATTCAAATACTGTTACTAAGAACACATTTAAATACCACACTCATCCTGTTGCAGCCCTGAAGTCACTGTGTTGGTGGGACAACTTGAAGTGGCTTAAGACACACCAGTAAGCCACAGCGCAGTTTGCCAACCACTGCTCTATGAGACCCCTAGAAACTCACCCACCACACAATTTCAGCACTCTCTGATCTGCAATCTATAGAAGAGATCTCTGGAGCTTAGCATTGTCAGAACTCATTTCTTACTTATTCTTCATTCCAAGCAACATGAAGGAGTCAGTCTGTAAAAGCCTGGCCAGGCCACATCTGTGGATTCTGCTGCTTTTAAGCACTTATGCTATTTATGTTCTCTCCCACCAATTTTTTCTTTTTTTTTCTTAATAAAAAAATCTTAATTCTCTTTGCATTGTCCTGCCACAGCATCTGAAATATACTTTTTATGGTAATCTCAAAGTTTTTCAACCATTTTTTATAATGGTGTTCCATATGTTTGTAAAACATTTAACTGGCTCCTTTTGTGTTCCTTTTTAATCATCCTTTCAATCACTTTTTTTTCACTTATCTTCTTTGTCCTTTTTCGATATTGGTCACTAGGTGGCAGTGCTGTAACATTTATTTTCAGTTTATTAACAGGATTTTATTGTTGTGTGGTTTTTTTTTTTTGGTTTTTTTTTAACAGTCTGGAGTTCAAAATACAGGCCAAAACAGACGATTTTAGAACAATTCTTCAAGTCAGTTCTGTGTACAATCTTGCTTTTTTTGGCCTTACATTTGAAATTCACTTTGCATTGACTGTAACTTCTCAGCAGTTAATAACCCTATAAATCTTAGTTTTTTTGTTTTTTTTCTAATAGATAAATAATAAAAATAAAAAAAAGAGGGTGAATATAAAAGTTCCATTATAAAACGGTGAAAACTATTCATCTTGCACATGCACGGAGATTATACAAATACCAGTAATTCTTAATCTCTTCCTTAAGAGCATCTGGGTTGTAGTTTGTGACTTAGCCAGTGCATATCCAACACTTGGGGACTAGATGGCATGTCGCTAACCCTTTGTATATTGCCATTAAAAAAATATATATATATCGGGCCCCTGTTCTGTTTCCCTCGGACGTGTGGCGATATACCTTTTGCCAATTCTGATCAGCACAGCTCACATGTAGCTTTTGCTGTAATAAATGATGTCAGTATGTAAAGTTAAGTAAGACCAAAAATAATAGCTAGTGAATAGATGTTCTGAGGAAAAAGGAGGGTTGACCCCAACATGGAATACTTAAATGAAGAAAAACTTGGATATTACATATCATGATAACACATAACCTTTATTAGTCATTAAAAGGAAGAGCCGTCAAATTTAGATTGGTACTAAAATAATGATCTAATTTTTTGTCCCATTTTCTTTAGCGTTGATATCTAGCTAGCTGACATTTAAGGTTAGATTGTATTCATTACAAGAAGTGAGCATAACTCATTTCACAGTCTATCCCTATCTGTTACAATTGGGATGAGGATTGGGGATATAGATTAGGTTACAGTGGGAGATATGTGACTGTTAGAATTATGTTTAAGATCCGGTTAAGAAACAGAAGACTCATGCTTGATATATCACTAACCCTAGGTGTAACTGTTAATGTAACCATAACAGCCCTAACCCTATTAACCAAGTGAATACTTCAACACTTTGCTGACCAGTCCTCTTCAGACGGGGTGAGTGCACATTGCCAAGTGATCAAACATGGCATTTGCACCAGATATGTGGAACGGCAGTCCACAATACAACGCATTCCGTAGCCAGCTTCAAATTAATGAAGCAATCACATACATGACCATTCATTTCAGAGATCATTCTTGCAGTTTCAGCAATCAAACTAACCACACAGAGGCAGTTTTTTTTTGTTTGTTTTTTTAAATCTGAGTAACTCAGAAGGAGATTATTATGTCTTGCTAATTTTCCCACTTTGTTCCATTCACAATTACTTTTGCACCAAGAACCACAGAACTACCTTTCTAATAGTTTGTGTGATGACATAATTACGAGGGTTGTGATTTGCTCACGTGGTCAAGGAGCGTGGCTCAAGCTGTAGAGCGATAGGTTAGAAAAGGCACATAGTTAAACTCATTTCACATCTTCTCTTGTGTTTTATACCCGCTATAGTTCACTGTTTGTATAAGGCTGCAGTTCTATTATTGTCTAAAACTTTTTTTTTTTTTGTCAGACTTTTTTCAAGGTGCGTCTTCTGAAATTACATACATCTGATCGTGCAAACAACGTGCTATATTTGTTGTTTGGTTTTTTTAGTTTTATTTTCAGTGTTTGGGGATTTCCAAGAAATCTTGAAAAAGCATGTTTGTCCAGTGTTAAGAACATTTTGTGAAAACAACAGCAGCCTTAATTATAATTCATTCTTTCTTTATTTTTCTAAAAACAAATTAGGCTTGTATATCATATGATTCATCAATTGAAAATTGTACAAATATGTCACGTGTAATTATACGGTTATAAAACTGCAGCACACACCAGCCTGGGTTTGACCGTTCTCTTTGGAATGCATTTTGTACGCAGCACATCAAAGGAACACTGAAACCGTAACCCCCCCTCCACTTTGCAAGTTAAAATAATAAAGTTAAACTCTTCTTTCATCCATTGCTGTCCCAGCCTCGCATCTTCCCCTTCTTCTGGGGTGATAGTTCCCAAATCTGATGCATATCCCTCCAAATTGCATAATCGGCAGTGAGGTATTGCCAAACCAGGAAGTGACTGGTGCTCATTTTTCTTTCTGTTGCATGGGCAATTTTGTCAAATATGCAGCAAATGCTTCTGGGAGTTGTACTTAATTTCCCAGCATTCTGCTGTGAAATTTGGAACTTGGCGCATAAAGGTTTAAAAATAAGCTTCCTTTTCTTTTGTTATTGGCCACATACATTAACTCACTAGGTAATGAGCTTTTCTGCTTCCCGTTCTGAGGCACTGGCTGCAACTCACACAATGATTGTAAAAGCAGAGTCTTTGTCTTTTCCTGGTTTATTGCTATTTTGGGCCATAGAACCTTGTATTGTGTACGGTGACATGAGTCTATATATAGAAGATGATAACCTCACATATTTGTAGTGCTACCAACGTCTGAAGCGAGTAAAAAATCCCCGGGACACTTTGTAGAAGAAAAATCAACCAAATTGTTTATTAGATCATTTTTCCTTCAAAAACATCAGACAAAGAACAAAAAGCATGCAAGTCCATGTTTTAGGTAGAATAATGTCTATATCCTACCATGCAAAGGATTATGGGATATGTAGTTTTAGAAATGATTTCATTTATGTAAAAATTTGACAATTTGCACAAAAAAATAAAAAAAGAATCTCATTATTGACATTAACAAAACCATAAATTGTAGGGGTTTTAAAACCAAATTCCCAAATTTAGACCAAAGTAGTAGAGCTGGAGACATTCTCACAAGTTTCTTCAATTTCACTATTTTATGAATAAGCTCGTATTAAGTTAAGAGAAAACCAAACAAGCAACATTGACGGCAGAAAATTAATTTCTTTGTGTTATGTGGTTATTAATGGCACTAACATCCTACAGTAGGGGAAAGAATAAACATCCTACGAGGGATTTTAGAATTCATGTAGAAACCATTCGGTCCATCTCGTCTGCCCAATTTTCTAAATACCTTCATTAGTCCCTGGCCTTATCTTATAGTTAGGATAGCCTTATGCCTAGCCCACGCATGCTTAAACTCCTTCATTGTGTAAACCTCTACCACTTCAGCTGGAAGGCTATTCCATGCATCCACTACCCTCTCAGTAAAGTAATACTTCCTGATATTATTTTTAAACCTTTGTCCCTCTAATTTAATACTTTTGTTGTGGTAGTTTTTCCTCTTTTCATTTCAAAGTAGTACATTTTGTTTGACTTTTAATGTTTTTATCTCTGTACAGTGGTGTCAGTAAAGTATATGATGACCAGTACATTTAGGTGACTTGAAACAAGAGGTAATGAGCAATCTGTTCAGACGAGCTTGCATTCATGTATTAACGCAGGACATTTTCCTATTGTATAAGAACTTTGTTTCCCTATTGGGAAACCCCTATATCCCCAGGCAACTGCTATTGCTGCATTCCATCTGAATCAAATGAACACTAGGAGGAACAGTCATCGTGCTTTTGTCTGTGGTTTCTTCTCTGTTGAGGGAATTTCCCAGATTGGATATTTATAGTCTTTCAGACTATGAATACAAAGGAAAACAACATTGACTTCTTACAATATGGTAATCGGCCACTGACTTCTCACATTTGTAAATTAGACTGTTCCCAGCTGGAGCTGGATGACACTCTCAAAACTGTGACCCCCACCCACAGTTATTCCCACCATAACCACTTCAGAAAGTCCCAGTCCGACATATAGCCTAGTACTGTGATGGACTAGAACAGGGGAAGGCAATATTCGGCACTGCAGGTATTGTGGACTATATCTCCCATTACGCTCTTACAGCCATTTTGGTGGCAGAGCATTAAGAGAGATTTAAAACCCCCCAAAAATCCACCACAATTGGGTTCTGGCAGACCGTTATTAAAAGTCCTACAGTGGTAGAAAGAGGATCCATGTACTCCAAGTATCTTTAAATGTGTTTATTGGGACAAGTGAGACACCGCAACGTTTCGACCCCTGAAAGGTTCTTTGTCGTGATTGCAGTGCAGTTTGTTTTTTCTCTTTTTGCAAAAAAATTAAAAGTCCTACACACAGGTACTCATTTGTGCAGGTCCCTCTGTACACCTACACACGGTTATTCACTTTGTAAGTGAACTAAAGATTAAAGGACAAAATGGCCAAACTTGAAACATTCTCCATGTCGACCATGTTTTTTAGTTTGACTGTTTGTCTAACATTTTAAATTCACAAAGACATAGGTACACAAACAGGCAAGGACTTACAAGAAAAGGATTGTGAGAGATCTCAGCAGAATGACATTAGGACGGACAAATACACAGATTGTTAGAGACAGACAGATTCTAATAAATTGTTTAAATTTACCAGACTGAGAGACGTGTACGTACCTAGGTAGACGACTGATGGTAAAAATGTGCTCACTGTGACAGATCATGTTTGGTACAATGCCACATGATCAATATACACAATTCTACTAAACCTGTATTGTTGTTTAGTCAATTTTTTCTCCTTTTGTCTCTTTGCTTTGGAATGCAGAAAATAAGGAAACGTAACATGAGGCTGTATATCCTGTTCGCCATAGACAGCAGATTGACTTATTGTTGTAGGGTTGTGATAGTCTCAAGCGTATCCTTTTTCTCCCTGAGGCTCAATAACATGCACTATACAAAAAAGAAATGTGGACTGGCTGCAAGGCTTGCTACACACCTCTCAACAGAGATGATGTACAGCTCTGCCTCCATGAATTTCTGGACCCAGTGATAGATTTAGATTGTTTTTTTTCTTCCCATAGCCAAGTAAAATGGATGTTGAGACACAGAGATCATGCCAGGAAGAAGCACAGGCGAGGGTGGCGAGCTATGACAGTCACTATGGTGTCCCTGACCTCATCTTGATGTGTCATTTTAATTTTACCACTTGTCACACAGTGATGACGCTTTACTGATGATACTAAAATATGTAACAGGGTTGACGTTCCAGGAGGGATAAGCCAAATGGAAAATAATTTAGGAAAGCTAGAAAAATGGTCAGAGTTGTGGAAGCTGACATTTTAATGTGGATAAGTGCAAGGTAATGCATCTTGGGGCGTAAAAACCAAAGGGCGGAGTACAGAATATTTGATAGAGTCCTAATCTCAACATCTGAGGAAAGGGATTTAGGGGTGATTATTTCTGACTTAAAGGTAGGCAGACAATGTAATAGAGCAGCAGGAAATGCTAGCAGAATGCTTGGTTGTATAGGGAGAGGTATTAGCAGTAGAAAGAGGGAAGTGCTCATGCCATTGTACAGAACACTGGTGAGACCTCACTTGGAGTATTGTACACAGTACTGGAGACCGTATCTTCAGAAGGATATTGATACCTTAGAGAGGGTTCAGAGAAGGGCTACTAAACTGGTTCATGGATTGCGGGATAAAACTTACCAGGAAAGGTTAAAGGATCTTAACATGTATAGCTTGGAGGAAAGACGAGACAGGGGGGATATGATAGAAACATTTAAATATATAAAGGGAATCAACACAGTAAAGGAGGAGACTATATTTAAAAGAAGAAAAACTACCACAACAAGAGGACATTAGTCTTAAATTAGAGGGGCAAAGGTTTAAAAATAATATCAGGAAGTATTACTTTACTGAGAGGGTAGTTGATGCATGGAATAGACTTCCAGCTGAAGTGGTAGAGGTTAACACAGTAAAGGAGTTTAAGCATGTGTGGGATAGGCATAAGGCTATCCTAACTATAAGATAAGGTATTTAGAAAATTGGGCAGACTAGATGGGCCGAATGGTTCTTATATGCCGTCACATTCTATGTTTCTAAGAAGCATTCTAGACTCCATAACAGGACCATTGTGTGCCTGATGGTCCTGGTCGCTTCTTACCTTCAGGCCGAGGTCAAAAGCTTCAATGAGGAAGCCTTGGACTGTGCGCAAGTGACACACTGGCTCTACACAGAAATCTGAGCTTTTGTGCCAGGGTCTAGTTGTACATAGGCAGCCCTTAGCTCTGTTCTGGATGGCCTAATGTGAGTCCATTGAAGAAATTATGTCCATCGACACGCACTGCGTGCCGTCAATGGACACAATTGTTTGTTCATCTGTTTGATTTTCCCCTCTGTTTGTCCACCCTCTTATGTCCACCACACACTCTCTCCCTCTTCTGCGGGGCTCAAAGCTGTGAGGTGAGTGAGAAATATCAATGCTGGCTGCTAGTCGTTGCTTTGGGGTCATCTATGGAATTGAGAGGTAGATGGGCTTTAGTGGTGAGATGAGTGAATTGGGTTACAATGTGGTGATTAGAAAATATGTAAGTGTTCTACTTTGTGTGGGATTTGCATGGAGGAATAACAGATTTTATAAGTGGTACCGAATCCACATCCTCTTTTGGCTGAAATTATCAACTCCCAACCATATTTGCCTTTAATAAACATAGCAATTGCAAATTTGGTTAAAATTCTGTTATTTTAGCCAAATCGTGCTACTTTGGAAAGTTTCTGTACTGAATAATGTCCAATCAAGTATCACAAAAATGTTGCATTTTGGCATTATAATGTGATGCACACTCACATGAAGAATACACATTATTTTCCAAAACATGCAAGGAGGTTTATACACCAAACATTGAATTTCAGCAAATTAAAACCAAAACTGCAACATTTAGGCTAAAAGATACTTTTTTTTAGGATTCCACAATGAACAAACACCCTGTTCCAGTATAAACATCCACATTCTTTAGCTACCCTTTCCTATTCTAAGCGGAAATTATTAGATGTGCAGTTTTTTTCGACATAAATCGCTCTGTGTGTGAATCAGAGAACTTACAGGAATACAAACATTTGATTCTGCTTGTGAAAGATGTTCATTTTGTGACAGGATACATTTCCAGTACTGAGCACGTTCATATGTTGCTTACTAAATATAACCAGTCTATAACAAATGTTGCTAAGTGCAATTTTACTTTTGTTTATTTCCGTGATATACACTCATACACACTACACATTACTAAGATTTCTTATACCCTCATACACCACACACTAGGAATTACATTGATGTGGCGTTTGGAAATACACACTTGTATGCAACACTATGCTGGGATTTTTTTGCTGTAGCACTCAGGAATTATCCCGTACATACTATGCACTGATCAGCTGCCTAATATCATGTATGTCCCCCTTGTGATGTCAAAACAGCTCTGATGCTTTGAGACATGGACTGCACAAGATCTCTGAACTTGTCCTATGCTATCTGGCACAAAGACATTAGCAGCAGATCCTCCCTGCAAGTTGGGGTGGGCCTCCATTGATCATATCCCTCAGATGCTCGATCAGGTTGAGATCTGGAACTCTTTGTCATGTTCCTTAAACCGTTCCTGAACAATTTTGCAGTGTATTAAATATAGATGTAGTCTCTTGAAACGTAAGAGACCAATGGAGTTCGCGTAGTTAGAACCAAAGTAGGGATAACCTAAATTAGAAGTAACCAAAACATTAGAAACATTGCTAAAACCACCCCAAAATGGGAGCAAGAGATGAGGAGTTCCTACTTAAATTAACATTAAAATGTAACTTTATTAAATTGGTAGAAATACATAAACAAGAGAAAACTAAATAGTTCTTAGGTGTAGATGGGTAACATGAATTTTCTCGGTGTAACTAAACCTCATACGTATTAAATATATATAAAAATGGCCATTACAGTAAAATGAAAATGTGCCTCTCAAGTCTTTAAATGGGACTCGGAGGAGCATTGTTGGGGGCTGGGCGTGCCCATTAGGTACATCCACAGATGTTTTAGAACTACAGGTTCCATTCAGGCTTTGTCATTCTAAAACCATTCTAGAGGTATGCAAAGCACCATGGGATTTGAAGCTCTACAGCACCTTTTGGTCACCCCTGAGTTAGACAATATGTCCCTAATAAGATGATAACATTTGCTAACTTTTAGACCAAGTACCAAATAGTACCCTGCACTAATATGCACTAATTAAGAGGAATGTGTCTAAATATAGCTTTGTTAAAGGAACACAATAGTCTCCTAAATTACTTTAGCTAAATAAAGCAGTTTTAGTGTATAGATCATTCCCCTGCAATTTCACTGCTCAATTCACTGTCATTTAGGAGTTAAATCACTTTGTTTCTGTTTATGCAGCCCTAGCCACACCTCCCCTGGCTATGATTGACAGAGCCTGCATTAAAAAAAAAAAAAAACTGGTTTCACTTTCAAACAGATGTAATTTACCTTAAATAATTGTATCTCAATCTCTAAATTGAACTTTAATCACATACAGGAGGCTCTTGCAGGGTCTAGCAAGCTATTAACATAGCAGGGGATAAGAAAATCTTAATTAAACAGAACTTGCAATAAAGAAAGCCTAAATAGGGCTCTCTTTACAGGAAGTGTTTATGGAAGGCTGTGCAAGTCACATGCAGGGAGGTGTGACTAGGGTTCATAAACAAAGGGATTTAACTCCTAAATGGCAGAGGATTGAGCAGTGAGGCTGCAGGGGCAAGTTCTATACACCAAAACTGCTTCATTAAGCTAAAGTTGTTCAGGTGACTATATAGTGTCCCTTTAATAACAAGAAAAAATATATATCTTGGTCTAACAACCATAGAGAAAGCTGTATTTAGGTAATATATTGTCCTAATGTCTATATTTCCCCAGAAGTCTGAATTCTAGATACTGTCACTAATTTCTAATGAAAATCCAAGCTATTTAAAACTACCAGGAATAGTCAGCCATAGCACAAGTTCAACTGTATACATAAATCAATGTGTTATGATTGTAACCAAGGTAAGTGACAAATAGGGAGTTACACCACTTGCTATCCAATGTAGCAAGAGCAGTCATAACGTAATAAGCACATGAGTCAATTAGGAGTGTAATGTACTAAGCACTGGATTCCATTCCAAGTAAAATATATTCCAAGATAGTACTTGGAAAAAAATCCACAAAACTCTAAGGACATAAATAGTAACTATCATGACAATTGGCTTTTGTTTGGCAAACCGAATAATTAGCAAAGGAGGAGGCCCATCCCAAAAAGTGAGACAGGTAAAATGCTCTTTGTAGAGGATCCCAAAATAACTGACCCGAAACTCAAGGTCCCAAATCAGCAAGGATTGAAATTAGGTTAGACGGTTAGTATTCCTCCACTCTCTCTTAAAATTCTCCCACCATCATCTGAATAGGTCCCTTCCAACACCCATGTAAAAATAAAGTATTCATAAATAATCAGTGGTGAAACAGAAATAAAATCAATAGAAGCAAGTTGCCCTGTGCAGGCTGTATTAATGTGCTGAAACCTCATTCCATGGTCCAGTTCTGACACTCCTGTCCCAATCGAAGGTGCTTTTTAACAGTGCACCTTCATGGGCACCCTAACCGGTCTAGGGTTGCACAGCCCCAAACGCAGCAAGCTGTGATGCACTGTGGGTTCTAATGCCTTACTGTCATGGCTAGCATGACGTTTTGAGCTAGCTGTCCTGTGTGATCGGACCAGACTGGTTAGCTTTTGCTCCCCATGTGCATTAATGAGCCAGTTCACAGGTTGTCCTTCCTTGCACCACTTTTGGTAGGTACTAACCACTGTATGCCGGGAACAACCCTCAAGACTTGCTGTTTTGGAAATGCTCTGAAGTCATCTAGCCATCTCTATTTGGACATTGTCAAAGTCGTTCAAATCTTTTCGCTTGCCCATCTTTCCTGCTTCTAACACATGAAATTCAAGAACTGACTGTTCACTTGTTGCCTAATATATCCCACCCCTTAAAAGAGGCCATTGTCACGATATAATCAATGTTGTTCACTTCACATGTCAGTGGTTTTAATGTTATGGCTGGTCATTGTATTTTATAAGCCAGATCTCTGTGATACATTTTTATGCACACATTATAAATATACGTTATATTCCGTTTTATTGCCAAGGACCTCTGTTATTCCATCATAACAGAACCCACACATTAATGTGCGTTCCATTGTTATGGAGCTGCGTGATGAACTACTTCACATTTTAAATTATTGTGAATTTCACTGTTAGGGAGCTCTGCTACTCACTCATACACACCATATCTGTTTTTTTTGTTAGAGAGCTCTGTCATACATTCACAAACCCTCTACATTACAGTGGTAATATTGCTGTGGAATTCTGGGGTACATTACTGTAGAGTCCTGAATTATTCTATTCTACAACACACATTACTGTGAAATACCTTGTTGTGGAGTTCTGTTATATACATTGCATGTTTTATTGTTGTGGAGCTCTGTCATATATACACACTGTTTATGACTGAGTTTTTGTGCTCTAGAGGTTCATGAAACACTTGTATAAACTGCTCATTTCTGTGAGTTGTACTATTGTGGAACTGTCTGATCTAAAGGAATAGATTTGTATTCCTAGCGTTATAGTGTCCCTGTCTCTAGTTAAGTACATGTGTGTGTTTCCCCACCTTGTTATAAAAATAAATAAAATTAAAGGATTTACTTATCGGTTTCCCCACCTCCTGCAACATCATGGAGGAGGCGTGACCTTCTCCAGGGATGGTCAAATCCAGTGCTCCTGATAGAGAATTGAGGATCTGATGCAAAACATGATGAATGCCGTTCACGCATTCAAGCTTCCCCAAATGAAAACATTGTATTCAATGCTTTCCTATGAGCTTCCACGTCATGCAACAGTTCTACTAGACAGCCGTTCGAGGTGGATTTAATCCTGCAATGTAAGCATTGCAATTTTTAAAACTACGTTTTACATTGCCGGGTTAAAAGGACAGAAATACTGCACCCAGAACACTTCTCTGAGATGAAGTAGTCTTGGTGACTTTCGTGTCCCTTAATCATACACTCCACACAAGGAATGCAGACAGGTGATTTTGTAAGAACAAAAGTATTCGTGTTTATTTTGGTGGATACTAAAAGAGGGGAGGCGAAACCTGCTGGTATTCAGAAGAAATCAGTTCATTATTGTGACACAGATTTCAAATTCCCCTGAACTACCACATTCCAGTTTATTTTGGTGAATACCGAAAGAGGGGGGGTGACTTCTGCTGGCATCCAGAGGGGATACATTTATTATGGTTTCACAGACCACAAAGTCCCCTGAACTACCACATCTAATCTTTATAGAGATCTAAACTGAAAGGCTCATCCTATTTGGATTTCCCCTATGTACTGTGTGTCCTTTTAAAAAAAATACAATATCGAACCACTCTATTCTCCTTGCCTCATCAATTTTAGCAGTGTTAGAAATGTATCAAACTGCAGACCTGAGCTATCGTGACCTCAAAATTCAGATTACCTTGGCCCGCGTTGTATAACTAGTCCTAAATTACATGTCTTGCGTAGTCCAGGAAAGATGCTTTTGTGTACTTCACGCGCGGCTTTAAAACCAGACCAGCGCTAGCCTGTTTGACTTTATTTTGCTGTCAGACTGACGTGAGCGCAAGGTTTTTTTCTTGGCAATCAACACTGCCTTTGAATTTAAATTGATTACGGTTAAAACTTGTCAAAAATACATAACTCTTGGATGGCCGACAAGTAGGTCCCCTAAATATAGTCGTTACATAGTTAACATAGCTGAAAAAAGACTTGCGTCCATCAAGTTCAGCCTTCCTCACATATGTTTTTGCTGTTGATCAAAAGAAGGCAAAATACCCAGTCTGAAGCGCTTCCAATTTTGCAACAAACTAGGAAAATATTCCTTCTTGACAAAATAGCAGTCAGATGTCTGCTTGGATTAAGCAGCTATTACCCCACTAATTAGAAATTATATCCCTGTATGTTATGTTTTTGGAAGTATTTATCCAATTGCTGTTTAAACAGCTGTATGTACTCTGATAAAACCACCTCTTCAATCTAAAACCTCCATGATGCTTTGCCAGTCTCTGGGCTGCAGGCACTCATCTTATCCATGCGTCTCGCAAAGCTTACTATAGTACTGTACTGGACACTAGTAGTGATGCTATCATTTCAGATGGTGAACTAGAGCCAGGCAGTCTATCTATTTTACAGATTTTATATAGCCACTCTCTGACCAGTAACATTGGGGAGGGGGTACAAGGGCACTCCTGGCACCATAACTTCTTCAAAGGTCTGTAGTAGTTATGATGCTCAGAATGGTCCTTTAAGATTGAATGCTACGGATAATACTACTTTGTTAATGTACTGAAATTACTGCTTCGATTTCTGCTCACCATTCTATCGCTCTGGTTATACGTTATTCTTTTAAAAGGTGTATGCTGCACTGTCATTACTTGATTATTAAAGGTTTTCAAGGAAGTGATGATAAATTACAAGGTCTGACTGTGTAAGGTACCTTTTTAGTACAACCTAGGTTGCATTTGGTGCATTGAATCATGTATACCACATTGCTGGATGTGCAGGAGTATGATCCTTTCATGCTGTAGGTTTTATTGTTGTGTGTGTCTGTGCATATGTGCTGACGCAGTTTGAATCCAGATTTTTTGCATTGACTGGTCCCGTTTTCTTTATTCTTCCCATCAGTGGGTAGCTTCCTGTTGATTCATTTTTGTTGGAGGTTTGGTGGTTGTCTGAAGGCCAAAATGGATGTTTCAGAGAAAATGTTTTTCTCAATCTCATCTTCTGTTAACATTGGTTGTAGGTCTTTGATGATTTTCAGTATTTCCTCAAGAGCTGGGTTGTAGGTGACCACAAGTGGCACTCGTGTAGATATTTTTTTCTCTCTGTACTGAAGCAGGCGCGTGCGTGGAGTTTTTACAGCAGAGTTGATTTGTTTGGTAATAGTTTTTGGTTTGTAGCCTTTCTGTCTCCTAGATTGGGAGAGTATATTTAGATGGGAATTATAGTCATTAGGGTCAGAGCATATGCGATGGTACCTAGTGGCTTGGCTGTAGATGATGCTCTGTTTAGTATGGGAGGGGTGGAAGCTGGAGCTGTGACTGGAGCGGTCTGTGAGTTTTCTGTAAACCGAGGTGTGGATTGTGCCATTTTTACATGTCTCAGTGTTTGCAAGAATGTTGTCTATTTTCTATAAAGCCTGTGTCTTATCTGCACTCCTGTTGTTTTAACCCCTGTATCACAACTCAACTTTGAATTCAATGTGTCGTCTTGCTCAGAAATGCTTCAGACTTGAGAAAGGGAGGTTCTCCTGAAAGCTTTTCATTAAAAAATTCTGTCAAATAAAAAAGGTATTACAGGATACACATTTTATCTGTTTTTTACATCTACATTACTGGCTGCAATATATATAAATATATATATATATATATAATTTTTTTCTATTATTTTAGTTTTTCTTCATTTACTGCAGTGAAGTGGAGGGATTTGAATATAATTTATTTTCCTAAAGCTACAGGCTTCCTTTAAAGCTGGATCTGCACACTTTGCCCTGTTGTTGTTGTTATTATTTACAAACCACCAACATATTTTGTAAGATTGTACAATAGGTGGGCTGCCATACAAAAAAAAAGCACAAAAAACAAGTTGGATCAGCAGGAATAGGAGGTAGTGACGGCCTTGCGTAAATGAGCTTACACCCTACATGGATATAGCACTATCAGTTCTTTGCCTTTACAGAAGACATTGTCTTATAAGGTGGTCATGTTTTGCAAGAACTGTTTTATTATCATGGTTGCTGGGCAGCCTGGGAATTTCTGGAGAGTGAAACACACTGGGTTTTAGTTCCTTATCTGCTCACACCCAGCTGTACAAAGTGCACACCTTTCCACACAGGGGATTCCCCAAGCATTCTTCCCGAGAGTGAAAGAGAAGTGTGTTTTATCAAACACATTTTACCTGTGTAGCAAAGTGCAATCTACATCTAGATGGCTAGATCCATTCTCGTGTGCAAGTCTTTTATCATCTCTGACAAACCTTTAGAACTGTTGCTCCCCTTAGCCTGTATTCACTGTCACGAAGGCTTTTTTGTGCATGAACGGTAATGTAGTCCACAGCTGCTAGATTGCTAAAGCTTAGCCATCACCGCTGTGTGGGTACTGTTTCCTATGTGGTCAGCACTTACGGAAATAGTTCTTACTTTATAAATATATGGTGCTTTTAATATTTTGCTTTTCAATTAATTTTTGCTTTCTGGGTACTTTCCAGGTGATGTATGGTGGTAACTGATCTAAACCTGTACAAACTGTCACATTTTAAACAACATTCATTTTGACCAGTGATTATGCAGTGGATTATGATCAAATTTTCTACATTTTATGAATGTGGGCATCATTTTCAAAAGTTACCCAGGAACAGCTTTTAAAGGGGCACTTTTACCCCCCAAACCGTTACATCTTAAAGGTACCTTATACTGCTCAATACAATAAGAAAATAACAGTTTAGTAGATATTCTATCAATGAAAACATGCATGTAAAATCACTGTTTAGATCCGCAGCCCCCATTGCCTCCCTTTGAAAAGGTATTTTACACACCTTTTTTCCAGTGCCGCACAGATCTCACCACAGCTGTCCCGGGCTTTGTTCCGCCTCAAATTTGACAATCTCAGCCAATATAGTTGCTTTCCCATAAGAAAGCATTGGGAGGCAATCGTGCATGCACGACAAAACTCATAGAGATGCATTGAATCAGTGCTTCTTTATCGGGAATGTTCCGCGGATCCATGCAGTGTGGGGAGATGTTGAACACCAGTGCTGCTCACTCTACTACTGACTGCCACTAGAAGTGTTACTAGGCAATAATGTAAACACTGCCTTTTCTCTGAAAAGGCATTGTTTACGTAAAAAATCCTGCAGGGGCAGGCTGCATACAACAGAACCACTACATTAAGCTGTTCTGTTTCTGGTGACTATAGTGTCCCTTTAAAATTGTTTTATTTCAGCATAGTTTTGGAAGCAATTTTAATTTGCACTTCCTGTCTAATGGACAGTGAAGCCGGAGTGCAGGTTTATATGGTGACAATGATACCATCTTACATCCAGGATCGGATGTTTGCTTTTGCCGCTGGTGACTGATATTGAATGCATACTGTTGCCAGGTTTAAATATCCAATAACTCCAGAGCCTACAAGTAGCTCTCCAGCTGTTGATCAACTAAATATCCCGGGATCTCGAACTTACATTTGTTTGTTACTGTCACAAAGTGTACTTAGCCCTTCTCACGCTGTACATTAGGTAGCAAAGAGATAGTAAAGTGTATGCAATAATTCAAATGGCCAGGATTAACAAAACGCCTTTTAGGAAGACAAAAGAGAATGCAGTAAGACATTCTGTTGGAAACTGTAAGGCAAGCAGAATTCAGGATTCCGACAAAGATATCTATAAAACCAGACCAAGGACCACAGCAAAGGTCAAACCATAGTAAATGTAATGTTTTATAGGGATGGGTCATTGAGCTGCAGAGAATAAAAATAGTGGGCCAACACGCTCATGAAATTTTGTTGTGTGATTTACTTGAAAGTGTTGCATGCTGTGGGTGTTATTGCACCGAGATTTTAAATGGGTTCTCACACACGTTTGTATGTATTGCATGTATGTATGTATGAATTGCTGTTTATTTCTATGAATTTTCCAGGATAGGTGCTTAGACACAAAGGATCTCATGATAGCATTAATCAGATTCCCAGGGTCATCCTTTTCTACAGGCTAGTTTTATTTTGTTTGTTTTTTGTGTGTGTGTGTCTGTCTTTGTCTTTTCAAAAAAGGAACATTTTCCTCTCTTGGCAATCTTTCCAAAATGACCAAATTCAGAAACCACCTTGTGACTCCTGTGTTTTCGTGGCATATCTGCACGTATCCTTTCTGAGCTCAAAATCCAACTATCCTACAATTGGAAATTCCCCAATTCTCCTGATGCTCCAGTAAATCTTAATCATATTAAATATTATTTTTTGATTGAGGAAGTGACTCAATCTTTGAAAACAAAAAAAAACACATTATATTAAAATGTAGATTACTTGGTTACCCCACGGAACTTGAATTGGTTTTCAGGTTGTCTTTAGCATGGACATTCTTTCAGTCAACGTCAATTTCTCGAACACAGTTAACTGCAAATACGTTTTATCTTCTGTCTTGTTATACATTATCTGTGGCAGTAGGTATCGTAGTTACTGCAACCAGTACTAGCTGCATGCAAAAATGACCAACGTGTTAAATACATGTCTATATCAGCAGTAGGGATCAATCTCGCCTTTGCGTCTCATGTGATGCTGTCAAGTTTAACCAGAACTACTAACAAATAAAATAATGTGTCAAGACAGCCTGGCATTTAATAATTGTAAATTAAAGAATTAAAAATAAAAAAACATCTCTAATGGCACATTTCTCTCCCGTTCTCATTATTCTCCTCCCCATCTTCAAAACGTTTTCTGTCCATTGTATATTTAAATCAAAGTGGGTACGTCAGAGTCCCGCTTACCGAGGGATCACTTGTTGCTCGTGCCACCTCCCAAGACCGTTACTGTCATCATCCATGCCTACAGCAACATTTTTATAACTGTGAGGAGTAATTCAATGTTTATTATCAGATCTTTAGTTTAAACCGATTTGATATACTTGTCTTCACTTATTTCTGTTTCTGTTCTAAATGAAGATGGTCACAAAATAGAAAAAGAAAGACGTAACAGTGGTACATTAAAGGCTCATTTCCTGCTGGTATCATAATGCATGTGAATTCTGCGTGACACATATAGTTTGCAAGTGCATTCTATGGGTGACATACCTTAGGCACATTCTTTAAAAGCTGTGTGTCTGTGTGAACATAGGTGAATTCGGTTCAGGCTTAGTCATATCGACTTACCTACCTGTGTACATTTCGGAATTCCCCTTTGGTGTGGTCCAGCTAAAACCACATAATGTAAGTACGCCTCCAGCCATAATCCAGTAACGCAGAACATGACACTGGGATATGCCAACGTAGCTCTATAAACCTATAGCATGAGACCATGTATCTGGACATAAACACCGACATAACGTGGAAATTCCCAATTATCCTATCTCCCAGCATTTCAAATGGCCAGTCAGGGGCTTTTTATTTTTTCGGAGGAGGAGGATTTGGCCTGGGTCAGGGAATTTGATCTATTTTAGTAATTTATATAATAACATAAACGCCAAGCATGTTGGTGCAACTGATTAGCCTAAAGCAGGCACCTCAAACTGTGCATCCAACCCCCCTCCAGATATTGCTAAGCTGCAACTCACATTAACTTCTGGCTGTCTATTTCATTCACAGAATTCTGAGAGCTGCCATCAACATATAAGTAGGGAATGTGTAAAGAGAAATTTAAAGGGACACTCCAGACCCCGAAAGCACTTTAGCTTGCAGAAAAGCTTTATGTGTGAAGAGTGTGTTCTCATTCTTTCATTTTGCAAAAAGTTCAGATTTCAGTCGAAATTGGCACTTTCATAACTTCAAATGGTTACACCCCCCTCCACCGCCCTGATTTGAAGCACACGGCAGGTTCAGTTACTTCCTGGTTTGGTTAGCTCACTGGAACGAAACTCAATAGCTCAGAGCACTTGCCTTGAAAAGACTTGACCTGCATTGGGAAATTTGTGATTGGACAGCAACAGAAAGTCTGGGCAGGGTTAGAGGGGGAGGGTGGGGGAGCTTTCAAAGGCTGCAGACTAGAGAACTGCAGCTTTTGCAAGCTGTTTATAGATATACCCTCCAATGAAAAAAAAAAACACTATTAAATGCATGCAAGTTTTCATCTGGGGTGTATCTACTAAACAGTGATTTATATTTAGACGGTAGTGTTCCTTTAATCCGAAGAAGGGAGATTGAACTGGATGGTATAAACTGGGCTGAGGGATTAGAAGTGGTTGGAAGGCCATGTAGGTTTAGGAGTCAGACACAGAGATTTGACGTGAATAAAGTAGTCTGAAATGGTCAGTGGTTATGGTGCAATGGATACTTGTAGTGTCCCTTTAATAATAAGCAAGCAGTGCACTTTAAGCAGACTTTTTATATGTACTTCCCAAAAGTGCATTCTGCATTACAGTAGAAAATCGCTCACAGTTTTGAAACTGAAAGTAGTCAAAGTTTCTGTTACAATGTTATCAGTCATTTTAAAAATGTGCAGAATTCCCCTTCATTTAATCTGTTTCTTTTTCCAGGAGCTGCAGGATTTTCAACATTTTGTGCATTCCCGACCTCCATATGATATTGTAGTTGACGGACTGAATGTGGCACATATGTCCACTAATGGCATACGCTCCCAAAATGTGAGTTATTAACTTTTTCCAGCTACTAAATAGGCTAGCGTTTACCTATATTATATAAACAATTTCACATTGTCTATTAGTAATGGATGCCAGAGTTGGGATCCCCCACCATGTACATATCTTGCTCACAAAAGCTAGAGGTTATTATCCGTTCCTCTCTGATGAGGACTGTGAGATGTCGTACTGTTTCTTATGTTGAGAGAACCTGTCTGGTATTTCAGATGGTATCAGTCTGACGTGCCACTGTAAGAATTCCCACTGTATTAAGCTTTTCTGTTTTCTTCAACTGCAGTTCCCATCATTCTCTCGCCAGGAATGATGCGAGTTACAGGCCACGGCATCTTACATTAACTGTAAACATGCAGACTGGATTTGGGTAACAGACATGCTCTTCTCAATGGCACTGCCATTTTGACTGTGCCATTCTTAAAAATGTACCTTTTTTTTTTATAATTATTATGTGCAGTCACGAATATGCATGCAAATCTCAAAAGAAGCACCGACCGCACGCTTTGGAAGTGATCTAAATATCCAATCAAAATAGGTTGTACAACAAAACATGCACACAATATATAATATATGCTTGTACGCGGTGCATTGCTAATGTTGAAAAGTGAAGTTAGCACCCATGGAGTCAGACGATTAGTAATGTAACACCGACTTTGACAACAAATGGGAATATGGAAGATGAAAAGGGAAAATAAGTGGCAAGAATCGAAATTGGTATTCTGACGTTTTAATATAAGAAAGCTCAGTAGAAGGCCTCGTCATGTAGCGTCCTTTAATGTGTGCTGACCTTTGAAATCTGGAATATTGTCCTCTGCAGCTATAATGCATCCAGTGATCGCCTTTATGTCCTTTTTTAGGAATGCTATATCTACAGTAAAGAGGTTACCAGATTGCCAGCATTATTGGCAGTAGGTCCCTCTACTTGGATGGCATATTTGGCTGGAAAGGTGGTAGTTTCACCCGCCGAGGATTTAGAAAGCTCCTCCGTAGCTCCAGCCACTGTGGGAGGAGATATGTGAGGTTGGCTCTTGTTAGGAAAAAGTTAATGAGCACGAAAAATCCAGAAATATAATAATAAATTTGATTACCTCACTGGTGATAAGGTTCTAACTGCTTGGATCTAATCAAGCAAAAAACTTTATTTAGAATAGGAAAGAAAAAGGCTGCCAGACTCGCCACAAATAGATCAGGCAACCAAATTTAAAGGACAACTATCATCTTAAAACTTTTTATTTATTTATTTATTTTTTAAATACAATCCTGTAATTGAGTTTTGAAAGGAAATAGATGGGGGGTTTTTTTGTTTTTGTTTTTTAAATTAAGTGTATGTAAAAAATGATAAAATGCAAAAACTAGGATCCTTCAGCCAAATACATGCACCTTGGGGCAGACAGTGTTTGACAACCAACAGTTAGTCTCTATGGTCTTCACTGTTTCTGTGCAGTGAGAGAAGCAAGAAAGACCATAAAGACTAAGTGTCGTTTTTCGAACACTGTCTGATCGAAGGTGCATGTAGGTGGCTGATGATCCTGTCATATACTAAAGGCAGAGATGAGCCTTTCTCATTTTCTTAAAAATTTTTTTACATATATTTTATTTTTAAAAATCATAGGAAACTGGGGGCGGGGCCTGATAGCCAAGATGGCCGGACGTGATTTTTGAAAGCTCCAGCACCAGCCGACACAATCCCACTAATCCTGTCCAAACAACAGAAGCCAAAAACTTAAGGAGCTTGGAAGGTGACATAGGACCTAGCAGGGAACCGAATGAAACCTGTCCCACGCTGATCCGCACTACGAGAGCCTGAACCGGCCATGCGGTCTAAAACGAAGCGGAGCCTGGAGCATGGCGGAGGCAGCCAATCACCCGGCAAGGGACCAGTTCACAAACGAGAAGCACACAATGCCCTGCTGCCCCTCCCCCGGACCGGCGGAGGTTATCCCAGTCCTCACTGGGGACGATCACCCCCAAACAAGCGACAAAGACCACAGACAGGCAGAAATGCCAGGGCCTAACCAATATGGCGGCTGGGATGCGGCCCGCAAAGGGGAGGACCCACATCAAGCCACCAACACATACTCTAGAGTTCTTTGACCGGCTTGGCGCAAGCCTCTGGACAGAACTCCATTCCAAAGGCCGGATATTTAAGCTAGCGTTGAAACGAGCAGCGTCATGGATTCGCCCTATAATCCGACGCCAACTATGCAGACACCCACCCACAGTTTCCAGGGGGGTCTCCCGACGGAGGAGAAATAGAGAACCCGGTTGGCAGACAAAATTGATATACCCCCCCCCCCAGGCACCAGCTCCCGTTCGAGCACACACCAATGGGGTACCACCCACCTCGCCGGACCCGCTCACTGCCCTACAGCTTCTGAAACCACCGACCATCAGGCGGAACTCGCCACCTCCCAGGCTCACGCTCGGGAAGGTGGGAGCAATCGGAGCAGCGAACACCCCACATGGCCTTTGGAAAGGACCCGACGACAGGGAACAGAAAAAGTCACTGCCCACCACGTTAACCGGGAGGCTACCGAAACTCACCCCCCAAACGACACACAGAGAATCAGCAGGGGCACTGGGACTGTACCCACAATGGGCTCACGCCCCCTGGCCCGAGCAGCACCCACACAACTCCAACGGCCCCACAGAGCGGGCGTCGGCTGATTACAGACCACCCTGGGTACTAAGACCTACGTACCCCATATGAGCAAGGGGGAAGGTTTCCTGTGCTGCCAATCCGCTGATTTTTACCGACCTGCCGTCTCCTGCTTCACACCTCACAGGGACGACGGTCGCCATCACCTGCACGGCTGTTGTGCATAGCCCTGGACTGCCGAGGACTCTTTCTCATGCAGATAAGCAAAGCTACCAGGGATTCTTATGTTAAATTTATGTTACAATATGTTTTAAGATGTTTAAACCCTGGTTACTGTATTACAACATTACCTAACAAGCGTTGACTTTGGTGAAAGCTTGAAAGTTAGTCATGGTCAATGTTAAGTTTAATATTTCAGCTGCGATAACTAACAGAAATGAATACGCTAAGTATACGCCTCAATAATCTTAACCTTTTCTAGCAAATCTGTCTCCGTGCTCATGCACACTAAGCGAGGTCTCTATCATTACCTGTAATATGCCTGTCTCTACAGCATGAGCCCAGTTTGCTAGCATATACAGCAAAATCGTACCTCTTACATGGAAATAATCTATCCAGTTCTAGCATGCTACTAATTACCACAGTTAACGCATGAACCAAACATGTTTGCATAACATATATACCTACATGTGAATCGATACTTTAATGCTATGTTTCTTAAAGGGACACTGTAGTCACCTGAACAACTTTAGCTTAATGAAGCAGTTTTGGTGTATAGAACATGCCCCTGCAGCCTCACTGCTCAATCCTCTGCCATTTAGGAGTTAAATCCCTTTGTTTATGAACCCTAGTCACACCTCCCTGCATGTGACTTGCACAGCCTTCCATAAACACTTCCTGTAAAGAGAGCCCTATTTAGGCTTTCTTTATTGCAAGTTCTGTGTAATTAAGATTTTCTTATCCCCTGCTATGTTAATAGCTTGCTAGACCCTGCAAGAGCCTCCTGTATGTGATTAAAGTTCAATTTAGAGATTGAGATACAATTATTTAAGGTAAATTACATCTGTTTGAAAGTGAAACCAGTTTTTTTTTTCAATGCAGGCTCTGTCAATCATAGCCAGGGGAGGTGTGGCTAGGGCTGCATAAACAGAAACAAAGTGATTTAACTCCTAAATGGCAGTGAATTGAGCAGTGAAATTGCAGGGGAATGATCTATACACTAAAACTGCTTTATTTAGCTAAAGTAATTTAGGTGACTATAGTGTTCCTTTAAGCCTGATAAAATAAAAAATTGTGCCAGTTAAGAATACACCCCGCAAGCTCGCGTGGGAAAAGCCTGAGGATTGCCGTGCACTACAAAAATAAAGAATAATAAAAAATAAAAAAATTATAGTAAACTGCTTTAAAAAAATGAAAAAAATATCTAAATAAAGAAATCTACAAAAAACATTTCTGTTAAAGTTGCTTAAATTGTACCACTTGCACAGGTAAACACCTCCCTGGGTACGAAGGGAATCCACCAATCAGGAGCCTCTTGTTCTGGTTTAGTGGGCTGGACCGATCTTAATGACACCGGAGTGTAGCCTTATAGTTTTGGCGACTTTTGCAATTCACTGCACTTTTAAGCCACTCCAAACATTAAATACAAGTAACTCTCTGCACCATAGTCTGTGCAATAGTGCAGAGTTGTTATAGTGCTTAGAGTGACCCTTTAACTGAAATCTACATTAATGCTTTATTAGTTTTGGTTTTTTTTATGTAAAATGACAACTTTAAAACAGTGGACTTCATGTTATGAAACTACCTCTAACCCTCCTTCTTTTCTTACTTAGAATTTAAATAATATAAAAAAAGGAAAGGTCATTTTTTGTTGGCAATAGGTCTTTTAACTCTCTGAATGCCAGCTGGGTTACTAATGCAAGCTTTTGCTACATAGCACATTCTTCAGTTCCTTACGTGAGATTTTGATTTACTAGCACAGAGGTTTTAATGTTTACAGTTTTGGAAAATAGGTTTGTGTATATAATACAATTTGGTGTCCAAGTACCATAACAACTACTGTAGTGGCTATTGCATCAGGACTCCCATGGTTCCACCCATGTAAGTAGTCAAGCTATTTGCAAACGGTTTGACAACCTGCCTGGGGTCAGCTGCCATTGAGAGACGGAAGCTTATTGACTCCATGTAAGTTGTCAAACCATTCTCAGATGGCTTGATTACTTACCGATATTCGATATTGGGGTACTATGGCGTAGCAATGGGCTTAACGCAAAATGACCAAATGTTGGAACTAAATCCTCATATTTGTTGCTGAGAAAGGTGATTTTAGGTAGCCTTGTAAAATTTTAGACAGTGTTTTTGTGTGCGCTGTTCCTTAATCTGTGTTTTGTATAGAGTTTGGTCTCTGTGGCAGCACCATTGCTGAGAAATGCATGTTTCGGGTGTGCCCCCAAGTCCGTTTTTTTTTTTTTCTTTAACTGAGTGCCTTCAACCTACATCAAATATCAATATGGAGCCAGGAGAGAACAAGTGGAAGAGGAGATATATAAAAAATAAAATATGTTTCCGTATGTCCTCCCCCAAATAGGGTGCCTGCCTTGGCTGTGCATCTTATTCCAGAATAAAATGCCCTATGTATTTAACCATAGCAGGACTGTATAATGCTGCCAATGCTAAATGAGCAAGATATTCCATGTTGTCCTCTATTATGTAGGGATACGATTGGGAAGTGGGAAGATTGTGCCATTGGCTGTTAAGAGGTTAAATATAAAATCAGAAGTACATAGCCTTTTTTGTGCCTTCGTCAGGTAATTAAAATTTTCTCATGAGCTGCAGGGTGTGGAAGTCCCAATCTATTGACGTAGGGTTATGAGCTGCAGAATTGTGTGATTCATTATTAAGTAAACACTTGTGTTACTGTAGTAACAGATTGTTGTCTTTGTGTGTCTGGTTTTCCTTTCCTTGAGCTTTGGGAGGGACATTTAGCTAACGTCACAGTTCCTAAAATATACAAAAGAAATCTTTGCACAGGCATACACTCTAACTAACGTCATGCTTTCTGCAGGGGATCCCTGCACGCAATCATTTAATCATAGTTTGTTTGTTTTTTTTTAGACAGACACACACGATGCCTGCAAGTACGATATGTACAATATATGGCCAGGAATCGGAAACTCCCCTGATGACACTGATACATTCAAAGAAGCATTTTAACTCTCATTAAGGGTTTTATTTGCAGCTAAATTTCAGTAGTACTGATACTAATTATAGACAGCAGCCTTCATTAAAGGAACACTCCAATGTTAAAAAAAGCAATATTATGTTTTCACTTTTGGAGTGTTCTTTTACAATAAGAAATGCTAGGCTTCCAAACCAACAAACACACACCTAACTTTTTCTGCAGCAGCAAATCCTCTGTCACCACTGCTCCTCTCCACACAGTGACAACAGTCTTCCCTTTGTATTCAGCAAAGGCTGAGGCTTGCAGTGCACTTGCTGTCATCGCACAAATCAGATGCGGCAATTGACCAATAGAATGCTACTCATAGCGTACCTTCCCTATGGAACCTCTCACTTCCACATAGACATTTGTTCAAGCAGAGTAAACCAGGAAATCCTCCTGGCTGTCAGCTTGACTGCCAAGGGGGAGTTCCTAAATTAATTCATAAAAGTGGAATTGTAATGAATTGTAACAAGGGGCACCTTCTGTCAATTCCTAAACAATTTAGCAATCTGAAGTGCTTTTGTAATCTGTAGAGTCCTTTTAACAAGTGTATTGATGGGTTATATAGCAATATGTTTTGGCTAGTTATTTTTACTGTAACTGTATAAAGGGACACTGTAGACACAGTAATCACTTCATCATAGAGAGTCTGGAGTTCTCTGGCACCATTCAACGTTAAACCATTTTTAATGTTATCTGCTAAATGCGAGTCCCCTGCACCCCATCCCATCTGTGCTGCAGGCTAGTAAGATTGGTTAAGTGTCAGCTGACCGCTTCCAACCTATCGCAGTGCTCACTGTTAGTTATGAATTGGTGTGGACAGAAGGAAGTGTGTAATAGCTGCTTTAGCCACACCTCCATTGTATATCCAATTCAATAATGTAAAATGCTTAAAGTGCCTATGGTCTCCCTTTAATGAAAATAGTTATGAAATGCTCATATTGACTGTTTTGAAATGTTATTCTACTTTGTGTTATAGTAAAGCCTCAAGTTGAAAAAACTTAAATATCGTATCCGCCGTCAGGTTTTGTGAGTTCGATGGTTGTGGGAATCGGGCAATTTTCATAACAAGACATGATATATTAAGGTTCTTGCGAGATACTCCATAGACACCAGTGTTGTACTCGCACATTTGAGAATGCAACACTGGTATTGGCTCCTGTTGTGTGAGGAACCAAGAGCTGGAGGAAGAATATGAAACAGCTTCTGGTAAGTATAATGTATTTCTGCAGCACCTCCAGGTCACCACACTACAAATGGCTATGTCACCATCAGGGGTCTTCGCAATAAGCTCAGTGATTGGGCAGCCAGCAATACGTTTAGTGACCTTGCCAGTACAAACTTAGTGATTGGATAGCCAGTAACACATTTCGTGACCTTGCCAATACGAGCTCAATGATTAGACAGCCAGCAATAAGTTCAGTGACCCTGCCTTGACGTGTTGGAGGGTCTTTCAGCGTCTCTGAACTTCCAAGAGAAGAAAAAAGTATTTGCCACCGGCATTGTCATGTAGAAAGTAGTAAGGTTTCGGAGTTACTAGCCTATCTGGAAATCATGCAGCTGCTTGATCCCCTGGTTAAGACCCACTTGTGAGGGCCACAGATATTAGCCACTATGGGAAGCGGCTGCTGCTTTTAAGCAGCTCTGAGGATTGCCAACAGGTAGTGGAGGGGTGGACGGCAATTACCACTCACCAAGACTGAATTTACCTGCGAATTGGAATTGTAAATTTTGAGATGGAAACATATTAAATGTACTATTTTTCAAACCGCTCTGGCATTGGCTTTTATTTTCTCATACTAAATTAAATGGCATCTCAAACTGCATGTGCGTCACACAAAGGTTATTCCAGTTCAAAATGTGTTTTTGAGTGCAGTACCTCTTACAGCCTCTTTGTGGAAGTGTTGTATGCTATTCTTTAATGGCTGTTTATAGCCCGTCCTTAAATGAGTAACATCCAGAGAACTCAACTCCTATGGAGCATCTGGATTTAAAATAACAAGCGCAGGACTTCTTATGGGATCGAACAAAACGGTGGCATTTTGGGACTTGTGGGTACTTTTTATTTAACCCCTTAAGGACCAAACTTCTGGAATAAAAGGGAATCATGACATGTCACACGTCATGTGTCCTTAAGGGGTTAATGAAGTTCAAAACACCTTTTGCCGTCCAGCCCTCCCACACACAGTTTTACCAAAGCATTATATTTTCCTGGGTGCTTTTTGGCCAGAGTGCGCCCTAATTTTAGCTTAGACATAAGTAGAATTTTTTTTATTCTAAAACGGTGCTTTTCTGTCTTCAGTTCTACCACCCAGTAATGCTATATTTTCCACTCATTACTTTCATTCGACATCCCATCATTCTATACATGATGCCATTAAAGGGATACTTGCATCATAAACATGTCATTGTTGTTGTAGTGGCTCTGTTTATATTGTTGACACAGTATTTATATTCAAGTACAAGGTCTAAAAGGAAAGTACAAAACAATACAGTCAAATGCAAAATATAGCCATAAAAGGAATAATTAAAGCAATATTCGAGGTCACCAACAGTCTTAGTTTAGATATCAGTGAGTGTCTGCCACTGGAGGTGCTACTATGCAGCAATGTAAACACTGCATTATCTCTGAAAGTGCAGCATTTACATTGAAAAGCCTGCAGGGACAGACAGTAGACACCAGATCTACTCTATTAAACTGTTCTGGTGACTATAGTGTCCCTTTAACAGCAAGGTAGAGGTGATTTGTGATTGCTGCAGTGGTTACATTTTGACAGGACTTGGTAATTACAGAATGTTCTGAAAAACAACCCGCCCTGAGCACAGCCCGTTACAGTGGCAACTGGACAAAGCTAGAACATCTCTGAACTTTGGGGAATTTCCAGTACAAAAATATGACCATTAAAAAAGTTAATTTACATTCAAGTTCAGACATAAAAATTGTGATTACGTTCTCAGGTTAATTCTTTGGGTTGGAACTTTTGGCAAAAAAAAAAAAAAACTTTTTTTTTTTTGCATGTCAGATATAATTGATTATTGACATCATAAAGACCATTAACACAATATAAACTACACTGTGCCCCCTTAACCCGTTAAGGACCAAACTTCTGGAATAAAAGGGAATCATGACATGTCATGTGTCCTTAAATGGTTAAAGGGATACTCCAAGCACCACAGCCACTTCAGTGATATGAAGTGGTCATGTTGTCTTGAGACTGTATGTGTAGAATTTTAGTATGAAATGCTGCACATACAGAGTTTAACCCTCTTTTACTGCCACAGGTGCAGTGTCAGGTGGGGAATCAACAGCCAGCCCGAAATGTCCGAGACGATGAACGCCTATTCTGGCAAATTTCATTGTACAGATTGTCATTGATTGGCTGAGAGTGGTCTCAGCCAATGAATGGCCACTGCATCTGATTGCAGTTTCTGCTGTACAAATTTGGCATCTGTCACAAAACCACCTCGTTTGTTGAATGGTTTGCCCCATTACCAGGAATCTAAGCCAGGCTACTACTGGCATCGTAACCACTGCAGCGGGTACAGCTCTACCACTTTTCAGAATTTTTCCCTTTGTTGCTCAGGAGCCATTACTCCTTAACCCCTTAAGGACACATGACATGTGTGACATGTCATGATTCCCTTTTATTCCAGAAGTTTGGTCCTTAAGGGGTTAAAGGGTTAAAGAGAAGCAATGTTTAAAGATTATACGTTTTGTTAATGCAATATTTAGATAATTGCAATATTTAGACAATATTTAGATAATGCATTCAAATTATTACAATAAAATATACCTGTCCTTCATAATCCTGAAGCTGACTGCAGCGTCATGCAGACCCCTCCTTCTCCAGGAAGAGTTTCCACCAATCCGCAGTATTCGTAAACATGCACATCAGAAGTTTATGGAAAATGTAGTATATCTGCCACCTGGTCTACTTAAAAGTTGCTCTATGAACTGATAGCAGCCATACTGTGAACCAGGCTGTGTATAGCAATCTGCACACAGCCGATAGCTCTCAAGAAGAGAGATCAGTCCTAATTATTAATTTAGTGAGCGCATGCCAAACAAGCATTTTGGACAAAATAATATAGGCGGCCCTGAACAGAGAATTCTGCCTGTTTCGGGGTTGCTTCATATAAGTTGATCATAGAAACATAGAATGTGACGGCAGATAAGAACCATTTGGCCCATCTAGTCTGCCCAATTTTCTAAATACTTTCTTTAGTCCCTGTCTTATCTTAGCCTTATCCCTATCACTGCGTAAACCTCTACCACTTGAGCTGGAAGGCTATTCCATGCATCCACTACCCTCTCAGTAAAGTAATACTTCCTGATATTATTTTTAAACCTTTGCCCCTCTAATTTCAATGTCCTCTTGTTGTGGTAGTTTTCCTTCTTTTAAATATAGTCTCCTCCTTTACTGTGTTGATTCCCTTTATGTATTTAACCCCTTAAGGAGACATGACATGTGTGACATGTCATGATTCCCTTTTATTCCAGAAGTTTGGTCCTTAAGGGGTTAAAGCAGTACTATAGTGCCAGGAAAACAAACTAGTTTTCCTGGCACTATAGGGTCATTAGTTCCCCCTCACCCTCAATGCCCCCCTCCCGCTGGGCTGAAGGGGTTAAAACCCTTCAGCCACTTACCTTTCTCCAGCGCTGGGCTCCGTCTGTGCTGGGAAACTCTCCACCCCCTGACGCGCGCGCATTCAAACCGCCCATAGGAAAGCGTTAGTCAATGCTTTCCAATGGACATCCAGCATCTTCTCACTGTGATTTTCACAGTGAGAATCGCGGAAGCACCTCTAGCGGCTGTCAGTGAGACAGCCACTTGAGGCTGGATTAACCCTCAGTGAAACATAGCTGCAGGGTTAAAACTAGAGGGACCTGGCACCCAGACCACATCATTGAGCTGAAGTGGTCTGCCTATAGTGGTCCTTTAAATGTTTCTATCATATCCCCCCTGTCTTGTCTTTCCTCCAAGCTATACATGTTAAGATCCTTTAACCTTTCCTGGTAAGTTTTATCCCGCAATCCATGAACCAGTTTAGTAGACCTTCTCTGAACTCTCCCTAAAGTATCTATATCCTTCTGGAGATACGGTCTCGAGAACTGCATACAATACTCCAAGTGAGGTCTCACCAGTGTTCTCTACAATGGCATGAGCACTTCTCTTTTTCTACCGCTAATGCTTCTCCCTATACAACCAAGCATTCTGCTAGCATTTCCTGCTGCTCTATTACATGGTCTGCCTACCTTTAAGTCATCAGAAATAATTACCCCTAAATCCCTTTCTTCAGATGTTGAGGTTAGGACTCTGTCAAATATTCACTACTCTGCCCTTGGGTTTTTACACCCAAGATGCATTATCTTGCAGTTTTCCACATTAAATGTCAGTTGCCAGAGCGCTGACCATTTTTCTAATTTACCTAAATCATTTGCGAGTTGGTTTATCCCTTGTGGAACATCAACCCTGTTGCAAATTTTAGAATCTTTAGCAAAAAGACATACCTTACCATCAAGACCTTCTGCAATATCACTAATAAAAATATTAAAGAGAATGGGTCCAAGTACAGATCCCTGAGGTACCCCACTGGTTCGAATATACTCCATTGACTACAACCCTCTGTTGCCTGTCACTCAGCCACTGCCTTACCCATTCAACAATATCAGGATCCAAACTGAAAGATTGCAGTTTATTGATAAGCCTTCTATGTGCAACAGTGTCAAAAGCCTTACTAAAATCTAGGTAAGCAATGTCTACTGCACCAGCCTGATTTTAGTTACCCAATCGAAAAAATCAATAAGATTAGTTTGGCATGATCTCCCTGAAGTAAACCCATGTTGTCTCTGATCTTGAAATCCATGTGATTTTAGATGTTCAACAGTCCTATCCTTTAACATGGTTTCCATTACTTTCCCCACTACTGAAGTAAGGCATACTGGCCTATAGTTGCATCAGTGAAAGTGAGTATAGGGTACTCTGAAGTGGTCACGGTGCTTTGGATCACTGTGTGCAACATTTCAGTTTGAAACGCTGCTCGTACAGCGATAATGGCCTTTGCTGAGGAGGTACAATTCGAACTCCGGCAGTGTCATAAACCAGCGCGGAACCATTTGTACAAATTTGTCATCTGAACACATAGCATGCAGGTGACAGACAACCAATGGTATCACACACACACACCCCTTTATTGAGGTGGTGTAATGTCACTGTAGGAGGATTGTTGCGGTATAAAATGGTTATATATTTATTTATTTTGGGGTTGTGTCTAGATGTTCACTAAAACGCTGGTTTTGTTTGGAATAACCCTTTAAAGTTTGAAATATTGCAAAGCTGTTCTAGGATTTTTAAAAGGTCCCTTTGAAAAATCATATGTTAATGTTAGACTACTTACAATGGGCACTGGGGGCACCAGTGCACTCCTGGCACCATAACCATTGCAATAAACTGTAGTGGTTATGGTGCTTGGAGTGTTTCTTTAAAACTGCATTCATCATGTACTTGGTTTTACCAGATTGCTAGTTTCTTTGTATGCTTACAATTCAGTGTCATCTTGGAGTTCTCTGAGTGCCACTGTTTGAACCCATGCCATGGGCCAAATCCCACTGTCCGGTTATTGTCTTAAAGCCGTAAGGAGTAAAATCCAAAGCATTTCATCCATCACCTCCCCTGAACCTAGCTTAGCAAGGAGCGAATAAGAATTTGGTATCCACACTTCTAGTGAGATTGTGTGATCTTCCATATTTGTGTATTGCACCACTGCATAGGGAATTATTTAAAAAGAAACAGTGTGTTAATACAGTGTAATAATATACAGTACTGCAACAGAATGTAACTTGCATATTGTTCTCTACCTTGTGAACAAATTCAAGCCGAATTTTGTAAAAAATTCTAACTCGAAAGCCAACATTTCAGATCAAGTGGGAAAAAAATTTGAAATTGGCCTACGAAGTTCCCGTTTCAAATTGAAACTAGATGTACCAAAAAGCCCCTTAAATAACATATCTGGGGTAATGAATTTCCTCTTATTACCAGAATAATTGACAGAATGCTCTGTCTTCAAAGCTGTCTATGCTTTTCATATGAGGAACAGAAATATATACTACAAACATTTAAATTGCATTAAAAATACAAAGAAAAACCCTGGTCCTCAAGTTAAAAATGTTTGAAATCTGAATATAAATGTATTTCACTAAATTGAGTTTAGGAAAAACTAAACATAACATTGCACATTTAAAAAAAAAAAAATTGTCAGTGATAAATTGAATTTTCCAATTTGTATATTTTTGACGTAAAATTTGCTATTCCCTTGTATGTCCTGCAAAATGACCCAAATTCTACTGATCACCAAGGCAATAGCTGGGCAATTAGGCTTTGCCCTTTGCAGTAAGAAAGCGCGTTAATGAAACAATGTGGGTTTAGACACCACCCACACTCAGATACCTGGACATATACTGTTACACTCAGAACCCACGGGACAAGTCTAGAATTCCCTTGTACTGTCATTTTGATCTCTTGTTTTTAGATTCTTTGCTGAACCGAGTTGTTTGTTTCAGACACTTATCAGTATTGCAGTGCAAAGTGTAGTAAATTAAGGGAAAAAACTTACATAGGGATACTGCTATTTCCTTGGAATTTTAAAGGACCACTATAGTCACCAAGACCACTTCAGCTCAATGAAGTGGTCTGGGTGCCAGATCCCCCCAGGTTTTAACCCTTCAGAGATACTCCTATGTTTACATTGCAGGGTTAATCCAGCCTCTAGTGGCTGTCTTCCTGACAACCGCTAGAGGCGCTTCTGCAACGCTCAATGTGAAAATCACATTGAGCTGAGCACGCAGAACGTCCGTAGGAAAGCATTGAGAAATTTTATGGGCATTTTTACTGCGCGCGGCGCTGGCCACGCATGCGCATTTGGCTCCACTCGGGAGCTGACATCGGAGGGGGAGGAGAGGTCACCAGCGCCGAGGGAGCCTTTAACCCCTTCAGCCCAGCGAGAGAGGGGGGACCTAAGGATTATATAGTGTCAGGAAAACAAGTTTACTTGATTACTTATCCCCTATTTAACAACTACGTATTTGTGAGGTGTGAAAATTAAAATGAAATGCATGAATCCACAACTATCTATCTGTTAACTGGGCGCCTCCATCTTGGCTCCTGATCAGTTTTTGTAATAAACATTGCCCCTCTGCATCTTTTAGTCAGTATAGAGAACGCATACAGAGAAGAGGAGAATGTTGAAACAAAATTTCTATTACTTCCTTTCATTTGCAGTGTTTGATCTGGCTTTTGCCTTGTCTGAACTGAATTGTGATGTAATTTGCACGATCTGTAAGATAAATTTAAAAGGTAATGAAGCATATCTGTTCCTGTGTGTCCAACTTGTCTGGTTCGTCTACCCGCTGTAAAGCGCTACGAAATTTGTTGGCGCTATATAAATAATAACATAATAATAATAATATCATGAAAATTGGTTAGCTCCACTTATAGCTGATTTTCAAATTTTAATTTTTTTTCGGGATCATATAATATGTATAGACGCACAGCAGTTGCATAAAACCACACCTCAAAAAAATGCAATAATATAAAGACAATTTTTAAGAAATCACAGAAAGACATGTCATAGTGGCCTAGGTTTAACATATTTAAAAATAATCAATATCGCAACATAAGCCTAATCTCCATGTAAGGCGATAAATAACCTATTGATTACCTGATGGCTATTAATAAAGTGCTTATTTTCTTACATGGTGATTGGTAGCTTGCGTGCCAGCCACCTTGGGAAAGGCACATTGGTGGCAGCTCTATAGTAAGCCTAAAGTTTTCTGTTGGATATTTTGCCCATTAATCCGGTAGATTATTTGTGAGGTCAGGCACTGATGTAAGACGAGAATATCTGGCTCAAAATCTTCGTTCCAGTTCATCCCATAGGTCGTCAATGGGGTTGAGGCATTGTACTTGGTGCTATGAGGCTGCTCGGACATAAAAACCCATTCCATTTGTGCTGCTATTAATGCCAGTGAAAGTTTGGAGCTTTTCTGCTTTGGTATCAGCAGAGCGCTTTTTACGCACCATGCGCCTTGGCACTCTGTGACCCTTTACGTGGTCTTTCACTTCGTGGCTGAGTTGCTCCTGTTCCTAAACGCTTCCACTTTCCAATAATACCCCTTACAGTTGACCAGATGGGAGGCAGAGGCAGAGTGAGTTAGCCTGCAAGAAGGCCTGGCGGCTGGCTGGCAATCTTTCACAGTCCCTGGCGGATCAAGACCTAATGACTCGGGGACAAACCTGCTATGATTCTAATATGCCTTGCCTTCATCTGGTCTTCAGACAAGGGGTCGGTTAGTTTTACGAAATAATCCCTCTGCTTGCAGCACTGTGTGGTGCAGCAAATATTTCCTCTGTCTATGTTCCTTCGTTTTGGCTGAAACATAAATCCTTATGTTATTTTATAGGCATATCTACCTTGCAGTAAGTGTTTTATACGCTTCAGTGACTCTTTTGTCCTTCCTCCAATATTACTACAAACAACACTTTTCACATACATGTCCTATATCTGGTATTATGTTATTGTTTAATTGATATTTAGATTGCAATATATGTATCACACTGTGATGTGACAATATAAAAAAAAACATTTTTTAAAGCAAAAAGACCACTTCCTAATTCAACTTTGGCACTTTCTGCTCTCAGCCTCCTTCCTGTCGCCGACCAGATGTCTTATTTTTACATCTGTCTTAACTCTATCTGTCCTTTCACTCTGTGTGTGTGTGTATGTATGTATGTATGTATATATATATATATATTGCTAGGTGATTTCCCATCTATAACTTATCGTTACAATTTTGTGCCTTCACTTAAGGTACGATAGTGAAACAGTGAAATGCTGGGGACTGTCCCCGGTTACAAACAAAGCTTGTTAAATGCTTTGCTATTCTTGTAGGCTCTTTATCAGTTAAAGTAGCATGTTTTAAAATCCATAATTTCATAATCTTGCAGCTACTCACAAGACAAAACCAATAAACAATATGCCTCAAATTGAGGCATGATCTCAATAATATTTCACAGCTGTGAGAGACAAGACTGTCTTGAGAAAGAACATGTTTTACTAAAAACTGCAAAATTGGATAATATGAGCATGGATTGGCCATTGAAGCCTTGAATTGTCTTAGTAGCATTGTTCCACAATCTATACAGCACTAACATTTAATGCAGCTCTGTTCGATAGGTGGACATCAATTTGACGTCTATGCAAGAATACGAAAAGGGTTACTCAGAATCCTGCTCGAACAAATTATAGCTTACCTTCTCAAGGATTTCAAGACTGTTTTAAGAATTTGCCGCAGACCATTAAAGATTTTTCCATACTCATCGAAAATGCCCATAAAGAATGGCTATGAGTGACTGTATGCAAGGGGGTCCACCCCAATTTATATGCTTTGCTTCTCAGTGTTCAGCACATGGATTTATTTGGGCTCAGCTAGCCATACGTGCAGCTGGTGATCAGTAGAGCTTTTCTGTACCTGTGAGACAATGGGACGGTCCCTTTTCCCACGCCTGGACTCCCAGGCTAAGAGGCTCTTGGGAAGAAGACCCCTGGTGGTTGGTGTGGGAAACCCTGTGGGTTTAATGGCAGACTTTGGGGACAAATGGAACAGAGTTCTTTCCCGCGCTAGGGACTCAGGGAGGGGGAGGATCCTGGGAGGTGACCTTGTAAGTTTTGTGTGATACACACCTTGCAGGGGGTTATGCATAAAAGCCATGTGTGGCCAATAAAATGGTGTTGTACCTCCAGGACTGTGTGTCGTCCAGTTACTGAGGGGATGAAAATGGGTCTCTTTATGCCCTAACTGGTTCCCGGACGGCCAGTCAGGTTACCCTAGGTCCGCTACACACCTGTTTTTATATTATCGAGACGTTCTCTGTTATTGAAGCTAGATTCCAGTGTTCTCCTAAATCTACTATCATAGGTGCCCTCGAAGGCACAGATTAGGGACCACCCAGATATTAGTCGCTCTCTTTTAGTCTCCTATGAGACTTCTCTTATACCGTTTAGACTTTATATGAGTGTGTTTATTTTTGTCTCTGTTCCAGGCTCTGCTTTACAATTGGGATTTAGAGGTTATTCGCATTTTTTCTCACCTTACTAAGTGTAACCATTTAGGTGATATTCCCCTCTCCCTGTTTCCCTGCCTGGTTTTGATACTGTGTATTTTCCCTATACTCTCATATTGTGGCAGCCGTGTTCTTTATACTTAGTTATCTAGTAGTGTTTACCTTTATACACTGTTGCTACTTTATGTTGTGTTACAGTAGTACCGGCTAGCACAGTGGTTCCAAAACTTTTTAGGTACAAGGCACCCTTAATATTTCAGTATTTTTCGAAGGCACACAAAGTCAAAATTTCTAAGTTGTATATCTGTACAGCACTGCGGCATTTACTGGCGCTATAGTGTAATGTACAGTGTTGGTGTTTGAAGGGGTGCTTGTATACAATTATTGTGTTTAAATACAGGGGTGTGTTTGTATGTGATGTTTGCGTTTGATTGCAGGGGTTTGTCTGAATGTAATGTTCACTTTTAAATGTGGATGTACATTTGTGTCAAGTATTTGTATATGTGTTTGTATGTAATATTTGTGTTAGATTGCAGGAGTGTGCTTGTATGTGTGCTGGTGTTTGACTGCTTGGATGTATGCACATACACACACACATACTTACAAAGATATTCATGCACCTTAACACACAGATGCATATAAATACACGACACATACACACAAATTCATATAGACACCGACACATACACACATTAAGATACACACCAACACATACACACATGCACCCTGACAAACATTGATACATGCCCACACCATGACACAGATACACACTGACCTAAAAGCACACACTCTGACACACAGATGTGTGCGTGCACACAGACACAGAAGCACACTGACATATATATATATATGTATATACACACACACAGATGCACACTCATACACATACAAACACTCGTACTCATACACACACACACATACATACACTCACACACATACACACACAAGTGTTTTTTTTATATATATATATATATATATATCTCCAGCCACCCTCCTTTTAGCTTACCTTATGTGCCAGGAGGATGGCTTTGAGTCCTGCTGCTGTAGGAATGAGGGGTCTGGAGCTCTTTATGCTCCTCTCCCTTCACGCTGCGGCTGCCTCCTCTCCCTCCCATGCTGTCTCCCTGCAGGATGCTGGGAGGAAGTGACAGGCTGTCACGTCCTCCCAGCCAGCTGACATTACAGGGGCCCGGTTGCGTTCTTAAAGGCCCGCGGCACTCGACCGGGTCCCTGCTGAGCAGTAATGTTTCCCCAGTGCTATAATCATAGCACCGAGGAAATATTCTGCGGCACCCCTGTGCGGCACAGTTTGGGAACCGCTGGTCTAGCAGATAATTATCTTTTTGGTACTTTACCACTAGACTCAGACATCTTAACTATATGTAGTTAGTGTCTTTTACATCTCTTTATAAGACACCCCTTGTCCCTGTTTTTTTTATTTCTTCTTTTTGCAATCACTTTGTTTTCTCGTTTTTCAGTTTTGTATTTGGTTAATTTAGTAGTGTTTTTTCAACCTTTTTATTTTAACATATATCCAATAAATTGTATGTTTTTAGATTCCCCCTTGATATTACCTTTTAGGACTGTTAACGCTCCGTTTTCCACTTCTATTACTGTTCCTGTTAGGGTTGCACCCTAATTTGCTGTGCAGGCTTTTCTCAGTATACATGTAGCTTCCACCTTGTCTCTTATTCTGAAAGAAAAGAGTATTGAAAGATAAAAACAGTGTTACTTTTGAAATCAGTTCTTGGCTAAATGAACACTCCAGATTCCTAAAGCACTTTAGCTTGCTGAAGTTCTTTGTGTGTGAAGAGTATGTCCTCTATTTTTTTTATTTTTTTATTTTTTTTTTTACAAAAAGTGCAGATTTCAATAGAAATTGGCACTTGTATAAATATCTCTTGTTTACATCATCAAGCTGTGAAAAATACAAATGGCCCTGTTACTTCCTGATTTGGTTAGCTCAGTGGAGCTAAACTCAAGAGGCAGCAATTGTTCAGAGCACCTGCCTTGCAAAGACTTCTCACTGAATGTCATTGGGAAGTCTGATTGGACAGCCACAGAAAGTCTGGGCGGGGTTAGAAGGGGAGAGCTTGCAAAGGCTGCAGACAAGAGATCTGCAGCTTTTGCAAGCAGTTTCTAGACATAACTTCAATGAGGACAAATGCATAATTGGGGATATAGCCATGGCTACTAAACATTGACTTACATTTTGGTTGGGTGACACTGGCGCGTCCTTTTAATTTCTCTCTGTTTGCATGTAAATTCTGTGCCAAGGTAGCACTTTTCGTATGTTTCCATAAGCATGAATACGTGGTCTGCATCCTGGAAAACCTGCCAGATCAAATTACCCCAGTTGGGAGATATGTGTCTGAAGAGGGAGCAATGCCTTTCTCTTGTCTTTTTTTAATGTATGCCCTTGGTGACCTTGTGTATGCATTTACCTTTTCCGGTTGTTCTTGCTGCTGTAGTTTAGCAGATAAAATCTGTTATTTTCTGCTACTTCCTACATCATAGAGAGCTGGGGACACTTTTTCAGTCTTTAACAAAATGAACCATGTTGATAATCACTATGGAGGGCACTGTCATTTTTTTTGTGATATTTTCTATTAGTTAAAGCAAAACTGTCACTTGTAGGGTGTTTGGATATTTTGTGGACATGTCCACATAAATAACAAATTCCTTGGACGGACATGGGAGGTAAATATCCTCTTCTTTGTCCTGACCTCCTGGTGGCTTCACCTGCCAGCAGCAACTGCCACTGGGGGCAAAACATGTGTCCGTAAGACTGTGGGGTCCTCCATAGAGTGTTTTATAAATGTAAACTGAGAAACCATAGGCAATTTTTGTGTATCATGATTCCTGTTCCCAACAACCATCAGCGCAATGTTTGAAGTTCTGCAATTTGCATCATTTAGATAAAAAAGAAAAAGAAAATCATGTATATTAAAGAGTGTTCTTTTCTTTGTTTTGTGTGCATCTACTTATCATCCATCTTAATTGAAAAGTTCAAAAGTGAAAGTGTACTTTAGAGGAACACTTTAAACACCATAACCACTACAATTTGCTGTAGTGGTTATTGTGCAGAGTGTGCTCCCCCACCCCACGCATTGTAAATAGTCAGATCGTTTTAGATCGGTTTGCCTTTTTACCTTGTGTCCGCCAGGTGCCACTCCCCACCACCGCCACATCTTATGGAGATCCAGAAGCTCTCTATCTGATCTAATTCCTACAGGAAAGGAAGTAGTTAATTGGCTGAGAGCAATCAGATGATGCTCTCAGCCATTGAGCTATAACCCTGTATTGCTTCTGCTCTCCATAGGAAGTAGCGAAGGTGCCCAAATAACCACTCAGCGGACCTCAGGTTAGAAGTCAAACCATTCAAAAATTGTATCAATTCTTAGAATGAGCAGGGTGCCGCAGCTCTTCTAGCACCATAATGACCATGGTGAGATGCAGTGGTTATGGTGCTTCAATTGTTCCTTTAAGGGTCTTTTCAAACTCTCCAAGTAATGCAAAATACTGTTTAATCTGCAAAATCCACAGCATCACAAACTATCAGAAAATGTATGTGTAGAGGAAATAATATGGCCATTTATATAAGTAAAACTAATCCACATTACATCCTCTCTGTAGGCGTTAAATACATCTTCACTTTTTAATCACAAACATTCTGTTTGTATAATGTTTCATTCTGAATGTGCTTAGCGTGAATGAGTGTACAGGTCTGTGAATGGCTTGCTCATATCTCCATGTCCATCTAGGAAGTGCTGTGAGAACACAATGTATTATCTGTCTTCCTGTATGGAAGTTCCGCTGGCATTGCCACTGCGTTTTACTGCATCGCCCAAAGCTTTTTTGACGGTAAAGATTAGTTGTGAAATCACATGCTGGTGACTACAAAGCAGAACTACTAAAGCACTCAAACCAGACAGATTCGGTCTGCAGAAAATTAGGTAAAAGTTGAGTTGTCACGTTTAGACCACATGCTCTCCATGTTCAATAGAGTGTATCGATCTGCTGCACAGCAAGTCACGAGAGTGCATCATACCTTCCCTGTGTCTCAATTTACAAGGAGGAACAACTGTTTTGGACCCAAATGTTTCTATCCAGAAACTCCAATCATTAGTGATGGATGTAATAGATGAGACAATAATGTGTCTTTAAAGGGTTACTCCATCCAAATACAGAGTTTAAAGTAACCCTTCCTATAGTCAACCCCCACCACCCCGCAAGAATATATAGCTAAAACCTACTTTAATTCCAGCACCAAAGTCAAGTTTCCTTGCAGCCCAATCTTCCTCTGGTGACATCAGTCTCCCATATGAGACATATGTCGGTAAGGGGGCGTACAGAGGGAAGACCTGGGCACCACTGATGGATTGTGTCCTGCTAGCATGCTGTGTATGCTAGTGTCGGACACCAAATTTACACAGGATTCATGTTGGCCAGCCCGGAATTCTTATTCCAAGCTGGCTAGTGATGTCCCAATGATGTGGCTGAAGATGGAGTTACATACACTCTTTGTGTGCAACCTTTGATACTGGAACATTGCACATAAAGACAAAAAAATATATCCAGCTAGGTTTCCAGTTTGACAGGTTTCGGCTTAAAATGTACAATTCCTTGGTTAATTCATGACAAGTCACGGTATAGTCAGTAACATTGAAGGTTGCACAATGTAGAGAGTGAATAGCGGAGTTGGAAAGAATCCAACTATTCAGCTTAATCCAAATTGACTTTGACCTACATTTTACAATTCTCGTTTTCATTTCACAGTAATTTGATTTATACCCTAAAGTGTTTTTCATGAACGCAACAACTGAGCGAAAACAGAGACTATGAGAACTCTGAGGGCAGGCAAAATCTCCTAATACTCAATAGCTTGCCATTCAGTTACTCCCTGCTCGGGTCTCAGAGGTTTTTACTCACATGTGCCCTTACAGAGAAAACCTGTAAGAATTAGCAGATCAGACTGATCCCACCATAAGTGCAGTCCAGATCTAAAAATGCCAGCATGCTCCCTCTGCACAAGAGATACAGATAACATTGTTTCGGCCTTCCTAGGGCCTCGTCAGCAAGGTGTAGCTGATACCCCGCTAGGCACAGTTAACACAGGGTCCATGTCTGGATTATTGTTTACACTTAGGATCTCTCTAAGTAAATATATTGCGCCAGAGAGAATATAATAACTGAGCAAGACCAAAAATAAGTTTTCTTAACAATCTAAAGTTTTAACAGAAGTAAAAGCAGTGTATGTTTTAACTGTTGCAAAACTCCATCTTGATAACTGCTGTGTTTATTCTCCTTTTCTGCATTTCCCGTGTTTGTTGTCTTTCCACTTCCTGATCATCTCTGTTTTATTAGCTCCTAGATGTGGTGAGCAGCCTGGCTAGTGGTGGGAAACGTGTGCTTGTCCTGGGACGGAGACACATGTTGCAACATTCACGGGTATGGCAACGGCGGCACTTAGAACAGCTGCAACAACGGGCAGATTGCTTCTTCCTTCAAAATACGTGGGTGACTTTTTTTCTTTTCTTTTGTTAAACAAATTTCCTTTATTGGTCGGTGGGTTGTGGTGTTATAATTTGCGTGCCAATTGTGTAAACATTCTCATTCTTCCAAATAAAAAAAATATAGAAATTATATTGAGTTTCATACATGCTCTGTTGCAAGAGCTATACTATAACCCGACTCCCTAATTATTCAGAGTAACTACCCTATCTATGCAACACAAAACTGTTTTATAGACCAAACCTAGGGTTTTGATCTGGACATTATGTCATTGATCCCCAGTTATTTTATTTCTAAACCATGCATTCTGCCATTTGTTCCCCCTCCTCTGAAACTGATCAGATCCATCACCAGCCAGTGATATCTTCATATTCCAGAAGAATGATGGAAGGCCTTATGGTATCTTTAACCTACAAACTTACACTTTTCTCTCTAGCTGGTTGAATATGAAATATACAGACAGTATAAATTATTTTTTTTGTACCAATGTCTCTGCCACAGTCACTTGAAGAAATAAAACTAGGATAAGAAGTCCAAACACCATAATCACCTTCCCACAGGACAACTTTTAACCAGATGGGGGAAAGGTATAAGCAAATTGTCTTTGTGTGCATGAACTTCACAGGTCTAACTGTGGGTTGGTCTTGCTCACAAGTCGCATGTGATGTATGGGTTTGGTATATGGAGGCTCCTAGAGTTAATAGGAGCATCATCACCCTTGCAACCTACATCAATTAAACCTGTGTAACTCACAAAGCTCTCCACATGCTTGAGAGATGCAGATTTTGTTTCTCTTGGCTTATTGCCCCCGATGACAACTCATCATCGTTTAGGGTCCTGGTTGGTCCATCAAGAAATATCCCATTGGGACAGTCCACGCCACAAACCCACACAATGCTACAGCCTCACTCCTGCAGTCTTTAAATCCATTCAGACATCTTACCACCATCCAAGCCTCTCTCTTGTAAAGCCCTTCTGATACTGAAAGTGTGAAACATATATATGGTTGTGTAAAGTGTGGTCTTTTGAAGTGGAGATGAACTAAATGGTGAGTAAAGGGGCTATGTGTTTAAAAAAAAAAAAAAAAGACCTAAAATGTGCGGAAACAATGTCAGGTTAAAAAAGAAAAAAGCTCAAAAGTACAAATGAAAAGGTCATTTGTCTTTTACACTGGAAAATGCCTCTGGCTGTTTCTAAAAAAAAAAAAAAATGAAACCCAGAAATAAAGTACTAGGAAACAGCTCTTCTTTTTATTTTTCTCTTCCTGGTCTCCATTCTGCACCTATACAGCATTAATGCAGGTTATTTCCTGGTTTATATTAATTACAGCAAACATTTGCATTGTCATGTTCACCATAGTAGTCTGTTTCTTCCTGGTTGTGTTTGCTCTATGTTACTGAAATGCACGTCTTTTCTTTAGGAAGCTTCAGTTTCCTCTGAAAGTTGAACTGTCACTCCCCTGGATTTTTTATATATATAATACATATCCCATATATTTAACAAATGTATTGTTTTGAGTTATGAATAATAAAAGTAAATGTAGGAATCCACACTGCTACTTTTAGCTGTGTGTTGGAACATAGCACTATCATCTTGGATCCCTGTCAGTCTCTCCAGTAACCCCTGCTCTTTACGGTAATTTAACATAGAATGCGAGACTGTCTAATTCTTCCAGCGCTGTCTATGCACTGCCTGAACTGTGACATTAGTACGTAACAGATTTAAAAGAAAATGGAGCTTCACATGAAAAAAGATAAAAGAGACACTCCATGCTCCATCAATACAGCAGCCTGCCATTTTGGCTATGGTGCCATAAGTTCCCTAGCGCCCTCCTAGAATAACCACTAAGCTGGGCACCATCGTCTGCAGTTCTTCTATTAGATTCTCTCCGAGGGGGAGGGGGAGCTTTGTGCTGTAGTGGTTATGGTGCTTGAATTGTTCCTTTAACATCATTATTTTTTATTTTCACAATTTTATTCAATGGGGTATTTTCCAGAAAAGTGACGGTTCTACTTCACATCGAACCTGTCATTCACAAATGATGTAGAAGGCAAGTTCATCTTTAGCCAGGTATAGTTTTAATCTAAAATATACCGGTAACCATGTAGTGGCACTGCTCACAGCCCAGTAGTAGTTGCAAGCAGTGATCCAGTTGAGAAGTTCTATGCCATCATTCTAGTCTAATAATGAATGGACAGTATCAGAGGTGTGCTGTAAAGACATTTATTCTTCTTTAACACACACCTCTGTGAGACAGTCCATTATTCTAAAATATGAAACGCTGCAAAAAACAGTTTAAATTTAAAAACATAATTACACACTACTCCCACATAATGATATTTACCATGGCAGCCGGCCTTTTTTTTTTTGGAGATTGTTCTTTAGAGCACACATCTTTTTAGTCCTGCAATGCCAATTTTCTCCACTACCAGATGCTTTTGGGATCTTTAGCCTTCCACGGGCTCTTTATTATTATTATTATTATTTTATTATTTATATAGCGCCATCAGATTCCGTAGTGCTGTACAATGGGACGCAGCTTGCTGATCCTAATCACTACCCTATTAGTCCCAGCCAGTGGTGAATATCTTTTCAATTTCTTCTCCACCTGACCCTTGGCTTCTTCTATCGACCTGTTGACCATATGTAAAGGTACTCAGACAAACAATAAAATATTCAAAGTGTGGACGGCACTGATAATAACCCAAGCTCCATAAATTGTATGTGCTTTGGTTAAATAGCTTTAAATTTTATTAAATCATATCATATGCAAATTGTTCTCTCTTAACATCCACAGGTCAGAAGATGACCCATTCCTTCTGTATGCCAGCTTGTATTCTGGAAACCACTGCCACTTTTTGACCAGAGACCTTCTGCGAGATCACAAGGCTTGCCTCCCGGACCCTCAGACTCGACGTCTTTTCTTTAAGTGGCAGCGTGGCCACCAGCTGGTCATCCCCTTCTATACACCAGGAAGTAAAATCATCCTACAGGTAGACCTAGCACTTTGTTAGTTCCTCATCTGATTTTGTTTTGTTTTCCAGTTACTGATGCTAAAACTGTACCCCAGTTACTTCTTTGATTAAACACACCCTTAACTCTAAATTAGCTTTTCGGTATATATGCATCTTTACCAAAGCTAAAAACAGAGTTTGATTGAGAAACCCTCTATGGTTTGAATGCGGGTTGCTTTTAACTGTTTATATACTGTTTTGTTTTTTTGTATTTTGTAGTTTTCCTTTACTTAATTTGTTTTGCTTGAGCAGTGCAGCGATTCTGAAAAAAGTATTAAAAAAAAACCTTTTAAAACAAGACTGAATAAAACATTTGCAGTCATAATTAAACCGTGTTTTTAACAACTTCTGTTGTTTTGCAACATTGTAAAGTACAAGAACAAAAAATAATTGTGGTGAACTGGGAAGATAAGATCTGCTAGTTCGTTCCCTTGGAGATGTCAATTTACAAGAACACAACAGTCAAAGACGTAGAACTGTATGCAAATCAGTAGCGAAATGAACAAGAGGTTACATAACATTACTTGTGGTCTTATTACATTATTAAACTAATTGTCAAAAGTTGACAATGGATTTCCTTTAAAAATTCTCTACTTTTTTCTCACACTTTGGGTAGTGAAATATTGAATTCAAACTTTTTTTTTTTTTTTTTAAATGTTCCTGTTTTTTTGGTATTTTTTGCTTTTTCTCTTTTTTTTTTTTTGCCTTATATTTTATTTATTTTTAAACTTAGTCTTCCTATATTTTTTTTTCTTAACTGTTTCCTGTTTAAAATATATACTGCTATAACAAGGCTCAGTCTGACATCAGTCAGAATGATCTAATGCAAACAAAGCCAGATTTAACAATGAGTCGCTGTCTAGGGTTCAGGCCCAGAGGACCCCTATCTAGGCCTGGAGTTCTGGCTCTGGCTTCATGGGGGGGCCCTTTTTGAGCCGGCTGGGAGATCAAAACATGTGCACCAATATTGGCACACTCCATGACTTATGAGTCATAAACTGTACCCCAGATCAAGAGGGAACCCTTAAAGGGAAATTATAGTGCTAGGAATACAAACCCCCCCCGTCTGGGCGCCAATTGCTGAAAGCGCATTAGGCCCTCCCCATAGGAAAGTATTGCTACAGTGCTTTCCTATGGGGATTTGACTGTCATTGGACATCCTCATGCACAGCGGTTGACAGCCACTAGAAGCCTGCAAGGTACATTGCACCCAGACTACTGTAATGAGCTAAAGTTGTTGCAGTGCCTATAGTGTCCCTTTCAGGTGAGTTGCACCCAAAATTGGTGCAGACCACAATGATCCCTTGAGCGGGTCAGGGGGCACAGGGACAGGCAGAGGCATCTTTTTGATCTAGATCACCAGGGATCCTGATCTCCAGCTCACCCTCTACCAGACCACTAGGGATCCAAGCCAGAGTTCCCTCCAGAATTTTAACTTCCACATTAGCAATCCATTAAATGAAGACATCTTGACACAGAACCAGGGGACTGCACCCATAGTCTACTAGCATCATAACCACTACTATGGGCTGTATAGATTTGATTGCCCTTTACCTTAAATGTGCTGGTGATTTCCAAAATCAATCAAGTTATGCAGCAGAAAAAGTCAAATAACATGCTTCTGTTACTGCCAGGAAGTAAAGCCTATGAGTTTAACCCCTTAAGGACCAAACTTCTGGAATAAAAGGGAATCATGACATGTCATGTGTCCTTAAGGGGTTAAATAACCCCTAAATTTAAGATCTTTATATTGTGATCTCAGCCAATCACAATGCTTTCACATAGGAATTAATAACTGACTATTCTTACCAGAACAAATACAATGAGCTGTAGTTGTTCTGGTGACTATAGTGCCCCTTAAAGACTGTAATTAAAAGAAAGAAAAATAATTCTGGGAGATATTGCTCATATGTTCATGTAAAAAGGAAATGCTGATCATTATTAAAAATGTTCTCCTTTCAGTCTTCAGTGTTAACGTTTTTGCTCCAGTTGCACAGCTATATTATTTTAAGAGGCAGCATGGATTGCCTTATAACATTCTATGAGATCGTTCATATCACCAGCACACAAAAGCTGCAATAATTTCATTAATAAAATATTAAGTAATATAGGATCATAATAACTATACAGATATAGGTTCACTAATGTCATTTCCTATGAATGGCATTGCAGTGACAGCTATAGTGTCAATTTGCATTGCCTGTCTTGGCTGGATGGTTTAATAAAATGAATTCACAAATTGACAATGTGGAGTGCTGAGAGCTATTGTCTCTTTACTAAAGCTGTCAATGGACTGGACAGCTGAATGGCAAATCCCACAAACCCCCAATATACTACAGAACGGTCTGGGATATCGAGAGCTATAGGGCACCAGCATTGGCTGGGAACTTTCCAGATATTTCCTAGTTTTGTGACTGCATTAAACAAAAAAACTTGAAATAAGTGTCTAATATTTATTACTATGTTTTCACATTAATAAATATTTACCCGTAATTTGCTGTCATGTCCAAAAACCCAAGAAATGTCTACAAATAGTCCCTAAACTGAAACTACAATAATATGACAGTTCTAGAACTATGATGATATATTGTGTAGTTCCTAAAAGATAGCACAGCATTGATCTCCGTTACAGAACATTCTCTATATCTATGAGTTTGACTTGCTAAGCAGTCTATTCACAGCTTAAACGTGGGAATAGCAGCTGTCAAATTTTTTTTTTAATTTTTTATTTTTGGTCAATACAGTTCTTACCTAGTGTTGTTTTTGTTATATCTTTTTATCGTTTTTTTTTCTTTTTTATCTTTTTTTTTAGCCAATCCTGCGTTATGATACCATCCTGCAAAATACAGACGTCTCCTGGCATATTCCGTACGATAAGACAGGAGTGAAGAGGGCTACTTTTGAAGTTCCTGAAACCTGGCTATGTCTTCGAAAGAATCATTAGAAACAAAATGTAATCCATTAGATTTCTTATGATTTATTAATCGCTCATTTTGTTTTCTTACGTTTCAATAAATAATTATTCCCATAATTAAACCCAATCTCCAAATGACTTCTTTCTATATTTAATTTAAACGGAGATAAGCCCTTATTACAGGATTATATTAAAGGAACAATAAGTACATCTTATAATACAAAGCAATTATTGAAGATTTATGGCTAGTGAAGTTTGGGACTTCAACCAAAAAGTGGGATTAACGCTGGTAAATTCATTTTCCATTGTCCTTTTGATATGCATGGTAAAATGTGCAATCTGTCACCTGAAAAATGCTTCTCTTGTGGTAGAATCTAGCCCTTCTTATCTTCAGAAATCATCACCAGTGGTGCCAAATTCAAACAAAGGACGACCACTAATACTTGCACATTGTGAAAAAAGCATATTTGTACAAATACACACATTATTGCTTTGAAGGGCCTTGATATTCCTAACCGACACAAAATATGAGTTTTATTTTTTTGATGCTCTGGGTTTTCCCAATACACACTGCTAACTGAGCCTTTTTATTGTAGAATAGAGCTGTGCGGGACAAACCCAGACTTCATCAATAAAACTCAAAGTAATATGCAGTTTGTATGAGGGTATCACAGAGCTCTACAGCAATAAAACTCACTATAATGTACTGAATATTTGATCAGGGAACTAAGCAGCATTGGAACTCACAGTAATGTGTTTTGATTATATCACAGAACTCTACTGTAGTGAAACACACAGTGGTTTGTATGAGTGCATGACACTCCCCAACAATAAAACCCCTAGTAATGTGCAGTGCGTATAAGTGGGTCACAGAGCCCCATAGTAATAAGCAATCACAGTAATGTGAGTATTGGAAGAGAAGGCTGTGTGTAATGTGGTCGCTGTAGCTCCAAATGAAAACATGTTTACATTTAATAATACAAGCTTACAAAAGCTGCATATCTTTAGGTCTGAAGCCTTTGCAAGCCCTCCCCTTCTACCAAACCCAGACTTTCTGTGGCTGTCCAATCACAGACTTCCCAATACAGCTCCACTGTGCTAAACAACCAAGAAGTAATAGGATTGTTTGTCTGATTGACAGCCAGGAGGGTGTTACAAGGTTAATTTGATCAAACAAAAAAAGTGACACACTCTTTGCATATAAAGCACTTCAGCAAGCTGAAGTGTTTTAGGGGTCTAGAGTGTCCCTTTAATATTTGATCCCTGGTGGTCCAGCTGGGCTATGATCCCTGGTGATTAGACAGGGGTTAACAAATGATATACTTGCAGAATTTTGCCCCAAATTGAGTTTTATAAAACTCTTCCAAGGATGTTTATCAAAAAGTCATTAGACAAGTGTGTTGTCAAAGGGCAGGCAATCACTGTAGAAATCAGGGACATTCAATTGAGGATAACTTATCTGATCACAAGACATTGATAAATCACCCCCTAGTTTCATGTACTTCAGATTACAGATGTCAAAGATACAAAAATATTCCTTTACCAATGGAATTAAACGTACTAATGTTCCATTAAAAACACAACGTTAAATTGAGCTGTTATTATGGTGAAACCGCTGACAAAATGGAAATGCACTTATAATACCAAAGGTTTGATATATTTGTAGAATCACACATTATCCAAATGACTGAGAGTCAGATGAATACAGAAATGACTCTGGGTACCTTGTAAGGCTCCATTACAGTAATCTGATTGAAGCATGGAACACGGCATACAGAGTGATTGACTCAGAGCCTGCATGATAGTGAGTGGGTGGAAAATTAATTCTATAAATGTATAAGTCACATTGATGTTTGTAAAAAGGATATTTTAAAAGTCGCATAAAACCAAACTTTTAATTGTATACATTAATTTGGTTTTGCACAGCTATATCCTTTTTCTTGTTGGAGGAAAAAGAGCTAAATCAAGTTAAGGGATTAAAAATAAGCTCACATTGGTTTGGATAATGCTTTATAGAAACACAGAAACATAGAATGTGACGGCAGATAAGAACCATTCGGCCCATCTAGTCAGCCCAATTTTCGAAATACTTTCATTAGTCCCTGGCCTTATCTTATAGTTAGGATAGCCTTATGCCTATCCCACGCAGGCTTAAACTCCTTTACTGTGTTAACCTCTACCACTTCAGCTGGAAGGCTATTCCATGCATCCACTACCCTCTCAGTAAAGTAATATATCGGTGTTTGATTTGGACTGAAATTGAAACATACCCTTCAAGCACTATAACCACAGCAGCTTATTTCAGTACTTGTGGTGCTTGCATGCAGTCCCTGCTTTTTTTTTTCTTATAACCTTTTCATGTAGCTGGACATTAAACAGAGAGGATTTCCCACCGCCCAAAGCCACTCAACTTGTGACACAATAAGTTAAAGGGAAACTATTGTGCTAGAAAAACAAAGCTCACTATACTGCCCCCCTCCCTCGCAGCCTCCAACCATGGTGCAGAAGGGGTTTAAAAACCCTTCTGTTACCTGATTTCAGCGCTGATGTCCGCCTCTGCTCCCCCACCATCAGCCAACGGTGGGTGGGGCATAATGTGCAGCACTCGCCATGCTCGCATTAGGATTCCCATCTAGGAAAGCATTATACAATGATTTCCTATGGGTTTTCGGGTGAAACTGGATATTCTCATGCAAATCAACCAAAAATCGCCTAACAACCCATAAGTCTCTCTAGTGGCTGTCTTGTAGCCAATCACTAGAGGTGGAGTTAGCCCTGGCAAGTAATTATTGCAGTGTTTTACATTGTAGGGATAAGGGGACAGGGATACCAATGAGATTTAATAGTCTGGGTGCCTATCGTGTTTATTTAGTGTAATATGTTTGTATATTTTTTAATGCATTAGCTTTCTAATGCATTAAAAAACAGAATTGGTCCAATCTCTAGCTTCTACTGTCCCTTTCCATGTGTTAAATCAGAACTCACTTCTCTAAAAGCGACCCTTCTACACTTTCTAGGGCCCTATCCTACCTTCCCAGGTTTGCTGTTCGGTATTTTGCATTTGAGGACAGCAGATACCAAGTCCCCACAGAACACTGCATGAGCCCCAGAGTGGGGCTGCCCAGGGTGGTTTGTAGTCAGCTGACGTGCCACTTGTTCTGACAGATCTGCCTCCCTTTTGAGCAGACACTACCCTTGCCCTGCCTGTCCCATTTGTATTCCTTCCAAAATTTGGAGGAATGTAGTTCCTTTATCCTTCACCCCAGTTAGCCCTAGTTACTGGTAAAGGATAATTTACTGGGCAATAATGCAAGATTTCCACTTTGTTTCCTTGTTGTGCAAGCCTCATATCTGTCCTGCTTTCTGCAGGAATATCCTTATGGTGTACGGTGACTCAAGGCAGACACGCCCTTTCTAAGTGGGCCGGAGCCGGACACCTTACCCATTAGATTTTGCTGTATGCCTGTAGGTAAATTTTGAAAATGTAACAGTAAAACAAAATGCTATTCTTTAAAAATTCTCCAACTTGGCTATAGTCAAGGCCAGTAGTGTACTAAGAGGTGGTCCATGACGAGTGACAGGAGGGAGGGGGGGTACACTGTGCTCACAACACCACTGTTTTGTCTGTCACTGTTTGTGGTGTGAGTGCACAGCATCCAGGTAAGGGATTTCATTACTCTCTAACTAGGTCTAGCCGGGAGGAAGCTGCATAACACTCATATAGGCTGCGGGGACAGAGTTAAGTGTTTCTGACACCCGTTGTCTGTTAACTGCATACCAATCACTAGTCACCAGGGGCTGCAGTGCCTGCTGCCTTCGCTCCGTCCCTCATAAAGGTAAGAGGAAATTTTGTGACTGTTTTCCCCAGCGGTTGGGTCCCAACACCTGGCAAGTGAAAATTTAGCTTTGATGAGTAAAACTACACTCCTGGTGAGCATACTATGGCTTGAATTTGTCAACTATTAGCATAGGACTTCAAATTGTAAGCCTTAACATAGTGTATGTGACTGTGTATCTAGGTATATGTGTGTGTAAGTGACTGTGTGCAGTGGTGTATTTTGGTTTTGTGCTGCCCTAGGCATGACAAAACACAGGCTCACCCCCATCTAAATGTCTCTTCCTGTTTAAAATCAACACACTCTTTGACTGACAGACACAATTCTCACTGATGCATACACTAAAACACTCACTGACAAACACACAGTCAATGACACACACACTCACAGTTACACACATTCACTGACAGACACACACATTCACTGACAGAAGTCAGTCATACACACATACACCCTGTTCCAAATCATTATGCAAATTCTATTTAAGTGTCACAAAGATTAAATATTTTGTTTTTCAGTTTAACTCATGGATGGCATTGTGTCTCAGGGCTCTTTTGATCACTGAAAACAATCTCTGATACCTGTGATAATTAGATTGCCTGGTGAGCCCAATTTAAGGAAAAACTACTAAAGGAGGGTGTTCCACATTATTAAGCAGAGTACCATTTTCATGCAATATGGGGAAGAAAAAAGGATCTCTCTGCCGCCAAAAAGAGTGAAATAGTTCAATGACTTAGACGAGGTATGAAAACATTAGATATTTCACGAAAACGTAAGCATGATCATCGCACTATTAAGAGATTTGTGGCTGATTCAGAGCACAGACGGGTTCGTGCAGATAAAGGAACATTGAGGAAGATTTCTGCCAGATCCATGCATCGGATCAAGAGAGCAGCTGCTAAAATACCGTTACATAGCAGCAAACAGATATTTGAAGCTGCTGGTGCCTCTGGAGTCCCACGGACATCAAGGTGTAGAGTCCTCCAGGGTCTTGCAACTGTGCATAAACCTTCTATTCGGCCAACACTAACCAATGCTCACAAGCAGAAATGGGTGCATTGGGCAGAAAAATACATGAAGACTAATTTTCAAACAGTCCTGTTCACTGATGAGTGCTGTGTAACCCTGGATGGTCCAGATGGATGGAGTAGTGGATGGTTGGTGGACGGCCACCCTGTGGTGGAGTCATGTTTTGGGCCGGAATAATTGGAAGATAGCTGGTCGGCCCCTTAAGGGTTCCCGAAGTTGTAAAGATGACCTCTGCAAAGTATGTGGAGTTTTTCGGAAACTGTTCTTTCCATAATAAAATCCTCTTCATGCATGACAATGCACCATCTCATGCTGCAAAGAATACCTCTGCATCAATGGCTGCTATGGGGATAAAAGGGAGAGAAAGTCATAGTGTGGCCTCCATCCTCCCCTGACCTCAATCCTATTGAGAACCTTTGGAGCATCCTCAAGCAAAAGATCTTTGAGGGTGGGAAGCAGTTTACATCCAAACAGCTCTGGGAGGCTATTCTCACATCTTGCAAACAAATTCAAGCAGAAACTGTCCAAAAACTCACAAGTTCAATGGATGCAAGCCTTGTAAAGCTGCTATCAAATAAGGGGTCCTATGTTAAAATGTAATGTGACCTGTTAAAATGTTTAAAAAGTTAAAATGTTGTTATAAGTTTGATTGAAATAGCTTTTGATTTCAGTAAATATGCTGCAAACACAACAAATGACAATTTTCAGTTCTTTACAACCTATAAAGTGTTTTGAAACTTACTGTGCGTAATAATTTGGAACAGTGCATTGTAAGTTTTTATGTTTAAAAAAAATACTGTTAGGAGGTTTGTTCAATAAAATTTGAATTGTACTCTTAATAGTTGATAACATGAGAATTATGCTGACTGTTATTACATCAATTATTTAGGTAAATGAGAAAAATATAATTTGCACAATAATTTGGAATAGGGTGTATACTCACTGACAGATAAACATGCACACACACTGAGACACACATACACACTCACTGACAAACACACACTCTTTGACAGACACATATACACACACACTGATACACTCATAATTAATTTATTTATTTTAATTTCAATCCACCCAGCCTCCCTTTGGAAGTGCTGGAGTGGATTCTCTATTTCCCTGGTGTCCAGTAGGGATTCTTTCACTGCTGGACGGCCAATGCAGGCGGCGAGGGAGCTCTGATCTTCCTACTCTGCTCCCTCACGCGCCGCTTAGTGATGTCGGGCCAGAGTGATGTCATATTCTGGCGTCACTGCAGGGCGCGCAAGGGAGCAGGGAGAGCCCTCTCTTGCCGCCCCCTCCAACTTGAGCAAATGCCAACCTTGAGTGGGCCCCAAGGTGGCCAGTTGGCCTATTCTTGGACCCCCCAAGACAAAAGGCTGACCAGGCATCTGCTGTGGCGTTTGGGGGTTGGCATATTTTGCCCCCCCCCGAAAGTGCCGCTAAAGGCAAATGCCTTGTCAGCCTCTCGCTAAATACAGCACTAACTGTGTGTGATTGTGTGTGTGTGTGTGATCATTGTATGTCCATTTTTGTATGTGAGTGCATGTGTATGTAGGGATGTATACCATTGTGTCTACATATTGTCCTAGGGGGCAGGTCTGCTCGAAGGATTGGCCGGTTAGCTTTGCATGAATCATCCACTGTTTCAGTGCTCTCTGCAGAGTCTCAGTGTCCAGAGCATAGCGAGAGCGGGTCTAATGATGTGCTTACGCTATGCTTGTTAGGAATGGTCTCCTGGTATTCTCAAAAGCGGGACGCCAGGCAACAAAGTTGGGATGACAGGAGAGGACCTGGAAATTGGGACTGCCACTGCCAAAATCAGTACAGTTGGGAGGTTTTGTTTGTGTGTGAGTGAACAAAAAAGGTTGAGGGTTCAGAAACAAGCAAGAGGTATGGGGCGGGTTAAGAAATACAAAAAAAAAAGGTGAAAAGGGTTAAGAGTCACAAGGTAGAAAGAGGAGATTAGGAGAAACACACGAAGAGATGAGTGGGTGCAGAGGGTGGGGTCCCAAGTGACCTCAGCACACTTCCAGCCATGCCTTGGCTATTTTAACCTCTCATTTTTTGTCATTCTGATTAAATTTGCTAAAATTAGGAGTTTAAAGGGACACTTTAGTCACCCAGACCATTTCAGCTCAATGAAGTGGTCTGGGTGCCAGGTCGCCCAGGTTTTAACCCTTCAGATGTAAACATGCAGGGTTAATCCAGCCTCTAGTGGCTGTCTTCCCGACAGCCGCTAGAGTCGATTTTGCAACGCTGGATGTGAAAATCGCATTCAGCGTGCAGAACGTCTATAGCAAAGCATTGAGAAATGGACGGTTTGAATGCACGCGCGGCTCATGACGAGCATGCACATTTATTCCGCTCCACTCGGCAACTGATGTCGCCGGGGGAGGAGAGGTCACCAGCGCCGAGGGTGGATTTAGGTAACTGAAGGGGTTTTAACCCTTTCAGCGCCAAGGGAGGGGCGCCCTGAGGGTGGGGGAGGAGAGAACCTAAGGGTTATATAGTGTCAGGAACACGAGTTTGTTCTCCTGACGTTATAGTGATCTTTCGATGACTAACCTGCATTGTGAGTTTTCAAAGTGAATTAAAATTTAAGGTCAAAATATCCAAACTTGGGGGGAGGAAAAAAAAAAAGAAAGAAAGAAAATTCAGCTATGCTTTCAGTTTAACTACTTAAATTAGAAATTCCCTATGAATTCTCATCTTAGTAAATAGCAATGCCCACCTGTCTGCTAACTAAGGGCACAGTGCCCTAAATCAAAATGGCCGCCGCGCTCAGCGTGCTACTCTCAGGTCACATGACCAGCACTGGCAGTTTCAGGATCTCCAGGCCGGCCGGCGGTGTCGCACGCTGATGACGCGGTGTCGCACACTGTTAGCCTTGCCTTGTCGCACACCTACTCCATCTTTGTCTCAGTCATGTCTCGGGGATCCAGCGCGGGGTTTGACCGGCACATCACCATCTTCTCCCCCGAGGGCCGGCTCTACCAAGTGGGTGAGTAACCGGGGGACCGAGCTGCTGGCCAGCCCAGGAAACCAAGGGGGGGACACCGGGCTCCATGGCTGCTGTGTCACGCTGGGCCTACAGGCTGAGCTCTGTATAATATAATAATAAAATACTATAATAATACCATAATAATACCCTGATACCATAAAATACTATAATAATACCCTGATACCATAAAATACTATAATAATACCCTGATACCATAAAATACTATAATAATACCCTGATACCATAAAATACTATAATAATACCCTGATACCATAAAATACTATAATAATACTATAATAATACCCTGATACCATAAAATACTATAATAATAATACTATAATAATACCCTGATACCATAAAATACTATAATAATACTATAATAATACCCTGATACCATAAAATACTATAATACCATAATAATACCCTGATATCATAAAATACTATAATACCATAATAATACCCTGATATCATAAAATACTATAATAATACCCTGATACCATAAAATACTATAATAATACTATAATAATACCCTGATATCATAAAATACTATAATAATACCCTGATACCATAAAATACTATAATAATACCATAATAATACCCTGATACCATAAAATACTATAATAATACCATAATAATACCCTGATACCATAAAATACTATAATAATACCATAATAATACCCTGATACCATAAAATACTATAATAATAACATAATAATACCCTGATACCATAAAATACTATAATAATACCATAATAATACCCTGATACCATAAAATACTATAATAATACCCTGATACCATAAAATACTATAATAATAACATAATAATACCCTGATACCATAAAATACTATAATAATACCATAATAATACCCTGATACCATAAAATACCATAATAATACCCTGATACCATAAAATACCATAATAATACCCTGATACCATAAAATACTATAATAATACCCTGATACCATAAAATACTATAATAATACCCTGATACCATAAAATACCATAATAATACCCTGATACCATAAAATACCATAATAATACCCTGATACCATAAAATACTATAATAATACCCTGATACCATAAAATACTATAATAATACCCTGATACCATAAAATACTATAATAATACCCTGATACCATAAAATACCATAATAATACCCTGATACCATAAAATACCATAATAATACCCTGATACCATAAAATACTATAATAATACCCTGATACCATAAAATACTATAATAATACCATAAAATACTTCATTGAGATAAAGTGGTCTAGTTGGCCTTAGTGGTCCTTTAAACGTTACCTTTATCTTTCCTTTGTCGTTACAAACTAGTATTTAGAAAATGCAACAGCCTGTACTGTCTTTTTGTTTGTTTGTTTTTCTCACTTGGAAGCTGCATGGATTTTCCTCTTGAATGTGGTTATGATCAGTAACCGAATAATTTACAGTATAAAGTTACTACTGCCTTCACTGTCGTCCTATTTTAATAGATCTATTGATTACACCCACCTAATAATTATTTTTTCCTGTCAACTACATAATTGCAGGCAACCTAGTGGACTTGCAATCGTAGATTTTGATTACAAGTATGAAAAAATATTTCATGTTCTGCCCTGAAGCTCCTTCAAATAACCCTCTGAATTTGTTCAAGAAGAGCTGTACACCTTAAAGGAGAATTCTATAACAACTTAAGCTCATTGAAGTCTATATGGGGACCATCTTACCATCAGGTGTGAAATAGTTTTCCAACTGTTTAACCTCTGGCGCCAAAAATAGCTGCCACCCCATCAACCTTCCTTTCTCCCGCTGGCATACGGGGCAGGTTTGGAGAATGGCTGGTGAAAGGCTTAAAACTTCAGCAGGTTGCTCTTAGTCTATCACTTGCCGCTTTAGTGAAATTAATAGTATGTAGTATTTTTCTCAATGGACAACCATTGATAGACTGACAGCGTCAGCTGATGCTCGCAGCCTGTCACCTGCTGCCTGGCAATAACTTGCCTCTTACAGCAGTGGAATAAAGCAAGGGGGTCAGTTGGCAGCCGCGTCAGGCGCCACAGAACCACCATCAGAGTTAAACCACTGGAAAATGCTTTAACCTTCCGAAGGAAGGATGGCACTCGAACACTCCTGCCCCCAAAAAACAACTTTTGTAAGTTATCGTAGAGATGTGAGTGTTTCTTTGATCCATTGTTTTGTTTTTCTACTTCCTTGTCTCTCCTGCACTCTGTTGAAATCGGTTTGAATAAGGAAGTCATGTAGTGATGATCCAAACACCAAGGATGGGAATGGAAACCACACATTATACAATCACTTTGCAAATTTTAAGCTTCTTGCTGCAGGGATTGGATTGTAAGCTCACATGAGCAGGTGCCTTAGTACTTCTTTACCTTGAAGGTTATTTAATATAGCGGAGTGCTATATTTTGTGTAAGGTAAGGGAGACACAAGCTTCCCCTTGCAAGCTGCAACACCGCACATCCAGACTCCTACCACCATGACCACTTCAAAAAGTAGAAGTGGTCATGGTGGTTGGAGCAATGTTTTCTAATAAGTGTAAGTATTAATATAGGCATTCCAATCTGTAAATTAACTCTTCTAAGACAACAATTTACCAAGAGGTCTCCATTGCTCTCTAGTGCGAACTCAAGTGTACAGGACAATTAAAAGGTGCTGATGAATGTAAAAAGGGAAAAAGTAGCTTTACTGTCGGCATTTATTTTTCTTTAGTAAGTGTCGGAATAAAGCAATCTGTCACTTCGTACATTCGTTTTGCTATTTTTCATGCATTTTTAGTTTGGCCATTACATAAACCAGAAGAATGTTGATTATTATTAATTATAAAGCGCCAGTAAGTTCCAAAGCGTAATGGGCGGACATGTATTTGTAACCAGACGAGTTGGAGCTTACATGCTACAGGGAGTGGGGTAATTCGACACAAAAAAGGAAGAAAAGTAGGTTGCTAGGATAGTGTTCATTAAGTATTTTAAACTATCAGTCAACTGAGTGCACACTGCTTCATTGGCAGGAGTTGATTATGGTGTGGGACCTCTTCCCTATACATCAGCTTGTGTAGTTTCTAAAAATGTTAGGTAAATACAATTCCCAATATGCTGTTATTGAAAGAAGGCAAAATCCCATTTTTTTTTTTTTTATATATATATGTTAAATGTTTAAAATGATTTGGTGGTAAATTTTCAGCAAAAAACCCCCCAACTTTTCCTTAGAAATTTCTTGCTAAAATTGCATTCTTTGTACATTTTACAGGGAACTGAAAGAGGCCTTGTTATATACGTGTTTAGGAGAAAGAAAATTGAAAGTGAAAGTGATTGTGGAATATCATGGACACACCTTGTAACTTGCACGTTGATTGATCACTGATATGGTGCTTTTTTTTTTATTTATTTTTTTTAAGTTTCATTCAAAGCACCATAACAACTTTGCATTGTCCTGGTGGAGAGAGACAGTACCCTTCACTCAACATAAATACTGAGTGACTTATAACTAAAGGGATTTCAGCATATATTTAGAGCTATAAGCCTGCCTCCCACTTCTCTCACATATCAAAATGCTTATTGATCATCTTATGTGATGCTTTGATCTGTGGCTCGGGGATAAACAGTTTATCCGTTAACCTCTGTTTGACAGAGAATTGGAAAGGATCAAACCACATGACCAGAATGTGAGGCTTATAATTGGTGGAGCCTTAGTGGTCAGCGAGGAGTCTGTCACTGAAGTATTTTGTTCTAATTTTTTTACTGCAATATCCATAGACCCAATTAAAAATTGTGGGGTCCATATTTGCTAGTTATGTCATTTTAAAGGGAACCTATAGTCCCCAAAATAACAGTCATTATTAAAACTACATTAAATAAAGTTTACTTTACTCATTTTTAGCCCTGGGACTCCTCCACTGCAGTCTGCAGCTCCTCCTCTAGTGATGTCAGCATCCAAGCTGACCACCCACGATCTCCTCCAATCCATTGCTTTCCATATAGAACTGGGCATGCTCTGCCAAACTGTGGCCAAGCTGTGGTCCTCCAATCAGATGCTACAATCCGCAGCATTTAATCCCAGGTCCGAGTTTCACCTGGTTCTCGAGGAGGATGGCATATCTAATGGCTGTCAGAAAGCCAGCCACTAGAGGGGTATTTAATCCTGCAATATAAGCATTTCAGTTTCTGCAAACCTGTTAAAATGAAAGAACCACTCCACCCAGACCACTTCATTGAGAGGTGTCTTGGTGACTTTAGTGTCCCTTTAAAGTGAGTCTGTCATGGTGATAGCACTTCCTTATGCAGTCAATGTTTAATTTATCAATTTGTATATTTCATTGCAGTAGGAGTTGTTAGTAGAATACATTCCCTATAGCACTACCATCATGCAAAGTTCATGTTTATTACACTTGTCTACTTCCTGCTCCCTTTCTAGATTCCAATTTAGGAATACTTCATCATGGAGCAGGGCCCTGTTCCTGTATGTCCAGTTGTCTGGTTACAATTACATGTCTGTTAGTCCACCCATTGTACAGCGCTACAGAGTCTAATGGCGCTATTAAAATAATAATAATATGAATGTCCAACAATTCATGGTTTAGTGAATTCGTCTAAAAACCTGTGCACAATCACATAAATTAGTGATGCTCGTATTAGAGTCCAGAGTCACCTTTCTCGTATCGGTGCCACCCAATATATATATATATATTCGTATTTACAAGGCAAAGTCACGTTTGGAAAGTACATTAAAAACTCCTCCTTTTTAGCCTATCCCACTACTAATATGTATGTGGTGTGTAAATATTTTAATTATTTCTTTCTTTGTTTTTCTGTTGACTGTTACAAATAATGTCTTGACTTTAAAAAAAGATAAAACACAAAATTGACTGACAAAAAGCTGCAGATACTGACTCCATGCACAATGACCACTTCAAATCACTGAAGTGGTTATGGTGCTTTCTGTAGCCCTTTAAAAGGACAAGTGGATGGTTTTCTTGGCTATTACAGTTCACTCCATATTGCGTGAGCAGCGTGAACAAATATCAGAAATGACTATAGACCTGCCTGTTTCTAGTGGTCAAGCTGTTATAAGAAATCACATTTATAAACCTGGAACTATCCATTTCGTAGGAAATTTATTTTTGTGACAGACGAGGACTCTATGAAATGAAATCGTATTTTCCCTTTATTTTGGAAGGAATTTCACTAATCTGCAGTGAAAACGTAATCCTTTCACTTTCCTTTCTGTTTTTTTAACACATCAGGATGAGCTACTTCATTTATTTGTGACCTCCATTTTTAATGCATGATAAAGATAATACTTTTTATACTTCTAGATTTTGGCGCAAATATCCGCATTTAACATCGTCTTATGACTCTGTCCACACCAAGGAGTAACTAGAGCAGTCAAGAGCATCGGATTCTGATCTGTGTAGTATGAACTCTTGGACATGTGTAACCCAGCATTGTGAGCGTTCAACTGCAGCTTGTTCATTAGCCGTTTAAAGGGACACTCCAGGCACCCAGACCACTTCTGCCCATTGGAGTGGTCTGGGTGCCAACTCCCACTACCCTTAACTCTGCAGGTGTAATTAATGCAGTTTTCATAAACTGCAATATTTATCTTGCAGGGTTAACTCCTCCTCTAGTGGCTGTCTACTAGACAGCCACTAGAGGACACTTCCATGTTCATAGAACACGAAAAGTGTGCTATAACGACGCTAGACGTCTTCACTCTATGTGAGGACCTCCAGCACCGCTAAAATCCCCATAGGAAAGCATTATTCAATGTTTTCCTATGGGGAGGTCTAATGTGCGTGTGCGGCATTGCCGCGCGTGTGCGGCATTGCCGCGCATGCGCAATAGGTCTCCCCCGCAGTATGACGTCAGCGAGGGAGTAGCGTGGGCGGACCCTGACCCAGTGGATACAGGTAAGTCACTGAAGGGGTTTTAACCCCTTCAGCAACTTTCGGTGGGGGGGAGAGGGGACCTGCAGTGCCGGGAAAACGGGTTGTTTTCTTGGCACTGGACAGTCCCTTTAACTTTTTACAGATTAGATATGTGACCGTCGCTAGCCTCTACACACAACTTCTCTGTCTCTAATCCATCAATGTGTCTTTTCCAAACTTGCCTTTTGGTGTATGGGGAGGGTCTGGCTAGCAGCTATAACATTTCTCTGTGCACAGCCTCACTTCTGCTCAGAGCAGGGTTTTCTGGGACTTATTTCTGTTAATAAAAGCTATTTCTTTGAAGGGACTCTATAATCACCAGAACTACTACAGCTTAGTGTAGTTGTTCTGGCGTCAATAGCATGTCCCTGCAGCCTTGTTAGTGTAAACATTGCCTTTTTCAGAGAAACAGCAGTGTTTGCCACTGGAGGTGACCCAAAGGAGCAATGTAGTCACTCAGACAGCTGCCAGATGTGCTTTCTGGGTCAGTGAGGCCCAATGTGCCGCACTGACGTTCAGCAATCTCTATGCTCTGCATTGATTCAATGCATCTCTATGAGGAGATGCTGATTGGTGCAGCGTGGCTTTTTGCCACTTATGCCCAATAGTCTCCAAATGTTTTCATATGGGAAAGCATTTGATTGGCTGTGATTATCAAATCTGATTATCTCAGTTGGGGGGGCTGTGCACTTAAATTACCATTTAAACCTATAGTGTCAGGAGTAAATATTTGTATTCCTGACACTATAGTGTTCCTTTAACTACAACTTAACAGAACATTTATTGTGCTCTATGATGGCCTGTCTTGCTATGTTAAAGTATAAACCTTACAGATTAGTAGAGTGTCATGGAAAACGTGGGCTTATAAAGTTGCAAGATTATGTACCTAGGTACAGTAACTAGCATGAACAAAGTATTTTAGAATTGAGTAGGTGGAACAAATTTAAAACTTAAAGCGTCATTGTCACACTGAACTTGCCTTTCTCCTATTGTTTCCTCTCTCAGAATCTGTTCCTTTTTCTGATAGGCACTAATTTGTTTTATGTATTTTTCCTACGCTTGACTTTCTGTGACCAAAGCAGGAGCTTAAGTCAGCTGAACTTCCTGTGGTCAAATTTACTCACCCTCGTCATTGATAAAGGAAATTAAACGGACTTAAACTCCTCCTTTGGTCAAAGAAGACAAAGTGTAGGAAAAATAAATAAGACAAAGTAGTCCCTAACGGTAGGTTTGGCACGACAGTGTCGCTTTAAGATCCAAAATATTGCAAAACATTTATTTTATTTGCCAAATGTTTAAAAGCTGGTCATCCAAAAAAATATAGCTAATTATTTAGGAAAAAGAAAAAGTTTAGATTCACAAAAGTTTTGTTGAGGCAGTAAGTGTTCCATTAACCCCTTTGTGACAGATCACATTATTTTCCAGTCCTAGGAAGTCTTTTATCTGATTTAAAAAAAAAAATGTAGGTTAGTAAATTCAGTTTTGTTGATTATTTTGCGTTTGTTTTCAGAATATGCCTTCAAAGCTATCAACCAGGGTGGGCTTACATCTGTCGCTGTTCGAGGAAAGGATTGCGCTATTGTTGTTACACAAAAGAAAGTTCCTGTGAGTATTTTACATCATTACTTTTCCTCTGCCTGACTCCAGCCTTGAGCAATCATGGAAGATAAATATGGCACCCTAATTTTTGTTCATTGAGTGGGGTGTTGGTAAAACTCCAAAACCATAGAGTTGTCCAGGTAACATACACGTTGGAGAATATAAAGTGGAACAAAACTTCCAAAATAGTTGTTTTTAGGTTTGCTGTACTCCCTTCTCTAGTTTGGAGAATAATAAATTGCACAATCTTGTAATTTTCACAAAGTGTGTTTTTTTTTGTTTGTTTTTTGTGGGTTTTTTTTTTATAAATAACTCTCTCTATCCTCCAGGACAAGCTGTTAGACTGCAGTACAGTTACCCATTTATTCCGAATAACTGAAAGCATTGGCTGCGTGATGACTGGAATGACAGGTACTCTTTCTCTTTTTTTATTATATTGAATTATTAAAGGAACTACCAGAGTAGTTTGCCGAGCCATTTAATGCAAATGCCTGTGCCCAGTGTGAGCCTGGAAGTGATTATGGTGCTTGATGTTAATGGTGCTTAATGTTCTTTTAAAGTGTGGCTTTTGTTTTGTGTATAAATCCATTATACGGACAATATTGTGTTCCTGTGCACTACAACCTGGCTATTAAATGTGTACATAATGGATGTCAGAGACTGTTCTGGAATAAAATTAAGATGCTGCTCACATGGGACTTAGGGGACAGTGTCCAATACTCTATTTCAGTCCCACAGTATTATGTAGTATTGATAGAATAGGCTGCAGCGTGCACGGTTATTATAGTATGCTGATTTAGTAGTTATGGTGCCATTAGGCTGCTGGTGTTGTCTTCTGGTTCTTGGTCTAATCATTTTGGAGTGGTTTGACCAACATGTGGGTTTCCTGTGCCTATTTCCTGTGCCTATTCCCTGCTCAGGTATTGCTAATACAGAAGTTTTTGTTCACATGTTAAAGCCACTCATTGGTTAAGTGCATTAGGAACTGTGGAGGAAATCATAACCAATGCTTAGGTATGTATTGAATATAAAGCCTAGACTGCCCCTTTAAACATCCAGACCAGAGTAATTGCTGCCTTCTGCCTATATGTTGGGCAGTATTGCTTGATGCCACATACAGGTTTAAACCATCTCTGCATTAGCCTGGTTGGTTCAGTCTGATAAACTCACCTGTGGTCATTGGATCACAGTGTCCCACCTGTAGAAGATGGTACTTTGTCGTAGCCTTGCTTGACTGGCTTTCCATCACTGATAAATTATCAAATCACTAGGCATCTTCTTAGCAAGTTGGTAATGGTCCTGGATGCAGCAGCATGGCCCAGCCCTGGAGGTGGCAATGCCTATAGGCCTCTCTTTATCCTCCACAATATTCTACTATACTATGAATAAGCAAAACATACAAGTATTTCAACCATTTTAGAGGTACGGAATCAAAATGGCGAAAGCATGGCTCAAACAGATAATCCATCCATTGTGCCTCTTGTCTGTTTCTGACCCTTCCCTTCATCTCTCTTGTTAGCCGACAGCAGGTCACAGGTACAGCGAGCACGTTACGAAGCTGCAAATTGGAAGTACAAATATGGCTATGAGATTCCAGTTGATATGCTGTGCAAACGGATTGCCGATATCTCTCAGGTGTACACACAAAATGCAGAAATGAGGCCCTTGGGATGCTGTAAGTAGCCTTTCACCCTGTCTATGTGTGTGTACTGATCTGATTCGTACTAATGTGACATACCACTTTGTCAGCGATAAACTGATGCAAATGCCCATCATTAAATACCACTAAAATCCACCACTGTCTTTGACTTTACTGCATAGTGATAAGGCTAAGTTCCACTAATTAAGACTTTAACTTGTATTTTGAGTGTTATTAAAAGTGCGCGTAGTTGATTTGAAATGAATGCCATATATTTAATTGACTACATTGAGTTCACAAAGCTTTCTGTGCCTAATCCTTACACAAGATTATTTAATATAACACTATAGTCACCAAAACAACTTTAATTTAATGAGGCAGTTTTGGTGTATAGATCATGACCTGCAGTCTCGCTGCTCAATTCTCTGCCATTTAGGCATTAAATCACTTTGTTTATGCAGCCCTAGCCACACCTCCCTGCATGTGACTTGCACAGCCTTCATAAACCCTTCCTGAAAGAGTCGTCTAATGTTTACACTTCCTTTTTTGAAAATTATATTTAATTTAGAATTTATCTCCTGCTCCGTTAATAGCTTGCTAGGACCTGCAGGAGCCTCCTGTATGTAATTAAAGTTACATTTACAGAGCATTTGATTCCCTGACTGAGTTTAACTTGATCTGGAGGAGGAAGACCGCCACTAAAGGTTTCTAAAATTGCAACGCTTTTTATTGCAGTTTTAAAATTAAGTGACTGCTTCACTCGGATTGTTTCATTGAGATTAAGTGTTCCTTTTAATTGTTTGATTTTTTTTTTTTTTATACAGCCCTTTCCCCTCTTTATATTAAGGTTATTAAAGTTTGCTTGCTGTTGCTAGCACAATGTAGGAATAATTTTCCTTGCCCTGCCTGAACACTATTAATTCAACAATATAGCGTCAGAAAAACAAACAACAAGCTAAAGTGCTTTAGGGGTCTGGAGTTTCCCTTTAAGAAGTTTGTCAGCAAAAATATTCCAATGTAATCCAGTATAATTAACTTACTAAAGGAAAATACAATACGTTTCTACTATTCCGGTTATATCTAAATCAATGACACTGCAAAAAGCTTGGGGATTGTTTGCAACCCAGCCAAAAAACTGCTGAGCTGGAAAAGATGTAATGTGTCACCACTAATTCAGCAGCTTCTTCTGTAATTCACACGAAGTGAAAGGCAATCCGCTAGGTCTTCACATTTGTCCTTTAGCACGTGCTTTAGCTTTTTAAATCAAATAGTGTATTCTTAGACAATTCTACGATTTATTGCTTTAATTTGTCTTTGATTTCCTGCCAGTTGTATGATTCATTCTGCTTTGTTGGTTACATATTCATCTTGTGGCTGTTTCAGGCATGATCCTAATTGGAGTCGATGAGGAGCATGGACCGCAGGTCTATAAATGTGACCCCGCTGGCTATTACTGTGGCTTTAAAGCCACTACAGCTGGCGTCAAGCAAACAGAGGCTACTAGTTTCCTTGAAAAGAAAGTGAAGAAGAAGCTGGACTGGACCTACGAGCAGAGTATTGAGGTAAGATGATTAGCCACACATTGTTAGCACCAAGTTCTGCTTTCCACTTTCTTCTATCCAATGTCTGTTAACCGGTATTTTCTTGCCAAATTCTGCCTTCCATTTTGCTGTTTATTGACCACTTCCTTTTGTCCATAACACATTTCCAAAAATAACGGTTACATCATTCAAAATAAAAATGCGTACAATATTTAGAATGTTTGTTTGTGGTGTCCTTCATTTTGAAGCACTCTATGGTCTTGTCAAAAGCAAAACCGATTACTTTGGGCCATATTGAGTGTGTTTTTGTTTTTCTCATCAGAAGACTTAAATATTTACACTCCTCCAAACAAACTAAAAAGCAAATCATACCAAGATTCCTACATTTATTTATTCATTTTTTAGTTCTTTATGGTAGACCTTTTCCCAAATATTAACAATAGAGCAAGATTAACAATTACAAAAATGCACAGTGCATTTATTAACAAACAAAAAAATCACAAACCGGGACTATATGAATTGGAGACAAAATGGAAAGGTTGATAAAAGGTGATTAAAATCAAGGCTTTAAAATGTGTCCATGCTTGTTGTAACATCATCTTTTACTGAATTTCAGACTGCAATTTCCTGTCTTTCCACTGTTCTTTCCATTGATTTCAAGCCATCTGAACTTGAGGTTGGGGTAGTGACTCTCGATGACCCAAAATTCAGGTATGTGTGGCCTTAACACCTCTGTCACTTAATTTAGCATATGTTGTGATTTGTTCATTGAGATTGATGATATGCAGCTTTGTGCATTTCGGTCAGTACCCCTGCTAGGTTTGCCAAGTGCAGCTTGCTTTCCTACGGATTTGAATATATTCGAGGACATGAGCAATGTTTAGGAGTAGGGGGCACAATAGGTGGGAGGCGCCAGAGGAAGACTGTAGGGGGATGAGGAATTAAAGGGAGAGCTAATGGGATCCAAATCCATTTTAGAAGAAGCCGGCCATCAATTAATAGAGTTTGCTTCTATATTCAATAGAAAATTAAAGTAGGCAGGGGTATCTTAACTTTACCAAAACTACCAAGCTACACCCCATTTAGCATACTGTCTCTCTATAGCAGACAGAGGAAATGTTTGCGACCTCACCCATCACCTTTCCTGACAGTGAAAGCAGGCTGCCTGGCGCACTGAACCGTACAGTAACAGACCTTTACAGATCAAGGAGAAGCTTTTCTCCAATAACTATGACGTGTTATTTATTGATGATCACGTCTCATTGTTTTTATTATAAGGTTCACTCTTCCAGCTTCCTTTTAATAACTAGGGTCTCAACGAATGTATCAACCTTCAATTACCACCAATCTGTTTCCTGTTTAGCTATTTCGGACAAAAATGTGAAATTCACATTGAATTTTTTGAAGCTCACACTTGCAACTATCAGATAGCCCTGGCAAATGTGGGCACTGGGTTCGTAAATAACCCTTTCACTTTGTGTAAAGGGAGCTAAGTTATGCTAACCTCTTTTGCCCTATCTCCCATCATACAGATATATAAAGGCATTTAGCATATTCCTGTTTTATATTTTCAGGATCCTCACAGAGGCCGAGATTGATGTCCATCTTGTTGCACTAGCAGAGCGTGACTAGTGCCATCATGTCTGTCCAGAAAGACTTCACTTTACGCGCTACATACACATTGATTTGTCTGTCTTTTTGGGGTTTTTTCCTCCTGTATAAATAAAGCAGAGCTTTTTTGAATATGATCATTGTTTTTTAATTTGAAAGGAAATCAGTTTGGATGAATCTACGAATGCATTGTTTTTCACATATGTAGCCCAATGACCATTATATCACCATGTTTTATTGGACAAACATTTTATCAAGTCGATTAGCAGCACATGAAAATGCTGCCCTGTATTATGGATGATGTATATGCTGTCAGATTTCCTGATTGATTTACTACCTGCAGCATTTGACTTCTACATACTGCAGGTCATCCCTTTCTGTATGTTGCCCAACAATTTGTATAAATGATATGTGTCCAGACAAACATGGTGGATATGGTATTCCTATATATAACACATGTTCAGATTAAAGTTTTATTTTAAACTAATGGGATACTTTGATTGTATTAGAATGTCAAGTGCACATTTCGACTTGGGTATTGTGGATATCTAATTATTACTTAACGGAACACATGTACAAACATGTATTTCTGACCCTATAGTTTTAAAAACACTATTTAGCCTCCTGCCCTCCTTAAATATGGTGAAAACTCACCTTATTTCCAGCACTGGCATTTGGCTCTGCCTCCTTGGCTGACATCATCAGAATTGATTATCTCAGCCAATTAGTGCTTTCCCATAGGTTCCTGCAGAGCATCAGTCATGTATCGTTGGGTGATACTCTTGCTGTAAAACTCATGTTTCCTTGCCCTGCTTGAGCACTATTAATTCAACACTATAGCGTCAGGAAAACAAACAACAAGCTAAAGTGCTTTAGGGGTCTGGAGTTTCCCTTTAAGAAGTTTGCATACCCCTGTTTGGGAAGCACAGGCAAGTTTCAATACCAGGTTAAACGTCCCCAACACTTAAAGGGAAACTATAGGCTAGGAATACAAAACTGTCCTGCGACACAGAATGGGTTTTTTGTCACTTACCTGAATCCAGCACATGTGTCCCTGGATCTGGCTCCACCTCCACTCCTACACAGACGTCAGCTGAAATCGGAGACCTAATGCGCATGCGCAACAAGTGCCGCACTCGCATTAGGACTACCTCCTAGGAAAACATTGAATCCATGCTTTCCTATGGGGTTTTAGCTAACGCTGGATGTCCTCATGCATAGCCCGAGGACGTCTGGCGCCACACAACCAAATTTGCCTAACGACCTGGAAGAGCCTCTATTGGCTGTCTGGTAGACGGCAAATGGAGGTGCAGTTAACCCTGCAAGGTAATTATTGCAGTTTATCAATGACCAATAATTACCTTTGCAGGGTTAAACTGCCAGGGACACTGGACATCCTCACGCTTTTATTTTTATTTTTTTAGTTTAGATGATAGCCAGATTAATTCTTTATATAAGATAATTTACACACATGTTTAGTGATTTATTTTTTAGTAAGTAAAACCCCCAAAAGTCTAGAGTTCTAATGGTTGCACTAATGCATTAGTATAATATACATACTAAAGGCATATTATGAAAGCTAAGCTATAATAGGATGTTACACCTGACTTCCGATAACTGTTTAAGTAATGCCGTCTCTAAACATACCTGAACATTGGTGCTCCTTGCACTGGCAGTACAGTGGCCGTGGCTAGCTGGCAGTTAAGATGGTAGCACTTCAGAGCTTTACTAGTTATATTGGCCCGGAGGGCTAAACAATAAAGAGGCTCGGCACTATAGTCTAAGTGCCATATAAGAGTAGGTGTCTGATTAAAGTTATATGCGCAGCTGTGTGTATTAAAGTGGCAGGCCTTGTGTAAAAGCCACTGGTCGTCAGAATACACTAGCTTTAAGGTGGAGACGGCTTGCTCTGTGTTCTAGGCAGGATCTTAACAGAAGAGTCCTAATGTTGGCCCATGTGTGGCTGTGAGGTAGCAGTTATGTAAATACTGTGGAGCTCCTTGCACTTTTTAAAACCACTTTCTAGTCCAGAAAATGGATTTCAATGGTTTCCCCCACCTGCTGCAAAGGCAGTGCAAATTTTCATCATCTTGACAAGCTATCTGAGCTAATCTACCTTATTTTTAATTATTATTTTATAGCGGTGTTTGCTGCAACAGATCAATGTCCCAAATGATTTGCTTATTGCTTTTATGAAATAGTTGTGACAATAAAAAGCCGACCCGGTTTGCTTATGTATCTGTACATCTTTGATCCCATTGTAGTGTGTGTGTGGGAATCAAGATATTTGTCTTCCTCACTCTTTTAGCACTCACAATACAGGGTTATTCACTCAAATATTAATTATTTTTATAATTGAAAGTTATATTTTTTTATTTTTTTTTGCCAAAATAGGCAAACCAAAACCATAGCTGCCATAATTTTCCAGTTCTGCTAATTTGACCTCAAATTCACACTTTTTTAAATAAATAATTCTGAAAGTAGTGAACGTTGTGGGTGATGGAAAGATATCCTTATTCAAGATACTTTATAAGTGTGACTGCCAATGGTATATGTTTAACGTTACGCGTCAAGAAAAGATTGGGGGGAACTGGTAGTTTGGCACAATGTGGGTGCCAGGCGTTCCTCTTGCCTGCCACTAGAGTAATGTTGGCTAACATTTGGTACTAGAGGTTTACCTTCTGGCTAGTTGGAAAGTTTAACCTACAGTATCTAGAACAATGTCCGTTTTTAGAATCCATCCCAATATTTAAAGCAACAATGATCTGTCTCGATATGACTAGTTAAAGTAACGTTGTTGGTATTTCCTCACGTGTCCTGACTCTATTCTGTAATATTGTAACTGTGACTCATGAAATATGCATGGAATGCACGTATGTAAGTGACACGGGGCACACACCCAGCTACTGAAATAATGTTTACCCTGGTCGGGAAGAATACATTAAAAATGTTCTCGTTGGATTGAGCCATACTAGGAAATAAAGAATCTTTTTTTTTTTTTTTTAAGTAGCATTTTAGAAGGTTTCAAGGTAATGTGACTAAGAATGATGCATGTAAATCCATGGAATGCTAATCACTAACATGATAAGGATGCTTTAAAGCAGTAGATGGGTTTTACCCCATAGGGTTACGTGTTTGACTGGGTCATGACTTATTCCAGGTTTGGAGACGCTTGGCATGGGTGGATTTATTTGGGCTACAGTGTCCCAGGTGTGTTGGTGACACATGCCAGGTAACAGGAGACAAATTGTGGGATGGATGCCAGCACTATAAGATGTTCTAGTTCATTATCCTCAGTTCAACTTTTTCAATGCTTTATCTGTTCATTAAAATGGGATAGAGCTGTCCAAATTTCTAAAATAAGGCTTAGTTGAATGATTCAGACCCACAATACAATATTAAAGAGACTCTATAGCACTCAGACCACTTAAGATCCTTTAAGTAGTCTGGGTGCAGTGTCCCTGTCCCCTTAACCCTGTCATTTTAATTATTGCAGTTATTGATCAACTGCAATTATCTTAGAGAGTTAACTCAACCTCTAGTGGTTCTCTAACAGAAAGCCACTAGAGGAACTTCTGGGTGATTAGGTGACTTTTAATGGCCTAACTGACGCTCGACGTCCTCACGCTCTGCTTGAGGACTTCTAGCGTCATCTGAAACCTCATAAGAAAGTATTGATTTAATGCTTTCTTATGGGGTAGTCTTAATGCGAGCGCAGCACTTTCCAGGCATGCGCATTAGGTCCTTCTGCCCGCCTGTTGACATCAGTGAAGGAGGAGCGGATGCGGAGCCTGAACCAGTGCAGGGGAAGGGGAAAGGCATTGTAGGTCACTGTAGTGCTAGGGAAACAATGTTGTTTTCCTTGCACTATAGCTTCCCTTTAATTGGGTGTTTGCTTACTAAAAAGTAAACTGTAGTCACCTAAAAACCATATTGCAAATTTGTGGCCATATTAACTCTTTTGTAAAATTTCTCCCACTCAGCTGTTGGCACATATTAGGGATTTAACCATAAATTTTGCAATTTTGTTTATTTAATTAACTGCAACCCTAAAGCATACCTCCCAACAATCCCAGACATGGCAGCACAGTCACGATTTTTGGCTCATGTCCTATCATTCTGTGTTTGTTTCCTGATGATTTTCTAGGGACACCTAGACACCATGTGTACCAAGTTATGGCTTACACAGGGAACTGTAGTAGTGAAGAAGGCTCTGCTCAAACGAGCTTACAGCTATGAAATGTAAAGGGCTACTCCAGAGTCTGTATTGCAATATTTCTTTATGATATGGCTGCTAGTACCAAGTTCAACCTTTTCGGAAGCTTGAAGTGTACCTACATAGCTGTCATCAGCCAACCTGGAACAAGAGTTTAGGACTGGCTGATGTCAATTCTGTGCATATTTTATTGCACAGTGAGCTATTCATTGGCTCAATGGTCAGCTGACATCTTCAGCCAATGTGTTGTGACGACTGCGGAAGCTGGAATCACATCAGTGGAGCCACAAGTATCTGTGGGACCCACATAAGAGGACAAACCTCTCCTAAGCAGTTTGCCCCCATAACTGGGCCTGGCTGCTCCTGGCATCATAGCCACTACAGCGGGCAATAGTCATTATTATGCTTGGAATAACTGTGTAGAACTGGATGGCAAAAAGTGCTGATATTTGCAAATATTCTCCAGTGCTGCTAAATTCACAGCTTGGCTTTAATACGCTGAATTTTACATCCTGATTTTCTGTTTACTACCAATCTGTGTTGACTGAATAGCTCCGTGTTCATCCATCCGCACAGCTTCAACATTGTTTGTAGTAGCGATTAGCGAATATAATTGTTTTAGAATGAGTTAGTCGGGTTAAATGAGATCAGTGCCTTTTTATAAGCCTTGCTGTCAACTGATTTAGATAATGACTAAATTATTTATAGTTACGCACAGGGTATATCATTCATTCAAACAGCTATTCCAACTGTCAGTCTAAAAACATGTCGCCTGCTCCATCTTCGTAATATCCTTTATTTTAAGATGCAAACTCTTCAATATAAAATATATATACTTTATTACAAATGGCATAATGATTAGTAGTTAGAGTCATCAAAGAGTGCATAAAAAGGTAGAATTAGGTGGAACCAGACTAGATTGCCAAGGTACTGTAACATGCGGGGTCTTCACATTTTTTTCATAGCAAGGGCCCAAGTTGTCCAACCTGTTAGATTTAATGGAGGCGTTTGGGTACATTGGAGATGAATCATGCTTACCTGAAGCTCTGTCTGGCTTTATTAGCTGCCTCACTGGTGTACTCTGACAAGCGCATGCACACTTATTGAGCGTCATGTAAAAAAAGATGCCTGTTTATGTTGCAAGTACATTAAGGTGCAACTGTTTGAAGTCATCGCTTTTTCTACATTTTCCCATAAATAGGATTCGCTTTAAAGACACAGTAGACCTTAATTTATGTTTAATGATTGCATTCCCAGCTGTAAACTGGGGGTGGATTTTTTAATTTATTTTTTGTGGTATTCATGGGACTATCAAAGTAGTGCAGCCAAAACTTTGTGCTTATTACTAAACAGCAGCTTGATTTTTATTTTTTTTTAGAACAAAGGTGGCAATGCTTGACTAATTGTGGCCATCTAACTTCAGTTTAGTAACGCTTCTCTCTATGATCACCACTAGTAATGTAGGCGAGTGGTGTCCAAAAGGGAGATTCCCAGATGTTGTAGAACTACATCTGCCATGATGCTTTGCATGCCTTTAAAATTGACAAAGCATCATGGAAAATGAAGATTTACCAGCCTTGGTGTAGACACTTTGCCCAGTGGAATCTACGTGCGTTTTCACCTTATTGAGCACCTCTTCACTGTGTGTAACAGCCTGCACCTTTGTTTGTTTAAATAAGGGGTCTTTCCAAAGACTGTTGCGACATTCTGGCTTTAACCAGAGGAGCATTCACTGTAGGTCCAAGAGAAACATCTGTTGTAAGGAGCAAGGCCAGAAACTGAAAGTTAGGAGCTTAAAATACAAGTAGAAAAAGTGGCAGGGCTCAACCACAAAGTGAAAGTCAATTCTCCATCTACCAAATAAAGCTAATCAGTCAGTGGATCTGGGATGGGACAGGGGAATTTTTTTTTAAATAGCATCCTGAAAAGATAAGTTGCATTTTTAGACCCCTCACCCCCATTGGAGGTCTGTGCCTTTATCTTAAAATTAATGAATAACCAATCTCAAACTATACAGCTATTTATCTAGTTTCATAAATTATTTCCTTATTATATATTCTCATAAAAAGATGTGGGAAAGTTTCCTGTGTGTAAGATTCTACTTGATTTCTTCTGGTTGCCTGAATGAATCATTAACAGCTAGAAGAAAAATTCTATTATTGTGTAATCTGTTACTGAAAGAAAGGAGTCGTTTTTGTTCCTATATTCTCTGGAACAGCGCTGTGTATGGTATTTATGGTTGACCTTTGAACAGAGTGAGCGAGAAAGTGCCTTGGCTTTAAATAATAAAAACTGGCTACAGATATTTGAAACCTTAAACTCCTACTAAAATCGACTGCATCATTAAAATAGCATTTGCTTTCTTTTTAGTGAGTAGCACTAATATTGAAGGTTCCTTTCCTTGCTTGAATGTAAAACTAGCTTAAAGCATTGCAGACAAAGTATCTCTGGTTCCTGAAGAGCTTTGCATGTCTGGGGTCAAATTTGTGACCATTTAGGAGTCCCAATTGTGACAGCAATTAGCACTTTTTTAGAACTTCACTGAAACGCCTTTTCTACTCCTGTTAGCTCCACAGGCTAGTGCACGGCTACAGTATTAGCTCATTGAGAAGCATAAGAAAGCCGCAATCATCTGAACATACGTGCAGCTCCAACACGGGCTTCTCAAGGACAGCAAAACTCAAATGCCAGTAGCGCAAGTTTCTTACCATAAAAGGTATAATGGGAACACAGTTCCAAGAGGAAGACTTGTCGCCAGGCATACATTCAGTAAGGGGGGGGGGAAGCCACTGCAAGCGCTCAAAGTCCACAGGAGGTTTAAAAATCGGCACAAAACAAAATGGTTGCACGAGACAAGACCTACAGGTCCTTAGATATGTCTGAAATGCTGTGTGTCCAATAGACTTTTTTTTTTACTTTGTGGGATTAAGCCTCCTTTGGATTTTGAGGCACTATTTAGCTTTTGTTTTATACCCACGAAGAAACCATGCAAAAAAAAAAAAGTTAGTTGCGTGTTTTCTTTTAGGGTATTTACGTACTTATTTAATAAATATTTTCAGTGAATTGTTCCTTTGATGTGGCTTATTTAAATAAAAGCAAACATTTCTCCAAATGTCTTAGTTTGGCTATTTTACCCTGGATTTGGCATTCAAAATCTCCCTCCCTGCCCCCCTTTCCATTCAGTACATTTTATTCAGGAGTAGACAGACAAAGTTATGGTTTAGAATCTATTAGGCAATATAAGATGAATAAAGTATGTCCAATGAATGTCAGTGAACACAAATACAATACTCTCTCCACACTAGCAATGTAGGCAAAGTTTAGGGCAGTTAGTGGGATCAATATCCAATATAGGAAAAAATTACCATAACCGAATAAAATATTTACTAAAACCCAATTACAATAGCAGAGATAGAAGGGAAACTATTGGCACCAGACCACTTCAGCTCATTTAAGTAGTCTGAGTGAACTGTCCCAGTCTCCCTTATTCCGGCAACGTCAATCATTGTGGTTTTTGAAAAATTGCAAGACTAAGACTGCCACTAGTGGCTAGGTGACTTTGGTTAGCCTGATGCAGGACTAAAGCGCTTCCATCAGATGACTGATGATGCAACGCCAAGTGAGACCAGCTCTGGCATCGTGTAGGCAAAAGGTTTTTTTTGTTTTGTTTTTAACCCTTTCCATGCAGGGGGGAGGACACAGGGAATTCTAGTGTAAGGAATAAAACTTTGTATTCCTTTACCTATAGAATCCCTGTAAGTTAGTTACACCTGGGCAGGAAAACCATTGTAGACACATGGGCAGTCTCTCTTCATGCACTGCCTTGTAGGTTTAGCAATCTTACCCATTAGTAAGAGTAGTAGATAAGACTCAAGGAATTATAGGGGATCTAAGTGAATGATTTTAGTGGGCAGATAGTGATGAAAAGGGTCTGAGGTTAAGAAAAGAAGAGAAAATTGGGCCATACTAAGAGTAAGGTAAGAATTCTGAAATTTAACCAACGAAGTGAAACTATAGGAAATATAAAATACAGGTTAGACAGAAGGATATAGAAAGGTAGATATCGGAGAGGGAGCAGTAAAAAGTTAAAAAACATTTATATTGTTTAAAACCAGTTTAAACTGAACACAGTAAAGAGATTTTAAGTTTCCTTCATTTTTTTAATAAATATATATCTCATATAAAAATATATTGTACAGTATTTACAATATATACATTCTGCCTTTTGTAATGCATCACTTGTCACGCGGCAGTTACAACAGTTTGTCACTTGGAGACTGGATGGTATCCTATGGTCTGTTTTCGGTTTCTTCTGGGATTACCAAGACTCCATTCGACCCATTTGTACGGAAGACTGCTGCATGTTAAAGAATATCTTTTTGTTGTGTATTTTACTATTTTAAGACATCTTCGTAGCTCACACAACATCTCTATCACCGACACATGAGAACAGCACAAGCACCTCATACTCTACGACCCCCACAGTTGGGTTCTGTCCAGAGCTGGAGGATTATTCATTGGTACCAGTACTGCATCAGATAGCGAAATCAACACGATCTCCTTTTATTGTCTATTTTGGTTTGTTTTTTCCTCTTGTGTAAATTGGAGTCTAATGCACCCTTTTACCCCCTAGTGTACAGTCATCATACATAAGCTGTGAAAAGAGAAAAAAAAAAATACATTAGAAATCCGAAAATCTGTGAAATGATTGCTTAGAAAAAAAAAAAAAACTGTTAAAAAGGTTTTTTTTTTTTTAGCTTTTGAGCACTACAACGCTATAGAAACTTAAGCAAGAGGATACTCTGATCTATTCTACTTGGTATGGTGATTAATATAAAAGGTAGCCATGCATCTTAAAATGATCACTTATGGGAGTTGAGACTTTTTGGGCAAATAAAATTGTAAAATTTTGTGATTCATCTACATGCCTCTCCCAACTTATTCTACCCATAGCTATTAATAAAGTGTATTTATATAGAAATACCAGAAGGTTTCTTACCACTTCGTCTGCGTATTCAGATTCAGAATCTGAACTTTCATCATCACTTTCAGGCAAAAGCTGCAAGTCAGTCTTCGTCCGAGACACCAGCATCTGCTGAATGAACAGGTTACTTCTCCCCCACGTAAGTTGGCAGGGAGAATATCCTTGATATGTTACTCTGTTAACATCTGCACCTTTCTCAAGCAACAGCTTAACCAGGTTAGCGTTCTGCAGGTCCACGGCTATGTGAAGCGCGGTACGACCATTGCAAGGCTCCTGTTAACAAAAAGAAAGGAAAAAAGTTGCGTTAGCATATAAAAGTGATAAAAAAATAAAAAAAAGTAAAAACATTCTATTAGATTCTATAGAACAAGACTGACTCTATAGGGCTTTGACAGTAATGAAGAGTCAAGGCACCATCTTCTATTGCAGCAACTAAAACTTAGCTGTCAAATTACAAAAATGCATGGGTTTATAGAGAAAACTTTCTGAATTAAATTACCTGTGCATCAATGTCTGCGCCCACTGATATTAAACTTTCAACAATTGCAAGAAAGCCATGAATTGCTGCCAGATGAAGACACGTGTGACCTGTAAACACGCACAAAAGAAAATAAATTTATAACTAAATATCATAAAGCACTACACAGATGGCAGTAGACTACCACCATTCAAAATCTAGGTTTAAAAATAAAAGTGAAAAATCATAATTGATACATACCGTCATAGTTCACAGCCTGCAGCAGGAACGAGATTTTATTGAAGCAGTTTTGAAGGATGACCCCAACAGCATGCAGCGACCCCTTTTTGCAGGCGATATGCAGGGCGGTATCACCATTGAAGTCTCTGATCTCTGGGTCACAGCCAGCTTTAAGGAGCTGCTGGGCAATTTCTGGTTGGTCTGTTATGACTGCCAGGTGTAGCGCTGTCTGCAAAAAGATGACAAAAATGATAAGAGAAAGGATCTGAATAAGAAATTGCATCCATATGTCAAAACCATTAAACAGTATGCAGCTACTGGGATGCTAGAATAATAACTGCTGCATGCTGGCTCTCTGAAAGAGTTACAAATATTGCATTACTTATTTTTAAGCTTTTGTTTTCTTGCTTTATAAACCACTCTTTCAATAAAGAGGAAATCCTGTATATTGCTATATCCGGCCACAGAGACCTTTTTCTAGTTTTCCAGCTTCCTCTTGCAAAATAGGTTTATGGGATGTCAAATTTGTATATTTAATATATTCATCTTAAATCCACTCATTTAAAATAATATATATTATGTTGAAGGACAATTTCAGCTTAGCAGCATACTCGCTTTGACTATTTGAAAAACAATTATTTTTGACCAAATTACCTGATGAAGGTGATTCTGCTGGTTCAGGTAATAAATATGCCGTAGAGAATGTGCGATGGCCTCACTCGTAATTTTCTTTTCTTCGTGAATTATAGCCAAGTTTAGAAACCTGAAAATGTTAAAAATAAATGCACATTAAAAATCACATGAATATCAAGGTATACACCACGTCAACTACAGGCATGTTTATAAAAAAAAAAAAACCTAAATAAATATTTGAAAATAATTCAAATGTAAGGTGAAAATGCAAAAAGGTAAAAGAATACCAGGTTTATTTCCCCCAAAAACTACACAAAGCAAGAAAGTTAGAAAAAAAAAAAAAAAATAATCCTGCTTAGGTAATAGGAGTTTCTATCAAATTAGCATATTTACTTTATTTCCCCTCTGGAATTTTTTTAATAAGTCATATTCTATATGTTTCATCACCCCATTGGGTTACTATAGGTAGTCATAATGTGTCAGATCTGAGTTCATTCCCCTCCCCCAGCTTTAGCAAACTCCAGGATTGTGTAAGTTAGGGTTTTTTTGGTTCTGACTCTAGCTCTATGGCTGTTGTTTTCCGCTTTCTCATGTATGTAATAGTGTTGGTGGCTACAGGCCAGGGACTTTCCAAATAGCTGAGCCTTGGGTGACTTCCAACTACACCTCCCTCCAACCAGCAAGTCACAGCACAGACTGCCCCTCCCCCATTCAGCTCACTCTACAAAGAGAGGAAGGGAAAACCCAGACAAAATGGCGGCTGCCCTCACCCAAGCCAAAAAAAATAATTAATTATAATAATTATATAAAAGAGGCGAAGTAAACACATTAAATCGGTTAAGCTTTCAAATCTATATTAGTTTTATTTTATTAATTTTTTTATTTTTTTTACACCCTCTCTAGCCAACTAGTGAATTTAATATATTTTAGGTACACAATAAAAATAAAAAGGCAGCCTTTTGCCTAAAAATGTAATACTCGCCAATAATTCTAGACAATTCGCACTTTAGTGCTTAACCCTGTGATGTTCCCAATGGTGGGAGATCTGCAGAGCCGCAGCATTGAGGTCATTAGCTCTTAATTCAAAATAAGGAATTTGTCGTTTAAAGATAAACTGCTAAAGTGTGGTGAATGAAAATGTGCAAAGATTTAAAGGGATCAAAGTGATAGGAATTCAATGATGCATTTTGGATTTTTGGTTATTTTCCCCTACTTTTTTTACAATCTGATGATTTCTATTTAGTAAGATGGAACCTCTGTTGTGGTTTAGAAAAGGGTAACATTCTAATTCGATGTAGATACATTCTACAAATTACTGAGAATTCGGATGCAGCTCTGCACTACAAGCCAACATGGCCGCCCTTGACATGGATTTTAAAATTTCAACAAAAACCAAGATGTACAAAAAATGTTTTTTAGAAAATTCTAAAATTAAAGTTATCTTTCATTTAAATGTAAAACTAAGCGCCTGTAAAATTAATAATAAAATGCCCGATTGCTTATTTTAATGCACAGCCACGGATTTAAAATAGACTAAAAATGTCACATCAGGTCTCTTTAAATACAGATATTAAAGGCAAACTTACGTGTCTCCGTCCTCATTACAATAAAGCATCCAGGGTTCTGGCTCAGAGTACTGGGATTTGATGCAAAGCCCTCCAAACTCTTGGGAAAAATTGTCATATTCCTCTTGTTTCAAAGAGTCCAGTCCACTGTCTATCCTGTCCTCCTGTTGGATCAACTTGTCCTTTTTAAGATCCCTCATTTCTCCTTCCATCGAATTTCCAGTATAATCCATATATCTAGTAGACATGGGGGATTTTTGTTTCTGCAGCCTCTTCACCAAAGACCAACAAAAATCAGAATATTAAAAAAAAATAAAAACTCCGAAAGATTGGAAAATACAAAAAAAAATAAATGCAATCCTGCGCTTTTCTTTGCTGCAGCAACAAAAGTATTGCTACAATGTTGATGATCACAAAATAAAGTCTTGCAAATAGTTAACAAAACTGATCGATCCCCTCCAAACGTCTATTCTTGTTTCGAGTCTAAGAGCAACTGAGACGTTCTGCCTCTGATGCCCAATATACTAACAGCAAGATGGGGAATTCTACTGTGGGAGGAGCTCATCAGATCTTAGTGTTTGTACTCAGGCTGGGAAATTCCAAAAACTGCAAGCCAGACCCATCCTGTTCTGAGGCTTTTGGTAGAAGGAAGCACTCAATATATTCAAGCAAAAGAAAACTTCCAAATATTCAGCAAGCAGAGAATTTCCCTTTTAATAACCTATAGGGGAATGTTCAGCTTTATAGACTCAGAGGTTATTTAAATGATTTCAGACACTGTCCCTTTAAGTAACCTTTTTATAATCCCAAAGTCTCCTTTTAGGTTTCATAGTCTCTGTTTTGGCTTTTCTTTTTTTAATTTATCTATTTATTTTTAGCATACAATCCACTTTTGGCATAATTTGCATGGGATATGGTTTTCAGAGCTAGACTACTTATTCATTAAACTCCAAATGGCAAAATTAAAATGTAGCCAGCTAACTTAGAGAATCACTCCAGTTCTGCAATTTTTGGACTTTGGCAGGGTCTGCCAGCTGTGAATTTGTCAAGAATTCAAAGAGGATATTAACACATTTTGCCATTATATTTTTAATTGATTACACATCAGTGCTCAGTGAATTCATTCCTAGACTAGCAGATCAAAGTGAATTTTTCAAATTTCAGTCCAAATATCTAAATCGGAAAAATTCTCTAAATCAGCTATGCTTTCAGATTGGCTACTTTGGCCTGAAATTTGAAATTCACTTTCAATTCACTTTTGTGAGTAACCCTGAACAGTTAGGAATTCACCAGGGGGATTATACATTTTAGATGATTATACGCAAATTTTCCAGTCGTAGAATTTGCAATTCCCTGGTGAAATCCTACCAGTTTACAATTTTATTGAATAACGCAGGGGCTTATTCACTAAAAAGTACCTGATTGTAATATACTAGAGTTACATAATTGCCATATTTATTAAAGGCAGTAGCAAAGTTTTTCACTAAAACGAGAACGTATGAATTCAAAGGGAATTTGAAATTTAAGGCCAAACTAGTGGAACTGGAAACATAGATGGAAAATTAAAAATTTCCACTAATTTGGCCTTAACTGTCTAATTCCCTTTCAATACATGGGAGTTCTCACTTTATTGGTTCTATATCAATGATAATAATAATCTTGAAAATTCCGACCAGCATTAAGTACATTTCAGCTGCTCCTGGTGTGACATCCATTAATCACTGCAGCGTTTGTGGAATTTCCAATAATTAGTGGTAAAGTCCTGTTTAGTGCTGGGCTGCATTTTCAAACTGTACCAGCAGGGTTACACTAACACTCTCATGTGTTCTTGGACAGTTTTACATGTTTATGCTGCAGGTTTCTGTAGGATTAAAGCAGGGGTGGGGGGAACCTTTTATCTGCCTAGGGCCATTTGGATATTTAAAACCTCACTCGCGGGCCATAAACAGTTTAAACATTAGCCTGCTGTATTTGGTTAAACATTTAATTAACTCACTCCTAATGTGATGGCTGGAACTGCTTCTCTTTGGTGTGATGTTAGCTGATAGATGATGTTGCTACTCAGTGTGTGTGTGAGGGATACATAGTGTGAGTTTAATGGGTGCATTGTGAGGGGGTGCAGTGTGTTTGTATGAGGGGTTGTGTGTGTTTGTGTGAGGTGTTGTGTTTGTGTGAGGGGTGCAGTGTATTTGTGTGAAGGGGTTCTGTGTGTGTGTGAGGGGTGTAGTGTGTATGTATGAGGGGTTCTGTGTGTGTGGGGGGGATGCAGTGTGTTTGCGTGAGGGGTTCTGTGTAAGGGGGTGCAGCGTGTTTGTGTGAGAGGTGCTCTGTGTGTGTAAGGGGGTGCAGCGTGTTTGTGTGAGGCTTTCTGTGTGTGTGTGGGGTGCAGTGTGTTTATGTGAGAGGTGCTGTGTGTGTGGAGGGGTGTATCGTGTGTGTGTGTGTGTGTGTGTGTGTAAGGGGGTGCAGTGTGTGTGAGTTTTTCTGTGTGTGTGGGGTGCAGTGTGTTTGTGTGTGGGGGTGTGAGGGGTGCTGTGTGTGAGGGGGTGCAGTGTGTTTCTGTTTGTGTGTTTCTGTGAGGGGTTCTGTTTGTGTGTGAGGTGGTGTAGTGTGTGTCAAGGGCCTATATTGTGGTGGGAGGGATCAGGAAGAAAATATAGATAGTTTTCTGTTTTTACTTAAAAAGAGGGGAAAAAATGTATGCATCCCCCCTCCCCTCTGGCCTGGAAGGAGAGGACATATCACTGCAAGCCCTGGTGGTACAGTGGTTTCGTGTGCACTTTAGCTGCAGGCTGACTTCACTATTCTCTTTCCGCGAGGACAGGGCTGTCAGAGCGTTGCCATGGTAACGTGCGGCAACGCTACGACCTGCCTACTCGCGAAAGGATCACAGCCTCCCTGGTCCTCCTCCTATGCAGCAGGCTCCCGGGTTCTAGCTCGCTCACGCTCCCTTTTTACAAATTGCCCGGAGACTGGTGAGGGAGATCTTTGAACTTCCCACTGGCCCGAAAAAGGCAGACAGCAGGGCCGGCTCTCCACGGCCCGGTTCAAATGATTTTGCGGGCCTTATACGGCCCACATGTACCCCACCCCTGGACTAAAGGAACACTCCAGGGACCATAGCTACTTCATCTCAACAATGGGGTTTTACATGACACTGAATGTCCTCGTAGAGCGTCAGTCATCTAACAACCTGGAAGTCCCTCTAGTGGCTGTCTGAAAAAAAGCAGCCACTAGAGGTTGAGTTAACTCTGAATAGTAATTATTGCAGTTTCTAAATAACTGCAATAATTACCATTGCAGGGTTACGGGACCTGGGACACTGCACACAGACCACGTTAATGAGCTGAATAGGTCTGGGTCCCTTTAAAGAAACACTGTGCTTACTATAACAACTTCATCTAAATAAAGTTGTTATAGTGTCTACAGTAACCCCCCTGTGTCCTAGCTTCAGAATTTAAATGTTTTATTACTTAGAAAGTCTGAAAGCTCTCTGGATAGGATAGCCAGGACTGTTATCCTAGCTCCTATACCCAAGCTTACCGCACAGTGCCTTCACAGTCAGACCTGGAGAATCATTGCATTTAATGATTCAATTGGACAAAATCAACACGGTGAGCATGCTCGTTTGGTCCTCACGCGTAATATACCTTGAGTTTACATTAGGGTGGGGGAAGGCCTGGTGGTCCTGCTCATTCCAGCTGGTTCATGGGACTGTATCAGAGTATTGCTGTGGTTGGAGTTTCAGGCCGCAAGCTCCACAACCTCTTCTCTACATAACAATAATCTGTGATCTACCACCAGCTGCAGAGCTCCTTTTCTGGGCTGGGACTCAGGTAGAACTGGCCCTGCAGAGATCATTTGATTTTCATGTTGACCTTGGCCCAGGGCCATCGAACCCTACCAGATATTTGCCTAATTGCCTGCGTGCCTGATAGCCATCAGCCATTTACTAAAGCCCAAACGTTAATGAAGTAAAAGCAAAATTACTTAATTAAGGCCAAAAATTTGGATTTGGGGAAAAAAAAAAAAAAAAATCATCTTGGCTATTAATCATTGCTTGATTATTTTAGCCTGAATTTTGCATTCCAGTTTCCAATTTACAACAATTTTGTTTTTTTATTGAATAAACCCTATTGGTTTAGTGGCCAGACAGTAAACACTTAGACTCGCTGGAAATTCACAGGAAAATTGCAAATTTAAGAGCAAAATTGCAAGATGAAACCATAGCACACTCACACGGTTATTCGCCACAATGTGAAACGTTTCAGGAATTCAAAGCAAATGTCCAATTATAGACTAAAAAATAACCCAACTGAAACAGTTGACTTTGCATTTTTTTTCTGACTTTCCTATTTAGGCCTAAAATCGGACATTCAGTTTGAATTCATCGATACTTTAGTACATAATTTTTTTCCAGTTTTACAATTTAGGCCATAACAGTTGCTTTTAAATTAAATAATCTACAGTTTAGGTGTTTTACTAACTCTGTTATTACGACCTAGATGTTGCATTTTGGTTTTATGCTCTGCAGAATTTACTGTTTTTTTTTTTTTTACTAAACTCCCTTAGAGTTGTTAGCAGGGTGCAGGTGGTTATTGGGGGTCTAATCAATGGAAGCAGCATGTGGATCATGTGATTGCTGCAAGGAAGGCACATGACTGCAATGATGAGGAAAAATCACTGTAAAAGTTACCTTTTATGAAGGTAAGAACATTGCTCAACTTTAAGAAATTTGCTCATATGACTAATTTTATATACATTTCCTGCGTATACATGTATTGGTACTTTTTACAATATGTTGTGCTTTATTGAGAGGTTTCAATACAACAGCAGATATGAAATCATCTCAGAAAGAGGGGCGTTAATCATTCACAGATTTATTCACTAAAAGTACTTTTGTTGGCCAACTGAAAGGAGAATTGCACATTTAAACCCAAAATAGCCAAGGTAGAAAAATGATCTGAGTTGTAAGTTTTTTCTAATTTACCTATTTTTGGCCTCAGTTTTTAACGCTGGTCAGTTCCAAATTTCACGAATAGACCCCATAGATTCACTGGATATTCAGTTAAAGGGCCTCTCCGGGTACCATAACAATTCATTGGAATGAAGTTGTTATAGTGCCAGGAGTTCCCTGGTTTGGCTTACCTTTATGGGCTAAATCATTAACAAATGGTTAGACACCAAAGTGTTGAAGCAATCACCAGTTAGCTATGCACCTCTCTTTTTGCTTTTGTCTGAGGCTTGAATCAAACAGTCTTGGGACGCCGCTTTGCGAGGATTCCTTATTCCAGCCTCGAACAAAAGCTGTATGAGAGGGGCAGAGCTACCCAGTGCTGGATCCAATACTTTAACGTTAAACCGTTCATTAATGGTTCAACCCCTAAAAGAAAGCTGGCATCATAAACCCCCTAGCACCATAACCACTACATTCCGATGAAGTTGTTATGGTACCCAAAGTGTTCATTTACGTAAAAAACTTGCTAATGATGTGGAATCAACAATACTTTTCTTTTGGCATCATAAGTCTGTGAGGATGGTGTTTGAGAAACTATATGATTTGCCTTCTCCGTTTTCTTGATATCTCTCTCTTACACATTTTATAAAGCAGCATAACGATATACACAATGCTCGTGATAAACAAATGAAATTATGCAAAAACACTTTTTTTTTTCTCCCAAACTTTTTGTGTTTCTGTCATTATATTTATTTGTCGTTATTTTAAAAAAAAAATTTTTTTTACTTTTTTTATTGCATTTCCTTTAATTAAAATTCCAGGGGGCGCCAGATTACATTCTAAATTCTGCCATCCAACACAGGGCCGAATAAGTACCTGCCCACAGGCTCCTGTCCTGTAGAGGGCGCCTATTTACAGCACTTATCATGTGCCCTTTTGGAACGTAAATGTGCTGGTGAGGGGAGATAAGTACTAGGAGCCTTGGCCAATGTCCTCTGTAGTTTAGTCAGCCATCTATGTTTTAAAGCAAAGGTGCAGGAACATTTATAGAAGGTGCAAAAATAACAAGGTTCTTCACTAAAGTGAGATTTCATAGTTAAGATCAAAGTAGCCGATCAATTAAATCAGCCATGCTTTCAGTTTGGCTGCTCTGGCCTTAAATTTAAAATTAACTCTGAATTCTCATTTTAGTGAATAAACCTCAATATGTTTAGATAAAAGTTCCTGTTTGTTTCCGGTGATGATCAGATCAACGGCATTAAAACAATGGCGTGATACTTGTGCAACTAAAGAGATACTATTGGGACCACAACCACTTTATGTTAATGAAGTGGTTATAGTGCCTCAAGAAAATCTGGCACCTTACCTTCATTTTCAAATGGTTGAACACAGGAGTCCCCCAGGTGCTGTTATGTTCCTTTCTACAGCACTTCTCTCAATTGGCGGCTAGTGAAAGGCTGTTTGTCTGCTGATGCTCTCAGCCCATCCTTCGCACCCAAGGGAAGATTTCCTTATTAGTGCTGGGGCCGAGCTAACAGGTGCCATTTAGAAAACATTGGGGTCAAAGCTCTAAAAAAAAATTTTTTATTCCCATAAGTTACGGCAGGTCCCATGACATCCACCAGACCCCATAAAGTCTTCATTGGCGTGGTGTTGCCAAGGAACCTGGTGTAGTCCTTTAACCTTAATATACGCTATTACAAAGCTCTCTAGAGTGATGTTATACAGCAACTGGGGACCTACCTTTTGCCCACACCTGCTAAAGCTATTAAAGTGCTGCCACAGTTTAAACTTCTCGAAGGGACTGCCACATGCCGATCTTTAACCCTTCACGTGGCAGGATCAGTGCCCGCCTAAAGAAAGTATAAAACTGTCATTAAAAGGCAAGTCAGACATCAGAAAGGTATAGAACAAAAAATAACTGATAGCGGAGTTATACATGATTCTTTAATAATCTTTTTTTTTCCCTCTTATGCTTACTTGCAATAAACAATGAGCTTGAAAATTTCTGATTATAGAGCACCAGACCCCAAAATTAACATGTGTGACCCACTTTGTGTCAAATTAAAAAGAGCAGGGAGTTATACAAAGTTAACTCCTTTCTAAAAATCCCAGAAGTTTACATTTCTGTATTTTATTTTAATTTTATTTTTTTGGCAAATATTTTTTACTTACTGGAGTTCCCCTGATATCCCCAACCAAAACTCCCGAGCAGACTCACAGCGTCGCCTGAGTACAGATCAGAAACAGACTGAAGAAAGTGCGTAGAATTTTGTCAAACTTGATGTGATGACTAATTTAATGATTGCCTTCATCTTTCACTGCTAGTTATCGAAGATCAGTGAATGCAATGATTCTAATTCTAACTGTTAACCTGTGCAGCACACCTGTAGCAAATATCATTATAAGGTTAACAATCTACATTAACTCTTTTTTTATTTTAAATGCATAATATAGATTGCCAAAAAATTGAAGTTTTAACAAAAAGTTACTTACCTTGTTGCGCTGTTCAGTGGTTCTGCAGTTGCAGTCAGAGTCCTCCTAAATAAGGGTAATGGTTATTTTTTTCATGGGCCAGCGCAAACTCCTCCTTTATAGTACCTGCAGTGTGTGCTGCCTGATTGACAGCCCTGCTGATTGTTCAATAGCAGTAGTGCTTTTCACAAATTGCAGCCCCCAGAAATGTGTGTGAGCTCAGAGTGCAATGTTGCAAAGTGAGCATGTGCTCAGACTGACCTTATTGACGCTTCAGATGATCATTAAGCCAGATCAGGTGATCAGGTTAACATGAAAGTGTTAACCAGGGCGCAAGTGGCAGGGAGGCCCCACTGGTTGCTGCACTGGTCGTGTCTCCATGACTGAGATAATCAAATCTTGGCGATCTTAGCCGATCCAATGCTTTTACAGGAAAACGTTTGAAGGCTATTGCGCATGCGCAGAAAAACGCTGCACCAATCAGCATCTCCTCATAGAATGAATCAATGCATTGCTATGGGGAAAGTGTGCAGCACTGACCCAGGAAGCACCGTAAGTGGCCGTCTGAGTGACTGCACCTAGAGGTGTTACTAGGCACCAATGTAAACACTGCCTTTTCTCTGAAAGAAATGCATATAGACACCAGAACCACTACATTTAGCTTATCATTCAGGCTTAATTAATGCATTGCATGGGGCACTAGTCAGCAATAATTTGAATGCTCCTTTCAGTGTGTGTTTCCTATGTAAGGGACAAGCCTTCAGTCTAGCAGAGCATCATGGGAGCTTTAGTTCAACGATGCAGAGCTAACTTTTGTTCATTCCTGTTTTATAAGTAGCCAACAGACAGGTACGTGTTAAGGAGATGCGTGCTCTCACTAGATAACTGAAAGGTGGTCTCTTATCAATTTGGCTGAGGTTGCATGTTAACACATATAAATAAAATGCTGTTTGTACTAAAACCAGCTCAGAATGTCCTGTAATTGTCACACACGAGAAATGTCACAAGTCCTGGGCAGACTATTGTAGTACATTTCTGTAACAAGCAATCTATTATTACATCAGCAGATATACATGCATGCAAATGATCGTCACGTTCCCGACGAGGATGTACTAAAGGAAAAAAAAAAAAGTCACATGTGCTTAGGAGGAAATTTCTAACAGGAAAAAAACCTTCCATACAGGTTTTGTAATTTTCATTCATTTTTGTCTCTGATCCAATGTAGATGTATCTTTATTATTTATAAAGCGCCAACAAATACCGCAGCGCTGTACAATAGGTGGACTCCTAGACATGTATTTGCAATGAGACGAGTTGGACGAACAGGAACAGTGTGTGTTTTGGGCCCTTCTCAATGAGCTCACATTCTAGAGAGAGTGGGTTAAAGTGGCACAAGAGGAAAGGGTAGGATGTATTTCATGTACGGGAAAAGTAGGTTACTAGAGGAGTTCATACATTTTTTGATGACACAGTAGCAGGAGAGGAAGCAGGGTGGGTTACCAAGGCAGGAGGGAAAGCTAATTGTTATGCTTTCCTGAAGAAGTGAGTTTTCAATTTTTTTTTTTTAAGGCATGGAGACTGGGTGAGAGTTTAACAGAACAGGGAAAGGAGTTCTATAGGAACAATGCAGCCCTATCGAAGTCTTGAAGGTTGGTGTCAAAGATGCGCAGTACGTACAGAGGATAGACGAAGACCCTAGGGCAGGGATAGGCAACCTTCGGCACTCCAGATGATTTGAACTACATCCCCCATAACGCTCTGACACCCATCGTGTTGGCAAAGCATCATGGGAGGTGTAGTCTAAAACATCTGGAGTGCCGAAGGTTGCCTATGCCTGCCTAGTGGCCTGAACGGGACATACTTGTATATAAGTGAGGTCAGGTAGGAGCAGCATTATGTAGAGATTTAAAACCAAGTACCAGAATTTTAAATCCCATCCCGTGTTAGGGGTGAATGCAAGCTATAGTTTAAGATGAAATCTGCCTGATTTGGCGTTTTAGATTTCCTACTTCACCTGATTGCATACAACATGATTAGGTTCCGGATTGCCTCTTGTTCCCGGATACCTAAATTTATAGCTTAATTTTTCCTATTGTGCTGCATTCTGGAATACGTCAACACTTTTTGAATAAAATTATATTAGTATGGTAATTTCAGGGTGAACGATATTCCTAAATGGTTATAGGTATTGTGTATATCTGTCTAGATCTAAGGCGGTATTTGACCGGAAAAGGTTCAGTGACCTTGGATGCATACTCAGACACCCGCATGTACACAGATTAACATACCTAGACATTTGAGCATCAAAAGCTCAATATAAGAGCAAGCGATATATCGCATACCCTCAGAATGCCGTACCCGTAGCTCTGACCTGTTACGAAATTCTCCCGCACTGCGCTTTAATCTCGCCAACCATATTATATAGTGTTACAGTGTACAAACAGGTCGTGGTTGGGAACCACTGCCATTAACACTGTGTATGTGGCATGCAAACTAAAATAAATACAGGGGTGTGTGTATACTACACATTTTTTAAATTTCAATATTAAATGACCATTAAGGTGGACTTATTACCTGAAAATGTATTTCCATAAATCAGTTTAAAACAATGGTTTTTATATAATTCTCATTTCAACGAGCCATAGTAAGTTTAGTTTAACACTTGAAGTCCTGACTGTGATTCATTGTGGAGGTGGCCATTTTGGGATTGCTCCACAATATTGCTGTTTTAAAAATAAATAATAAATGACACCATGTGAGCGAGCAGTAAGTCTGGGCTTTCTACTGTGGAGGAAACAGGAAATAGTTATTTAAACTCTCTGCTGTGCCAAGCATACTAAATGTTACCTAGAAATAATAGTCATAGTCTCTTTGCCAACTACATTCTGATCAGTGTCTCTTTACCTTCAAACTCTCATCCTAACGTACAAGCTTTAGTTTTGAAATCTTTAAGCTCCTCTCACACTGAACATCTCTTGACTGCTGAGCCATAACTGTATACCTCCCTGCCCATTGCCCAAAGAACGCAAGCACCATAATTATAGTGTATAAAGGCAACAAGGGGTTAACAGCCTGTGGCACGTGTAACATGCGCAGCATTTGAAGTGCCTTTGCACGGCATTCAAGGTTGCCAGAGCCAAACAGGCTCTGGACTATAAGGAATCCCAGTGGGACTTCAGATATTTGCGAGTGCAAACTGAGCGGTGATTGCGGATGGTGAGGAAAAAGCCTAAATTTACGCATTGCACACACACACACACACACACACAATCCCCACAAACGCAACACCACTGACAATCCACATACACGTGCACACAACCCCACAAGCAGCCTCTCACACACAATTACACAAGCAGCCCGCATGCACAGCCCACATTTATAGGTATCTTACACAATTCTACAAACTACTCGTAAACATGTATACAATATAACAGCCGCAATATGCACAGATACGAAGCTACTGCAGCACACATAAATTAACACAGACAATGAACCGTAAACCAAAACAAATGATACTGTAACCGTTACTGTTGTGTAAGAATAATGAAGTAGGTGATATAAATTAAGTATTACAACCTTTTTAGTACACAAAGTATACAAGGACCCAACACATTCTGCTCTAATGCGATTTAGGTGGCCGCGAGGCCTTAGGCGGCTGCCTAAATCGCCTTATTAAAGAGCCGCCAATGACCACAGTCTAGCACCCGGTATTAAAAAAGTGATTATATTGAAGCAGGGGTGCAAGGCAAGATTGAACTGTGTGTGTGTATATGTATGTGTGTATATATATATATATAAATACACACATACACATTAGGTGGTACAAGGACTTATGGGGCTGGCATACATTTACTTTTTCCAGGGCTGCTTTGAATTCCCAGTCCTGGCCCTGGGGATGACCCCTGCCGATCCAAAGGTGTGTAGGGGGGAGTGATTCAGGACTGTTCAGTTGCTGATGAGCAGGAAGATCGGACGCCTTTCCCCAGCTCTGTTACAACTCGAATGCAAGCGGTGTCTTTTCCCCTAACTGCTGTGAGGAGGCTGATTTTGTCCGCCACTGAGTGGCACTGAATGATGACGTCTTTTGGAGCTGTGGCTGGGGCTTGTCTTGCTTTTCTGATCCTAAAGAAGCAGTCTAGTGTAAATTTTTTGACTTGAGCGTGCGGTAGGAACGTGGCTGTGAGGCGCCTGAGGTAGTGGGGTAGTTCTGTGGAGTCAACGCTATCCGCTATCCCCCTTAATTTTAAGTTAGTGCGCCTATTGCGGTCTTCTGCTAGGTCCTCTCATGGTGAGTTTGGACTGGGATGTCTGCATTATTATTACTTGTTCTTTTAGCCTCTTTACCTCCTGTTTCAGGTCTAGGACGTCCTCTTCGGTGGCTTGAGTGCGTGCAGTTACTGCCTGCATTTCGGTCCTTAACATGTCCATTTCTGCTGCATACATTTGTCTCATTTTGTTTAACAGGTCAGCTATGTCTTGTTTGATAGCAGGTGTGAGGTTATTCCTGTTAGGTTGTGGCTCCCTCGTTGGGTGAGCAACTGACTGTTCCTGTTCAGCTCCAGATTGCTCTCCTTCCTCTTGGAAGGCAGTTGTACGGTCTGAGGCCGCCATCTTGGGTGCCATCGGTCGTTGCAGCAGGTCGCCTATGTCCTGCGTGGTCCTGCCTGTGTTCTGTGCGGGTCTCTGGGATTTTCGACTCATGCTGTAGTCGTCAGGTGGGGCTGAACCAGTCTGCAGGTAGGCGTCCTGCTGTGCTCTCAGGGCAGTGAGTCCCTGCGCTAGCCTCGTGGCTTGGTAGGTGGTGTAGGCCCCGGTTTTCTGTCGGGTCTTTCTGCCCATTTGTGGATACAAAAAAGGCATCAGCCTGTTGCCTGCTTACTGGGGTTGCCCCGGGGGCTAGTATATGCCTTTGCAGGTGCCGTTGGGCCTTGTTTTAGTGCCTTTTTGCCGTCGTTTGTTTGGAGCTCCGAGGAGATGCGACAGTTCATGTCTGGTGCTCGGCTCCGCCCCCTTCAAGCATTTATTATACCCATTGTGTAGGGTTTTCCAATGCTGTTTTGTTTTTACCAAGTGATTAAAGTTTTTTCTGCTGCTATTTGTGACAATATTATTGGATGAACATCTCTTATGATTGCTAATTGGTCTAAGCTCAATGTGTTACCTCACTTTAACACCAATATAGCATGACTGATTAGATATCACGTGCGATATACACCCCACCTTCTGTTTTATCTTGTTACCGTGTAAGGTTTGCATTGCTCTTACAGAGTATGGTTTTGGTTAGTTCCAAGCCTTTTTACTTAAGGATCTTAACTCTGTTGGAGTCTTGTATACAAGTAATTAGGAATGCAAAACAATGATGTATTGAAACAAACTATAACCAGGTTCTCCGGTACTCAATTATTTCACATCTGAATCGCTGGATTAATATGTGCCGTCAAAATAGTGAACTACTACAACAAATCCTAATAATGCATTCAGTCTTTGGGCATACTACGTAGTTTCTCATTTTGCCCATTTTCTTGAATTTTTTTCTCCTTTTTTTTTTTTTTTAATGCTACCCATGCAGAGTCTTTCTAATGTTTACTTGAAAATTGGTAAACTGGTGGATCCTCATTTTGTTTGACAGGTCTGTTATTAGTGATGTCTCTGATAGGAATTGGGAAGGTGCTTATTTGAGTGATGAGTGTTTTCGGTCAGGTAGGGTTGCCAGAATAGTGAAGTGGTAAGGCTAAGTAACGAGTGAGTCAACAGTCAGGAACCACCAAAAATATATCAGATTAATCCCATAATCAACCATTACGCTTGGTGTGGCAAACCTAGCCACTCGGACTATAACTGGACACTGTGCCTTTAAGGGTTGCCTATAGGTCTGGAGAGAGATGCATTGTACCTGTATGTGCCTGCTTCATGTATTCCCTGCATTGCCTGTACCTATCTGTTCCGCCGAATGCAAATGGCGGTTTGTATGGGGATTCCCGTTCGTTTCGCGAACGGCACTTTGGAGGGCCGTTCGTGAAACGAATGCGATACCCCCTAATAGCCCACACACTTAGAGGCGTGTGGCGCTAGTTAACCGATTGCAACATTGTTGCAATCGGTTATTAGAGGCTCTCCTGGGTGGCCGTCGTTCGACTACCGACCATGCGGCGGGCGGCCATCTTGGATCCCTGGTTCGTCAGCGGGTCCGTGTCGTCGAACGCATAGCATTCCCACAGTCATTCGACGGCACGAACACCGTTAAGCCTCCAGGACGTTCGGGAGTTTCAGGACCAGGTTCATTAAAGACAATCGGTTCTTTTCATGTGTTTTTAAAGAAAGGTGTTTTCTGTGCGGCGTTCGGTTATTTTAGCTGGGATCTGAGCGGCAATCTCACGAATGAGGCGCCCAGACCCCAGCTATCTACCGAACGTCCATTCGTGTAAATCCACCGTATATTGTACCAACGGTGGATTTTTGTGTGAATTGCCGGTTCTGCTGCACGAGGGGATAATCCCCTTAACGGTGCATTCTGGGAGGGTGATCCCTCTCGTGCAGCGGTGCCTGATGGGAGAAATATGCAGTACAGTAAGTCCCCCATGTAGTCCCCTCCTGTACAACCCCTGTAATGTCTGTTTGGAAACCCCTTGCATGGGGAATTGCATAAATACTGTGACCTGTGATTAAAACCTCAGTTGACTCCCAGCCTATGTGTCGTCTAGTTCTTGGGAAGGAAGGGTTACTACAGTGCTGTTTGGATTATTATCTGCTGATTCCCTGGATTATCCTTTGTTGTTCCTGTTACCCAGCGGAGATATCGTGGATCATACTGCCTCTCCGCTACAATTGGTGGCAAGCGACGGGATTGAATTTACACAGCAAAGCAACGTTCGGCAGATTTTTTAAACGAATCAAGGAACCAGCATTCGGGAATCAGCGCATTCGAATAAACCTCACGAACAGCAGGTGAATGGGAACAGACTACACCCTGCTAAAACGGAGCACATTAAAGGAGCTGCTGGAAGCAAGAGGAGCAATCGCCAGTAACAAGGCAAAGGCTGTCCTAATAACGGAGCTCATGGAAGGAGACAGAGCCGCAGCTGCTGCAGCACCTCAAATGGAGGGACAAAACAATGAATTTACAGCGGAATTCCGAGCACGACTGGCGTTATTTCCTGAACCACCATCTACAGAAATGTTTAACCGGCTGTTCGCCGATGTACAGGAGTACATTATGGCTAGGGGACCGCCAGGAAACCAGCAAGCCAGAGAAAGAGCCGCAACGCCAGTCCATAGTTTCCCACGGAAAACCAAAATCCCATATCAAGCCTTCAAAAGCTATGTGGAGACAGAGGGTGGCGTTGACGACTATTTACAAGATTTCGAGAGACTGTGTTTGCTGCACGAGATTAATGATGCAGACCGAGTACCCCTACTAGCGGGGAGATTATCTGGGCGAGCCGCCGAAGCGTACCGGGCAGTACCAGACGAGGATAGTAGAGACTACGCTAAAGTAAAACGGGCCATCCTAGCCCGGTATGCCATCACCTCCGAGGCATACCGAAAGAAATTTCGGGACATTAAAAAACCCAGTAAGGACACCCATGTGGAGTGGGCGCACCAGCTACAACGAGCTGCCAAAGGGTGGCTGGAGGCCGCCCAAGTTGATACATTGGAGGGTCTGTTCCAGCTAATGATACTGGAACAATTCTTCAATGGCGTCCCGACCTACCTACAAAACTGGATCCGGGACAGGAAGCCACACACCCTGCAGGAAGCGGCTAATATGGCAGACGATTTCCAGGACAATCGGAGAGATCAACCTATACCAACCCGAGCCACCATTCCCCCTACAACGGCCAGCCCTCCAGGGGGCCCCGCAACGTACCAGCGACCAGGGGTAAATCAGAATTCCTACCCCCCCAGATATTCAGCACGTCCACCAATCCGGTGCCATACCTGCAACCAACAGGGGCACATCCAGAGAGACTGCCCACGGAACCGGCCTCGACCCAGCTGGAATAACGCCGCCCCGAGCAACCGTGCCGCAGTCCACTGTCTACAGGCCGAATCCGACCAAAACCTGGAGTTGGGGACGACCCGGGAGGAACCTCTCGGTACTCTACACGAGGTGAACCCTGTCCAGGCCGCCTCCGATAACCGCCAAGGGCACCGCCAGGAAGTACACATGGAAGGGAGGAAAGTACAAGGACTTCGTGACTCGGGAGCCACCCTAACTCTAGTACGCAGTCATCTGGTACCAAAGCCCAAGCTCACGGGGGACTGTGTGGCTGTGCGGGTGGCTGGGGGAGCCATTTACAAAGTACCCACGGCCAAGGTGCACTTGAATTGGGGAGCGGGGCACGGGAATGTATATGTGGGGATGATGCAAGACTTGCCAGCGGATGTGATTTTGGGCAACGATTTGGGGGAGCTGACTTCGGCTTTTGTTCCCCAGCCCACCGTACAAGAAGCATACCCGGTTGTGACCCGGCAACAGGCCCGCACCACTGCACCATTCGAACACTCTGAGGCTCAGGTAAGCAATGACCCTCCCCTACCTCCTACCCTGCCCTGGGCCAATTCCCTAGAGTTCGGGGCCGAAGTAGCCCTAGATCCTTCGTTACAAGTGTACAAAGACCGCATGGATAAAAATCAAGCTGGGTTAGAGGGGGAAAGATATATCTGGGACAAGGGGCTACTATATCGGCACGCAGAGAAGGTAGTGTCCGGGTCAATACCATTGCCCATTAAACAGCTAATAGTGCCTCGAAAATATAGGTTAGAGCTGTTACGCATAGCCCATGATATCCCCCTGTCTGGACACCTAGGCATCAGTCGGACCAAGCACAGGCTGACCCAAAATTTCTTTTGGCCAGGTATTTCCCAGGATATTAAGCGGTATTGTCAGACCTGCGATACCTGCCAAAGGGTAGGCAAGAGGGGGGACAGATACAAAGCCCGACTACGGTCTCTGCCCATCATTGAAGAACCATTCAGTAGGGTGGCAGTAGACATTATAGGTCCCCTCGCAAAACCCAGCCCCTCCGGCAAGAAGTATGTCCTAACTGTGGTGGACTACGCCACCCGGTACCCCGAGGCAGTGGCCCTAACGAACGTACACGCAGAAACGGTAGCCGAGGCCCTGATGAGGATATTCACCCGGGTAGGATTTCCCCGGGAGATTATCTCCGATAGAGGCACCCAGTTTACTGCGGAAGTGACCCATCAGCTCTGGAAAATATGTGGGATACAACAAATCCTCAACTCCCCATATCACCCCCAGTCCAATGGGCTCTGTGAACGATTTAACGGAACCCTGAAACAAATGATCCGCACGTTCATGGACACCCAAAAGGACTGGGAGCGGTTCTTACCCCACCTACTGTTCGCGTATCGAGAAGTGCCACAAGAATCCACCGGATTCTCTCCGTTCGAATTATTATTCGGGAGGAGAGTGAGGGGACCCCTGGACTTGATACGGGAACACTGGGAGGGAGACGAAACCGTTAATGGCACCCCTATCTTACCATATGTGCTCGAGTTCCGGGAACGCCTGGAGAGGCTAACCCAGACCGTCCGAGACAATCTCCAGGTAGCGCAACAACGACAGCGCCGATGGTATGATAAGGGAGCCAGGGACCGCAGCTTTCAGGTGGGGCAGAAAGTCTTAATCCTGCGACCCGTCCACAAAGATAAGCTGCAGGCTTCCTGGCAGGGCCCATACAAGGTGGTGGAACAGATCTGTGACACCACCTATGTGATCGGCCCGGTTACCGGCGTGGGAGGCAAACGCATGCTCCATGTGAACATGCTCAAGCCATACCACGAACGGACGGAGGAAGTCACCGCAATCTGTG